AGTATTTTAAACTTAATTAAGATCTTTAAATACTATTTCTAGATAATTAAGTAGATTAGGATAATCTAGAAATTAAGGAATACTAAATCTTATTTTAAGTAGAATTAATTTATAAGCCTTTCTAATTAAATATTCTATTATATAGGTTAGTTAAGTTTTAATAGCTAGGAAATAATCTAAATTAGTATTTATTTTATTATAAATTTATTATATAAAGTAATAAAGATTAAAATAAGTATTATTAAATTTTTATAAATTAGGAAGTTTCTTACTAAAATAGATACTAGAGAGAGGGCTAGTAAAAATAAATATAAATATTCTTATTATATTAGCTACTATAGTTTTAGTAAGGGGAGTATATTTAATAGAGGTAGGGATAATAATAAGAATAAGTATAATAAAGATAGTAATAACTTATAATATAGTAAATATATACTTAAATTTAATTAACTTTTATTAAATTATTTTTAATTCTTTCTTCTAGTATAGTACTACTCCCTCTTTCTTAGCTAGCTCTAGGCTAGCTTTATTAATTTAATTTTAGAGGGTATAAATCTCCTTTTTTAAAAAATTAATATATTTATTATAAGATCTAAAGTAAATAATCTAAATAGTAAGATTATTAATAATATAGCTTATAAATTTCTTAACTAAGTCTATAATTAAGAGTAATTTAAATTATTTTAATATATTAGTAATAGCTATACCTAGAGTAAAAGCTATATAATATTATAAGAAGTAGGTAGGTAGTAGGTATAGCTAATAATAGGGTATATATTCAGGCTATCTATATATAAGTATAATAAGTAGAGATTAGGTTAGGATAAGAATATAGCTTAAAGAGCTATAATAGGATCAGGGGTAATATAGCTTAAATACAGGAATAGAGGTGGATAGTTAGGGCAGAATCTAACCAGATAGGTACACGGCTACGCCATGACAAGGAGTAGGTTAAATAAAAGGTAGGAATAAAGATAAAGTTAAAGCTTTATTTAATATTTAATTTAAAACTATACTATATTTATTATAGTACTCTATTATTCTTAACTTGGGATTATTAATTTATATATTTAATAATTTATATTAATTTAAATAGTATATAAAATTAATATAAGATAATTATATATAAGTAAAAGACTTGAAAGTACCTATTATAGAATATAGAGATATTAGTATATAAATTATAATTTAAAAAAATAAAGATATAAAATATAGCTATATAATTCTTAAAAATATAACTTATTATAAAAAAATAATATATAATCTAGTATTACTTATATTACTAAACTAAATAGGTATTTATTTTAAGAATAATCCTAACTCTAACCTACTTTATACCTCTAAAGGTATAGTAATAGCCTATCTTAATAAGAAATATAACTAATTTATAATAAAATATAATAGCAAACTATATAGTATAATAGGCCAGGTAATATTCTAAATTATTACTAGTATTAAAGATATAAAATAGTAATATTTATACTTTAGATATCTAGGACCACAGGTATTAGATTATTTAGTTAAGAATATTAAGGGGGTAAGGATTAGAGAACTTACTATAGTAGAATATAATACCTATAGTATAGTAAAAATAAAGTAAAGAATTAATTAAAAGAATTATATTATTATAGAAAGACTAGATCTATAGTTAGTAATTAACTTTTATAACTTTAAAATAGGAATAGATAATTACTAAGCCCTATTATTAGTTATAAATAGATAGTTAGATTTTATATAAGATTACTATCTCTTAGATTAATATATAGAGATAATTAAAAATACCTTACTTAACTTATTTACCCTCCTAGAAAGATAATATAATATTAAACCCTAAGTAATTAAATTAGATAGTAAGATAAAGAGATAGTTAGAAGACTTTATATAATCTAAAGGAATAAGACTTGACTACTCTACTCTATATATACTAGCCTAAAATAGAGGCGCAGAGTACTTAAGGGGTATAATAAAAGAGAAGGCATATATAATAAGATAGGGAGTAAAACTACTTATATTTTTATAGCCTAAATATATCTATATAATAATATACTTATATAATTAAATATCTAAATATTAGGTAAGATAGAAAATATTAATTAACTAATTCTATATTTATATTACCTACTAAGATAGAGTAGTAGTAGAATATAAGAAACTTTAAGAAGCTTATCTAAAAATATATAATTATAAAATATTTATAATAATTAAATTATAAGTAATTATAATAGCAAAGTATAGAAAGTAGTTTAATCTAAGAATATTTATAGAATATATAGTAAGATATAAATTTCTTAATATCTATTAAATATAGAATCTAAAGAAGGAAAAGAAGATTATTTATATAAGGGATATTATATTTAATAAGGAAGAATTTTTTTTAGAAAATAGAGATATATTTATCTAAATAATAAAAAATAACTTCCTAATAATTAAAATTAATAAATTTAAATAAATAATTAAGAATATTAAAGTTAAAACTTATATTCTAATTTAAGAAGTATTAAATATAGATTATCCTATAATAAAGGATATTCTAGAAGGTAATTTTAACTTACTTAATTATCTAGTTTAAATATTAAGATTAGTATTTAAAGTTATGGATAAGAATAAGAATACTAATATAAATAAGTAAATAGCCTATCTAATACTACTAGATAGTAGCCTAGAATAATTAGCAGTAATATTAGTAGGTACTTACTAATATAAGATAGCCAAAATTAAAGAAAAAACTAAGCTAAATAGAAGCTACTAAATTATATAGAAATCAGTATTTATAGTAGGAAGGTTAATATAACTAATCTAATAAGATAGAATACTAGCCTCTAAGGTAGAAATATAAAAATAGAATAAGTAACTAGAGAATTAAATTAAGACCTACTTAAATTAGTTACTAATCTTTCTAAAAATATACTACTAAGTTAAAAACTATCTATTATTTAAAGAATTTATAAAGATAGAGCAGGACTACCTAGCTAGTTATAAAATAATAAAAATATAGATAGAGATAGATAGATTTAAGTATATAAAAGTACTAGAATATAAATAAATATATATATATAAAAGTAATTAAAGTAATAATCTAACTAAATATAAAATATGCTTAATAATAAAAGAAGATTAATAAGAGAATTTAATAAAGGACCTTTATATTATAACTCTAGTAATAAGATTTCTTTAAATCTTTTTAATAATAGTAGCCTAATTTAATCTAGAATTAAAATAATATAATATTATAAATATATTTATTAATATAAATAATAATAAGAAAATATATATAAAAATATCTTTAGAATATTAAAAATTAGATAAAGTATTAAAGCTAAAGAAAGTATTATATAGATTTAAATAATTCTCTTACCTATAATAAATAACTTTCTAAAAGATTTTAAAATTACTAGAATATAAACTTATCTTATATAAACTATATTATATTACTAGAAGTAAGATTTTAATATTCTTTTATATAAATAATATTATATTTACTTATTACTAAAAATTATTAGTATAAATATAGGCTACTATATAAGAACTTTAGGACTAGTTTAAGATAATAGAAAGAAATAACCTATAATAATTCCTAAAAATAGAGATTACCTAGAATAGAGAGAATAGACTTATCTAGCTAGATTAGTTAGTATATATTAATAAGATTACTAACCTAGTAGATAAAAAGAAAAGTCTAGATACTACTCCTATATTAGTAAAAATAATATCTTAAAAAAATTAAGATAGAGTATCTTACCTATATATTTAATAATATTAATAGAAAGTAGGATCTATAATATATATAATAATTATAATATAACTAGATATTATATTTATAGTATTCTAGTTATTCTAGTATCTTATAAATTCTAGTAAAAAATACTATATTAAAGTAGATTAATATTTATAATATTTAAAAAGAATAAATAAACTTATCTTATAACTTAAAGATTTAGATAATTACCTATTATATAGTAATACTTTATTTATAGATAATTAGAACTAGAGAAGCTTGTAGGGGTATATTATAAAGCTATTTAAAGATATAATAGGGTAGAAAGCTAGTAAGTAGGTAATTATAATAATCTTTATAATTAAAGTAGAATTATTAATATTATTATATATAGTAAAGAAAGGAATCTTTATTAAATATTTACTAGATAAAATCTAGATAGAGTTAGAGAATTTAACTATTAATATTTAATATAATAATATATAAACTATCTAACTAGTAAATAAGAAAATTAATTATCTAAATATAAGGCTATACTATATAGATATTTATAATTACTAGATTAAATAAGAAGTCTAAAAGGGAAGGATAAAAGTATTATATTATTCTACTACTAAGATAATTATAGATAGATTAATTAAGGTACTATCCTACTAAAGTTTTGAGGTATTTATAAAGGATTTAGGGATAGTAAAGAGACTAAAGTTAATAGATAATCTATTACTAGATATAGTTTAAACTTATCTAGAATAAGGATAGTATCTTAAATTATATAATTATAAATTTAAACTAGATAAAATCTTTTAAACCTGAGAGGGTATATTAAATTAAAGGGGTATCTTATGATATACTTAGTAAGTAAAGGGGGGTTATTACCCTATATTAAGGCCTTAGGCAAGCACACAACCCCCTAATAGACACACACATCAATATATCCAATCACCTGCTTCCATTGAGCTACCCCTAGGATCATCATATATCCGACAAATCAAGTAGATCATCCCATCCTACACGTGACTGCCACGGCCATTAATAAGCAGTTATATAAGAATAACTAACTAGTTAACTAGTTATAGTTAACTAACTAACTAATATCTAATTATCTACTCTATGAAATTCAATTTTTATTTCCCATCTACAGATTAGGTATAGAGTTGTGGGTGCCATGATAAGCTTTACTTATCTCGCTTATCATTAGGGCACCCACCCAATTATTAATTTATATTACATGGTATTTTTTAGCACAACTCTACCCACGCCAAGAGTTAATCCGCTCCGGCGTCCCCCGAACCCGGAGCCAAGTCCGAAAAACAACGGAAGCTTTTAAAAGAGGCCGAAGTCGCTTGCCGCAGCGTCTTCTCAATTTAACAACAACCACACCATGTCGAGTGCAAGGAACTTCGCAGTCGCCCTCCGAAGGGCTCGCGTACCCAAGCCCCGTTTCATCGGGCGGCCCATCGTCTCCCAAATTCCCGCCGTTGCAGCCACTCGTGCCTTCACCAACACATCTACATTGCGAGCGACAAAAGAGGTCAAGTACACGAGCGATGCCTATCCCAACCTCAAGCGCAACCCCGGTTTCGCGGGTATTACTGCGGAGGATGTGAAATTTTTCAAGGAGCTTCTGGGCTCCCCCTCCGCGGTGATTGACGGCGTGACGGCGGACGCCGCGGATGATATCGAACCTTTCAATGGTGACTGGATGCGCAAGTACCGCGGTCACACAAAGCTGGTCCTGAAGCCCCAATCCAAGGAGGAGGTCAGCGAGATCTTGAAATACTGCAATGGGAGGAAGCTGGCTGTTGTTCCTCAGGGAGGTAACACGGGCCTAGTCGGTGGGTCTGTACCGGTGTTCGACGAGATCGTGATCAACATGTCGCGGATGAACAAGATTCGCTCCTTTGACGATGCTTCTGGAGTCCTAGTTGTCGATGCTGGTGTCATTCTCGAGGTGGCTGATCAGTATCTGGCGGAGCGGAATCATCTGTTCCCGCTAGATCTCGGTGCCAAGGGCTCATGCCATGTTGGGGGAAATGTCGCGACCAACGCTGGTGGCCTCCGTCTCCTCCGCTACGGCAGTCTTCACGGCACTGTCCTGGGTGTTGAGGCTGTGTTGCCCGATGGCACTATTATGGATGGCCTCTCGACTCTACGGAAGAACAACACCGGGTACGATCTGAAGCAGCTTTTCATTGGGTCTGAAGGTACCCTCGGCATTATTACCGGTATTTCGATTATCTGTCCTCCCCGGCCGAAGGCCGTCAATGTTGCCTATTTTGGGTTGGAGAGCTACGACCAGGTTCGCCAGGCGTTCAAGGAGGCCAAGGGGCATCTTTCTGAAATCCTGTCTGCGTTTGAGCTGATGGACGGCCGCAGTCAGAAGCTGGTTCGTCAGAGTACAGGGAACAAGTATCCCCTTGAAGGCGAACATCCCTTCTACTGTCTGGTTGAAACCAGCGGATCGAATGCCGAACATGACATGGAGAAGCTGGAGGGCTTTTTGGAGCACATTATGAGCGAGGGCATCGTCGCTGATGGTGTCCTAGCCCAGGACGAGACTCAGTTCCAGGGCATCTGGGGCTGGCGTGAAGGTATCACCGAGGCCCTGAGCCACCTGGGTGGTACTTACAAGTACGATGTCTCGATTCCTCTCCCCGAGCTGTACCAACTGGTGGATGACTGCCGGGAGCGCCTAACAAAGCTTGGATTCGTCGGTGATGACGACTCCTTCCCTGTCCGGGCTGTTGTTGGATATGGTCACATGGGTGATTCGAATTTGCACCTTAATATTGCTGTTCGGCAATACAACAAGGATGTCGAGAAGGCCATTGAACCCTGGGTGTACGAGTGGATTCAGAAGCGGAACGGCAGTATCAGCGCTGAGCACGGCCTGGGCGTTGCGAAGAAAGAGTTTATCGGCTACAGCCAAAATGACACCAACCTCACGTTGATGAAGCAGCTGAAAGCTTTGTACGATCCGGTAAGTCATCTTCCAATGCCCTGCCCGCTGTCGAGAACACTTGCTAATGGAGGAGTAGAACGGAATCATGAACCCCTACAAGTATATTTAAATGTGCATACTAAAAAAGAGGATGTATCAAGATTTTGGACGCGGTAATTTCTAATGCCTAATAAAAGTAGCCTGGAGAGATTGCCATAGATACTACCCTGCTGTCAACGAGCCGGTGCTATGAGCCCAGTAAAGCAAGCATAGTAGAGCCTTGAACCTCATGGATGGCCAGGGGAAGTAACCCAACTCCTATCAGCTTGATATAAACTAGCATTATATTTTTAGAAGCCTAAGAAATGTCATGTACGCACTAGTATAGGACCAGTAGAAAAAAAAATGAACTATATTAGGTATATAATAATAACTTGCTTAGGTTCACAAGTGATGCAGCCAACTTTGGAATAATGCAGAATCTACCCTCGGCAAGGAGTTATGTATGTAGCCGGAGTTATTATTAGTCCAAGATTTAAGCCAGCTTATCTTCCTTTATTCTACTACATATACCACCGCAGTCATGGCATCTTCACTTAATCGCGTTCTACAAGGCCGCAAACTGTCGTACAAATTGATTGAGGTGCTTAAATCACCCTCTATTTTCAAGGCTACTATTGTACCGAAGTCCCAGCAAATGCCTTCGGTCAACAAGCAGTCAGTATAGTATATCAATGCAAGTTTCTACGCAAGACCTTACTGACCCCTTGTTGAGTGTAGTGATCAAGGATGTTGCCCTCGAGCGAGAGCTTCGCGCACACCAGCTTCCCGCAATCAAAGCTTCTCCCTACATCCGCCAGGCTTTGGATGTAATCGAGAAACGTGAAGACGAAGATTGGAGCCCGTCGCCGCCCTCTATCACAAATCGCATAGTTCTGGAATGGATGGATACAGATTTATGGCTCCCTCGACCTTTGGACAAAGGCTTCTCCAATCCAAAATTGCCTCAGATTGTTGCTCGGTCTATTTTAGAAGCATTGGTAGTCTTCCAAGAGATGAAGGGGGTTCACACAGGTATCCTCTATTTTGCTGATATCTGTGCGAGTTCATTAATGCGTTGTGTTAGATATCAATCCCAACAACATCTTTATATCTAACCTGGATGCGCCTCTCCCTACTGTTAAACTCGGTGATTTGGACAACGGTAAGTCGTAAAATGACTTCTTTTGGATCGATTTTTGCTTCTTGAATAGCCTTCTCAGAAGGCGTCGCCAAGAACAGTCAAAATGCTCAGACTCATGAAACTCGCGCTCCGGAAGTATGGCAAGGTCTTGGTGTCTGGCATACATCTGATATCTGGTCTCTTGGTGTCACAGTATGTTGGCTTTTCTTACCCGGGCCCTATTCCTTACCTAAACTTGGATTATAGCTATCTCATTGGCTCATGTCGCGTGGTCTATTTGGCCCCTGTGATAAGATTATCCAAGATCATAATACAGCGTGGTGCCTTGCAAAGATATTCAGACTCATTGGACCTATTGATCTGCCGGAAAATCCAGAATACCAAGATGAGTTTGAACTGGCCGCGGCGTTGGAAGCAAGTGGGTATATGGACCCCAATACCGGCGAGCCGAAACCCTACATAAACGTTGGTTCTCTACGGGAAGAGCTACAGAAACTGCCTCGGGATATCTGCTCTGAATCCTGTATCGACTTTATCGAGCACTTGCTTGTTATTGATCCTGCTAAGCGCCCTACGGCCAAGGTTGCTTTACAGCACCCGTTTCTTCAATCGACCGCCAGTTGATTCGTTGACGTGCCGCATAGGTGACAGATTGGTCAAGTTGACCCTTCCTTGGTTGACACTGGCCACGGCCACATGGCCCAGCTCGGCCAACAACTGGCTACCGACCGAAGCCACAGCCGACCACGCAGTTGCCAGTCCGGCTGGACCATGGTAAAGAGTTTTTGATCTATCATGGGGCGAATTTGGTTTCGATTCGGCTCCGGCCGCCACTTCCATGGCGCGTTGTAATGGCCCGGTTCTCGCCCAAAAAAAAAAAAAAAAAAAAAAAAAATTAAATAAATGAACACGGAATTGCTTGCATCCCCTCGAGCCGACTCAAGACACTCTGATGCTTGCAAGGATCTTGCGCATAGACCCATTGATGGTGTTCAGTAAACCGGTTTGCAACCCGTTCCAGCAGGCCTGTTACCCGGAAGAACGATCAGTGTTGGATCGAGACAAGAATCTTTTACTACGGATTAGAGCAAATATGTAACAGAAACGGCTTGCATTCATATTCTTGATGTCAATAAAACGGCGATCCCCTGCAGGGGGGAGGAAAGGAGATAGTAGAAACGCCCGAGAAATGACGGCCATACAGGATGGTAAGCTAAGAGAATATAACATCAACATCCATATTTATTCATGATAGCCCTAAATGAAGAGTCCTGCAGAAGCTGTGTGGCGGTTAGACGTTCCTCTGGGCAGTAAGTAAATACTCTAGACATGATAGAGCGTACTTGTTCCCGCTCAATTTCATCAACCTCAGGACGAAAGTATGCAATTGTTGATGCGAGATCATGATTTGGATCGGGTGTTTTACTCTGATCATACCAGGAATCAAGGCCTCCGGGGTGAGTGTAACGGCCCTTCCACGGCTTGGGTAGTGGGCCCAGACATCGGACGATGCCAGATAGAATTCCACCCTCAAGTCAGATAGGGAAGGGCGGATAGCCAAGATAAAGTTCCGCGAAGATGATCATGTAACTCCACATGTCACAGGCAAAGCTTGGGTCATTCCCATGGAGTCGATCTGGGGAGCAAAATTGCATAGGGGGATAGCCGTGTTGAAGTCACGGGGTCGCCAAGGTTCATCGCCAGACCAAAGTCACCAAGATAGAATTCCTCTGTGCGTATGCTCTCAGGAACCTCAATGGGCCGAACAAGCTGTCCTTGCTTCTAGAGGCTAATAAAGGGTATGCTTTGCTTCAGTGGTCGACCAAGTAGCTCATATTTGGCGCTGCGCTTGAGATTGTGAAGAGGAACCATCCCCCACATACAATTCCTCTCATTCAAGTCTGTCGAATATCCATTAGAGTGCGGACCAATAGGAAGAGAGCGACAGACATGATTCACTCACCGCGGTGTACAATTCCGGCTTTGTGTAGATTTTCTAGGGCTGCTAGTAATTGCTGGGCAGCGGACATGCGAGTGCCCATGGCCAACTTTCTCAGGAGACCCCGGCAAAGGCATGGGCCCATCAACGGAAATACTAGAACCTGATGATGACATTTGTTTCCACGGAGCTGAAAGGTCGCCAAACGGGTCACAAGGTGTTTGAATAATTTCATCTTGCATGCGATTTTCCTCTTCTGACCATTCACCCGAAGACATGACTTTTAAGTGCCACATCCCTCTTGTCCTGAAGGTCATGGGCCATCCAGACAGTAGCGAAGCCACCTGAGCCTATTTTATGCTCTATAAGGTATCTCTCATCGAGCACCTCTCCGACGCAAATGGGATAGAAGACGCGTGAAGATTCTTTCAAATCGTACTTATTCCAGGGCTCAACAACCTCTTCAAGGTCAAGTTCTTCGTCTTCAGTCCTCACAAAGTCACCGAAATCCGCCATGTTATTGCCTTTATGTGGAGAGGCTGCTGTCGTTATCACCATAACCGTGACCCGCCACTGGAGAGCGTTTCAGTGCTAGCATATCGATACTAGAGGGCGTGATGGTGATGTTCAGGGAGGTGATGGCGAGTTTCGTCGCCAGAAAAGAACCATTCAAGCGTCTGCGTCGAACACTTTTGGCCAACGTCATCGTGTGTAGAATATCTCTACCCACGCTGTAAGTCCAGGATATAGAGCAGCCTAAGGCATGAGCGTGTTACATAAGCTGCATGAGGCGTTGCCTGAGGCGGCTAGAGCCCGTGGTTGCCATGCACTACGAGCGCTGTTAGCCTGTTGTTTCTCCCAGACCATCGAAGATCGAGCGAATCACCCATTGGATGCAATGGGCCTATTCATTCGATCAATGGATCGAGCACTACTACTCGAGTCTCTATTATTGATGTACTTTCCTTTTCCGCAGCTCCCTTCCTTTCTCCCGACACTGGTTTACACGACCTATTCAGCTCAGCAATAAACTCTTGCTGGGCAGGAATCAGGTTCCTGTGCGGGTCGCCCCTTTTTCAGCTTTGGTTTTTTTTTCTTTTTTCTTTCTTTTTTTCTTATCTCCATCACCTCAGCGCCCCTGAGCTCCGGGAAGCTGGAAGTGATCGAGCACCATGGCAGACGATATGGCGAGCCAGTACCAGATGATGGAGGAGTTGGGAAGTGAGTGATGATGAGAAATAGTTTCATTCGCCTCAATTACGTTGTCTAACTGCTGGTCCCATGTTAGGTGGAAGTTTTGGAACCGTGTACAAGGCGATTGACTTGACAACTGGGGAGATTGTTGCGATTAAGCATGTGAGTACAAAGAAAACCAATTGTGCGTTGATCGGAACCTAATTGACCATTTCACTGCATTCTAGATCGATCTTGAATCGAGCGAAGACGATATTCAGGAAATCCAGCAGGAGATCTCCGTGTTAGCGACTTGCGCAAGCCCCTTCGTTACGCAGTACAGGGCGAGCTTTCTTCGAGGGCATAAACTATGGATTGTGATGGAATTCCTGGGTGGAGGATCGTGTCTGGATCTGGTAACGCTGCAACGATGAATAATTCGTCCTCGAGAACGGAGTGCTAATCGCGCTACAGCTGAAACCTGGCGTATTCAACGAGGCGCACGTCGCTATTATTTGTCAACAGCTTCTGCAGGGATTGGACTACTTGCACAGCGAGGGAAAAATTCATCGCGACATCAAAGCAGCCAATGTCCTCCTGTCACACACGGGGAAGGTGAAGCTAGCGGATTTCGGAGTCGCCGCGCAACTGATCAACATCAAATCACAACGCAACACCTTTGTCGGAACCCCGTTTTGGATGGCACCCGAGGTAATCCAGCAGGCCGGGTATGACTACAAAGCAGATATTTGGTCGCTGGGAATTACAGCTATTGAAATGATTAATGGGGAGCCGCCACATGCTAGCACCCATCCCATGAAGGTGCTTTTCTTAATTCCCAAGGAGCCGGCTCCGCGTCTCAAGGGCGACGAATACAGTAATACGTTCAAGGACTTTATTGCGCAATGCTTGACTAAGGACCCGGACCACAGACCAAGTGCTAAAGACCTTCTAAGACACAAGTTCATCCGAAACGCTGGGAAAACAGAGGCCCTGCAGGAGTTGATCCATCGGAAACAAGATTGGGATGCAGGACGCGGTGTGGCTCCTAACGTCAAGTACTATGCTGAATCTCTGTAAGCCAACTACCGCTATCCCCAATGGTTGATAGTGACTGACTTGTCTCTTGATAGAAATACGATCACTCACCTGAAGGATGACGACGGTTGGGTTTTTGACACAGTGAAGGCAGCTACTATGGTAATCCCCGAAGATTCTGATGACTCTGAGACCATTTCCGATATCCGAGACCCTCTCTACGATGAGTCCGCTGAGATGGTCGAAAATCTACGCATTTCCAGCCCTCCAAACCCACCGAGGCATGCGACCGGCACCGCCGTACGCCGCGTTCCTGCCCCCGACCGCAGCCCTTCTATCCAACGAGCAAAAAGACGATCGAGCGGCGTGAAGCAGCCACTAGGGGTAGATTTAAGCTTTGGCAACAGCCCGTCCACAGTCCGTCAATTCCGACGGGTATCTGACAAGGTTCCTGGCACGGACTCATACTCCTCACAGCATCTGGTTGGTGCGGACGAAAATGCAAGCCCCAAACCTCTATACTCCGAGCCAAACAGCAAAGAAGCTCAGTTAGGCCGCCGAGCATACACGAAGGCAATCGGTCTCGCATGCCAGGAGGTCCTTGGGACAACAGGAGACCAAGAAAAACGAGAGGCGATTTCTCGACTGGCAGAAGCCTGGAGCGATCTGGAAATGGTTGATCCCGAGGGCCTGTACCATATTCTCAAGGCTACAAATGAGAAGCTCCAAAGGTAAGCTTGTTGATTTCCATCTCGGGGTGACCCCTTTTTGCTAATGAAACTCTGGGTCAGCGATTCCAAACTGTCAAGCCTCGTCCCACAAGCTCCACCACCCGAATCCCCACAGAGGCCGCGTCTGATGCTGGCACAAAACAACCCACACCTGAAAAGTCATCGACGGCGCCAGTCCGCGGCCACGGTGGAACCAAATATGCAGCCGACGCAGCTCGCGAACCTCCCTGGCCAGCAGGTACCGGGGATGGAGCACATCAAGCAATTATCCGATGTCCTCTACCAGCGATGGTCCGAAGGTCTTCGCAATCGTTGGCCAGGACTGTAAAAACGGGCCATTTTTTTTTTTTCTTATTTCTCTTTTCTCTGTATAAAACGGTTACTGGCGCTGGATTCCTCGGTAAAAAAACAAGGCTTTTCCTTTCCCCCATTTACTCACTTACAGCCCACCCCCTAATTCCATCGCCTGCAATGCCTCCTAACTCGAGGTCTTAATTCATTCTCTCACCCTTTCTTCAGGCATACACACGTTCGTTCAGTTCTGCTTTACAGTGTTCAATTTCCTGGAGCTCTTGTTCTGATATCATCCACCCGGGACTGGGTTCCGGGTCGAATATTCTGCTGTTTCTTTCTAGTGAATCTTTCCTGGAGCTTGTGAGTATCTGAGGTTTCCTCATCTATTTTTTTTTTTTTTTTGGACTACCCTTCGAATTTATGCGATCCAAGTGGTGTTGAGGTTTGTGTAAGTAATGTGATTTGGTTCTTGTACATTTCATGTATGGCGTATTCGTACGAGGGTTAGCAGTAGGGACTTGAATATTAATTCTCTTTGATACACACTCAGTTCCCTGAGTATATTAGGGGTTGTAGCTGGTGGAGATGCCAGTGCAGTTAATTACCCAGCATGGGCTGTAAAGGCCAATCTCCGGAGGATTAAGCAGGGTGAAGAACTCGATACCCCAGGTGGATCTAATAATATAGGTATCCATACTCTGTACCCCTTCCTCATCCATTACTATCTCTACAGAACAAAATCAAATTATTCCCTTTACTTTAACTCATTTACAACTTCTGTCGATCGACCCCTGAACCAGCTGAAACGGAAAAGATACGCGTTGGCGGGCCGCCTTTGTCCACAGCACAAGCGCTGTGAGGATGTGCTAAATAAGACTAATTAAACGGCCAGTCTGGGCTCTGTTGTTGGTGACGACTCTTGTTCTTCTTCTTCGTCTTCTTCTGATTCTCCTACAAATTCCTCTGTTCTTCTCTCCCCCATCAATCAATCTCCTTTCCATCACAGTCCTTTTCTCTCGCTTCGTCTTTTCTTTCGCTCCCCTTCCTCTCTTTCATTCTGTCGCCCTCTCTGGCCTGTCATCCTTCGTTTTACTGGAATGTCATGATTTGATCATTTTGTCTTCTCTCCCGTACCTAGGTAGTTGTCTTTTTTCCTCTTTCCGCCATGGGGGATTCCCCGGGAACGGGTCAGACGGAATCCACGCCGGAAGCGTCCCAAACGTTGATGTCGTCTGCCTCGCCTCATAATCTGGTTCCGCCGCCGCCATCTGATTCCTCAAAAGAAGACCGTCAAGGGTCGTCGTCGTCGTCGTCGTCGCAAGAACAGCCACAGCAGATCCCGTCAAAACGAGCCTCTCTCCCTCCACGTCCTCCTGGTGGTGCCCCCCGTCATACCAAGCGTTTGACCTTGAACTTCCCCATCAATATCCCTCAAGGAGCGGCCTTTGATCCTAGCGCCTCGTCCTCACCCGCAGGACCCATGACACCCATTGCTCGATCGTCCGCTCGCCAGTCCCCGGTGCACACCATTTCCACACCAGCCCCGTTTGACGGCCAAGATGATGGGTCAAGCCTTTTGACTGCGATCGCCTCGCAGGAGCGCAAGGTGCTCGAGCTTCGCGAAGAGCTCCACCGGGCGGAGTCGGAACTGGATTCCCTGAAGAAACAATGGACGTCGTCGGAGAAAAGCAAAAAACGGACGGAGATCCATCATCGCGCCGAACAATTACTTCCGCTCAAGTCCCCCGATAGAATATCCACGGAGAACCTGGTCAACAGTAGCACACACAGTAGGGAAGAAAGCGCCAGCGGCGCCTCAACCCCTTCGATCGTGGCCCAAGCCAGACTCAGCCGGGAGCTGGAACGACGACAAACTGTGCTCGCAGCTGCGGCCACGCATGGGACTACAATATCTGCAAACGGGAGACGAGTCTTTCAAGGCTCCCATGCACGTACCCTGTCTTTACTCTCCCCCACTCTGGGTTCTGCTGGCAGCAAGCGGATCGGATCGGAGTCCGGATTAGGCGCAGTGGATAATGAGCGTGTAGGCCGGCCTCCACGATCAGCCACTATGCCTTCGGTCGACCGAAGCCCTGTCCCTCCTTCTGCTATGGCGCCGACAGAGGATATGATCTCACAGTGGCGCAAGACGATGCCTCCGCCCTCACGGGACCTCCTCTTGCGCACCGGCAAACAAATGGCATCGGACCTGAAAGAAGGACTCTGGACATTTTTGGAAGACATCCGACAGGCTACAGTGGGAGACGAAGGGATTTACGCCACCGAGTCACGGACGATGCAGCCACCCCGAAATCGGGATTCAAGCTCGACCTCACGAAGCCGAGATCGATTGTCCGTACAAGGACGCAAGCCCTCACGATCACCGTCATCGGGAAAGAAATCGGGGGCAAACACAACTGGTAAAGACTCCAAGTCGGCGGACATAGACGCGACGTTCTGGAGTGAATTCGGCATTGATTCACCTGGGCAGAAGTCTCCCAACGCTCACAGTACCTCCAAGGGCCCCAGCAGGCCGAACGCACCAGAAGATCCAAGCCTCCTCGACGTTGATGAGAGCTGGGATGACTGGGATACACCACAGCCCAAAAAGACGCATACTCCGTCCTCGAGTCGGTCTACGATAGAGTCGAAGCCGGATCAGTCACCCACGACTCAGAATAGCAGTCCTCGTACCAGCACTAGGTAGGTTCTGGTTTGCGTCTGAGCGTGAGGCCTCTCTCTCGTTTTCTCCCTTCCTTTCCCCTTCTCTCTCTCTCTCTCTCTCTCTCTCTCTCTATTCCAAGAGCTTTCATCTGACTAAGGGTAGTTTCGGTGACTGGGGCCATGATATCTTTGACCCCAGCGTAGCTGACGGCATCCCCTGGCCTGCCATTACGAAAATGGCACCTTCCAAGCTAGCCCGGACAGCATCAAACTTGATGGCCGAATGGGAGCGAAGTCTTTCTCCTTCATCTGAGCGCAACAGCCCGCTGTCCTCTTCAGCCCCTGGAAAAGACAGCAAGAAAGACTGAAATTGTTTCTTACATATTTTTTTCACGTTACTTTTCACACGATTCTTCACCGACCAGTCCAACTTTCGGCCCTGGGGTTTGCTGTATATATATATGGACATGAATATGCACGATCTTTTCTATTCTCGGTGGACCGATTTGTTATATCTCAAGCCAAGCAAAGCAAGACTATGGATTCACGCAGGGTTATGATTGCAGGTCCCAATACCGTTATGATGAAGCGTTCTCTTTACATTCTTTTTGCAGAAACGTTTGCCTTTTTCAAGCCGCTATTATCCGAACATGGCTTGGCTGCACTACATGTTATATATATTATACTCTTCTTGTTTTCCAATTCAGATTTTCTTTAATGAACAGTGTCTACGAGAAGAAAAAAGGGTACCGGCGCTCTAACCAGGCACGATCCACCCGATAAAATAAACCAACCTGCATTACCGCCGTCAAGAAGATGAAGTCACATACACCCCCAATCCCCTTTTCCAATGTCCCGGGCTCATTCCGCCTCCAGGAACTACCTCAGATACCCTCCCTACCTGCAATCCCGATCTCAGTGTGGAAAAGACAGGAATAACTATCACTTGTGCTATTGATAGGTCTATGAGGGTCTGTGGTCATTTTTATACTCGGTGTTTAACGAGCTCAACAAGCATCCTTGACAGAATAATTCTACTTTAGATCGAATAGAAAAATCGTAATGAACAAGTTTATACGCAGCCAAAACGTTCTGCCTGAGGCGACAGTTCCATGCAACCGCACACGTGACCCAACTGCGCAAATGGTCTCTGTGGCACGTCGGGAATAAATTTCGCTTTTTGCCATCTCCGCGTTTTCTCCGGGATTCAAAGATTATCGTCTACGGACCTCTTGAGCTTTCGTTGCTTGCTACCTTTCATTCTTTTTTTTTTCTCTTTTTGGTTTTCCCTCTGTGATTTGTTCTAGAGAGGATCTTAATTCAGTGAGGAGTGTTTTTTTTTTATGTAGTCTTTTTCCCCCCCCCTCTACTTTCCTTCAGATAACGAGTCGAGTCGAGTCGAATACGTACATACGCAGCAGCGTTCAATCATGAATTTCCCAGGAACGACACCAACCCAGGCGACGCCTATGGGTCTGGGTGGACTCGCCGGTGGCGGCATGCAGGGCATGACTGAACAGGAGCAAGCGATGGTGAAAATGGTTCGTGCACCACACACCACTTACACTGGTAGTCCTGGCTAAACGCAAAGCTACAGATGCAATCGGGGATGGAATCGTGCCCGATAAAAACCGTCATCTCCGGTGGTATGGGATTTGGTCTTGGAGGTGTTTTCGGCTTGTTCATGGCTAGTGTGAGTATCACTTTATCTCTCAAGTCTTTTGTTTGTTTGTTTGTAGTTGGTTGGTTCGTTGGCTGTCTTGTTTTTGTCCCTGTGAGATGTTACTAACCCGGGGGGGGGGGGGGGGGGAGCGAATAGATGTCCTACGACTCCACTTTCACACCGCAAGGCAAAGCCATCGCCGACCTCCCGTGGCGCGAACAAGTCCGTCGCGGCTTCAAAGACATGGGATCGCGATCTTGGTCGTCCGCGAAGAACTTTGGAATCGTTGGTGCGCTTTACTCGGGTACGGAATGCTGCATTGAGGGGTTGCGCGCAAAGAACGACCTCACGAATAGTGTGGCGGCTGGTTGTATTACTGGTGGTATTCTCGGTGCAAAGGCCGGCCCGCAGGCAGCGGCGGCGGGTTGTGTTGGTTTCGCAGCGTTTAGTGCCGCAATCGATGCTTATATGAGGATGCCGTCGGAGGAGTAAGTCCACTTACAGGGTCGGAGGAGGAGGACCGGGAAGAAGAGGAGGAGATAATTATGGGTGTGGCAGCTTGCCGAGGCTGTCGGTTTATATTTATACTCGTGCGAAGGCGTTTGGGTTGACAATAGATGGGGCTGCATTATGGCGTTATGGGGGTTTTACTACGACTACGACGAGTCAGTGACTTGTGCATTGGTTGCAGATTGCGCACTCGCTACTCCTTTGTATATTATTTGAATCAGTGTATAGATTAGAGCGAAGTGGATGATTGCGATTGAGAAATTCCATGCCTTTTATCCAACAAACTTCCTCCTACAAAGACAGCCTATACTTGTTTACTGCCCCCGGATATTGAACCAAAATCATTGAACCCCTTCAGGCCTATTTGGTTTTTTTTATAAAAACAGGAGCATATCCTGACTGAGGGTAATCCACATAGACATGCCCAGATATGCAACTTCTGGTGTTTCAAGGCGAAGAATTCCAAGTCGACGTCGACTTCTCTTCGATATCTCGAATTAGATGCCCAGTTCAGGTTGTCATACAATGATTCCCTCCCCCATCCCCTCAGAGAGAAATCTTGTAATAGTTATAGGGGTTGCATATGTATACCCAACACCACCTTTCACACCGGTGCGCGTTTTGTATGACGGAAACCAGATATGTGTATGTCGATGGCGTTGAACGACCATCCATTCCAACAGATCGCAAACTCGAACTGATGTTTTTATTTTTGGGGCGCAATATGCAACATGGCTGCTCTCTTGTTAATTCACTATCTGCGTAGAGTCAAGCAAGTCAAGCAAGTCAAGCAAGTCAAGCAAGTCAAGCAAGTCAAGTCAGGTCGCGGCAGGTGTTACGCACCAGTTTTGGCGGACTGCAACAGCTTCTTCAACCCACTTTTCTGCTCGTGGGGGGCACAGTACAAAGTTGATTGGCGGCTGTCGATAGAGGCATTCTCGATGCTCTCTTTCTCGCGGGCTTGACGGACATAGCTCAGTTGGTCCTGTCCTGGGGTGTTGCGGAAATTGGGAAATCCTCCAGGCATTGTGAGATGTGAATGTGAATTAGAACTAGGTATAACGAGGGTTTTAGAGTGTGCTTTGAAAAGAGTAGAGGGACTGTTTGGATGCTGAGGAATTGGATATCTATCCCTATACATGTGAATTCTTATATATGTACCAGGTAGGGCTAGGATTCTGTACTTCGTCTGTATAGCTAAGCACTTACCCCGATTCTGACTCCGACTTTTGACTCTATAAAAACTATGACTCTTACGGCGTACTTTGAGTCTAATTTTTATTCCTGGATGTGGCTGTGACTCAGGACTGACTTGCATGACTCGAGCAGAGCCAACTCTTGTCTACCTATCTACTAGTTAGTACAAGCATTGACACTGAATATAATATCTTTTAACTCAGGCTAGTCTCCACCATTCCTTCATTGGGACCCCGAAAGCGTAGTCGCTAGCTCTGACTCTTCGCCATTTCCTGTCGAAAATTATACAAATCTCAGCATATTCGTGTCGTATCTCCCACAGTGATTCAATAGATTTGCCAAATGCATAAGTGCCAATATTAGTCATAACGCGGCTCATGTAGAAATTGGAAGCTATCCAAGGTTCCAGGAAACTATAAAAGATTAGTTGTTTGAACGTCCGCAAAATGGCCGTGGATATGACGTCGAATATATCACCGAGTGAATTTTCAAGCTGCGACAAATCAAATATAACCTCTAGCCATGACCTGCAAAGTAAGCATGGAATATACCATCGAATAGTTATCGTGCGCATAGCGTTGACAACACATAGAGGTTCGATTACTCCGTGGATAATCCACTCAACAGAGAACCCTCCGTTAAGGAGCTAGTTTCGAGGTAACTCACTTGAAAAAGAACAGCCTCAGCCTCAGCCCCAGACCAACAAGCTTAGATATATAACCTCTCCATCGCTTTCATACGATCGTAACCACGGCCCTATCCCCTACCTGTCTGCAAGCACCCACGTTGTCCGAATCGACGGGCTCGTAGGCCATCCTCTCAGTCTCTCAATCGACCAACTCGCCAACGACTTCCCCCAGCATGAAGTCTGGTGCGCCCTGGAATGCGCCGGGAATCGGCGCCACACGATGCGCACCATGCTCAAGGAAGTCGAGGGCATTGACTGGGGCGATGCAGCGGTCATGAACTGCAAATGGAAGGGCCCTAGACTACGGGACATATTGCATCGGGGTGGGGTCTGCAAGGCCCGCCCGGGACTCCACGTTGCGTTTTCCTGTTACCAGGTGCAGTGCCAGGATGCTGGGTGGTTTGGGGGAAGCGTGGACCTGGAAAGGGCGTTGAGTATCGATGCGGACGTGATTCTTGCTTTGGAAGTGGGTTTCTTCTCCCTGGTTGTTAATTTTTCTACCGCCCCATCCCCTCGTATAATCCATTGAAATACAATAAAAAAAAAAAAAGAGGGGGGAGGAAATGATGCTGATAATAATGGCAGATGAATGGTTCTCCGCTTCTGCCGTGCCATGGGTACCCTGTTCGCGTTGTCCTGCCTGGTATTGCGGGAGCACGGTGGGTGAAATGGCTCGACGAAGTCACGGTCCAGGATCGCGAATCGACCAATTTCTATCAGCAGTATGACTATAAGATCCTTCCGCCGGAAGCTGTGGATCGAGATACAGCCGAACCGTACTGGGATCGGACGCCTGCCATGTGCGAAGTGCCAATTAATTCGGTTGTGGCGGTCCCGGAGGATAATGAGACTGTTTGGCTATCGGATTCTGGAAAGCTCGAGGTCAAGGGATATGCAGTTCCCCAAGGATCAGATGGCCCGATAACGAAAGTTGAGGTTTCTGCCGATGGGGGAAGGAGTTGGGTGGATGCGCAGATTGAAGATGTAACTTCGGAGAGCATGATCAAAACCAAAGCAAAGAACAAGTGGTGTTGGGTTTTGTGGAGGGCGGAGGTTGACATTGAAAAGGGAACTGGAAGAGAGATCGTGAGTCGCGCTGTTGATGCGAAGGGAAACCAGCAGAGAGAGCATTCGCAATGGAATCTAAGGGGAGTAGGATATAATGGGTACGGCAGAGCTAGGAATTTGACACTGCTTTAGCTGGAATCCTGTGCCGTTAATGAGACCGGAGTCGGGCAACGTGCTCGCTTTGAATGACGGAATTTAAACGTTTTGAAATCGGTCTATTCTAGTACAGCGCAATACATACATACAAATGGGTTGATTATGGAAGCACGATATACTTCTCCAAGTGCTTGGGAATCGCCTTTCTCAATCCCTTGGTCTCGAGCCAGGTGTTAGAGAACAGACGGTCAGCATATCGGTAAGCACCGTCGCAGAGAATTGTGACCACAGTACTGCCTTTGCCGAGGTTCTCGGCCACTTCCTTCGCGGCGACAACGTTGAGCGCTGAGCTAGCACCGAGATAGAGACCTTCCTCGTCGAGACAGCGGTAGATCATCTCAATAGACTTCTCATCACTAATGTTCAAGGATCCGTCAAGAGTACCGATATCGGGCTGGAGGTTATCTGTAATACGTCCCTGGCCAATTCCTTCCGTGATACTGCTGCCTGCACGCTCGACCAGGTTTCCACCGCTCTGGATATAGCTGTGGAGGACACTGCCTGGGGGATCGGCGAGGAAAGACTTGACTCGACCGTTGCTAGCTTGCTTCAGGAAGTAGGTAGTTCCGGCAAGGGTTCCTCCTGTTCCGGTGGCGCAGGTGAAGGCGTCGATCTTGCCTTCGGTCTGCGCCCAGATCTCCGGGCCGGTGGTTTCAATATGAGCTCGACGGTTAGCCGTATTGTCGAATTGATTCGTCCACACAGCATTGTCCAGGGATTCCGCGTGTCGTCGTGCCTGGTGGTTGTAGTTCTGTGGGTTTTCGAACGCGACAGCCGGAACGGGGTACACTTCGGCACCCAAAAGACGCAGCAGGTCGATCTTGCCTTGCGATTGTGTGTTGGGCATGTAGATAACAAGCTTGTAGCCCTTGGACCGGCAGACGTGAGCCAACCCAATTCCAGTATTTCCAGCGGTTCCTTCAACCACCGTGCCGCCGGGCCTCAGAAGACCTCTCTCTTCCGCATCTTTGACCACAAAGAGTGCAGCCCGATCCTTCACACTACCTCCGGGGTTCTGGAATTCCGCTTTACCGAGGATGTTGCAGCCGGTCTCTTCAGAGAGTCGCTTCAAACGGATAAGAGGGGTATTGCCAATCGCTGGGAAGGCCATAAAATGTTAGGATATATGTCAAGCTTCTCCCAGGTCTTCATATTGTCACTGGGCCTTACCCTCTGTGAGTCCGTTAACCACACCCTGAGCCTTGGAGACCCGGACACCATATGAATCGGCGCTGCGCAGGGCAGTGGTGCCAAATCGCCGGATACCCTGTCGGAACATTCTATAAAGACCTCTGCCACAGCTTTCAAGTGAAAAGAAAGTAATACCTCAGCGCATTGAGGGGTTCCCTGGACAGATCATCGTCAATTCATGCCGATTTTCGGCTTTGTCATGGCAGGTCACATGATCGATGGCGTGATATATGTACATCTCGGGCGAAAGGCTTCAGATCCCATGGACATTGATTTCAAATTCAAAATGCGTTAAGAGAGCACAGTAAGTTTAGGATTCGGCGTAAAAGGAATGACAATGTCCAACGTAATGTAATGCCTTCATGTTTATTAGAAGAAAGAAAAAAAAGATATCACGTGAAATACCCTAACCCTTACAGTCGGTGATCACCTGATGCCCGGTCCCACCTGACGCCCGATTTCCCCTTACTGACTGTTTTTTTGATAATTTTCAATAACTTATATCTTAACCAATATGGGTTTAATTGAAGCCGCGATAGAAGTAATTAACTTGTTAAAGATTAGTAATTCAATTAATTATACTAAGATTACAAAAGAGTTTAGTATTAATTAGATAATACTATTAAGATGCTACTACAGGGTATAATACCCTAAAGACTATTAATATAAGTAATAGCAAGTTCTTACTAACTAATATAAAAAAGAACTAATAAATTATATTAATAAGCTTACTAAGTAAGACCTCTTTATATCCTATAAGATACTTTGGAATTTTGTAAAAAAAATTACTAGTAAGAAGCCTAGAAAATACTAGCTTGGGTACTTTATAAAATATTACTAAGATAATCTTATCTTAACCTATATAATAGCTATTAATACTGCGTGAAAATAAGCTAATTCTATATATAAATATACTTTATATTTTAAGTTATTAAGCTAGAAAATATAGTAATATAAGTTATAGCTAGAGAATATCTATAATATAGATAAAAAAGGATTTCTTATTAGAATACTAGTTAAAGGTCTCAGGATTTTCTTAAAGTAGAAATATATAGTTAGAGGAGAGCTTAAGCAATACCTATAAGATAGAAATTATAAGTAGATAACTTTAATTACTTATATTTATGCTAATAGAACCTCTCTCTTACTAGGTTTTATTTACCAGGCTTCTACTAGTAATATACAAGATTCCTAGCTTTAAGACTTTAATCCTAAGCTTTATTCTTGCTTCTTTACCTCCTCTACAAGTAATTAGACTAATAATAAGCTAGAATATACCTAATTAATTAATATATTTAACCGCGAGATCAAGAATAAAGTATATAGATAATAAAAACTTCTTATCCTTAATAATTATAGATCTTACCTTACTATAAAGTTTATTAATTACTATAATACTAATAAGATCTTATTAATAATATATCTATCTTATTTAACTTATTTATTATAGCTACTTAATATTAGGATCTTTAGCCCTCTCTCTACTACTTATAGTAAGAATCTTGAGGACTTTCTATATAAATTAATAGGCCTTAGTTATATTACTAAATAGGACTTCTTCTACCTCTTCTAGCTAGCCTGGGAATAGGCCTTATTAATAAAAAATATTCTTTCTTCATGGCAAACTATAGGAATATAGCTATTAAATCTAGAAATAGTTCTAGTTTAATTTAATAAGTAGAATAATTCTAGGCCCTCCTTAAGTAATTCCTTATACTTTATTCTATAGGTAGAGGACTGGTAGAAGATTAAGAAGCTTTTAAATTAAGTTATTACTAATATATATAATAAAAATACTAAGAAATTAAGCTTAATAATATATTATCTCTCTATAGAGAATATTATTCTAAAATTATATTACTAAGGCCTTGAATTAGCCCTCTAGAATAAGAAGAAGAAGTATTAATATAAGAAATTCTTATAATTTAAGCTTGCAGCTCCTAAAAATAATAGTGCAGTTTTTTACTCTCTTTAAAAGGTTTAGTAGGCTCATAATCTTTAAATATAGAAGGATAAAGCTATATAACTTACTAAGGTATTAAAGGAGCAAGAAAAGATCTATTAATAGCTTGCTAAAGAAGAGAAACAATACTTACTTGAAGAATAAAAGAGAAATCAAGTATTCTAGTAAGAATTATGGCTACTAGAGGTAGAGTAAAAGAAATAATAAAAGGAGGATGCTTACCTAGTAAAGGAGGTAGATTATTAGCTTTAAAATAACTTCCAGCAGGTAAAGAAGTCTCTAAAGAAGGTCTCTAAAGCTTTATACTAGCAAAAATCTATAGAAACTAGGCTAACAATATTTATAGAAGTCCTAGAGGCCCCTCTAATAGTAAATTATTAAGGCCGCGAGATCCGGCTCCTACAGTACTTTTAGACTAATTAAAAACTATATATAGAGTCCTAATAATAACTATATTTATCCACTAAAAGATCACACGATAATAATAATTATATATGGTTGAATTACTTCATATTCAATATTACTAGTAGTGGTGAAATCGGGCGTCAGGTGGGACCGGGCGTCAGGTGATCACCGACTGTATCTGTCAACTTCCTGTTTGGGCTGTTTGTTTATCCTCCACCCCCCGTGACGCTCAGCAACGATCATCACAATCATAACAAGCCGTGCGGAAGACGACGAAGCCAGCGACAACTTCCTCAACTTTTGATCTTTGATACGACAAACAGCGTCCTTAGGCGTCGCGCCGCAATATACTCGATTCCAATGTTTTAGGATGAATTTGTGAATTTGCTTCTTTCCTGTCCATAACTAAGCGCCACATTCACCGATATTATTACCCCTCTGTCAAGATGCCTGGTCGAGTTTCCGCCCGTTCGACGTCTACTACCACCCGTAGACCTTCCACGCAAGCTTCAGCTTCGGTTGGTCGTGCTGGCTCTGCGACACCGTCCTTTGCAATTCCGGAGGAGCCTGGGTTGCCTGAAGCCGTTCCCAACTTGCGCCGCGATGTGTGCGCTATTTTCGCAGACGCTCAACGCTCCACGACAGGGCATCGCAAACTTGTGGTGCGACTGAGGAAAATACAAGAGGCCTGCTGTGGTATCCCCCAGAAATCGAACAAAAAAGAAGACAAAAATACCCAAGCGCAAAGGGAGCGCTTGACTCCAAGTGAAGAGACAGTTCCCGAGAGAGAGTTCAATGTGGAAGTTGGGCGTTGCATGCTACGAATCCTCACAATTAAGAAGACCGAGCCGGTTGGAGACCGTGTTTTGCGCTTCCTTGGAAACTTTTTGACGCATGCATCGGAGAAAGATACCGAGATTTTTAATTTGGAAAACGATGATGACATACATAACACCCACGAGACACCCACCGCGCACTTGACGACAAGTATTGTGACACTCATAGTGCCTCTTTTATCAGCAAAAGACAAGATCGTCCGATTCCGATGCACACAGATTATCGCGCATGTCGTCAATTCTCTGGATACCATTGACGATGACCTATACCATACCCTTCGACAGGGCCTCCTAAAGCGGATCCGAGACAAGGAACCCTCTGTGAGGGTACAGGCAGTCATGGGCCTTGGCAGATTGGCCGGAAATGAAGAGGATGAGGATGGAAATGACGATAGCTCTGCTGCCCTTGTGGACAAGCTGGTTGAGATAATGCAAAACGACACGAGCGCGGAAGTGAGAAGAACACTGCTTCTCAATCTGCCTATAATTCCTGCCACTCTTCCCTATCTTCTTGAACGTGCTCGTGATCTTGATGCACCAACACGACGGGCTTTATACTCTCGCCTACTCCCTACCCTCGGAGATTTCCGGCATCTGTCTCTGTCCATGAGAGAAAAACTCTTGAGATGGGGGCTACGTGACCGTGATGAAAGTGTGGCGAAGGCCACTGGGAAGCTGTTTTACGACCGTTGGGTGGAGGATTGTGCTGGAACAAACAGCGATCCCGAAAAGAGTGGTCAACGCTCGCCGCCAAATATCCCCGCCCTCCTAGAGCTTCTTGAGCGAATTGACGTAGTCAACTCGGGCATGGAGTCTGGAATTGCACATGAAGCTATGCGTAGTTTCTGGAATGGCCGTGCAGATTACCGCGAAGCCGTTGTCTTCGACGAACCATTCTGGGAGACTCTCACAGCAGAATCCGCCTTCCTTCTGCGATCTTTCAACAACTTCTGCCGCGTTGAGAACGAGGGAAAATATGAGAATTTAGCTGAGGAGAAAATCCCTGTCGTTACGGCACTGGCATTTTATCTTCACAAATACATGACGGAGCTTCTAAAACGAAAAAAGGCTGCAAAAGAAATGCCCGATGCTAACGAGGACGATTGCGTTGAGATTGAGTTCATTGTTGAGCAATTGCTACATATTGCAATGACTCTTGATTACAGTGACGAGGTGGGCCGACGAAAGATGTTCTCTCTCCTCCGAGAGTCGCTCGCTGTCCCAGAACTACCCGAAGAATGTACCAAGCTCACTGTTGAAACCCTGCGATGTGTTTGTGGGCCAGATTCTGCTGCCGAGAACGAATTTTGCAGCGTTGTCTTGGAAGCTATTGCTGAAGTCCACGATACTATTACCACAGAAGATAGCTTCGTGTCTGCAAAGTCTGAAATAAGCGATGATACCAACAGCCGCCATCGATCTGAAACCCCAATGAGCGAGGAAGAAAAACCGTTCAACAAAGAGGAAGCGAAGGCGAAGGTCCTCCGCGAAATCGTGGTCAACATGAAATGTCTTCACATTGCTCTTTGTATGTTGCAAAATGTTGAAGGCAACCTCCAGGCCAACATGAACCTGGTTACTATGCTTAATAACCTCGTTGTTCCTGCTGTCCGGAGTCATGAAGCTCCAATTCGAGAAAAAGGTCTAGAATGCCTTGGCCTTTGTTGCTTGCTTGATAAAGTTAGTCCGCCCCCTCCCCCCCCAGCTTATAAGATTACATCTACTAACCGTTTTGAGCAGACTTTGGCTGAAGAAAACATGACGCTCTTCATCCACTGCTACAGTAAGGGCCATGAAGCCCTGCAAGTCACTGCTCTTCATATCCTGTGTGATATGCTCACGAGTCATCCCACGTTGCTGGCCCCTGTGACGCAGTCTGACAAGGAAACCGTGTCCCCTCCTCCGTTCCAGAAGCCATTGCTCAAGGTCTTTGCTAGAGCGCTCAAAGCAAGCTCGCCACACACCGTTCAAACTGCTGCTGCCACGGCCCTTTCCAAACTCTTGCTCACAGGGGCATTTACCCCATCTGGGACTAATATCCCCCCAGTCATTCAGGAGTTCAACCAAAACGCCATAGAGACATTACTCCAGTCACTGGTCGTTTCCTTTTTCCACCCCCGTACCCGCGAAAATCCTGCTCTCAGGCAGTCCTTAGCCTATTTCTTCCCCGTGTACTCCCACTCCCGACCCTTGAACACACAACATATGCGGAAGATTACCGTACCAGTTGTTCGGGCTATTCTAAATGCGGCAGAAGAATACTATTCACTCGAAGCCGAGGAAGATAGTGATGGCGAGATTGATGAGAGCGTCGGCCAGCGGGAGCTGAAATTGCTAATGAGTGGAGTTTTGGGTATGCTCTCAGAATGGACCGATGAGCGCCGGGTGATTGGACTTGGGGGGGAGAGGCTTCTGGCAGGCGGTCCTCCCAGCTCCAATGCATGCGGATTTATCCATCTAGAGTTGATCAAGGACATCCTGGAGCGCGTTCTAGGGATTAGCAGTGGCTCTAACCGCTGCTCTAAGGAGGAGAAGAAGCTTCTGTTCTCCCTCATGAGTAAACTCTATGTAGCCCCTCCAACCGCACCGTCCCGCTCGGCATCCCATAATCCGGAAAACGACGATCCGTTCCGCTCCAGCATTCGAAGTGCCCAGGGAGAAATCACGCAGGAGAACGCGTCCTTGGCTCAAGAGGTCAAAGAGCTGTTGGACCAGACCATCGAGGAAGGCATTGCAATCGACGCTTCCGGCCGAAATACCCTTGTTAAAGTCAAAAATGTTATACTCAAGCTACTAGCAGTAGCCCAGGGCTCTCGGCATGCCAGCGCTAGGGTCCGGGAAGGCACCGCAGAGACCGAAAGCGATATGATGAGTGTCCGTTCTGCGAGCGTGCGGTCCCGCAGTGTACGGCCTTCTGTTGAGCCAGGCACCTTCCGTCGGGGGTTCTCTGTTGAGCCTAGCATCATGGAAGAGGACGAGGATAGTCGGATGACTTTTATCAAGTCTGAGGCCATTGAGGAAGAGTAATTTATACTGCTTTCTATGTCTTGTTTTGATTCCAGGCGTTGGTAACAGGCTGGTTTTGTGGGCTGAACGACTGGGTATGTCTGGGCTGGCTGGGTTGCAATGTAATTACTTGGTTGTTTGGTTATGATTGGAAATGATGACTTTCTCAGAGTGCAGTCTATGGATTCTTTCTGTAAAGAGCAGCGGATGCTTCATGATATAATTTTGTTGAACTCGAGGCGTTTATTATACCATTAACTGGCAAACCCTGGCAAAGCAACCCATCATGACAGATATTCATCTTACAGTTTTCGTAGGTAAATGAAGTAAACTGACTTAGAATTTCTATCACATTTATCATGATGCGCTTTATAGATCCCTACGTAGAACGCGAAGTTGAGCCCTAGAACTCCTCATCTAGGATATGATGAGAGCAAAAGGTCAGCGGAATAGCGTAACCCGCGCATTAAGCCTCAGCATCATCGGTGGAATCGTAGATACAGCCGATCTTCACGTAACAACGCAGTTCCCCAAGGCTTGCCCACTCCGACTCTGATACGTATTCGTCAACATGAGCAAAATGCGTGTGCATCCCGGGATGTGCCCATATTCCCCTAAGAGGAACGGAGCATCCGCTGAAGGATACTGCTTATACATGCTTGAAATCTATCAGTTGTGTATAGATTTTTTTTCATCAAACCAACAGACACCTTATGAGAAAGCTTGTAGTTTCATTTCCCGATCATTCTGGAATTGAAATCTGAGGGTGAGTTCTCGTAGTTATTCGGTGGTGATCTGGCATATGCCAGCTACACTTGTATGCCAACGAACCCTAATACACTGCTCAAGTACGGATACGAATCACTCTCCTCCGTACTCCGTGCATTGGCTGAGAGCAGCCGAGTGTGACAAAAATAATCCTTGCTTCTTCAACGCGTCAGTTCTAAAGCAAATGGGGAGCTGGGAATATGAAAATGCTTCAATAACGGTGTGAAGTAAGGATTTTCAGACTCTCTTGCCTTCTCTCCACAGTGGATCCGAGATTATTGTAAGATTTTGGGCTTACAAGTTGCCAGGCAGTGCGTAGTATCTTTGGACAGACAGATATGCAGTAAGGTAATAGTCTATGTCGCATTCCACAAGGAGCAGATGTGATGTATGTATGTAGATGATAACCGACATAAATACACCGCAAAATGCTGCATGAAGAAGAGAGAGACTCGGCATTTAATGTACTCCGTATGTAGTCCTACTGGCAAGCCGGGCTTTGCGGCGAGAGATATTGGACGTGAAGGATTTATCCTAACGCAAGCAACTATAACCACCTCGTATGATTGCACCGTTACAACCCGGTTATATATACATCTCTATAAACAAATATGGATCCATTCAGCCTGTAATAAACCAAGCTTCCCTATCTAGTACGACTTTCCAAAAGAGTTGGTTGCATGTGGTCCCCTTGCTGATGGATGTCGGTCTACAATGCATGATCAGCCCCAGCTGATGTTATTGCGGACTGACAGCCAACCCAGAGAATTTGATCCCATAAAAATACAAGACTTGGGTAAGCTGTAGGCCAAGGGGGCCGAATAAGCCATGCTCACCTTCACATCACCCGATTATATTCAGTTGATTCTCCTAGAACCCCAGGACATCTGCTGAAAACCACAGCATGCTATGCTTTGCGCACCGACTGGACCCAGCTGTCCAAAGCCTTCAGAGGCATATAGAGAATGATGCAGAGTTAATCCAGCTGTTTGGAAAGGCGTTCAGTGAGATTCCTGAAGAGTTCCTGGAGGATTCTGAGGAACATGGACATGCACGCATTCGAAACTACAGCTCCTTAATAACTGCGATTGACCAAGCAATCAAGACAGTGCCTTGGTGGAGCTCAATCGCTGAAACGCAATGTATCATCGCTTTTCCTATAAATGAAGCAATGGTACTGTGAACTGTTCCTTTCGATCCTCGCCAACGCAGTGGACTGAACCACTAACCTCTCCTAGATCTGGTTCATGAATACCCGAACAGGGTCCCAGATTCTCAGCCGCAAAGACATCAATGCCCATTTTCTCGCCATCCTCCAAAAATGGGGCCAATATCTCTCATCGCCGGACTCTGCTACCGCCATTCACGATCGGGAGAGCGGCTGGGTGTCCAAGGGTGCCCTGAAGGAGCTGTTAGAAGTGGTCAACAATGCCCATAACACTCCTTTCCAAGCCTCGTCTTTCGAGGAAGCGTTTATCTGTGAGCCTTCACTGCCATCTTACGGCTTTCGGTCCTGGGACGACTTCTTCACTCGTCAGTTTCGACCCCCAATGCGGCCGATAGCATCCCCAGAGGACGACCGCATTATCATCAATCCCTGCGAGTCGCAACCATTTGCACTCATGAACGACGTCCCCGCCGAAACCCAGTTCTCACTCAAGGGGACGACGTATTCGCTGCAGGGCATGCTCGACAATGATCCCCACGCGTCGACATTCCCCGGAGGCACGGTCTTCCAAGGCTGGCTATCGGCATTCAGCTACCATCGATGGCATGCCCCAGTGGCAGGAACCGTCGTGAAAGTTCTCCAAATCCCAGGAACCTATTTCGCTGCGGATCCCTCCAAGGGCTTCGAGAACATCGATCATTCCACCGGGAGACCCAGCCCCGATCGCCAAGCGCCCGATGCCTCGCTGCAGATGATTGCATCCATTGCAACCAGAACCGCGATCTTGATCCGCGCAGACAATGAGGCCCTGGGCACCGTGGGGTTCCTTGCCATCGGCATGGCGGATGTATCAAGCTGCGTGTCTACGGTTTCTGCTGGAGACCATGTGTTCAAGGGCCAGGAAATCGGCAGTTTCCATTACGGGGGGAGCTCCTTTTGCTTGCTTTTTCAACCAGGCGTGAACTTGCACTTTTCGCCTTTGGTGGACGCTTCCCTGGCCCGTACAATAGGGATCACAGGCCGGTGTATCGCTGTGAATAGCCAGCTGGCATCGTTGTAAGTCGACAACTTCACTGTTCCAGGATTGTTGGAATTCGGTTGTGGATATAGTTGGGTATTATGAATGTGCTTGAATCCACGTATTGGGCCAAAAAGTGTTAATAGGGCGTTAATTAGACTATCTTAAGCCTGGAAACGACATCTATGTGTTTCTCTATCTCTTTCATATGCTCATTATTTATTGATCGTTTTTCTTTCGCTGGATTTCCAAGAGCCACAGGTTGGCCTTAAGAACGAGATACAACGGATTTGATACCAAGCGAAAAATCTTAGTGACATATATGGGGATGCCTACGCAGTGGTGCTAATTTTCTTTAACGTGATTCATTAAAATAGCTGCCATATAGACCAGCTACGGTAGCCAGTCAAAAAAAAAAAATCACAGTGAACAGAGCAAAGTGTCCGGACTATTCACAAATAATGCCACGGCGGAGCAAAAGCTCTTCACCAGACCTTCGGCATCTGCCTTTCCTCCAAACTTGCTGGATAGTATAAGAACCGCATACAGGGAATCCTGTTCCGGGTAAGTATAAAGGTATATGGTCCGTTCCGGGGGGTTGTCGACGCTATGCGCGGAAACTCGCCAGACAGCTTCGCCAACTTGTGCAGCCGGACTGGCGTTGATATTCTCGTGCAGGACAATCGAGTCAATCTCCGTATCACTGTGCCACTCCGTACAGTTGGAGACGATATCCGTCCATTCCAGCGTTTGGTACTCCAGGGACGCTATGTGCTGGTTCTGCACAGCACCCAGGAGATCCCTCACCGTCCAGGAGGCGTCGTATTTCACCCGCACGGGAATAGGGTTCAAACACGGCCCAAGGATTTGCTCTGGCTCGGGGACGTCGACGTAACGGCAGTTGACCATCTGGCAGAAGGTGAGGTCGTCTTTGCCGGTTTTCTGCCAGAGGACGTACGACCAGGCTGCCTTTACCACGGTAGCCCAGGTTGCGCCCGAAGGCGGCGGAATGGCTATGGGGATGTCTTGCGCGGCCACTACACACGCCTCCTCTTGAGTATGGTCCATTGACGGGGTAAGAGGAAGGCTTGTCGGTGTCGAGCCGGCCAGGAGGTCGCTCCAGAATCGTAAAGCTCCCTCGGTACGCATCTCGGCGCATTTTCGAACATAGTCCGCGTAGGTACTTTGGATCCTGAGCGGCTGGTCTTCATACAACTTTGCGAAATCCTGTAGAATATTCTCCAAGCAGAGTCCGTCAAATTGGGCATGGCTGATCCGCATAATAAGCGTATGTTGTCGGGTCCGGTCATCCTGTAGTAGTATAAACTTCAAGAACGGCCCATTCGTTGGAGCGGGCGTTTTGCGGTCGTCTGCACATTGAGAATGCGCCCACATATCAGGATCATAGCTATCTGTGGATGCTGTGAAGGCCTCCCATGGAACTTCCACATTTCGCAAAACAACCTGCACGTGCTCGTCTTTGACGCGTGCAAAGATGGTCCGCAGCATGGTATGGCTTTTTACCAGGCTTTCACAAGCCCGGCGTAGTTTGACCGGGTCAAGTAGCCCTGATATCCGGATAAGCAGGTAGTCTATTATCCGGTACTGGACGAGGAACAACTGTGCCTCACGCACTGGAGCAATGTCTTCGATCATATCAGTGGTCAGCGTCTGGGGGAGATCATGCAAGAAGTCTTCTCTCAGCGAGTTAAAGGGGTCCGGATCTTTTCTAATAGGAACGGGCTTGACATGCAACGAGCGAGAATCTTGAGCGCAATTTGCGAGTGAGGTTAGGTTGGCTTGTTGAAGGCAATCGGCAACTGTGATGGAAAGTCCCTCTGCTCGTGCAAATGTTACCATCTGGCGTGCTGAGAGCGAATCTCCCCCTAACCCTAGAAAATTATCGTCCATGCCGATCTCTTCAGGTTCTATGGACAAGACCCTTGCACACACGGACTGCAAGGTTGCTTCGGTTATTGTGCTCGGGGCCCGGTAGACCTTGGGGAGAGTCATATAGGCCAGGATTTCTTTTCGAGACAGTTGTGAAAGTGTCTCGGCCAATAGTCTCCGATGAAGCTTCCCTGAAGCTGTCCGGGGGAGACTCTCAACCGATATGAAAGAATTCGGTATCATATACGTAGGCAGTCCCTTGCTCAGCTGATCCAAGGCCCGTTGCGCATGGTGTAGGAACTTTTTATCCGGTGGAAGGAGTCTGCATATATTGGGGGTTCCATCACTTGGAGAAGCACGGCTTGGAATAACAGCGACTAGCATGCCATACTGAGAGTCACTATCGCTCGGGCGAACGATCTCCGCAACCACATGAGGCACTTGCGGAAACTGGCTGCGTAAATGATATTCGACCTCAGCGAGTTCAATTCTCTGACCGCGGATCTTAACTTTCCCCCCCTTGCGCCCCCGGAACTGGAACGATCCATCAATCGGACTGCGGGAAAAAACATCGCCGGTCTTCAGAAACCGATTCGGTGTATCCATACCTACCTGGCGGGCCCACGCAGGATCTGCGATGAATGTTGTCGTTGTTTGTTCTGCGTTGTTCACATAAGACCTTGCCAGGCACGGTCCTTGAAGAACCAGCTCCCCTTCCGCTCCCAGAGGCATCAATCGATTATGGTCCATCGAGTCAACAATCCATCCAACCGCAGAGCCTGGGTGGCCAAGCGTAGATAGATCCTCTGGCCCAAAGATGCGTTTGGTCATGATGGGACTGCCGCACTCAGACTGTGCATACATGGAGTATAACGCGACCTTCTCCGCCCATTTACTTATTTCCAGCCGTCCTATTGCCTCGCCCACAAGAAACAGGGTCTCGATACTTGGGGCATTTTGGGGCTCGATGACTCTGGCCACAGATGGTGTGATCATAGCCCAAGTAACTCCAAGCTCGCAGATTGCCCTCTCCACGTCATTTTCCAACTGGTCTTCAGATGGTATACATAAGCAAGCTCCTCGGGTCAATGTTACTAAATGCTCCCACATGCAGGCACTAAAGTTGTATGATGTCGATTGAAGCACCCGAGACTCTCTGCTAAGCCCAGAAACGTCGTGACCGCTGGTAAACGCGGCGTGGTCCGTCAACACCCCTTTGGGCGTTCCAGTTGAGCCCGAAGTAAAGCCCACATGTAAGGTGTGATGATGGCTCTCAACCGTAGATAATATCGGAGAATTTGGGTTCTCTGAGGTCTCATCGAGGGCTCCAAGTCCCATATCCTGGATGATCATCACAGGGGGTCCAAGGAGGGAAGCTTTAACAGAATGTCGCCTTGAGGCAAGGATTAACTGAGGCGTCGCTAAGTCACATAGTGTTGCAAGCCGATGGGCTGGCTGGGAGGGATCCAGCAGTGAAAACCCTCCCCCGGCCTTTAGGGACGCAAGAATGGCGACAGGTGTCCACTTCGACTTCTCAGACATGATAAAGACAAGCTTATCTGGTCCAACATCGACCCTGGACAGCTGCTCCGCAATGTAAGACGCTTGCTTGTCAAGTTCGCCGTATGAGAGCTCTCCATCCCATGCGCAAATGGCTGGCGCAAAGGGCCGCTCCCTACAATGACGTTCAACCAGATGATGAACGCATTCCGTGCATTTTTCTACCTCATTCAGCTTATTCCACGCCACATTCTTTTCCAGATCTTCGGGGTTGCTGGCTTGTATGTCTACCAGACGTGCTTCCAGGTTTGTGCTGACCTGACCAAGAGTAAATGCAAATTGGTGAAGTATAGATTCTACCAGCTCATAACATACAACACCGGAGTCAAACATTGCATGAACTGCCACCCTTTGATTGTCTAGGCCGCATGTCAAAACAAGAGGGTAACTGGAGCTAATTTGGCTAGTTAATATGGCCCTGGTCTCTTCCAGAGCCTCCAACGGCCGGATAACCAGAATATTGTGGAAGTCGCAAATACGAGTAGCCTCCGCACTCGTAGTGCGCAGATTATCCAGCCCCTGCTGCTCGAAATGACGACTTATATTCCAATATTGGTCCACCGTCTCCGATGCAGTCCTTACCACATCCTCGGGCTGCAGGGTGAGATGACAAGGGACAATGGCATCGGCACCCTTGTTCTTACCCTCTCTGTCATCTAAGAGTCCAAAAAGCACGTCGAAAGAGTTGGTATAAAGGGCGAGAACCAGTGCCCAGCTCAGGCACAAATTGGTGGGCAACGCGGCCTCGGAGCTGTCATGTAAGAGGACTTTTTTCATCTGGTCGTTGAGTGAAGATCTGTAGGAGTCGGAGGGCAATGGTGGAAACCTCACCCCGTCAAACTCCATAAACCTACCCCCCAGTGTCAACTTCGCCATTGTATGATTCTGTTTAGGGTTGGGTGATTTGGGTGTGGCCGTCACTGTCGGCTCTCTCGGGTTCGCCTTTCGAGAAGGCTACTTTGTAATCTTTCTCGGAGAGTTTGCCAGTATAGCATGTGGTTTCAGGCAAAAAAAAAAAAAAAAAAAAAGTCAGCAGCAATGAAGTCCAATTTATATCACATTGCCAATTAGGGTATGTGGTACTATAATTCACATAAGCCCTGTAAGGCTCAATCCTCCCTACATGTCTAATTCCCCTTAGAGGCTACAGCATATGAAGGAATTCGAGCTGAAGAATATGATATCAAACACGGGCTTTATCCAAAGCCCCTTGCTGATGCATATGACACTTGCTATAGAGAGAGACCATATACTGGAGCCAACAGGCCCATATTTTCTGTTACACACTCGGATCTCACCGCTATTCTTAGTTGAATATTATCCAGAGGTTTTGACAACGATATTGATCTGCAGGTAGCTTGTCCTCATTGATTGTACACCAGTAAGATGATATGGTCGAGAGTGACGATTGAATCTAAAGACAATTTCTGCAGACATAGTAGCATGATGGCAACTTGGGCATTAGTTACCATCCCCTGCTTAATCACAGGCTGGGATACTACGTTAGTAGATCCTTTCACTGGCTACCAGTCAGACATACTATGAATGTGTTGACTTCGTACCGCATACACAAAGATCAGCAGCACTATCTACAATCCAGCATCATTCTGAATACTAGAAGCGGTGTATCAACATTCTCTCCAGAGATGATAGTGGAATAATAACTAATGTGTCACCGTCTCTCCTTACGTCTAATAGCGCCATCTTATGTTGCGTCTCTCTACTTAGTCCTACCCGTCAGTATGTTTCTGATTCAATGACTGGCGCATACCAAAAGATCTGGTTCTCTCATCGTAGACCACCACTACTCACCCTGGAGAAGCAAGAAGTTATAATCTCCGTCAGTATCCCCGGATTATTGTCTACAGATTTCAAAGCCATCATATTACGAAACGATCCCCCTAGCCGTGCTCCAGGCCACCCATCATAATCAACAGTATGGTGGGCTCTATCGGGGGTTCTCACCACGACCCGCAGCTAGCAGCTGCCGTTTCCAGCAATGAAGCAGCCGACATGATTACTCTGGACTACTCGAAGCTGCTCGGGTCTCCTACTGAGCGGCGCGAGGCACTTGGCCAGCTTGACCACGCCTTTCAGACCTACGGTTTCATCTACCTTGCAAATCATAGCATCTCGCAGGCACTTTTCGACGAAGCATTTGAATGGATAAGTCCCCCATCATGTCCAGTTCCATATTATTCTCGGGGATAGGCTGACTGGGTGTATACTCCAAGCGCTTCTTCGATCTCGAATCTAGCACCAAGAACTTGATTGCTCGTCCGCTCAGTAGCGCGTTGGAAGACCACACAGGGTACGCAGAGTACGGAGTCGGACACATTAGCCAGCTGGTCTTCGAAGACAAGGAGGTGGAAACCCACCAGGCCGCGTCCCCCGACCACAAGGAAACGCTGGAAATAGGCAACCCGCATGAAGGGCCCAGTAGTGGCACGAATCGCTGGTTGCCGGAGGATATCTTTCCAGGGTTTCGCAAGTTCTATGAGGTGTGGTGGAACGCATGCACCGAAGTAGAGAAATCCCTCCGGCAGGCTCTCTGCGCGATTCTCGACATCGAACCCGACAGCCTCTGTCGGAAACAGACCCTCAACTTCGGCCATGTGAGCTTTCTTCACTACCCAGCCATGGTCCTGCAGCCGCAAAGCGGGGGGGAAGCGCGGCGACTTAACGCCCACACAGACTACGGCGTTTTAACGCTTGTCTTCCAGGACGCCGTCGGTGGATTAGAGGTCCACGACGGACATGTTTTCAGACCAGTCATACCCAAACCCGGAACGATCGTTGTAAACCTTGGCGATATGCTGGAACGACAATCGAATGGGCGGTGGAAAAGCGCGTTGCACCAGGTGGTTGCTCCTAGGAAGGAGACGATGCAGGAGGGGTTTGTGACCGCGAAGGCTGTTCTAGACAGGTACTCAATCGCGTATACCGGAGCCGTGGACCCAGAGGAGATTATTGAGACATTGCCGGGATGCGAGGTGCCAGGACGGTGGAAGCCGAGTATGGCTGACTGGGACAGGGAGAAACCGGTAACTTCATACGAGTGGCTGCAGAAACGAGTGGCCGCAGAATACTTTCAGGGTTCGGAGGGGTCAAATGAAGGATAGTGGCATGTTTATATAGTATCCATGTTCAGTGAGCACCTGTAGTAGAGGGAGAAAGACAACTACAAGCCAGATAAATCAAAACTAACAGTAGTAGCCAACTAGGCTTCATTCTATTTCTTGTTCTCTGTACAACACTCGGGATGAGGCTGCTAGCCAAGTTGACACTTGGGTAACAAAAAGTTATACTGGAGTAGTTAGATGAGAAATAGCATCGCACATTGATTTTATTTGATGGGATAAGGCTCGTCAGCAGAAGCCCTAACTAATGAATGTACTATTTAAGATATTCAAAGAAATGAATTGCCAAAATAGGGTGTTCTACTAGAGGGAAATGGTCTCCTAACTTGGGAAATTCCCGTGTCCATGATGGATGACAGGTTCTATTGTCCTAAACATAGGTGTAAAAACCAGGGGAACCGGATTCTAATATGAAATGAAAGCGTATATCTTTGTTAATATATAGCCTTGAAGTTGACCCCTCCTCCCTATTCTGAATCAGCCGGCTGCAGAGCGAGAATTTACGGCATGCTTGCTTCAACAATCCAGGCAATGTAGTCCATACTTACAGTGATAACAATAGTCTGGCAGCAAAGATTACAGCCTCATGTCTGTCAAAGATAGTTGTTATATCATGTTGTTTACTCGTCAAATGGCCCGACGCAAGGAGAATTGCATATCATTATCCCAAGGGGTTACATATTACGAGGCCGCAGTTTGAGGCTTTGCCCTTATTTCTACCTCGTCTTCCATTTTTACCGTTGATACTTGACGTAACATGGCTGAAGCATTAAATGCAATTTAGAAAGATCATGTAGCTTGCATTGGTTCTCCTGCAAGGCCTTCAATAATTTCGTATAATCAACAAATCCTCCAATGTTCTCCACAATATTCGCTGTTCTGGCAATCAGACTCGACATCCCATACCGGAGATGCCCCCCTAGATCATATTAAACCGTATTAGAGGTATGCCGGATCCAGTCAGCAAGCAAGGGATCCACCGATGTTATGGTCAATTTGAGCTGCTGGTTCTAGAAAGACTGTAGTTTCAATGATATAATAATAAGATAGCTGTACAAGGTAACTCTTGTTATGTCAAGGCTATATTTCTGGAATTTCTCCTAACGCGTACCACCTTGGGTCCTATACAGATCTTTCACTTTTCTGTCAGGGTTGTCCTTGATCCCTCATAAACTGGCCGTCCACATCGAGTCTGTTCCGCTGAGGTGATCTATGGCAAAGGCGACGACGGCATGCGTTCCATGGTCAGCCCATCGTGATAAACACCAAAGACCGCCCTGGCTACTCAAGGGGAGGTCCTCCGTATCATTCATCACATTTGTGGCCTCCTTTGCGGTGTTTACCGTACGTATCCATGAAGCCCTAACTGAGCCACGTATGGAATTAATAAAAGGGCTGACAGGAGTCATAACAGGACAGTTTCCTATATGGACTGGTAGGCTCTCCCCATGTTTACGTATACTTAGTATCTACCTATCTCGGAACTGATATCAACTAATAAATCTTCCCCTAGATTGTTCCTGTGATACCCAGTGCACTGAATGAGCGGCTTCATGTTTCTGCGAATGACGGTATGTTTCATACTTTCCGTGCCACTGGTTACTATCTATTTATGTTGCTGATAGATTGTTATTATCATCACAGAACAAAAATGGACATCCATCTTGCTAGCATTGTATGGCGCTGCCCAGTTTTCCTTTGCACGTGAGCATAGATTCCATTTATTGTAAAAAATATCTGTTTCCTAGTCATCTCTAATCTCATCTGTGCAGCGCTCAATGGCTACCTCTCTGATCGAATTCAATCAAGATGGTGGCCCATGGTAACTGGCGTACTCATCCTAGGTGCGGGCACCGCCTTATTGTGCGCGGGCACCAACATCGGCCTTTGGATAGCAGGCCGGATACTTCAGGGGGCGGCCGCCGCGATTGTTTGGACCGCAGGATGTGCTTTACTGGCCGATACTGTGGCCGATGAGCAGCTGGGCCATGCTATGGGCTATATTAGCACGGGCATGACACTCGGGAATCTAACGGGCCCTTTAGTCGGGGGTGCTGTGTATGAACACGGAGGCTATCATTCAGTCTTCATCGTAGCGTTTGCTCTGATCGGTGTGGATATGGGTCTTCGGCTTGTAATGATCGAGACGAAGCAGGCTGTGAAATTCCTCCACACCCCAGCTGAGCAAACCACAGTCCAGAGCGAATCTGCAGCGATTGCGGAACCCCCAGCGGTCTTACCGGAAAACGGACCCATTGCAGGCAAGCTTGAGCCCCCATCTCGAGATGGTGGTGGATCGGAAACTCCAGCTTCACGCGCCAGTCTAAAGGCTGCTTGTAGACTTCTGTCGTCTCCGCGTATACTCGTGGTCATATGGACCTGTGTTGTGGTCTCAGTTATTATATCTGCTTTTGATAGTGTCTTGCCACTTTTTGTCCAGGATACATTCAAGTGGGCGCAGACTGCGCAAGGGCTTATATTTATCCCATTCGTTATGCCGAGTCTTCTGGGTCCCTTGGTTGGTTGGGTTAACGACCGATATCCCAAGTTGAGACGTTTTCTGGCAGGAGGTGCCTTGCTTATAAGCGCGCCTCCCTGTCTGCTTCTCCGTCTAGTTTCTGGTAATGATATAGGGCATAAGGTACTGATGTGTGCATTGCTGGTAGTGCTTGGTATGGGCATGGCTGTTCTATTCCCGCTTGTTCTAGCGGAAAATTCCTATGCGGCTTCAGAACAGGCACAGGAGGCGCCATCTACATTTGGCGAACAGGGGGTAATGGGGCTCGCATATGGATTCGCAAATTCAGCCTACGCTGCTGGCTCCATAGCGGGCCCTTTCCTTGCTGGTTTCATCCGGGCAAGTGCTGGCTGGGGCACCATGACATTAGTCTTGGGCTTGCTGACTGGAGTCTCTGCTCTTCCTGTTCTGTTATATTTCGGGGGGTTCAAATTCTGCAATAAAGGCAAAGGGAAGCCTTAGTATGCAATTGAGGACCAAACTGTATTATGTTTTCTGTTCATTTCCAACAAGGCCGGTTTCCTGTCCACCGTCCATTCACACTCCAGATCTTAGTGCTTGGATTTTGGTACGAAAAGACACTGGACTTTACTACTTAATATAGATGCATAAAGCCTTCTGATTGTCAGGCATGAAGAGGAATGAAATCTGCATTACCTGTGATCGCAGACTGATGCAGAAATTTGTATTGGTACGATTCATATCTACTAGCATAAAACTTGGTATTTCTTGCTTCTCGCGCTGGGAATGAAGGTGAATTGCTGAGCTTATTGCACAGGCTAACCTCCCAGTCTATATTGCTCCTTCTTCTGGATCCTGGAAAGGATTAACCCCGATTCCTAATATTACATTGGAATCTTTAGCTGCTAACGTCAGGGGGGAAGACAAGGACGGGTTCCTACGATGGCTCCGACGGGCTTTGCAATGGAACCCTTCTGACCGACCGACAGCTCTGGAGCTCTTGTATGATGAGTGGTTGATGAAGGGCCTTGAGCAAGGGAAACGAGAAGGGGCCATTAAACCTTGATTTGCCTTTTTTTTTTTTTTTGTACGGCTTTAGTGAAACGGGTGCCAGACTTGTACTACATCCAGCGGAACCCAATCTCGTCAAGCCAATTCCGATCAATTATCACTTCCGTGCTCGCCGCAAGTGACGATATGAGCTATCAAAGTCCCTTCAAACATAGAGGCTGGACGAGTCCAGACTGACTGACTCTCCACCATGCAGGAAAGCGATCTAGACGCAAGTATGGAGGATACAGACAACATATACAGAGTACGGGATAAGAAACAGCAATATAGTTAATGTCTCCTATTTAAGCTATCTTAGATATTCAAAGAGACTAATTGCCCAGATAGGGGGTGTTCTAGGGGGAAATAGTCTTATAACTTGGGGAATTCCCGTGGCCTCTTAGTCTATGATGGATAATAGATTCTATTATCATAAGTATAGGTATAAAAACCAGGGGAATCTGGAGTCTAATATAAATCAAAGTATATATTTTTATTAATATATACCTTTAAAGTTAAAATTCTCCTCCCTATTATAAATTAGCTAGCTATAGAGTAAGAATCTACAGCATCTTTGCTTCAACAATCCAGATAATGTAGTCCATACCTATAGTAATTTCAACTGAAACAACAATAAATCGTGCAGCAAAGATTACGGCTTCCTGTCTGTCGAAGATAGTTGTAGCTGTACAAGGTAACTCTTCCTTCAATAAAGACAAGAGGAGCCTTAGTATCCAATTCAGTGGTATTTTAACATGTTGAATCTTGAAATGCTTAGAGCTAGGGTTATGTCATCTGTAGTAATCATCACCATTTGCTTTAAACCATCCATCATTCATATATTCTACTGACTATACTAGAATTGGTCCCTGGGAAGAGAGTGTATTTTGTATTCCTCTCACATACTACTGGCAGAATACTTGTATTCCGCTGGTCTTCTAGATATAGAATATCCACAAATAGCACCGGAGCAGATGGGGCCACTTTTTCTATTATAGATGAGGCATATACAGAGTACGGCGGCTAGTTAGTTAGTTAGTTAGTTATGCAGGATAGTAATGACTAACCCGCTGTTCCTGGCTGTCAATTCATCACTTGAATCTGCAGCATGCACGGATGAAACTATAGGATTCTTTTCCGAGGGATGGATTGTTCTAGGTGAGGAGGTGGGCAGGTCAGAGAAAATCCCAGGCGGCTGAATCACCCAGCCATCCTATTTAACTATGTATTCAATCCTTTTCTGGATTTCTACTCGGTAGGTGCTTTATGCACATTTAAAAACCCTAATGAGAGTACCTATGGTCCTATGTATGTCTACGAGTCACAGACCATGGTCGCCTAGAATCACGTTTTTCTTGTTGGCGTATTAGGGGATGTATTCTTGCAGGCACGAACCAGCGCGTTCCTTCGGATGTGGAGCCATCTTAGCACTCGGGCGTGAAAGAATCCGTTTTTTTTTTTTTTTTCTTCATTTCCTCGACTGAAATTTTCAGACTCAAGTTCTAGGAGGATTTCTCATTATCGGAAAGAAGCCGTTGTATAGTAGTAGTAGTAGTAGTCATGTCCCTGAATGATTGAGGAGATTTTATATGAAGGTCGAGGATACATCAAAGATACGAACAACGAGGTAAGATACTGTATGGAATTGCCTCATGAGCCCATACCTCCCCCCATTCTTCCCGCTGGTTTTATAATCTGATATAATTTTTTTAATCCATGGATTCTATTCTATGTACTTGGATTGATGGCGAAACCCCTCGATATACACCAGTCATTATTGTAGGTGACCTCTGTCGTGTTTAGAAATTTCTCTCTCCAATTCTCCGTCAGCCGCCAGGATGAAATGAAATATCAGCGTATCGGCAACTCCTGGATGGAGGATGGAAAGAACATCCTGTAGCAAGACAGACTGTAGATTGAAGAGAAATCGAAATGAATGAGTTATGGATGTAACTAAATAGCTAAATAGCTAAATAGCACTTACTAGTAGTAGTTAACTTACCCAGTCCCAATTTCTTCTCTTCCCCTCAAACCCGAAACTTTTCTTTTTAATCTCGACGCTTCACCAAAAACGAACGAACTGGTTTTCTGCTTGACGTTCGACTTTCTTTTTCCTCTCCCCATCCATCCTTTTCCTCTTTCTTTTCCTCTTTCCCTTCCTCCTCCTCCTCCCTCCCCTTCTCCTTCTTTTCATTGTATGTTTATTTCTTCTCGATTCACGACACCTCTTTCCCCCTGGTCGTGAATCCGTGTCTTCTGCTGGACTTGCAGAGGCACGATTTTTCCCTTACTTCTCCATTCCTCCTCCTCCTCCCCCTCCCCCTGGCGCCCCGTTGGCCTTACCACCAGCCAACGTCCCAAGAGCCTGAGCGATGGCATCCGTCTCATCTCCCACTCCCAAGCTGGATCGCTATATTGTCATCCATGTTGCAACCACCTGCGATGAACATGGCGTCTATGTCACCAAGGACTCTGCGGAGGTGATCGAGTTGGGGTGGATCTTGTTGGATACCAAGACCTGCGATGAGGTGCGCTTTGATTTCAGTCGTTCAATTCGACTGTCTCCCTCTGCTGACCCCCTCTTTTTTTTTGGTTTTTTTTTTTTTTTCCCCTCTCCTTTTTCTCGTTCTCCAGACTGGGCTCAAGCCCACTGGGGGAAAGCCGGGGGAAATAGGCGAAAATCCCCAAATCAACCACCAACTCAGTTCTTTCCTTCTGTATCTTGCTGACAAGAATTTTGCTCTTTAGCTGCACCGGGAGAGTGTGCTAGTTAAGCCCGTCAACACCCCAATCACGCCGCTCTGCAGTAAGTGCACCACCCATCATACACCGATCCAAAGCGTCCTCACCAAATCCCGCACTTTCCCTTTCCCATCCTCCTCCTTTACCGTATATCTCAGGTGGATAGTTCAATGGCTGATATAATCTTTCCCAGCGAGCTTGACGACTTTGACTTGGGAGCATGTTCGCTCAGCAGGTACCTTCCGCGACGCTATCAACCGGTTCGATGCCTTCGCCCAGGAACATCTCGTCAGCAAAAACGTCGAGTTTGCCTTTGTGACATTGGATTCGTGGGACCTTCGCGTGCAGCTACCACGAGAGGCCCGGGATAAGGCTGTTGTTCTCCCTCCATATCTTCAACATTCGCGCACATTTGACCTCCGCACCGAATACCAGAGATGGCAGACCCACCACCCTGAATCTCTTCCCTTCGGACCTAGCTCCCTCTCTAACATCTGTGCCGCTCTCGAGGTTGAGCCTGTTCAGTCGTCGGCTCCCATCAAACATAACCTTCCCTTCCATTTGCAGGCTTTGGCTCCCGCTTCCCCTCGTCGGGCGATGGATGAATCTGTAACCCTCGCCCGAGTCCTGCGCGGTTTGATCCGCAAGTCTCAGCCCGCCCATGAACATCCTGAGATTTTGACCCGGCCCATGGATGCTAGAGCTGATGTTCGTGCGTTCCTCGCAGAACGTAGCAAGGTGCTCCATCTGAGTGGTCTTCCTCACGACACTACGCAGTCCGAACTAGAGAGCTGGTTCACTCAATTCGGGGGTCGTCCGATTGCCTTTTGGACCCTTCGCACCCCGGACCAGCATAAGCCCACCGGTACTGGTTTTGCGGTGTTTTCCTCCCACGAAGAGGTACGTTGAAGTTCCTTCCCCCCCCCCCCCCCGGCTTTTTTCTTCACGGACATTTACCATGGTTTAAAATGCTAATTTTCTACGTCACAGGCCGCGGAAAGCCTTTGCATGAATGGCCGTGCCCTCAACGAAAAAGCGATCGAAGTCTCTCCTTCCTCCAGCCGTGTTCTTGATCGCGCAGCGGAAATCCTAACGCCATTCCCCCCATCTAAGAACCGCCCTCGACCTGGCGATTGGACCTGTCCCTCATGTGGGTTCTCCAACTTCCAGCGTCGTACAGCCTGTTTCCGTTGCTCCTTCCCCGCTATGGCTGCTGCCCCTGATCCGATGGGATACGGGGCTTATGGTTACGGCCCACCATCGATGATGCCGCCTCACATGGGTCACGGCCATGGAATGGGCCATTCTCGCGGCATGGGTGGCAACGGAGGCGTGGTTCCTTTCCGGGCTGGTGACTGGAAGTGTGGCTCCGAGGGATGTGGCTATCACAACTTCGCCAAGAATATCAACTGCTTGCGCTGCGGTGCTCCTCGATCTGGAGCAGCTGTCGTTGCAGATTCCGCCTTTCCTTCCCCCATGGATCCCCCCTCTGGCTTCAGCATGGGTCACAGTTCGATGAGCAGCACCCCAGCCCCAGGGGCCTTTAGCTCCACCGGAGGCGGATTCAGCGGATTCAACCAGCAGTTTGGAGCCCCTCCCAGTAACTACGGATTGCCGTCCAGCCTGGGAAATACCCCAGGAGCGTACCCTCCCATGGGACAAATGAATGCCGGCTACAGCTCTACCAATGCTTCTCACTCCGCAGCCTCATTTGCGAACCCCGCTACCCAGGCAGCGTTCAGTGGAGCGGACCACGCTTCCTCGACCAGTGCTGCAAACGGTGCATTCTATGGTAATGAAGGCTCTAACGATCCGTTTGCCTTCCTTTCAACGGGCTTGGGCGGACTGACCGTGTCGGATGATACTCATCCGCGTCGCAATGGTGCTGGTGCTAGCAAGTCCCCTGCATAAAGCAATGCTCTGAGCTTGACCTACTACTGGTGCCTCTGGATTTATTGTTTAATTTTCCCGGTATTCCTACATATTATTGTGAATATGGAGATCCGAATATGTTGGTACATGTTTGCTGATGGGTGTTTGTATAAGGGATTCTGCTGTTCTGGTGCATTAGGTTGGGAGGAGCGGGCAGGTAGCGTGTCGTCGTTTTACCCTATTTGATCACCTTTTTCTTTCTTCTGTCATCTATCGCACCCTCGATTTCAGCTCCCCCTTTTCGGTACGTTTTGGTATTGTGTGGTTTTTGTTTGACAGCGATGTTCCAAGGTATAGAAGATGGTTCCGGCAGGCAGGTGCTGGCGGTTTCATCCCTCGATTCCCCGGTTTGGTGTGATCATCGCTTCGTTTTTTTTTTTCTTTTTTTTGTCTTTTTTTTTTTGGCTTCCTTCGGTCGGTGTGGGCTTCACATGTCCATCTCATGCTTGAGATCTTGCAAATGGGGCGCCTTCCCCAATTTTTTTTTTCTTTTCATCACCGCAAGCCCTTATGCGGAGGCTGTCTCAAGCATGGCATTGCATTCTAGATATTGTTTTTTGTTTTCCGAGTTCATCTCTGCGCTCTTCGGCAATAGGAATCATTGGAGAATTACGGTATTGATCACGGATGGGATACAACGGAACGGACTGTGGGGGTGTTGGGGGTATTCCTTTTGAGCCAGTAACGACAGCTTTGGGACATGCGAGGCACACGGATCGGAAATTGTGAGTACAACAAGATTGTTCTGAATGTTCATAATCATTTTCTATTCTCTTACCCCCTTCTCTGTTATCTTTATGTGTTATTTGTGTTTGCCTGCAGAAAAGTCGATGTGTGATTGTGGTTTGCTCCCCTGAGCGACACACTTTTTTGCCCCAGTATATTATTTGAGCGATCATCATCATGTACAGCATTATCTGAAGTGAGCTGCAATATAGCGGCGTCGATTCAAGACCTCGGCTGGATCAATTGCATTAGGTTTGGACAGAAGCCTGCTTAGCGACATGGTATTTCTACTTCGTTTCACACTATCTACATGTCAGTACTACACCATCGACCCGCCTCAGTAGTACCTTGGAAGTCGATTGTATTCTTCCGATGGGATGGATGTGGATAAAGTATACATACAGGGAGATGCGATAGAGTGTCTTAAGGCCCACACCAGCATGACGGAAATACAGTTGCCTCTGGCCTTCCGTTAGTACTGAATCATCTGTCTTGTAGATTTCCCAACTTTACAATGTAATTTATGCGAATTAGGGCCTTTTTCTAGATTTGTTCATCTTATTCAGACCAACTTGGAGATGCAGACGGGATAGCCAGTTAGCCGCGCGCTTGGCATTTGGGGAGCTCTGAGGCAACCGCGGGCCTCGCGTCCACCTCCATCTGTCATCGCCCAAGCTAAATCCCCATTTCCAACACCTTACAACTCCGATACCACGAATTGCATATTCTTTTTGTTCTTTCTTCTCTACTCTGTCTACTCAGTTCTTTTGATTCCTTGGCTGTATTGCTTTTCTCAACCATTTCTGCTACCCATAATGTCCGGATACGATCGAGCTCTTTCAGGTAAGATAGCTTAGGTTCCTGGGAATAGCTGCTTTGCTTCTGAAGGAACCGCTTGTGCTGACTGGAATTCTTAGTTTTCAGGTAGGGAAATTCACTTATCCAGCTGGGGATGCAACAATCTGACCATGCTCCAGCCCTGATGGGCACGTCTTCCAGGTTGAATATGCCATGGAAGCCGTCAAGAGAGGTAAGTGTTTCGCGGATCTCTTTGACTCGGGGAATGAATGTGGCATCAACTTTTCTGATGCTCATCCAATATTTCTTTCTTTTACAGGAACTTGCGCTGTCGGTGTAAAAGGAAAGGATGTCGTCGTACTGGGCTGCGAGAAACGCTCCGCTCTGAAACTCCAAGATACCCGCATTACACCCTCGAAGATCGCCGTGCTGGACAACCATGTCGTCCTCGCCTTTGCCGGACTGAACGCCGACGCTCGCATTCTTATTGACAAAGCTCGTTTAGAAGCCCAGTCACACCGCCTTACTGTCGAGGACCCCGTCACGATCGAATACATCACCAAATACATTGCTGGCGTGCAGCAGCGGTACACACAGAGCGGAGGTGTTCGGCCCTTTGGTATCAGCACCTTGGTTGTTGGATTTGACCCGAACGACAAGACACCTAGGCTATACCAGACAGAGCCATCGGGTATCTATTCTGCGTGGTATGTTGTTGCATGTCTGATGGCGTTGTGTGGATGAAGACGAAGAAAGGGTATCTGACTGCATTTGTGTTTTGTGATACAGGAAAGCCAATGCTATTGGTCGTTCTAGCAAGACTGTTCGCGAGTTCCTCGAGCGCAACCACCAGGATGATATGGACCGCGAACAGACAATTCAGCTCACCATCAAGTCGTTGCTGGAGGTGGTGCAGACCGGGGCCAAGAACATTGAGGTGGCTATCATGTCGCCCGGTAAGACGATCGAGATGCTTCCAGATGACCAGATCGAGTCCTACGTCAAGAGCATAGAAACGGAGAAGCAGGAGGAGGCTGCGAAGAAGAAAACCGGTCGATCCGGCACCACCACCGCGGCTATTCTAACCCGGTCTGGTGGAGGGGAGGCTGGTGAGACGTCCCGGGAGTAGACTTGGGAGCAGCTGCGACCTGATTAGAAGGGGCTACGTGGGCTACGTTGACCTATGAGACTAGTGCTTTTATCTGTTTAATCTCTGGAATAATATCTTTGCCGAAGCGAGCAATTTACGAAAAAATAAGAAACCGGTTGCGAAAGTATACACCGGGATATCTAATCCGGTTTGCACAAGGGGCGTGTAGCGACTTATTGGCGAGGCAAACGATGCCACATAATAAAAGGTCGTAATCGTCGTAATCTATTTGAGTCTGGTCTATCCTAGACGATCGGCGGCATCTGTGATGTTGAAGAGGGAACGTTCCTGGTCTCCGCGCACCCGGTCGTCTTTGAGCATCCTATCCAGTGTCAGCATCTGATCTTCGGGGGAAGTTTCAGACTCTACATACCGGGAGTCTATTCGGACATCTTCTCCCTCGACTTGTAATGTGGGCTTCGGGGTGACGGCGTCGATTACGAAATGGTTATCGCAGTGAGGGCAGTATTCGTCACTAGAGGTCGTCACACAGTGAGCATAATTTCTCTCACGCAACATAAATATATATTTTTTCCTTGAGAGGAAAACGCACCTTTCTTCAAACTCCGAGGCATCTTTCCGGAAACACTTTTTGCACTTTTTGCACGCAAAGATCTATGAGCAACCCATTAGACAGAACATGAACCCCCATGATATATTTTTTTTAAACAGCTCCCAGTCCCGTTATTGTTCCATCAGAGGAGAAAGTACCATTTCGGCGGATTTGGCCAGTGGATGAGTTTCTTGTTCGTGGTGGCATTCTGCGCAGTCGAACCATTTCCGGCCTGTCAAGCGAAAGAAATTCATGAGAATCGAGTCATCGCGGTAGCATAAGGATGAGGCAGAAGGGGGAGGGCTGTTCGTACAGCATGGAGAACGAATGGCCACCTGAGCATTGAGGATGTGTTTACTATGCCATGAGTGTTGTTAGTTACAACAGAGATCGTAGTTAGAGGGGCAAGAAGGAGAATGTGGCACACACCACATGGTGGTTCTTTAATTCTTCCGGTGACCAGGGAAAGACCTGAACCTTGAGGGTATTATTTTTATTAGTAGTAGAGGAACAGAGATTGAAAAGTGAGGGTTAGTGCTTGGAATAAATTGCGGTTCTTCAGACAGCGGGAGGCTAAAAATAATCCACGCGACTCTTTGGAAACACTTACGTTGACAGAGAAAGAGAGAGAGAGACTGGGATGAGATGAGGAACAGCAAGAGATGATCATTTCGTTTTCTCCTTTTTTCTTCGCACTCTGCACACTTGCTCCTTTTCTCTCTTCTCCTTTTCTTCTAGAGTTTTCAGCAGCAGCAACCTTTTGGCATCGTCCCCCCACTCGTCGTCGTCTCCCGCCCTCTCTGACAACTTCTTTTCATCCCCTCCATCACCTTCTTTCACCCCCTGTCTCATCCCATCGCTAAAGCCTCCTTAACCTCAAGTCTCATCTTGCCTGGAGTCCTCCTCTATTAAACCCGTCTCTCATTCTCTTGCTACATCTCCCCCTCGTATTCTCGCATCAACGACTCCTTACTTCTGACCCCTTCCGCCTGAAGTAGTCAGAGCCCGCCCGGCCCAGGCCCTCTCCTCGACTTCCCACTTTTCGCAATTGCCAACTGTCTACACTATTCAGTTCTTTCGCTCGTTTCTCGTGAAACCCCCGGTGGGATAGTACAAAATCCACAATTGAGGGCCTATGATCAATCTTCCTACCCAACATTTGTGCCGGATTTGTCGTCATGGAGGGAAACGACAAGGGCAAGGACACCACGGATAGCGCCCCCATTGTACGTCATGCGCCAAGCTCCTTGTTTTCGTTTAGCAGTCGATGTTCAAAAAAAAACACTAACAGATTCTGAACTATAGAGACCTGTGTCTTCGTTGCTATCCCATTTCGAGAATCTCTCACATCGTCGTTCCCCTTCTGCTGTGCCCAACGGCTCACACGACTCGTCTTTCCTCCGGGCTCCTGAACTCGGCGACGATGTCCGCTCTTCCTCTAGGGCATCTCTAGACCTCCCTCGTTCAATATCCCCCTGGGCTTCGGTGTCAGACGTCTCACCTAGCCAGCGGTATGATTGTGCAAATGGTTCTCGCTCGCGGAATGGCGGATCTCCCGGAATTTCTCCCGGACGACGGCAGAGCAGGCCCATGTCGATGAATTTCCACTCCTCGCCACAGCTGGCGCCTACCCTGACGGTGGACTCTCCACGGTCTCCGCCCCGAGGGTTTGGGTCTTATGGCGGGGACCGTGGTGAAGATTCCCGCTTTTCTCGCACTCCGCCAAGTGCTTCACGAGAGCCTCTACCCATCGCCTCGCAGAAGGGCTCATACAGTCGACCAACGACCCCTGTGACCGCCTCATCCATTCCCACACAGTATACAGGTGGCTACTTATCTCCGGGACTGTCTACTTCAGTGGGGTCCATCCGTGGGAGTCCCTCCGATCGAAAGGGCAAGAGTATTTCACTGCCTCCCACCGCCAATCGAGCGGCAAAACCCAGAATTCCTGTGAAACCGGCCGCTCTATCCTTCAATGATCCTTCGCTCGCTCTCCGCCCCCAACGGGCGTCCTCTGAAGACCGCGTGTCGCCGTTTAGTACCCCTCCTAGTAGCCCCGAGAAATCTTCCCCGCACCGACCCTCAGCTACAAGGCCAGCCCAGCCCCCTCGGCCGCTTTCTCGACAGTCTCCGCCGCCTGTTGGCCCCGAGCTTCCGTCCCGACGGTCGAAGGAAAGATCCCCTGCTCCTCTCCCTGGAAGTGTGCGAGCTAGCAGAGATTCGTCGGCTTCACGGCGCCAACCAGTCCCGGAACCATCGCGCGAGACAAAGCCCTTGATGGTTCAGATTCCCAAGGGTCCATCGGCGCAACCTGCAGCTCTTGCGAGTGCACCGTTATCTGCGCGTCTACTCAAGACGACCGACAGCCCGCATGACCCGCCAGGCCTCCCTCCACGAAATTCGTCCGTATCACGAAGGACCGGCCGGTCCCCCCCTAGACAGACAGCTCCTCTCGATGCTTCAGTGTTCCCTAGACCTATCTCCAGAATTGACCCACGTCAGCAGACGCCAGTGGAGACAAAACCTCCCAAGCAAGTCCAACGCCAGCCCTCGTTTTCCCGGGAGACAAAGCTAGCGCCCCCTCCATCCGTCCCGGAACGCCCGGTAATAGTAGACCGCCAGCGCGTGCGACCCGCTCCGAGCGAAGACGAGCAAGTCCCGGAGGACCCCCCCATACAAACTGACTATCCAGACGCATCGAACACAAACAGACGACCCCCACTCCTGAAGTCAGGGCCTCAAGAAATCAACACTCGCTATGATACTCGGCTCATGGACGTTTGTGGGAGACATGTGTGCACAACTGGTTACATTACCCGTGTTTGGGACCTTACCACTGGTGAACAGCTCATGAGCCTCAGCCACGGCGAAACGGTTAAGAGTTTATCGTTAGCCTTCAAACCAGGGGTAGGTCTTGAAGATGAGGGCCAGCGTTTATGGATTGGTACAAACAGTGGAGAAATCCACGAAATTGATATTCTGACGGGATCGATTGTGGCTTCGCGGTCATACCCTTCTCGACGGGAGGTTATCAAGATTCTACGGCATAAGAAAGAAATGTGGACTCTTGATGACGAAGGTCGCTTGCTCATATGGCCACCGGACGAAACAGGTGTCCCGAACCTCCAGTACAGCTACCACAACCCTTATGACAGGGTTGCTAGAGGACATACGTTTTCGATGGTTGTGGGTGATACCCTGTGGCTGGCCACGGGTAGGGAAGTCCACGTGTACCAACCGAATGCCCGTGACGATACTTTGTTCAAAGTCTTGAAGCGGCCTTTAGGATCTCATCACACGGGAGACGTTACCTCTGGGGCCTTTACCACGAAGAACGGCGGAAGAATATACCTTGGCCATGCCGATGGGAAAGTAACTGTCTACTCTTCCAGAGATTACGTGTGCCTGGGCGTGGTGAATGTCAGCGTGTATAAAATCAACTGCTTGGGGATTGTGGGCGACTATCTTTGGGCCGCCTACAAAACCGGTATGATCTACGTTTACGATACGAATACGAACCCATGGAAGGTAGTCAAGGACTGGTGCGCACACAATAGCCCTGTTTGTTCGTTTTTACTCGACTCAAGTAGTGTGTGGACGATGAACCGTCTGCAGGTGACTTCCCTAGGAACAGACAACTGCATCCGCCTATGGGATGGAATGTTGGAGGACGACTGGCTGGGTAGGTCTATTGGCCCGAGAGGATTTAAATCACAAGCTAACAACAAAATAGAATCTCAGATGCAGAATAGAGACGTGGAGTTTTGCACGTTCCGAGAGATTAGTGCTGTGGTTTTGACCTGGAACGCTGGCGCTTCCACTCCGGGCAGCGTACGCACATCGTCCTTTATTCAAGATGCAATCCATCCGGAACATCCGCCCGAGATTCTGGTTTTCGGGTTCCAAGAATTGGTTGATCTTGAGAACAAGAAAATTACAGCCAGTATGTTTTTCTTTCACGAGTGAACACGAGCAGATAACTAACATCAGCCTGCAGAGAGCTTGCTCCTGGGAAGCAAGAAGAAGGATAGCGGGGATAAGGAGCATATGAGCCGACAATACCGGGTGTGGATGGAGCATCTTACCAGCTGTATCAATGACTGCATGCCTTTGGAGGAGTCTTACGTGCTCCTGCACAGTGCTAACCTGATTGGTCTTTTTACTTGTGTGTTTGTCAAGCACAAGGAACGGAAGAGGATTACGGATATTAGCGCTGCTGAAGTAAAACGGGGTATGGGTGGACTGCACGGAAATAAGGTGAGTTTCTTGACCAGGTCTTTCGCAAGCCGAGAGACTAATTGCTTAGGGTGCTCTTATTCTCCGTTTTGTCCTGGACGACAGCTCTCTGTGTTTCGTCAACTGTCACCTGGCAGCAGGGCAGTCGCAAACCACACACCGCAACACTGATATTGCAGCCATTTTAGAGACTGAGTCGCTACCCGTGGAGACTAGCCTTACTGCTCGCTTAGATCATTTCGTGAGCGGTGGGGATGGGTCAATGATCATGGACCATGAGATTTGTCTGCTGAATGGTGATCTCAACTACCGCATTGACTCGATACCGCGGAATGTGATTATTGAGGACATCCGCAACAATAATCTCGCAAAGCTGCTGGACCGCGATCAGCTTCTTGCATCCCGACGCAAAAACCCTGGATTCCGACTGCGGTCATTTCAGGAGTCACCGATCACGTTTGCCCCGACGTACAAGTATGATGTGGGCACGGACGAGTACGACTCGAGCGACAAGAGGCGTTCGCCTGCCTGGTGTGACCGTGTTCTTTACAGAGGACTCGGTAGAGTCAAACAACTCGAATATCGACGCCACGAGGTCCGAGCATCCGATCACCGACCAGTGAGTGCACGATTCAAGCTCCGGGTCAAGACGGTCCTCCCCGAACACCGAGCCACGGTATGGGACGCCTGCCAGAAGGATTTCCAAGGCGAAAAGCGAAGGCTTGCATCAGAGGCGAGGTGAGTGTTTGCCCTTTCAACCAATGAACCTTGACTAATGTCTTACAGCATTGAGTATCTCATCAACGTTCTCGGAACAGATGCCAAACAAGCACGGGCTCTGATCGTGGGGAAAGGAAACTAAGTGTGCTTTTTATGTATATTTGCTGCTAGAGATTGGGGGTTGTTTTGGTTGCCTGACTCGTGGATGGCGCGGATAGCATGAAGTACAGTACTACATACTTCCTCCGTCGCCTCGTCTTGCTCTAGAGCCTGCAGACAAGGTGACGTGTATGACTAATGACTCACGATAGACATGTATCATGATGGCGGAAGGGATAGATAGAGCTGCCTGGCTGGGAGGCCGGACTTGTAATAATAATATCATCCAGGCGAACCGTCGTATGAGATGTATATAATAGCCCCGTGCACTGTTGATGGCCCTACTACTTCTTGGGGTCCAGGATCTGTGGGGATGTCCGGAGTAGATGCGGTCTTAACCCGCACCTTGGTTATCCTCGCAAACAAATATCTTCTCGCCTTTCATCAGGACCCTGTAATCGGTCGCGCTGCGCATCCGTATAAATGGGGGGGGGGGGGGGGGTTAACCCCGGGCTGGGTTTCGGCTTCGGCTTCGGGATGTTTGGACGGGCGAGGACTTGGGGTGCGTGAGGACCGAGTATAAGTGTGGAGCTGGAGAGTCATGATATTGCGGCGTTGCTCGTGGGAGGGCCGTGCTAGTTTGATTTCTCGGGGATAGCATATACCATGTCAAGAACGTATGGAGGAGTAAAGATATGTGCTTGAATGGAATAAGTATCCCGAATGCTACCAACCAGCGATGAGAATAGTCCTAACAGAATCTACAAACTAACACACCCATTGCCTCTGCTCTATTTCATAACCAGTACTCTCGCTCTGAAAAAACGTACAACCAAACTGATCTAGGCACTCCACTCCGAGATCAAACGCAAACTCCGGGAGCTCTTGTAATATGTAGCTCGGGAATCGTCTATCGAAATGATTCCGGCTCCTAGCCCCCCCTAGAACCCGGGTTGCATATCCAACAACCGCCCTCCGCATCATGGCGTTTTTCCGCGTGATGAGCTTATATACCTCGCGGGCGAACCGCGGAAGAACGGTGGCAAAAGATGATCGGTACAAGACTTCCAGGACCTTGTAGGTTGACAGGTACTTCAACCCTACAATACGGAGACGGGTTGCCAGGATGTGCATCTGTAAGTGGAAAGAGAGTTCACAGCAATCCAGGCGATCTAGACAGCGTCAGGAAATGTTCCAATATAGCTGATGATCGAGGGAGGCAAAATATACCAACATAATCTGCGGGCACTGTTTGTCCTTCAGCTTGGAACCGGGTGGGGAAATTGTAATCTAGATAGAAATGATAATTGCAGGTATACAGGTACTCGAGCATCATCTGGACAACGAGGGGATGGAATCTGATCCGAAGCGCCTGGTCAAGTTAATACCCCATGAACAGTAAAGTAAGTACAGTAGAGCCAGAGTGACAATTCTCACCTGCAAAGGAGTCCTGCAGTATTCCTTGACGACCAATGATTGCACACAGATGATCACTTTGTGACACCTGAAGCTCTTTTCGCCGCAAACAATGACAAAATCACTCAGCTCTAAATTAGGCAGTAAACTGTCATCATGTATGAGCTGGGATCTTGCAGGATCCAGGATGCCAACGGGGACCAGGGCAGGGGATTACCGTCGAATGGAGAGGGCTAATTGTTGTCGGGCGTAAACTTTGGACTTGTATTTCAGAACCACTGCGTCCTCGTGCTGCCATGTCTGGATGATACTACGGGTTTGGTTGGCCACAGGTCGCTCGGGGAAAGGCCCATCTCGATTCATTTTGAATAGGAGGGAAGATGGAAATGATGGAAATGATGGATGGATGTATCCTGAAGGGGAATAAACGCTGATAAAAAGGGATGTCTCTTGTTAGATTCCAAATCCTCTAGAAACGGAAAGAGGTTTTTGTGTGTCGCAGTCCCTTCCCATTAGGGCCATGGAGTCTTGCCAACAAGAAATACATGCATTATTATGTACCTACCATATAAACCAAAGCTATGTGCATTATGACATTATTTCGTATTCATCCAATAAACAAAGTCTGCCCGCCCACACCGGAGAACGTGAAATCACCGCCACAGATCCTGACGGCTCTCTCGTCTCCAGCCACCACTACTCTTCGGTCGGCCGTCCTCGACAGGAATGGCCAGGAACCCGCCAAAGCCGTTGCCAACCAACACGCTCTTTCGTGCTTCACCTCCCCAAGACCGACTGAGTTGTGGGTCGTGGAAACTAACAGGTCGGGTGGTACTGTCTCGTCGACCGTGGGTGGAGAGTGGCTCATATGGCGTGAAATTCCACTCCAGCTCATCTAGCCCCTTGCTGTACACATTGAGTGGCTGCGCAAGGCCGCCACCGAGGAATTGGGGTCCCGTTTCACCGCCGCCCAGAAGACGAGGCGGGGGTGTAAGGAGAAGCGCTTCGGGGAAGTCCGCGTCACGAACATAGATATCACGAAGCGCCGGGAGGGCGTTGGTCATCAAGCCCGAGATCAGGTAAGCATAATACGAAGCAGCTTTAGGGAGAACGCCGTAGGAACCCGAGGCAGACGTGATCTCGTAGTGTAGCAGCTCCAGGGACCTTGACGCGAGGGGGGGAATCTTCTCGGGTGGGAAAGACCGCGTCACTTCCTGAATCACCAGCAACGACCGGAGCTCCGGCGCTGCAGACAGAATTCGATGCAAGCTCCAAGGGACGACTCCAGTCGAGGATAATGTGAGATAGAGTAAAGATTGTCGATGAAGGGGAAGGGAGAGAAATTCAGCAAGCCCGCTTGCTGTGACATTCGGGATATCTCGAAGAGTAAGGCGCTGCACGGCTGGGAATGGAGGAAGGGACTGGGAGGCAGTAAAGACCGAGTCATCCAGCAAGGGGAGATTGTCCATGGTCAGCTCGCGAAGTCGAGGGAAGGAAGCCAAGCCAAGACGAAGAGTACTCGGCTCCACCTGTAGATGTGACAGTTCCAGGATCTCCAGGTTCATCCAAAGCTGGGAACCGGGAAGTTGAACGAAGCTCCCCTCCGCTCCGCGACGATAGCTCATGCGACGTAGATCTAGGCAGCGAGCCATGAGCTCTCGTTTCAGAGTGAGACATGTCGGATCGTCGCTGTAGATTCCAGACGGTAAGTCAACGTAGCGAACGTTGGGCAATACCGAGACAGTCCGGGCGATCTCTGCTTTGTTCGCCTCGCGGGTCATGTACGGCATACGCAGCGAGAGTACCATCGCTCCCAGCCCTCGTGATTGTCGAACAGATCGCATAAAAAGCGCCAATCGCACTTGCGGTGCATCGATCGGATCCGCATTGCGGTCGAAGAACGAGTGTTGTTTCCGTTTGGCTGCCAGTTCCACCTCGAGTTCGCAGTAGTGGACGGGGTCAATGCGAACATGGGAGTATCTGCACACACACACACACACGAGGCAAATCAGGTCAGTGGAAAGCATTTCAGATTCACGAGTGATGGGGATGGATTTACAGCAAAGATTGAGCCACTGGATACCAGCGCTTGCAGACCAGTCCACAGTGCGCCAGATCGCGCATGTCACAAAGCATGCAGCCATCTTCGGTCATCGACTCCTCTGAAGTATCGTAGGAGCCATCGACAGCATGGGGACAGACGAAAGCGAGAATCCGAGATAGAACCTGCGAAGGGAGCCTCTTTGTCTGATCCGTAGCAAACCCGGAGATGGAAGGGACGCGGTCATAACGAGTATCAGTGCGGAGGTGCTCATAGCTCACAGCAACCCCCGCACCGCCCTGGCTTTTGGAGCGGCCACGAAGTCGGCTCAATAATCCCATGGTGCGTAAGAGGGGGTGGAAGGCATGGAGTAGCAGGAGTAGCAGAAGAAACAGGAGAAATGGAAGAACGACCAGGACGGAAGGAAAGGAAGAGAAAGAAAGAGAGAGAGCGCGCGCGTGTGTCAGAAATAAATGATGGCGGCGGAGGATGCCAACTAAGCGAAAGGAGGGATTGAGAGCAAGAGAACAAAAGGAGATTGATTTATTTCACTACATCCATCACTATAACCTGCATCTTACCGCATATCCCGACTCAAAGTACTCACTCTCTTTCACTGTTTGGTTCAAGGGAAACCTCCCCCCGAATCACCATCCATTCATTCATTCATGCATGCATTCCCCCCGCTCAGGGTATTTTTAACTACCCTATCAATCTCTCTCTGGAGCCGTTTGTGATGGTGCCAAGATCCCAAGATTAGGGATTCAGAGGAACCTGCAGGGGGCGTTTCATCCAGGCGGTTATATTAAACAGTTTGGTGGTTAGTCGCAGGATTCCTATCCAGAGATTGGCTCAGGGATTAGTTCCTTGAAAGGATTCATCCTCAAAAGAGAAAGAAAAATCTGAAACCAGCCGAATCTCGACGCGTTGATCGGGTCCCTTGATATTATATTTATAATGTATTAGACTATTAGTACTTGGAGCAACACTCCAGGCTTAGACGCAGCAGGGGTGTGTAGGGGGTGGAAACAATCGTGTGGAGCTGAAGGAAAAAAAGAAAGAAAGGAAGGCTTAGTTTAGTCCGCTGGTTATCACGGAATAAAGCATAGTCTGCGAAGCGTCATAGGGTGAGCAATCACTAAGTGATCCCTGAGTCTGAGTCCATGCTGATAGCCCCGTTCCAATGGGCTGCGATCTTCCACAAGTCCAGTATCATCTTCACCAAAGGGGTGGAGGGGCTCTCGTTCTATTCTTCCGGAAGTAAGTCGACCACGTATGAACTCCCTACGAAGGTCTCGTGCGTTCTGTCGAAGCCCTATCCTGACGTCGGATGTGGTTGCTATTCCCGGAGTCGATTGACTATGGAAGAAATGGAGAAAGGCATTTGCAGGTAGGGAGGGAGGGAGGTGCCGTTGACGGTAGATGGTAACTAACTTGCATCTGAACGTGAATGTAGCTCGTATATCTTCTACAGCCAACGGGCCATCGATGATATCCTGGACGGAAAACCCAAATGGTCAACCATGGACGGCGAAAGTGACCTTGTAGATGATCACGGCAATGGAAATCGTATTAATACGATCAGTAGTTGTGAATGTTTCCACTATAGCACGCAACGCAGCAGAGTTGTAGCTCTACACCAAGAAAATGACGTCGATTCGATATTTCCTTCCCCCCTCCAAAAAATCGATTCTCCTTCAACCATCGACTTCTTCATAAACCCCAATCAGATCGAAAGTATTTCCTATAACAATCGACCCTGTAAGTCCTTCCCTTTCCTGAAACGCATCAATCCCTCTATAATCCCACTCAACCTGTTCCCTCCCCCAAAATCCACCAAACCACTACCCCGCAGCATTCCAAAAAAAAAAAAAAAATCCCTCCTCATTCAACCCCTCTTAACAACCGAGTACGAAACAGCACCCCATCACAACAAAAAAACAAGAAGACAGAAAACCAGAAAGAAAGAAGAAAATGTCCTGGTACCAAAAATCATTCACTCTCCCTCCCCGCTCGCGCGGCTCCTACCTAATCACCGACACCATCCTCTCCGAACTCCCCGAGCTACGCAACTACAAAGTCGGCATGCTGAACCTCTTCATCCAACATACGAGCTGCGCACTTTCACTAAACGAAAACTGGGATGAAGATGTCCGCGAAGATATGAGTGATGCACTGGATCGAATTGCGCCGATGGATCGAAAGGGGAATCTCTACAGGCATTCAGCCGAGGGGGAGGATGATATGCCGGTAAGCTAAGCCAAGCCAAGCTGGAGCTGGATCTTTTTTTTTTTTTTTTTTTTTTTTTTTTTTCTCTGTTGCGGTGTTCAGTTGAGATGAAAGTGAACACTGAGCTGACTCTAATAGGCTCATATCAAATCCGCCCTCATTGGAGCTTCTGTGAACATCCCTATTTCCAATGGTCGTCTTGCTACCGGGACCTGGCAGGGAATCTGGTATTTGGAGTTCCGGGCAAGTCGGCACACGAGGAAAGTTGTTGCGACGATTCAGGGTGAGAAGGCGTGATGTGATTCATTGTTGATGATGATGATGATGATGATGATGATGACGATGATGGGATTAGGATTGTTCGGGAGCATTTGCTTACCTATGATTTACATACACCCAGGATATCATTGGGTTGGACAGATGGATCGAGTTTGATTGGCGCTTGGGTTCGAATCTCGTATCCGATATGACGACGATTCTAGAGAATATAGTTCGCTTACGAACCCCATACGCATGATATGCTGCGTATGGTTAGAGAGAAAGGTCCCTCTTTAGACCGGAAGGAAATGAAAGTTGAAGGATTTTTTATTCTAGCTTCATTGGTCTGGTACACAACAACTGTACAATCGCCCGAAAGAAGAAATGGGCGGGAAAATCGAAAACGAACAAGAAAAAACATGCATCAACGCCAGCAATGAAACAATCCTATCTCGACCGCTGCTCCCAACTCAGTCATACACTAGTTTTCTTTCACGTCGGCGGCGGCATCGCCGGTAGGGGCAAGAGGGTAGCTGGTAGCGGGAAGAGATGCGAGGTACGCGCGGTGCTGCTCGTGGGCCTATCATACAATTCATGTTAGCATCGCTGTTAGGTATGTATTCCGGTGGCACCAGACAAGGCAAGCATGTTACATACGTAGGGAACGCCGCAGTAGCCGCAAGTAGCGATCTCAGGCTTGTCGGTGTTGATGAAGATGCGGGGGTGGCCCAATGGACCACCGCCTCCATCACAGCCGACAACCCTTTCCTTTGTCCATTGGACGGGTTGCTTGTGGATGAGTTCGATGGCGGCCAGGGGAGTAGGCTAGACAATTGGCAAATAGTTAGTACTCATCATTCACCATCGGATATGCTTCGCTATCAAGTTGACGATTTCTTCCCGGTTTTCATCCTCCGTAATCGGATAGATGGGGGGAGAAAAAGAAAAACAAAAAAAAAAAAAAAAAAAAAGACAACATCATCTAGAGAAATTGACGAACCTGGTGTTCCATGATCGTCTGCTCGAATCGAGGCCCGCTCATGGCAGTCTCTCTCGGCTGTTGGCTGGCAGCCCAAGTAGTGGCACGGTTGGGAGCCTGCAGGGCGCGGACACGCTCAGCGGGCTGCGGATCCTCCTTCAACGCAGCATCCCACGCTCCCATTGAGTCAACAGTAGTAGGCTTGGTCTCCGACACATTGGGCTTAGGTGTGAGGTTCTCGGAGAGACGAGGGACAGTAGTCGAGTAACTGGCCCGGGCGACGGCGCGGGGGGTCCAGGACGAAGAAAGAGCCGCGATCCGGCTTCGAAGGGTAGGCAACATGGTAGGCAACGCGAGTCGCTACGAATTGGCACGCAGGACAGACAGTGGGATAGACGGGAGACGGCGGGAGGAGAGATGAAGTTCGTCGAAGGGTTGAGGTTTGCGGGAGCTTCCACGGCACGCTTGAGGAGCCAATCGGCGCCGCTGTATTGGTGGCTGCGGTGAAATTCTGCCGCTTGCGATTTTCCTCTTCTGCCGCTTTTCGAGATGCAATGAATTGTTTTCTCCATCCATTCGTACCTGACTGTTTCGATCTTGTTTTTTTGAAAAATTTTCAGCCTTTTTTGGGGGGGGGGGTTGATTCCATTCAAGTGAGGATTGATCTACACTGGAATCCCGTTATACAAATCATCATGCCTAGCTCTCCAGCTTCCGGCTCAAAGCCTGAAAAAACCATGTCCTCACGTCTCCTGACTATGAAGGTATGTACGTTCCTGCCGAGATTCTCTCCTTCAATGTCGCTAACTCCATTCGAAGTTTATGCAACGTGCTGCTGCCTCCAAAGAAGCATCACAGCCAGCTTCTGCTAAAGGTTCCAATGCTCCGACACCCAAAAAAGTCAGACTATCAACAGGCCCTCCCGAAAGCCCAGTTACACCATCATCCGACCTGGAGGCGATCTCGGCCGCCCTTGCTGTAGAGGAAAATAAGCGCAGGGAAGCAATTTCTCGACAAGCCGCAGAGGCAGGCGAAACGGAATGGGTCATCGACTTTGGAGCAGCAGATGCAGTCAATCAATATGCGCAGCAACCTCTTGTTCTCACAGACTATTCACTTGACGCTGATGATGACGATATGAATTATGGAGGACGACAAGCGTACGGCAATTTCAAACGAAAGAATAAAGCTAAGGTTTGTATTTTATTTTCTTTTTTTTTTTGACTAATACTAATGTTTCTTAGGTACATACCGCAGAAGAATCCGAATCCGAAGAGGATGAGGACGGTGATCTAGCAGATCCGGAAAATATCGACGCAATGATCAACAAAGCCAAGAACAAAGCTTCAAAGAAGGAGAAGAACAAGCATCAGACTGGACATGTCAGGCTGTCTCAGTTGACAAGCATCTCTGGCGGACGCCATGGGACAGTTGGAGGCAGTAAGCCACAGAAGAAACGCAAGCATAAATAAAACGCCACTCGAAAAAAGAATGGATCGTGCGTTGCCCATAAGAAACAAGTATAGCAGCCCATTGCCAACCTTAATACACCCACAAATTCCGACCACTCTTCGAATACAGGGCGAATCACCACTGCCGCCGCTCTTGGGGGTTACCAATACGGAGCATCCTTAGTTCTTCCGACCCGGGCTTGCAAATCACCACGTCCCCCGGCCTGATTTTCACTTTCTCAGTCACAACGCCTGCGCTGTGATCCGAAGTCACCGTGTTGCCATTTCGCCTATAGACGCGGATTTTCACAATGTCAGATACTGGTTCGGAGTTGGATTGTCCTCCAATATCGATACGGACGTGCCCTGACTGTCTCTGGATTGGCTGTGACTGGCGAGTACCATCGTAGGGAAACCTATCTGTGCGAGGCTTCAGAATCCCTCGCGGGTGGACCGGGGTGGAGTTCAATTGGGGTCTTTGGCCCCTGTATGAGCTAGCTGCTCCATGTTAGTATGCAGCCAAATACTTGATCTGATGTAACTCATAAGAACATACCTCTGGCTCTTCCGCCACGGGAGTAATCAAAATGGCAGGCACCTTACCTGGCCTGTAGTCTCTCATTTCTAGATCATCTCTCGCCGGCTGTGGACGAAACTGCATTGGAAGCGGGGCGCGCGAGGTCTCAAGCCGTTGTGGTGTCGAATGCACCGGACGAGGGTTTTCTGTATGTAGTCCTTCAACGAGGTATGAGGTACCGCAGAGACAGAAGAACATCTCGGACAAGCATTCAATGCTTGGGACTGGAATCAACCTCTATCCTCGCAGCTAGACAGAGTTCAAAGTTAAAAAGATGAAAAGTGGCATTTATAATTAAAGGTCGTGCTATCCCGATTGGGTCGTGGTGGATCAAAGGGGGGGGGGGAAGTTGTGATACTCGAATAAATTAGGAAACCAGAGCAGAGACATTCTGATCTAAGTTCCCATGACCCTATTCCGAGACTTGAAACTCGCCTCCCCCTTTTGTGATATCAAACAGCAGAACTCAAAAGGTACTGGAAGTTTGTAAGAAATAGATTAGTACGTTATTACTACTCCTACTCCTCCTACTACTACAGCTTTGCCTTCTCGGCCGCCGCTTTCCTCTCCCACCTCCTCCGTGTCGAATAATTAACCGCCAAATTCCACGCCGCAACACCAACCCCCAGCGGCGGCGCCAACAACAACACCCAAGCCCACCACTTCGGACTGGACCCCCCGATCGTCTGAACAGCCCTTTGGACCTCGCGCTCCAGATCCACCCGATCGCCATCATTCCAAACAATCACGCCGCGCGCATCCGCGGTGCCCCGAAACTCCGCCTTCTCCACCTTCCCCTTCACATCCCCTTGACTCCTCACCCGGTTCTCCGCATCCTCAGCCGTGAGATGTGTATCCCTCGCCCTCAACCTCGCCATCTGCACCGCGGGATCCGAAACCCCCACCACAACCACCGTCCCGCAGATCAGATCCATCCCGGACTCAAACAGCAGCGGCACATCGAGCACCACCGCCCAATGCCCGCGCAGGTAGTAGTAGAGGAGCGCCTTGTAGACTTCCCACCGCACAGCGGGATGCACGATCTTGTTCAGGATCGTCCGGTCGCGTTTCCGCTCCTCTGTTGTTCCGAAGACTCGGCGTCCCAGCGCGGGGCGGTTCAGGGCGCGTCGACTCCCGCTGGCGTCCTCCGGTGATGGCGGGAGAAGGAGATCCGGCGTGCTGGGGCCGAAGTAGCTGACGATTGCATTGTAGCCGGATGTACCTGGTTCGACGACCTTGCGGGCGAGAAGATCGGTGTCGACAATGGGGAGAGCGTAGGGAGGGGAGGAGAGGATGGAGGAGACGGTGGATTTGCCTGTGGCGATTGAGCCGGTAAGGCCGATTATAAGCATGTTGTTCTTGTTCTTTTCTTTTGTTCTTTTATTCTTAATTTTTTTTTTGGTAATGTGGGTGGATTAGATCTGGAACAGCTTTGCCCTTATAGTAGGTAAGGTAGTGATGTATATAGATAGTAAGATGAGGGGGGGGGGGGAGGAGGGGAGCTTCTGCGGTTTGTCTTCTCCGGGCGGCAACTGGAACCAACCTCGGCTCCACTAACCTACTAGTATACATACATACAATTTACTTTATATACGGAGTACAACCGTGGCATTGCTCTAGATTCGAGGGATACACCTTTCGTCATTAGATTCAGTAAGATTCAAGATTCAGTAAGATGAGAGTTCGTGGCTTTATCCATCTAGTTTTGTATCATAAGGTGTACATTAATAATCCCTGCAATTCATCATTCAATCATAGGTATGCAATCAACAATCTCCTCTCCGTCTTATACCCTGCCACTTCCTCAAGCGACGGAGATTCGATCAGACCGCTGGAAGTCCGCCTGCGCTCGGGTCTTGTTTCTCTCCATGCCAGCCGACATACGGCCACCCTTTAGGAAGAGTGGAATATTGAGGCAGTACATAGCGGCCGTTGCATTGACCCTCGCTAGGGCAAACAAGATTGCACAAGCCAAATACCTTGCAGTAGCACTCTTCAGCTGTTGGGCAGTGGATAGCTTCTTTTCCGAAAATCACTGCATCGGGGTTAGTTGTCTCCATATATATATATATACATATATGCAAGAACCCGGGGGAGGAGGGCTCCTCTCCCAGAACCTAGGTACGTACTATGCCAGGAATATTCCATTATCCGTCCACTCAGATCGTCGGTCAGCGGCGTCTCCAGCAGCCACTTTCGGAATTGGACATAATCGCTCTTTGGCCGCTCGCGGATCTTCCAGCTCGTAACGCCGAATTGCGCGCAGCACGAGACACCCACTACTTCCGGCACCTCGACCCCGGGGAATAGCTCCATAAATCCGGTTTTGAAATATTCCCCAGCGTGAACTGCCTCGCGGTGTGTATCAGAGTAAGGATGGATCTCCTCGGGACAGCCCAAGACCCAAGCGCATCGCAAATTGACATAGCCTTGTTTCTGGAGGTAGGGGAATTGGAAATTGCGCAGCATGGGGACTCCGTCATAGTATGGATCGTCGTTATGCCATTGGTAACGTTGCGAATGGATAAATAGGATCGAATCGGGCAGGTTATCATAATTATCGATGATGTATCTATACACATACACAAGAGGTCAGAAGGCCAAAACAAAAGGGGGTGAACGCGACAAGTTAGCAAACACTTACGTCAAATACACCATCGACTCTCTACCCTTATTTCGCGGCACCGGCCACTTGGCATGCTCATCATTAACCACATAAATTCTCTTATACCAGTCCGGGAAGAACTGGTCCAACCATGAAACATCATCATTCTTCATGCTGGCCACGACCAGGCTCTTGCGGATCGCGGGAAGCTGGTGCGACGACGACGGGGATGCCTGACCCGAGCGCAAATCGCGGTTTGGCCCATTCTGCGTACCGGAATCATATATCGTTGGATCGATCCGGTGGTGGCCTGACTTGTTGGAGAAAAACAGGAGATACAGAGCGCAGATAATCAAGATGGTCAAGAAAATCGCTTTCGCTTTATTGCGACGGCGCGGGCTGTTGACTCCGCTAGGGAAGAACAACATGGCGGTCGCTGCGATGGCGACAAAGAAACACGCCTTTTCTCTCTCTCTCTCTCTCTCTCTCTCTCTTCAAAGAGATAGATTATCGTCTCTATGCGCTCCCAGGTGGTATGGTATTCAAGCGTCAAGCCAAACCGACTAAGCAGCCGCGCATGGCGGCAGAGTCGACGTCAGCCGAAAGTTAGAGGAGTCAGATAAATAGACGTAGGAAAGGTAAAGAAGAGGGGGACAGCAAGAAGGGAAAAATCGGAAAATAAGGAGTAGATGTCGATGTCCAGGGGTTGAGAAATGAGTCGCAGTTCTTGTCGGGCAAGTCATGAGCTTCGCACACGAAATTCCGACAGCTGGCAATTTTGAATGGTTCATAACCCCAGCCACCAGTGGACCGATCGACGTTATAATAACGGCATCAACTCTGTGGACGGAGTACAGATTTCCAGGTGAGAATATTTCTGGGTTCTATCAAATGGTCATTCATCATGTACTTTGATATATATATGTATATATATTCTTACAAACAACATCGACTCGATCACCTACTTACTACGTATCCCAGCGGCCGTCGATATTCATTTCCAACCCCCTAATTACATGCAGTGATCTCAACAATATACCAACTATGCGCCGAAATACTCTGCATAACTTCTCCCGCATTCCCTTTAGTTGATCCCACTCCCTCAATCACCTCAATATCCGAACTAGTCACCGTCATATCATCACCACGGGTTATCCAGTACTCCGGACTGACATGCATGAACCCAACATACCCACGACCAAACCAGTCCTACGATAGTATCCCACAAGACGAGGAGAAGACAAACCCAGAGTGCGCTTCGCAGCCAGTGCAGACAGAGGCCGTCTACCGCGGTAAGGCCGAAATCCAGGGTCGCAATCCAGGTATCCAGCGTCCGGCTTCCGCGAAAAGACAGGACAATTGAGTTTGTTGGTTGCGTCTGCGGCCAGGAATCCGGCGACGTCTCCGAACTCATTGCGCCTATGTCCCGGGGATGAGGGTCAGCTTTCTTTTGTGTGTGATGATGGTACAGACAGACTGACTGACTCGTGGAATTCTCGGAGGGTTTCCGTATGGGCCTGCTCAACTAACGGGCAGTTTCCAGCCGAACAGACCACCTTGTTCCCGGTGGAGTTGATATTGACCGTGCAGTATGATGCGGCAGAGTATTCCGCGAACAGGGTCAGATCCTGCAGGACTCCAGACGAGACCTCTGATCCTGTTAGCTTAGCGCGTGTTTACATTCCATTCCATTCCATTCCATCCATCCATCTTTTTTTTTTTTTTTTTTTCCCCTGGTAACTTGCCTGGACGAGTTAGCGGAGCAGCCACGCTCAGCCCTGCAAAGGCCACAGCGAGCACAGCAGACAGGGATCCAAGAGAGACCATGTTGTCAATTTTCCCTGCAAGGATACATATGTACATCCACACTATGTATAGAGCACCAAAAGAGACCAACCGTACAGCAGATACCCCCCGGATCCACAAACCAGAATATCCAAAGACCCTGGAGAAACCCTGCTTATATAGAGCGCATTCCTACACGAGGATATATCGCCCATTCCCTGCCTACCATACCACTTTAGTCTACGCCATATTCCATTCCTTTCCAGAAGATATTCCGTGGCTTTTAGTTTCAGGTGATTCAAAGGGACGAGGAACGGTCCAAAAAGCCAGTCATCGGATGCACTCACTACCTACTAAGCATCCTATCCTACTGCTGAACTACCTCATGTCCGACGGCCATACAACCTTTCTATTCTATTTCCGTCCTGTTTTCAAATACTCCTGAATAATTCAATCCTAACGCCCCTTCGATGTTATTTACACTACTACTGCTATTACTGAATCTCCGTACTGCAGATTAGGCAAATTTCTTTTTACCTTTGGGAACAAACAGTCGGCCGTTTGATATAGATAGGGTGGCTTAAATCGTAGAAATGTAGAAACCCCATTGCCTTACTTTGCATCTGATGACTACCTAAGGTACCGTGGTGGATTGAGGGCCTCATATAGGGCCTCATATATCTTAGGGCTCATGTTCATCTCTTGGTGATGATGAGTCGGTAGGCCTACACTAGTAAGCCCGCGTTGGCTGGAAAAAGATCATTTGATTTCGGGCGTTTAAAGAGTTCGCATTTCGAAATCGGGGGGGGGGGGGGAGGTTGATAGCAGGTAGGACCCAAAAAAAAAAAAAACAGCATGCAACAAATATTACATCGCTCCTTGAAACGCCGATCATCAGAACACATACAGTGTGTTGAAGAGAAGTAAAAGCCAAAAGTAAAATCAGAAAAATTGTGCGTGCCGAAAGTTACCGTACTCTCTACCCTACTCATGTCAGTCAATTTATTTGGGCTCACTTCCTAGGATAGAGTAACTGACCATAGCGAGGCCAATCCGCCTAGTATTTGCCATAACTGGAGCTTGAGTGAGACCAGTCGGAGTAGAGCGTAGAAAGCTGTTTTGCTCTGTTCACTGCGCGCCTTCCCCACCGTTCTCTGTGCCCTCTGCACCATAATCAGCCATACCCTGGTCCTGTTCTTCAGCGCCGCTGCCAGCAAGAATCTTGGTGCGAGGCATCTGGCCATCCGGTAAAGGGGCCCCCGGGGTAGCAGCGACAACATTGTCATTCTCATCGACAAACTCAAAGTTATACCGCGAAAGCAAGTGTGGGATGGCAGAGAGCTGGGGACCGTAGCGAGCGGTATTGTCGTACAATTCGAACAGCGGAACGGCGAGGAGCTTCATGTTCTTAGGGACGGAGAGGACCTCTGCAAGCTAATTAGATCCCCCACTCACACGCACAACCACGGCGATGAAGAGATAAAAGAAGAAAGGGGGAAAACGTGACTCACTCTTCTTAGGAAGCTGAATAAAGTACAGTTTCTTGCACTCCTTAGGTCGGGTAACATGGCCCGGTAGGAAAGGGTACATGAAAGTCTCAAAGTTCGGCCGCCACCACTGCGCAAGGGTATCTCCAATCTCCCAGTCCTCGTTCACCCCCTCGCCCGAAAATTGGGATCCGACAGGCGCGAGCCGTTCGTTCAGGCGTTTCTTGAAGCCCTCGATTTCGTCATCGTCGAAATGGAGGTAATCTCCGGGGCTAAGAGATCAAATTAGTCTAACGGTCCGTTTCTTCCCTTCCAGCGACATCAAGCATATGCGACAGATTTTCAACATTTCCGACGGTCAAAGACCCAAAGGCCAAGGGACGGACGTACAGCTTGAAGAAGGCATTGGCGATTTGGAGCATCAAAACGTGCGGGTGGTTGTGTTCGTGGCAGACGAGGATACCCTCGCATGTCCGTCTCATTCCATGCTCGTCGTAATGCTCCTCGAGACGCTTTAGTCGGGCTAGGACGGAGGGATCCTCTTCCGGTTGCGTTTCCTTGGTGCCGAATGTGTAGTTGGAGAGGGGGTATAGACGGATAGTTTTGGGCTGCTTCGCGGAAAAGTCTTTAGGAATGATAGGTCTAGACATCGTAACGCGCATCAGCAATTAACCAGGGAGCAAAAGGCAAATCAAGGATCAAGAAATAGTTGGAGTTCAGGCAAAGGGAGCGTGAACGTACGGGTAAGAGCTTTGCAGAGAGGTTGCTGTGGTGGTCGACATGTTGACGGGTTAATGGTTTCGCCGGACGAATTTCCGGGGCGGACAGGCGCAGGATCCAGGTAAATGCCGTGACGAGGGATTGAGCAACTTGTGGATGTGTATCTTATATCTTATGTGGTTGGCTCACTTAGCTGTTAGTCTGGAGCTTTGTTATTATGATGAGTTTACTGGAGCTGCGATGTTCGCGAAAACATCGGCCCGCGTAGAGCTGTGCTGACTACTTTTTATACTCCGGTTAGTTAGTTAGTTAGTTAGTTACTTATCCCCAGAGCATAGTTATAACTAACTATGGTGACACTAAATGACTAAAAGCAACCAAAGTGTACCTTTAGATTGACTGTTCCCAAGACAAAAATACAAATAAATTTATTTCTACAGGTTCTGTACCCAAAAATTTAAACGCGTTCACCCAACCCACACCATTCACATCACCCCACCTGCACCTAACCAAATCAATGTAAAGGATTAGAGATATGAAGATGGTAGTGTTGAAACGAGATCATAAATATGATTCCGACTGTTGCCCCCCTCCTTTAGAGTTTGGCATCAAAATCCTCAAACTCGCTGAGGTCCGTGACAGGGTTGGGGCCAGCACTGACACCCAAGCGAGCCTTGAACTCGGTGACATTTGTGATGTAGATGGGGTGCTCTTGTACTTGGGAGTGTCCGACGCCATTGGTACCGGGAGCAGCACCGGTAGAACCACCGGCGCTAGTGCTTTTCGTGGGCTCGATACCCAGTTGCTTGAGGTGCAAGCCGAGATTTTGCTCCAGCTGATCAAGAACAGGTTTTGTTTGCTGCTCGGGCAGGCTCATCTCAGAGCCCAGGAATGTCTTGAGAGCGGGCAGGATCTGATCTTCGTCGCTAATCGAGACTTGCTGGAAGGCGGAGCTTAGGCGGTCCTCATCCACGGCGAAACCAGCCGTCTCTAGTTGTTTGCCAAGAAGAGTGACCAAGCGTGTCTTCTGCTCCTTGGGTTCAGCCACATCGGCACCAGCTTGAGCCTTTAGGTAAATCGCGAGTTTGCCACGAGTGGAAGACTCGGGGTCAATCATCTGCTTGTAAAACTCGAGGATGTCGGATTTGGTCAACGTTTTCACACGAGCAGCGTCGGTCTCATTCTGCAAGAAATCAAAGTATTCCGAGCCAATATGAGTCCAGAACCGAGAGGTCTCAGAGCTCAAATTCTTGAGCTTTTCGAGTCTCTTGTTGATGACACTCCGTTTGTGGCCTTCAAAATCGTCCTCTGACATGGCCTCAAGGGTCTTTCCGAAGTTGGTCAAGAAAGCATCGATCCGCGAGTCCAGATACTGGCAAGTGCGTTCACTCTGGATGATCACACGGTAACCGATAGTTGTAGCGGAATAGCGGGCACCGCTCCAGACAACGTATCCGAGCTGTTCCTTGCTGCGGAGCTGGTCGAAAGCGGGTTCGTCGGTCATCTGAGCGAAGAGCAGAAGCTTGGCGCGCAACACCTCATCGCTGATATCTCCAATAAAGAGATAGTATTCAATACAGTGGTTGACGTTGGCCGGGTCTGTGAGAGCCCGTTCGTAGATATAATTGGATCCAGGAGGGATAATAATGTTGCGCCTCACATGCCACTGAGACTGCGGTAGAGGACGACTAGTAAGGATCGACTCCACGGTGTCAGTCATCCGCAGCGCATCCTCCTTGTATAGGTTACCGTGCGCCAGAACCTCGATGTGATTCTGACGAAGGATTTGTGGGAAGAAGCACTGAATGTCCTCGGGCTCAATATGCTCCAGCTCAGCGGCATATTGCTCATTGAGCCAATTCCTCTCCGCAGTCAAATACCGTGTATAGTCGCCAACCAGGTAGTAAGGCTGTTGGTATTCCGCGTTCTTGTATCCTCGAGACAGGCGCTCCTTAATGATATGAAAGCGATCGGGGTCAATCACCAAATCTCGCATACTCGTCATGACCTTTTCCAAAAGCACAGCCATCTTGTCATTGTATCCCCCCACCGAGATGTCTAGCCCAAATATGCTAGCGGACAGATGATAATCCAGTCCAGCAAGTTCCGCATCGTAAGAGTATTCGACCAGAGCATCTCTAACAAGTTCACAGTACAACTTTGACTTAACGAGGTTGGAAGGCGTGGCCCAGACCAATGGATTTCTCAGCGTGACATAGACAGTACCCTTTGGAACCCAGAATCGATCGTCTTTCTTGAACCAGAGACGAACGTGGTCGTCGTGGCGGATGAGCTTCGGGGTCTTCGCAGGCTCAGATACCTCCTTCTTCTCCACGGAAAGCCTAGTAGGCACGAACTCGTTCTTGTGCGGCATATGTAATTCGGGGAGTCGGGTGCTTGGGGTAGTACCCAGCGACGCACCAATTTCGATCATGAAATCCTGGGGAACATCCTCGACCTTGTACTCCGTGCCATACCACTTTTCCTTGGCGTTCCAGTCCCCGGGGTATTCCTGGGCAACAATGATCATCTTAAAATTGTCCGCACGAAGATAGGACAAAGCTTTCTTGATCGACTCCGAATCAAACTTTCTCAGCAGAGAGCCACTGAGAAGCCACTCCCTCGGCAGCGGCTTCTGCATGACACTGCTCAGCCGGCTGGTGAATCGGCTAGCGGGGGACTTCTGCTTGAAACGGAACTCGACCTCTGCCAAATTCTTCATTTCCTCGTAGATCCACTCCTCGGGCTCGCGTTCCTTGATCATTGCAATATACTGGAAAACGACTTTCACAACCTCTTGGTATTTCTTCAACCCTTCCTGGGTCAGCCGGACCGAGACAGTGAAAAACGCAGAGCCCGGGCAAATTGGCATGACACCGGCGGACAGCCCATTCGCCCAACCTTTGGCCTTGATATACGCCAGAATGCTGCCGGGTCCCTCGTGGCCGATGAGGTGGCTAATGTATCGGCTGGGCTGCGACTCATACAGGTTCTCCTCGTCCAAGAACGGGAAGTAGATGTCCACTGAACGGGTATCCATCACAGGCTTAGCAAAGATTTGTTTACACATGTCATCCGGCAGCCAGACTTGAACATCATCCCAGCGGTTTTGGGGTAGATCCTTATTCTTCACATTAGCGAACAAATCCGAAACCCACTGCTCCATCTCATCCAACGACTCCCGCCCCAGCACCACCAATTTCATTCGGTTTGCGGAATAGTGTTTTTCATAAAACTTCATGAACTCATCGCGAACATCCAGGCCACGTTTCTGAGGCTCCTCCTTCAATGTCTGAAAATTTCCCGTGGAGAAGTGATTGTAGGGGTGTGCGGGATTAGAGAGAGACTTATTTAGCTGCATCAACCGCCATAGGTCGCTCTGAAGGTTTTTCTTGTTCTCCGAGTCCACCGCGCGCATTTCGCGGTCCAGTGTAGACTCCAAGAACAGAGGCGACACGAAGAATTGTGCAAAGCGATCCAGGGCTCCGTACAGCGGCGACGAAGCGGATGAAGGTGATTCGGAGCTGCCTGGATCTGATGCCGCAGGTGTTCCATTGGTCAGGGTTCCGTTGGGTGTCGATTGACCATTGGACGCTTCCCCATTGGGTGAGGGTGTGGCAGAGACCTCGAAGAAGTAGTTGGTCTCTGTGCCCGCAGTGTAAGCATTGGAGGACCCTGAGTGAGAGGCAAGGTATTGGTTGTAGGCGTTTTCCTTAGGATACTATACGGATGGATGATGGGGTTAGTTTGGAAAATCCTTAGGTAGTTATCTGGAGCTTGATGGCGCATGATCACCAAGATACATACATACCTTGGTAGTCCCCATGAAGAGCATGTGTTCCAACCCATGGGCAAGACCTTGTAGGTCTTCCGGATCACTAAAACTTCCCACATTCACATCCATTGCGGCCGCAGCCTTATCTGTCTCCGCATCGTGAACCAGCAGCGCCTCAAGCTTGTTGGGCAGCCGGATGACTCTGTACGACCGGTCGTCCAACGATGGCTTCTCCAGACTCTCAGTAAGGCGCTCGACCGATCCCATTGTGATATTTCGAATGGAGGAGGTGGTGTGTAGAGAGGAGAGGTTGAGAGATGGGATCAGCGAAGAAGAATAGGGCGCGCGAAAGGGAAGCGAGGGGCTTCGTGGCAACGCGGAATAGGAAAGAGGGGCGATCTGCAGGAGAGCGGCGCCCAAAGACACAGCAAACGAACGATAAGGTCGGGATTGGTATGAGATGAAGGGACCTCTGGTGTTCCACAGGCGGCGAGCTGCAGAGGACCTTGGAGGCATCCAGCAAAAAGGGAGAATCGCCGCTAAGGACCGCAGACGGAGCTAGAGTTGCCGAGGATGAGGGTCAATAAGAGGAAGAGCAAGTGAGGTGGCGGTACGGAGTAGAGAAGAAAGGAAGAAAAGCTGCCAGTGGAAAGTTCAGGTTGGAAATACATAGTGGATACATAGCCGGTTGACGAAATATGTAAATAAGACTAGTCAACTCCGCATCTTCTTAGTTGCAGAGAAGCAGTTCATCTTCTTGAAACACTGCAGAAATCTTCAAAAATCTTCTTTCTTTTCTCTTTGTTTAGTTTTACTTTTTCAGGAGTCTTCCAAATCTAGATTCAAATACGAGCCTCTATTCCGGAATGAGGCTGGAATGAGGCTGATCGCCAGCCCAAGGCACTCTGTCCCGACTCCCGCATATCATCCACATGTTGTACCACAATGAGGCTCAGGAACTTGAAATATTTCTCATCAGTGATAGTTAGTCATTGCTGCGATCGAATCTCGTACTACTTTAGAAGAAAGGGACACCCAAATCATCTACTGCAGCTTTCCATGAAGTCAAGAAACATGACCTCATCCGCAAATGCCTCATCTCATGCGCGCGAGCAAGACCGAGCTAGTCTCAGACGTCAGTATCCTCGTCACCCATATGTAACGAGGGGTACTCTACTACATAGCCCTAGTCTAGTCCTTCATTGAGACCCAGGGCCGTGCAACATTTACGCTGCGGATCCAGGCGCCCTGCGGTGTTGTGACGGTGAACGGTATCCGCCACAGACAGGAAGAAATCCGACTCTTCTAGATCTGGCATTTACAACAGGTATTCGTTTGGAGGTGCCTACGGAGTATACCGCTAGACGTCCGGTGCCGGAGTTACGGCGAGTTGCTCAGGGCTTGCGGGGTCGGTCTTGGGGCAAGTTGGGCCTATAATTGCTTAGTTTCGATTTATTCTTAACCAAGTGCGTTTAGTGCTGATCTCAAGGCGGTTATTCATATTGTACAATATGAGGGGAAGCATTTCATACTAGGACGCAACATTAGTTGTAGTCGAGTGGTTTTACTTTGGCTGGTAAAGTAACAAGTAAAAGTTGTAAATATCCTTTTGCATAGATTACATAATACCTAGGTTGTATGTATTGATCTTGAAGCTCGAACCCCACAGAAAAGCACCATTATACCAACTTCTAAACATTATGATCATCATCGTCATCATCATTATCACCCATCATGGAATATCAAACAGTCACCAAACACAAACACAACCCTCTCCCTCGTTATCACTCCCACAGACCCAACATGCCATAGAGCGTATGATACATTAACACCCTGCTGCACAGAGAACAAGCTCCTTATCCGACTCCGGCTCACAGGTCTTCACCTGATTCCCACCGGGGGAAACCCCATTAGACCAGCAAATCCCAGGACACTTCGCGTTGTCCGAATGCAAAGTGACAACGTTCCCACTGAACGGTGCCCCGAAGGTGTTCGCCAGGTCGTACCACACCTGGGTCGGGTCAAGCGTATACTGATAGCTCAGCTGTGGGCTGCCATCGTACAACCCGTTAGGCGTGCGGGTGATCTTGAGAGCAATGCCACCGGAGGAAGGGTCGTGGTGGAAGGTCTCGCTGTAGGTTTGGCCGGGCTGGATGGTTTGGCGCTCACCGACAGAGCCACCGACGGACCAGAGGTAGACGGGGGCAGCGCAGTTGTTGGTGACCTTTGCGTGGCCGGTTGCGGTGACCAGGGGAGTTAGGGCAGCGAGGGAGAGGAAGACGAGGTTAGAGAAATGCATTTTTTTTTTTGTTTGGTCTGGTTATGGATTTGGTATAAATGATATGATTTGTATATATTATCTTGGAGAATGGTGGATTTTGTGTTAGAGATTGTTGGGATTGGGATTTGCTTGAGGATGTGGATGGGATGAGGGTTGTGGAAAATGCACCCCTTATATAGATTTTTTGGGGGTCCCATATCTCTTCTTGACTGCACTGCCATAGTCCCCGTCATACATCCATGAACCGAACCTCGCATTCCCCAATGCAAACAAACATAACACGGTATAAACGACTCAGCGTTCAAACACATCAGGGCAGGATCGTCGCTGTAGGGCTGATGGGTTAGGGATTCTAGAGGAGCAGGCCTAATGTCCAGTATGACTTGAGGTAAAACACGACCCTAACATTGGTCATGTTCTATAGCTCCCAAGTATAGCCTTCCGAGAAGTGCCATCTAGGTGAGGGCAAAGGTAAGACAGTTACATCCTCACCAGAGTAACCATGAGGATGACCACCATCAAGGCAACGTTGTCTTGTTTGCCAGCCTGAGAACCGTAATCAGCAAGTTACCTCATATAGACCCAATCATTATCATGTCTTATTCTTATATTGAGTGTGGGCTGTGACTTGCAAGCCCGTATATACACTGGACAGTGGAAGTTTTGCGAATGTCTCACGTACTCAGGCGAGAAGAGACCATGCGAGAACTTGGACCCGAATTCTGCTAGGCATTTTCCTTATTACTCCGGACACTACGGAGTATCTGGGCGGGCTCTTGATAACATATGAGGTCGCAATTTTTTCGTCTTCTCTCTCTCGTCTTATCCATCATTTAATGGGGTCCAAGCCAGTCAAGATGAGGATCATACCATGGGGATTAGTGCGGGAAAGCCACCATCCCCACAAACCGGATCGAAGGGAATCAAACTTAGCCCAAGCAAGGAAAAAGAAAATACGAGACTTATTGGATTCAAAGCTATCACGTTGTTTCGCTATGTTTCACTCGATACTCAGGTTGACTCAAGGATTCCGCTTTCCATAAAACTTGGCGGCGTAAAAAAAATAAAAGGGGGGGGGAGAGACAGGAACCCAGTACATCGGCCATCAGCAATTCCAACTCCTCCAAAATCGTATTAGTAAATAAGGCAGATATCGGTGTGAGACTCATTTCCTACGAAAGGAGTATCTTCACTAGGGTTTCGGGGTGGTCCCCGAACCCTTGTCCTTTGTGGGTGACCTGCTTTTAGGCTTCTCTTCTTCCGTCTCATCACTGTCGGGTTGCTCAGCACGACTTTGAATCCATTGGAACACCTCATCTTTGTGATGCATCAGCATTTCGCTGAGTCCTGACTTGGGTGACTGAAGGAGGTGGCCGTAACGCTTCGATGGTTTACGTCGGTTTTCTGTATTCTTCCATACACCGTGGGTGTGCGAAACGAAGACGAGAGAGTTCTAGGGGCTTTAGCTTTCGGTTCCTGGGCAGATGAAAGGCAACAACTCACGTCTTTATACCATCTTGATAACCAAACCTGGGTATGAGAGGCAACCGCACGAACGGGATTTTCGGCAACGAAAGAGATAACTCCGTTGACTCGCTGATAGAGTGCCTCTGTGCCTGGGTTAGCTATGCCACTAGCATGATTACCGTTAAAGTTTTACCTCTATTGATCAGAAGGTTGGCAACTCCATAAAAAGCGTTCCCGATTCCGATAAAGAATATTTCTGTGGCTTCATTGAGCCTATGAATAAGGTTAGTGTTGACGTGGCCCGTAAAAAGTATTTTTGCGCTTACTCAATATAATTATCCCAGAGGTACCCAGCTAACTCTTCAGTAGCAGTTGGTCTGTTCCCATCCTCATCCTCGTATCTACTGGACGACTTCTAAAAAGGTTAGGTCGTGGTCAAAAACTTTCAAAAGGTTGCGTGCAAACATACAGACTCTGTTGTGACATGCTTTGGGATGTTCACGTCAATAACGGCATAGCCCCTGCCAACAGCCCACTCAATATAGTCCTTCATTACATCAGCCTTGCTTCAGTCAGCATCGTCAAAGTGATGGGTTGGGGTGTGGGTTAATTACAAGCCAGCAATTGTGTGCCTCGATTTTGTTGGTAACTGGATGGGGCAATCCCATGACTTCGGGTCTGTGCAGCGGTTAGGATCTAGATCCGCAACTTTCGAGAAAATACTAACGGATCGTGAAAGAACACCAGAAGCGGAGTGGCTTGATAGTAGTTGGCACTATGAGATGTCAGCTATAGTTCTATACTCTTGCTTTTTGCACGCTCACGTCGCCAAAACTTGATTCTCAAATGACTTCGATATAGAAGTTCGATAGATGTAAAGAGAAGTAAGCTTGAAGCTATCATAAAGCTGCTTAGCCTGGTATGCGCGTATGATATCTGCACCTAGTTAATTCCTGTGCTCTTCTCTCTGCTACTGCGCTTACCATGGAGCCTGTCTGTCCACAAGCCTTCTCCTTGAGGAGCTTTCGGATACATGCAATGCCAGTAATGAGACTGGATCATGATAACCCGTCGCACCGCAGAAATCGCGGCGTCAGAAGGAGTGGTCGAAAGTAATCGGTCAGGAGGGTCTCCCATCAGGGTTTTTGTGACTGCAAGAGCAGATTTCGAGATTGATCTCAAATTATAACCGCCCTAGTTCTCGACGTCAGTCTGAGGCCAAAGAAGCATCAAGGAGAATTTTCACCTCCAAACACACGGCAACCTTGCCATGAGCTAACTTCATAAGCATATGTGTCATATGCGCGTAGCAAGCTGGTGTAACGAAGCATCCTCCGAGCTCATCACCAACAGCCGCATCAAAACCAGAAGCAACTACAACGAGTTAGCGGTGTTTGGGAACTTCAGACCTAGGTCCATACTGATCACCAAATCTGGATCAAACTCCTGCGCAATAGGCATGACCACTTGTTGAAACGCATACATGTAGTCACCATCGCCCATCCCTTGGCTTGGCCAAGGTATATTGACATTTCTATATGATGGTGAGAACGTGTTCTACGCACTTTGGCCGCGGTAATTACTAACCTTCCTGTTCCAGGCCCGGTGCCGCAGTGGTTCCAGTCACCTTCGTCTCCTCCAGGATAAAACTTTCCATCTTGATAAACATGAAGAGACATGTATAAAACATTAGGGTCATCATAGAATGCTTTCTGAATACCGTTTCCTAAGGTAAAAAGTGAGCATATACTTCAATTAGACCGCCGCAGGCTAGACGTCTAGTGTTTACCGTGATGCACATCCCTTGACTCGTCAGTGACTTCTAGTATTAAATACCAGGCGGAACACGTACCAATCAAGAATCAGAATTTTCCTACAGCTATCTCCAAGCTGTCTCTGACAAACTCGTGCTGCAACAGAAACATTGTTAAATAAGCAGAAACCCATTGTCTTGTCATGCTCCGCATGGTGCCCGGGAGGCCGGATAACAGCGATAGCATTCTTCACTTTGCGAGTTGCAACAGCCAGGCACGTTTCAATAGCGCCTCCAACGGACAGTAAGGAAGATGCAAAAGTAAGCTTGTTAAAATATATGGAATCACGTGTGTGCTCCAGAGCGATAAGCTCATCATCTGACATATCTATAGGCCAAATTAGAAACATTCGCAACAGCTTTAACTATAAAACATGAGCAATATGTACCTTTTGTACTTTCAACAAAGGCATAATGATCCGGTGTATGAACCAAAGATATTTCTTCCTCGGTCGCATTGCGTGCATTAATACGTCTAAGCGGCCGGGCCACGAGAGGCCGACACGATTCCGGGTCATCGACGAGTCCTGCTCGGCAGAGCTCTTTGAAAATGTAATAAATTCTTCTTGGGTCTTCAGGATGGGCATCTGCAGTCGGCCGTACTTCGCAATGATAGCGCATTTGAACGTCATAGCAGAGTCCTGATGGGAGCGACGCAAGCGGGAGACCAGGACGAGCAGTCGCATCCTCGTCAGACCAGTCAGAATTCTCCTCGACTAGGCTATCTTGCTTCTGAGAATCATAAGACGCAACAGCATCACTAGAATCGATTGGCTTCGTCAGACTCTTTGGTGGCGAAGCGCCCTGGTTCTCTACTGAGAGCGCATCTCCAGTCGATTGCAAGTTCACAGACCCAGCCAGCACAGGCATCTTCACTGACTGCCCCAAGAGTGGTTGGGCTAAATACGGATCAGATCCACCGTTCAGGTGGCCAGGGATATCTTGCCGAGCGGGGCCATTGCCTCCCAATTGAAGAGAAGTGGCAGATTTGGGGTGGTGAGAGCCCGCATCTCTCATGACGGTATCTTCGTCCTCTTCCATGGTCATTGCGGCGAAATCCGGATACGCCTTCTATTTCTCCCTTGACCCAGCAGAAGACAGCTGTGATACTAGTGTCTCATGGCCAAGCCCGCAAAGGAGAAATAGAAAAGCCCTCGAAATAGTTTCCCACGTAGGGACGGCAGAGGTAATGACCAGAGCAATAATTACCCGGGAGAAAGGGGAATGAAGAAAGACTTTCAATGCACCCAAGACAATTTTGAATCTGCGAAAGGTAGGAAAGCCTTCAACAATGAAACAGGTAGCTCTAAGCAGAGATGGGGTTGGGAAGAGCAAGGAAGTAGATAGCTCTAGATGCAAAAGCCCGATTGTCGCACAGCAACAAAGGTAGAATCAGATCATTGGACGCCGTGCCAAGGTGAATCAACGACAATGAGTATAGAATCTAGGTATTTTCGAAATCTAGGCTATTGAACCACAGATGGCTAAGGATACTGCAGTCAGCGCAACTGGCGCACCACTGGAGCAGTTCTAGTGTAGCAGTTTGGTTCCTGTAGCTCTACGAGGTTTAGGTCGAGAACTACCGGACGAACAATGCGCACGTGATTTTATATGGCTGACTCAGCGCTTTAGTCCCTTGATTGTATTTCCCTCCCGGGGGATACAGCTCGGCGTGGGTAGAACTAGCGCCAACAATTTTCTACCCACGCCGAGCTGTATCCCCCCCCCAACCCACCAACCAACACACCACATTGTCATGGCATTAATCATTTCACACCTAATTGACATTTAAAGGGGCGTCAGGATTATGCTCGCTTCTTTCTCGTAAGATCACATACAAGTCCGTCCTGCAGAACCAACCACTCATTCTGAGTCTTCCATTGCGGCTTCGCGTCAAGCTGCTTTTAAGGCCAAACATGGACAGCATATTACTGGCCAAACATACGCAGGAGGTTAGGTACCGAGTAGGGTAGCAGCATATCTACCCGTAAATACAACCCGGCAGCGAGGAAGGAAGACGCCGTATCGCCACACCTACAATTACAAGAAATGAAGAGTAAACATATTTTATCGTTGTATATCTCATTAAAATAGTACGTTATCATGCGATTTTGTGCCAAGACCCCTCATGCCTTACATGTCACACAGTGCATGCTAGTCCTTCATAGGCACCGGGTTAGGGTCGAGTCAGTCATTGTTAGATGGCGTAGTCCGAATGTTCAAGAAGACTCCATTATAGGACACTTCTTGCATCTGGTCTCCGACCTGATTCCTATTGGGAATCAACCTTGGCAATGTAGGCTAAAAAAAAAGTCAGTGAATGAAATGGTCTAAATTTCCGCAGTAGTTGGAAAACTTACAGATAAGGTCAACAACACGGCGGGAGTAGCCCCACTCGTTGTCGTACCAGGAGACGAGCTTGACAAAGTTGGCGTTGAGGGCAATACCAGCCTTAGCATCGAAGATGGAAGAGTGGGTGTCGCCGTTCATGTCGCTGGAGACAACATCGTCCTCGGTGTAACCGAGGATTCCCTTGAGCTCACCAGCAGAAGCCTTCTTGATAGTCTCCTTGATCTCGTCGTAGGTGACGCCCTTCTCGAGGCGGCAGGTCAGGTCGACAACGGAGACGTTGCAGGTAGGAACACGCATGGACATTCCGGTAAGCTTGCCGTTGAGGGAAGGAATGACCTTGCCAACAGCCTTAGCAGCACCGGTGGAGCTAGGGATGATGTTCTGGGCAGCAGTACGTCCACCGCGCCAGTCCTTGTTGGAGGGAGCATCGACCACCTTCTGGGTAGCAGTGTAGGAGTGGACGGTGGTCATGAGACCCTCAACGATACCGAAGTTGTCGTTGATAACCTTGGCCAGGGGGGCAAGGCAGTTGGTGGTGCAAGAAGCGTTGGAGAGGACGTTGATGTCCTTCTTGTAGCTGTCATTGTTGACACCCATGACGAACATGGGGGCATCAGCAGAAGGAGCAGAGATGACAACCTTCTTGGCACCACCCTTCAAGTGGGCAGAGGCCTTCTCGGTGGTGGTGAAGACACCAGTGGACTCGACAATGTAATCGGCACCAGCCTCACCCCAGGGAATGGCAGCGGGGTCACGCTCAGCGAAGAAACGGACCTTCTTGCCGTTGACAATGAGACCTTCCTCGTAGGTCTCAATGGTGCCCTTGAACTGACCGTGAGTGGTGTCATACTTGAGCATGTAGGCCTGTTATAGAAGCAGAGGGATTAGTTTCAGAGCTTTGGGGAGTTTGAGCGTGAAAAAAAACCTTACAGCGTAGTGAGTCTCAATGAAGGGGTCGTTGACGGCAACAACTTCGACAGCATCGCCGGCCTCGATGCTGGAAAGAAAGAATGTTAGGATAATTCAATACAAAGAGTCCCGAATTTTTTGATTTTGTTTTTTCTTGGCTGGGGCTGTTGGGTGAAACCACCGAATCCAGAGATTACTTACGCGTTACGGAAGACCTAAGGGGGGTTGTTAGTGATACTGCGGGGTAGATAGGAACGACAGGAAGATAACTCACAATGCGTCCAATACGACCGAAGCCGTTGATACCAACCTAGAAATAACAAGTTAAGTAAAAGATAGAAGAGTAGGAGGTTCATAGAGGGACAGATCGTACAGTAGGAGCCATTGTTTGGGTATCTGTTCAGTAGGCGGGGTAGCTGTTAGCAAACTGTAAAGTAGATAAAGCAGAAGGTGAAGAAAGAGAATGAACAGAAGACAGAGACTTACTTAAGAGGTAAAAGGATGATAGTTAGGATAGAAAGTAGAGAAGAAGAAGATGATGATGATGATGATGATGAGAGAAAGAAGAGAGGAAGAAGAAAAAAAGAGCAACGGCGGGGGAGGAGCAGTAAAAAAAAGGGAAACGCGGTGGACTGACGCAACGACCTGGCCTGGTCAGGAGTACCTCCTGAGAAGCTGCGGCAACATCCCACCTAGCTTTTCGCCAGCCTTTGCCCCAGTCTGTCCATCCGGTGTGTGGAACCTCTTTTTTTTCTTTCTCCGCCAGCTGCCACAATAACAATTCAACGAACAGAAAAGCTACTGAGGTTCCAAGGCCGGACGACTTACGCCGCAGAGTCTGGCCCCCCAGCAGCCTTTCCGGTTTCATACACCGGGCAAAGCAGGAGACTTGCGATATTTACAGCTGTGCTCTGCCCGTGGTAGCTGCCGGATGGACCAATAGGCAGCCTACAGATTTACCATCGGTACTCGCACTGTTCGAGGTACCATTCTCGTGAATAATGTTTTGCCAGATGATCGGAATGCATTGGGTTGGAGTCTCGGAGGGGACGGTTATTCCCGCTTTGTTCTTTCTTTTCTCTTAGCCGAAAATCTGGAGCACTTGGTCAGTATCCATGTCCATGATATCGATTCATGATGCAATAAATGAGGGGCTGCCCGGCCTTTCCGCTTTTGGACTGGTTCTCTTATGGAACGGAATAGCTATCTTCCATCCGTCTTCCGCCCCTCCTTTCGAGGCTGGATCTCGAGGTTTCCCTTCACCGCAGACCAAGAAGTACTCCCTACTACTCCAGAAGTGGTGGGCGGTGGTTCTGGCATCCGGGATCTATTATTATTAATACTTAGCCATGATTATTCCCAAGATCTCTCCGTGCTCCAGAAAGATTCACCGGTACCTTCATCCAGGCTCACGGGTTCAATCACAATTTTTACATTGGTGGAGTTTAGCATCGACTACCTCGGCCCTTGCTGCACTGCCAACTCTGCGTGTGTGGAAAGTGAGTCAAATAATAAGCACCGTCCTCCGTCTCGTATGAGAAATCAAGCAGGCAGGCATTGAACTTGTGGATGTCATTCGATGGCTTCCATGGTCAAGCACAGCTTATATTACTGATGACTATGTCAGACTCACAATATGCTAACTATCTAATAATTTCCTAGCTAACTAACCAGTTGACTAACTATTAACTATCAGTTTTGTCATCCATAAATCCCCCCCACAACTTGGGGGTTCCCGGTGTTTGTTTCAAACCGGAACCAGAGTTCAATCACCAGGGTCAAAAAAGGTATGTATATTTAAATCGATAATCCCCTCTATATTTGCTTTTGTAATGCCTGCAACTCTGTCTGGCGATACGAGATCAGCCCACGCCTGCGTCCAGTGTCCCTGCTGCCGCCTCCTGCAGGGATTCCCGGCAGTGGCACAACGCCCAGTCTCACCAGCGATGATGATGTATACTGTCACTGAACCTATCAGGAGCCACCTAGAACTTCTTACATTTCACGTTCATAAGGGGACATGCCATCTCTAGATCGAAGATTTTATTCATGCAATAGTCATCCATGATCAGCTGCGTATTAACATGTGGAGCAATATGTTCCTTCAATTTGAAGCTACCAGGAAGAGCCCAGCAAAACCAGCCAGAAATGCAATCCAAGCTAGACTTTCTTCGTCCCATGACATCGTATCTATAAATACAAATACAATAGGCAGCTTGACCACCCCCTTGCGCTCTTGTTGAAATTCTCGAACTTACTCCTCCTTGACACCGCCCCGCCAGTTCTTCTCTGCGCTCTCAAGAGAAGCCTTGTCCGTCTTGACCTGGCCCTGGTTGAAGAAGCTGTTGGCAGCCTTGAATGGGCGCTGGAGGTCGCCAGTGGCAGGCTTTCCGAAGACGTGGATCTTCACCAGGTTTGCCTCAAAGGCACCCTTGAGGGGGATGATCGACTGGATCAGAAGGGGGTTGGTGTACTTGAAATAAAGATGCATCACACCCATCATTCCAACACCCATCAGCTGGCTCTTAATGAGCTGGCGCAGCTGTCCCTTATCGTACTCCATGTTGGTGGTGGTAACAGGCCGGGCCTCTTCGCCGCTGCCAAGAGGAGCAGGCTCGACATATTTCAATGTAGTGAGATCTAAATCATCAAGTAGAGTCAGCTGTGTTGACCAGAATATATGTACCGAAATTTTAAACCCACCATTCCTCTTGTTGATCTTTGCCTGAGTATAAAGATAGAGGCCCAGGATGATCACGTTGGACAGGATGTAAATGCCGCGGACAAGGAGCAGGACATCCGGGTTATCAAAAGGAACCTTCTTCGCCAGCTGCATCATCACCACGATGATGGCCAGGTTCGTTCTGTAAATTACATGACTCGTCAATATCAATTCAATGGGTGATGTCAAATCTAGGAGTGGGCTTTGGCTGATCCTCCCGTGCGAAACAAGCGTTAAAACAAAACAACAGTGCGCAGAATAACATACACTTGAGGGTTCACCATTTTGACAGCGGTACTAAGGATACCCGAGGAAGAGAATTGATATTGGCGCACGAAAAGACCGAAAAGGGGTAGAGGTTGAAGGTCAAAGGACACGCGAGCGAGAGCAGAAACTTCCCTCACGCTGTGGCGCTGGGGATTCGTTCGGGGTAGCCGGACAACTGTCCTGATAGACAGAGTGGTCACGTGCGCTCCGACCCTTCCAGAATTTCGCTCGGCTGATAACGCGATAAGGCGGAATTCCCACTTAATTAATGCCTCAGGTGCCAAAATCACCTGGCTGCTTAGGTAACGCCCCTACTAACAATCGTCGACTCACACAAGTCTCCTACCCCATCTTTGCTGTGTATCTGGGTCGTTGAATAGCATCCAACTTTGGAGCTGTCTTGGGAATATACAGTTAAAGACAAGACCTTTCCTACTAAAAGACTCATGCTTCATGTTATGAATTCTCCCCCCAACATGGCATCTTTGAGAGCCAAGTCGTTACCGAGCGACACTGACGGATGACGCAGCTGTCGAAAGGCCATCAGTTACCAAGCTTGAGGTATCTCTTCTAATCTTTTAGCTTGAACTGGTTTATAGAGCTCTATATCTCCTCTCTGCAGCCATGGGTTTGTCATTTCCTGTCTTCCCTGTTTCATTCGTCGACTGCTGAGCTTTCATATCGAAGCATCACCGTGATTGAACTGACACCTGAGATGATTTCCTAATTAGGACTAGTGTACTCTTGCTCTCAACGCCATCTTTAGCGACCAGGATGGCTTTGGCATTTCTGACTCCTTCATCCATCAACAACGCGCGTGCCTTGAGTGTATTGGTTCCCTTCAACATCCACCATCACGCTCCATCGAACCTGAACTTTGATTGACGCGATATTTTCGTCCCTGCGACCCCGAATCTCCACACTTTTTAAAAATGCCCGGCGGAAAAGGAAAGTCTATCGGTGGAAAGGCAGGATCCAAGGACTCTGCGGGGAAGACTCAGAAGTCCCACAGCGCGAAGGCTGGTCTGCAGGTTAGTAGTCTACATGTCCATTCATCAAATTTTGTCTAGCACTCTCGTCCGATCGCGATTTTATGGCATCGCGCCTATCCGAGGTTCCTGAAATCGCACATTTTATTCGCCTCTCTGTACACTCCCTTCTCTATCGATGCATTATACTCAATCCGAAAATTTTTATTCGCGGTGTTTTTATCACTTTAATATCAATTTTTTATTTTATTTTTCGAACGCTGCCTATTCTGCCTACACTGTAGACTTGCTTGATCACATGTGCAGATCAGATTTTCATTCTCTTGCGTGCCTTGTCAGTTCTTCGCAGTGCTAACTATTGATGAATTCTCGCAGTTCCCATGCGGTCGTGTCAAGCGTTTCTTGAAGAACAACACCCAAAATAAGATGCGTGTTGGTGCCAAAGGTATGATGACGCGATGTGTACCCCTCACAGGTTAATCGGAGCTTTGCTGACGTGCGCGTACACTTTAGCTGCTGTCTACGTAACTGCTGTGCTTGAGTACTTGACTGCAGAGGTGCTTGAACTTGCCGGAAATGCTGCCAAGGATCTTAAAGTCAAGCGTATCACCCCCCGCCACCTGCAGCTTGCAATCCGTGGAGACGAAGAGTTAGATACCCTGATCCGCGCCACCATCGCCTTTGGTGGTGTCCTACCACGTATCAACCGTGCGCTGCTGCTCAAGGTGGAGCAGAAGAAGAAAAACAAGACTGAGGCGTAATTACGGCGAATACCCCACGAATATGGCGTTTGTTAATGATGATCGAATGGAAAGGCTTTGGGATGTACCCAAACAGTGGTCATGAGGACTGGCTGGGTTCCAGCTTTGCAGGCCAGGGGAGTGCGGATGCATTCCCGCTCGCTTCTTTTCTTCCACAACGCTGCAGTTCAAATGCTTCTCCGCCTTCTCCTCGTTGTGGCCTTGATCTTCTTCTTCTTCTTCTTCTTCTTCTTCTTTTCTTTTCCTTGTTCCATCTATTTTCCTCTTGTATGTGTGCTCCCGTTCATACCGTTTATCTCGAGTTACCTAGGGCGCTGTAATGGGAAAAGGGGAAACCTCGGTAGTTGGCCATCTTTTATTCTACTGTCTGTTTTTCCCTTATTTTTAATCTTTTAGTTCCTTCATTCAATTGATTCACGGGGTTTACGTGTTGCAATTTGTGTATTTCTATGTCGATAAAAAGCGAGCGAAGAAAAGCAGAAAGAAAAAAAAAAAGTGATGAATTCGTCATACACAATGAACTACTGCAGCTACAGCAGGTATATATATATATATATAGCCCTGGTAGTACAACACTACTTGGAACAATATCAACAACATTTACGTTATAGTACGAGATATGAAGATAGATAAATGGAAGAGTTCTGATTGCAGATAGAAGAGCCAATCCCACCGGAGTACAAACAGGAGATGGAGGCATATTTCTGGAAATAACACAACATACCTGAGGCATGGGAGGTGTTGCCCCGGTATCAAGGGTAAAAAAAGGGACACATCCACCTGAATCAGCAGCTCCTGAAACGCAAACGTTCGCCCTGTGTTTCGCCCATGTCCCTTATCCATAATGCAAGTCGTAAACGAATCGCACAACTAGCCCAAAGGGAGTCAAAAAAAGGGATAAATGATTTGAGAAGCATGCATCTCGTGAATGATACGCTGAAAGTGTCTACCGCACTTTCAGCTCCTCAAACTCGGCTTCCATAAAAACAATTAGAGGTACAGCATAATAATAATCACGAAACATGAAAAGAGGAAAGAAAAAAGCGAAGAAAAAAAAAGATAATAAAATAGAGTAGGATAAGAGCATTAAACAATGCAAGTCGCCCGATATACAAAATGATCCAAAAAGTAATGCAAATGCCGGGTCATCTCTCTTGCCATACTAACAAACACATTGGTATTCTTTTTGGTCGTTCTTCGTAGTCTTCCTGATATGTTGTTGGGTTTTTGAATTTTGCTTTCTGTCGATAGACACATAATCGAAATAAAATGGAGGGAGAAAAAAAAAATCGAAAAGGAATAAAAAAAAAAAAAAAAGGTAATAATAGGGGGGAGAGGGGTAATGGTGCATCCACATGCAAGGCGCCCGCGTCTCAAAAGCCCAAAAGCTTTTATTTTGCGTGATCTCGTTCTTCTGCGAAAACTAGGAGAAACATAAAAAGAGTCCGTTTAAACAGCGTGCCTGTAGGGCTGCCCCAAAATAACGTCTAAACTTGGCTGGATCAGAGAATATTCTTTTTTTTTTTGGTGGTGTGGTTCTCTTGGTTGAATGTCGTCTCATCATCCCTCATCGAATCGTAAGCCAATAATCGCGGGGAAAAAAAAAAAGGATCAGGCCTCGTGATATAAATGTCGTATGCGTCTTTCGGTAAAGCAATCTAACAATTTTCGTCGTCTTCTCATCTCCCGTAAAATGGTTACTCCACAATGATTTCGACACCGGAACTGGTGCGTAATTCGTCACTACCACGGGACTGGTGTCCATTCTGACGTCGGAATCCTGGGCCCTTTTCGGGCATGGGGCCTCTCGGCTGCCTAATGGGCATGCGCTCCTGTGACTGACCGTCAAATCCAACTCCGATGGTTCGGTTACTACCAATGGGTCCAGCGCTGGAAGGTTGGCTTTCCTCCCAAGAGAACATACCCCTCAGTCTCCTTGGACTCGAATTTGGTCCTCCAATCCCAGTACCCAAAGAAAGGCTGCTCAAACTGTTGACTAACAGGTTATCGTCGCGCTGCATGCCGAGAGAGGAACCTGATGGAGCAGGCGTCAAAGTTGGCGTGTTGGAAGCACCACTGGTGGCACCATCATAGTGCTGAAGACGTGTGCCGTTGGACTGAAGTGCGGCCGGGAAACTTGCAGACGATGGGACTGGAGATGGGGTGTAAGAGCGCAGGTCCGCAAAGGACTTGGCTGCACGCAAGTTTTGCGTGTTTCCAAAGCTGCTTGGCGAGTCCAAAACGCCCAGGAACCCGGAGGGTTGTCCACGTAGAGTACCAAAATGGGCCGGTCCCTCATTACGAGCCTCACTGAAGTCAATGGTAGCCGCACGGTTGAGTCCACGGCGAGCGGTCTCCGCAGGTTGGACCGCAGCCGGAATAGAGGACAAAGGGGGGCTCACGTTGGTGCCGGGAGCAACCTTGAATACCTGAACTTGGCGCTGATCGCCAGACCCACGAGAGGCATGGCCCAAACCCATGTTGTGAGCAAGAGTGTGAACAGTGCGACGCTGAACGGGGGAAAGGTTGGCCGGGAAGATCAAAGTATCGCGACTAGGATCTTCCTTAAACAACAACAGCTGCGAGTAGTACGACAGAGTAGTACTATCGTTCAGATCGACATCTGCGAGGTGAAGGGAAGGATTAGAGGCGTTACGAGGAGCTGATTCAGGTCCGAAACCGAACTTACCCAGCTTTTGACCACGCTGAGAGACTGGAGACGGGGAAGTGGCCGGAATGTGCGATGTGAGTGATGACATAGAACTCTGGGTCTGAAGCTGAGAAGTTGCCATGGGCCGATGTTGTTCCTCGAGCTGACCGCGACGCTCACGCTTCTCGCGTTCGATGCGTTCGCGTTCCTGCAGGGGAAGCATCTTTTTGTACTCGACCCGGAGTTTACGCCCCTGAAGCTCAAAGTGGTTGAGGACCTCAATCACGGTCGCCGTTTCCTCCGCAGACGTAAAGTTGGCGAATGCAAGCCCGCGAAACACGCCATTGTCAAAGTGGTAGTTGAAGGCATAAGGGAGGGGAAGATTCAATTCAGTCATCAGCTGGACGAGCTGCTCCTTCTTCACCGCAAATGGGATGTTCTTGATAACAATAGCAGTGGGAATCAATTCGTCTTCCGACTCCGATGGGCCGGTAGTTTCCGGACGCATCGAGTTACCTGGAAGGGGGTTGGACCCGAGATTGGAAAATGGACTAGGGATGCCTGGTTGCTGATCCAGCCATGTCTGGATTAAAAGAGTTAGAATAACAAAATAGAGGGGAAAAAAAAAAAAAGGGGGGGGGGGGGGGGGGGGGAGTGGATTCAGGAAACAAGACAGACTAGAACATACCGTTGGAAGACCTGCCCGACCAGTGCGAGAAGTAGTCTTCAGACTGGCCGATGCTGAGCGAATACCCCCAAGGCTCTGAGCGTTGGCAAAGCCATTTGGATTCCAAGTCTGCGAACCGGAGAGATCATAGGTATAGGAGTTATTGTGCAGCGACGGATTCAGGCGCTCCAGTCGACCGGTATCGTAGCGAGCCATGGGGTCCTCGTAAAGGTTGACCGGCATTGGACCGTAGGCATCAAACTGTCGCGACGGCTGGCGATGCAGAGGCTGTTGATGGCGTTGAGAGCCAGGAGAACGCGCTGAGGAATTGTCGTGATACATATCCTGGGCTTGTTGGTAACTCATGGTGGCTACGAACCGAGAATTCCTAACAAGCAGCTAAACCGAGGAATGTGACACTCGAAGCCCACCACAACAATGCCGTTGAAGAGTATCCCGATAGACAAAAAAAAAAGAGAGCGAAAGAGAGTTTAAATGGACAACTCAACCATAGGAGCGATCAGGTAGATGGAGGGACAGCCGAATTGGAAAAAAAAAGAAAACGAAAAGGCGGAAGACAGTTCAGGTGAGGCCAGTCACGGGATGTTGCAGACCACGTTTGATGGACGAAGCACGAGATTTGAGCGGGATTTCGATTCTGGGAAGGGGAACGTCGAGGGTGTTGAAGAACACGGGAGAAAGGAGGGGGGTCAAAGAAAGAGTCTAGGACCCGGGATTGAAAGGCGGATGGCAGGAGGGAAATTAATGATCTTCAATAGCAAGAATGGAGGAGATTGGCGACTTTTTTTTTTTTTTTTTTAATTCCCTTCTTCCCCTAGGGGCATTGGGAGAAAACAAGAAGGGGAAATAAGATGCGGTAGGAGGGATACCGTAATAAAAAAAAAAAAGAATCAAAAAAAATGAGGAACAAATCAAATAAGAACAGGAAAAAGAAAGCCTCGCCACAACCTAGGATGAAGAAGGAGAAACTCCAGAAGAGATGAAGATGAGGGGAGAAGAAAAGGGAAAAGAGAGAGAGAAAATAATCCCGGAAGACGGCGACCGCTTAGTGACTCTTTTTAGTAGCAGAAGTGGTGACTGCTGGACTGCCTAGTGATAGATCGTTTTTATCAACAACCTTCCACCAAATAATACTGAAGAGAGATGGGTTTCTCTTCCCGATCTGATTTCACTGGAACCAGAACAACAACCAGGTATGAAGTAGGTATGAAAGGGAGGGGAGAATGTTCCGTTGAGCGAATAGAAGGAGTAGAATCCAATCTTTGCAGGCGTTTTTGCAAGCGGAAAAAGGGGACGACGGGACGATGAACGGGGAAACTTGAAGATCGAGAGCTTCTGATCCAGTGGAAAGTCTCGCACTAAGATTTTTTTTCTTTTTTTCTTGGGGGTTTGCACTTTGCAGAGGAATTGATAATGGGACCACCTTGGGTTTGGCTCTCTGTTCGTACCACTATCCGGTATGATAGATTGATCACCGTTCCCTATTTCCCTTCACTGGAATGGATTCTTCTAGGTTTCAGCTCTTTTCTTCTTTCTCCGGTATAGGTAATCGGGAAGGGAGTCTGACTCCTATTGGATGATTGGAGGACTGGTAATAAATACCTAGGTAGATAGTAAGTTGTCAATAAGAGAAAGAGAAAGAGAGAGGAAGGGTAGCTAATAATACTTACTCTGTCCAGGTGATAGAGAAGAACTTGAAATGTAAAGGAGTAATAAGTAGGTCTACCAATAGACTCTGGAGTATTCCCGGGAAATGCTGGTGTACTTATGGGAGTCTCAAGTAGCTCGAAGCCATTCTTCTTCTTTCAAGTTACTCCGTGGCTCTCGTATCAAATTATTCCATGTGTCTTTCTATCCTTAAAAAAGATCAACTTAGGTACTGAATACTAATAATACTACTACTAATAATAATAGTCATGGGAATAATAATAAAAAAATAATAACAATAAATAAAATCAAATATAAAAATAATAATAATAATAATATTATAATAATAATACTCGTGCCCACTGCCTAGAGAGCTTGGGGACGGGGCCCTCGTACTGGAGATTGAACTACCGCGTAATTCTATCCTCCTTCCTTCCCCTTAACCCTGAGCTCTGGGTTCGAGAAGGAATCATTTTCCTGAGAGTAATTTCCATCTTATTAAAGACTTTCCTGATACGCTGGAGAATGCCTTGCCAGATTGGTCTCAAGCATCAAATCGCTGGGTAACCCTACCACACCAGACCTCCTAGTAGTTACTCTTTAGCCAGACAGTAAGCATACCAAGGGAAAAAGCAGGAAGATTAATCTCCCACAGAAATTCCGTCTTTCTTTTCTCCGAATTCAGTCTCTTTATTACAGCTCTTCCAGGTACGCAATGCAATACCTGCCTACCGGGGACAGTGGTTGGATCTCCTGAGTCTTTCGAGGCAGTGAAAAGCAAACACTGCCCCGAATTTCATCATTCCTGGGCGACCAGAAGGGGAAAGGATGGTAATTCTGTTAATTATAATCTCATTAGACTCTGACACACGAGCGTGGAGATCGATGCTCTTTCGTTCTCCTTGTCGGGGCTTTTCCGGGAAGCCGGTGGCCATTGAAACATCTTCATCCAGCTCCTTTCTCGTTTCCCAAGAGGCACTAGCAGTTTTAGCTTCTTTGCTTCTTTACTTACCTTTTTTTTTTTTTTTTTTTTTCCCTTTTTCCCCCTTGTATCAACTTCTTCTCCGAACGTTCCTGTTGAATGGGTTCTGACCTTCTGGGTTCTCACTCCGGGAGTGTTCCATGGCTTCCATGAGTCGAAGCTATTCAATCGGTGGGTTTATTGGGGATCCGCCGGAGAGTGGGTAAACCCACTTCTAGATTGACCTGATCTCCTCCCTGAACAAGGAGCTCATCAATGCTCATGGCCACACGAGCTCGGACAACGGAGGACTCAAGACTTCCCCCTCCTTGGAGTGGTTTCCTGTGCTAGGTAGGTCATTGTCATTTCACCCATTGTAACTCAAAATCAAGAACTTTGCACATATGATGATGTGATGTGATGTTCAACCTAGAACGGCATAAAGAATTGTACCTGTCTATCGGAAATGAGATCGACCCCTGATAGACCATACTGATCACCTCCCTTGCCGCCAACAGTCAGCCATCCAAAGACAGTTGCTGTGACGGCAACAAGTCGTACTCTGGTAAGTATCTGTACAAATGGACACGACCCTACTATCCTTGCTGTCCTTAATCGTCCTTCGATTTACTATTATTATGCCATCTACTTGACACAAGTCCCCTCTCCGGGAACCTCCGCGACTTTCCCCCCGAGCGAGAGATGACTAGCATTCTAACCGGTGCACTTCACATCCATACTACTTTCCTACTATTGGCAGCCCCCTTTTCACATTTTACCTAGTTATTTGACGACGAAATGACCCATCATCTCCAGCCAATAACAGAGCTACTGCTCCGACAATCCTTTGGAGAGTAGCCCATTATGGGGTTTCCTCATTCCCTCATCTGCCCCTCCTTCCTACCTTGTACGTATCGATACGCAGTTCCTCATTAATCGTATGGGAACAGACTGCATAGGTAGGAATAGTGGACAGCTCGACTACTCCGTACGGTGGCGATGCGGCACAGCCAATTCCCAAGCTAGAATCCGCTAGACCGTCACCAGAACTCTTTGGATGGAGCCGTCCGACTATTGTTCGGCGGAGCGCACATTTAATACTACTAAACCCTAACTACTACCATACTAGGCTCTAGCCATGTCCTCCTATGGAGCAGCGGAGCTTCAGCATCTGTCACCTGTCACTTCATAGGGACATTGGGGTACGCACAACAATCTTCGGGGCTTCTAGCTCCGTAGCAAGCAGCACCCAGTTTCACCATTAATTTAAGAAATTGGGTCCGGGTCAACCCAGTAGCGTGGCTACTGGGACTTTTTTTTTTTTCGGTTTAAAATCCACCAAATATTGACGAAACCGAGGTCCTGCGGTTTACCCCTTAGGATAGGGAAAGAACCCTCCTAATTATGCAGAGTACGGACGCAGTACCTAGGTACTTACCTAGGTACGGTGCTCATTGTCATTGCGAGTACTGCCTCAGGGTGGTGTTTATACCAATCATATGCTGGATGTGCCTTGGGAGGATGTCTGGTTTTTCCATGACCTGTCTACCAGTACAGTCAGTAACTATTTACATTTGACTGACAGAAGACCAATAGCTATATTTGTGACAAATCTGATAAGTCCTTACCAAAGAGATACTTGGGCAGTTCCCGACGCATTCGAAAACCGATCCATTTCCGGCTGCTTAGTAGTGCTCAGGAGAGTCGCCTCCGTACTCACATCTACCATCAATGTGCAAGCACCAGACGGGCTACGCAGTTGAAACAATAATCTTAGGATAGCGCGACTTACGGATTAGGACCCGGAACGGTTTTGACCCTTTAACGGATTGGCCACCTGTCTAGGTAGGTTACAGGTATGGCCATGGTGATCGTTGGAGTAGCACAGCTGAGTCTTGATCGTGAATTTAAACCAGGTACCTACGGAGTACTCTGTAAAATGGAGAAAATCTCTTCTCCATTGGACGAGAATGAGAACTGCATCCCAAACCAGACCTATCTCGTCCGCTTGCAAGTGGAATTTTGTTTTTCTGCGTTCTTTTCCTTCTCACATGCAGACAGATAGATGTCCCTAATGCAAAGCAAGCAATCCGTACGCCACATCGGCTACCCAACAGTCGCCACAAGCTGCCCAGCGCCCACTCGACAAAAAGCAACTCCTTAGGTAGGTAAAGTACTGACCAAAAAACCCCTTTCTTTCTTTTTTTTCTAATTGTACGGGTACACCGTAAATCAAGTTGGTTCGAAATCAAATCTAAATACGGTATGGTATACCTACTTCGGTACGTGTGGGCGCTGTTTAAGAAACTATAAATCGTTCTCTAGACTAAATATAAAAACGCCCTGGGCTTACTAGACCTAATATTGTTAGTGAAGGTATCCAGTACTCCGTACTCCGTACAGACTACAGAGCACCGTGACCGTACTGCAATGTCTCACTTACTCCGTACTTATGTTACCCTGCTCTGGATCCCATGCAAGGGTTCCGTCGAGGTTTGGATTCTACGGAGGATTCCAAGCTACTACTAGTAGTACTAGTGCTACTTAGTAGAAGATGTGTACAGTACAGTACATACGGAGAGCAAGTAAGAAAGTACGTAAGACAGTCATACGAACTGGCAAGTACTGTATATAAGCTGGGACTCAACTTTTGATTTCGATCTTTCAGGGGAATATCTCTAGCTGAAATGATAAAAATGGAATACAGAATGCGATACGATCCGGAACGGCGAGCGTAGTCTCCCAGCCGCTACTTCAACTATGTAGAGTACGGATAATTCAGTCTTAAACCTCTATGCTGAATGTACCTCCTACTACGTACAGATAACCTGGTGTCGCGACGCTGTGCTGTACATTTCCCTACTTAGGATTGAACTGTACATAACCTTACCGTCAAGGTCATGGACGTCAAGATCGAATTAGAATTTAGTCTGGGTTCCAACGCGGATACAGCCCTTGCATGGTTACTATAGCTGCACGTGTATATTCACAAAGGTTTTCTTGTAGATAAGGTCCGGTCAATTTCTTGCCATTTGATGGAGCGCGTTCAGTCGGTAGTTCTAGACAGCGTCAGATGGAATAACTACATAGGAAAGTCATTGTTAACTACGCAAGTCGGCTGACACTTGCATATATGTACGGAGTATATAGGAGTGTACATAATTTCTCCCAGGAGTTACTCTACGACATTATAATTGTATTGTCCGTAGCAGGAGCTAAAACATTAACATCACTACCATTCTCACTAATAAGTATTGTAACCTGATTGTCTAGAATGTTCTTCATATTGGCCATTCCGATGCACTCGGCAATATGTCAACATCTTACAACCAAGCAACCACGCCCAAGCCCATAAGAGCAGCTAGAGAAGCAGTCTTGGAGATATGGGGTGCTGCTGCTGCTCCATTCCCGCCGGGTTCGGCATTGTTGTTGTTATTGCTACCGCTGTCGCTATCGCCGTTAGAATTCTCATTTGTAGAGTTGGACTCGGTCGAGGATGGAGTCGTATCAGCAGTAGATGCAGAAGTAACCGTAATACTTGCATCTGTCGTGCTGCTACTGGTACTGCTACTGGTGCTCGCGCTCGTAGTCTGACCAACAGACGCATAGCTCGTAGTTGAAAGATTGCAGGAGGTAAGGATATCGTATGCGTCTACTAAAGTTAGTTGCTTTCTTGAAAAACAAGCACCTGAAGAACGACGTAGCTTACCGTTGTCATGAGGGTTATTATCGTCGTCATCATCATCATCATCATCATTTCCATGGAGTCCGTCACATAGATTCGCGATGCCGACGGTAGAAATGATGTAGACGTAGAAGGTCTTCCCGAGGGATAGAAATAAGCTCGATATGGGATGCCGAAGTATATATATACATATACAGTAGTACACCTTGCACAGCCTCTTACAAGGGGGTAGATCTGCGGAAAGATATCCTGCCAGGCAATTAAATAGAAATAATGTTGCCTGTGTAGAAATTCTACTTGGAACAGGGCAGGACTTGGATTGGGTCTTGGTCTAAATTCCCGGTCTTATACATATACCAAGGTACATGCTGTTAGTCCGATGAGATCAACAGCTTGTTTTTGGCTTGATTGGCGGAAACTCCCGTTTTTGCCCCCCTCAGACGTCAGCTTAACCTGCTCCAGTTTCATTGTATCAACACCATAGCGAAGACCCTAGTCATATCCATTTATTCTGGGGAAAATAAAGCACCTACTGCAGACCACTATGGCTCGAGCTACCCTAAGTAAGGTGTCCTGGGATGGCTATGTGCTTCGTTCTGTTCAGAATACGACCCCCACATTTCTACCCACCTTCATTTACGGCACAGCATGGAAGAAAGATCAAACTGCAGATTTGGTCCATCAGGCTCTCGGGGCAGGATTCCGAGCTATCGACACGGCAGCTCAACCTAAGCATTATCGGGAAGATCTCGTGGGAGAAGGGATCCGTCGCGCTCTCGGCCACGGGACAGTGCGTCGGGAAGATTTATATGTATGTTCCGAGAGGCTTCCTGATCTTCAACTTGGATTTTTACCGTGGCCTCGGCTAAAATTGTTAGATTCAAACCAAATTCACTTCTGTCCAAGGTCAAAATCTTGACGATATGCCATACGACCGCAAGGCTCCGGTAACTGACCAAGTTCATGCCTCTATCAAATCATCACTCTTTAATCTCCGACCGTCTGCCACACCTGAAAGCGCAGACGACACATACATTGATACCCTTGTACTTCACTCTCCTTTGCCCACCATGGCACAGACATTGGAAGCGTGGCAGACCTTGGAGACATATGTCCCCCATCGAATCCGCAACCTAGGGATCTCAAACACCTCCCTCCCTATCCTTGAAAAGCTGACTTCGGTTGCCAAAATAAAGCCCGCTGTCGTGCAGAACCGGTTCTACGGCGCTACTCAATATGAGGTTCCTCTCCGGGCTTTCTGTCGCCAAGAAGGCATCATCTTCCAAAGTTTCTGGACCTTGACGGCGAACCCGGAACTAGTCCAGCCCGGACATGGTGCGGTGCATAGGTTTGCAGAAGGAGCGGGGATATCACCTCCTGCGGCTTTGTATGGGCTTGTTATGGGCTTAGGAGGGACTACTGTTTTGAACGGGACTACAAAGAGGGACCGGATGGAGGAGGATTTGGCTGCGCTGAAAAGAGTGGAGGAATTCGCGAGGCAGAATCCTGATCAATGGAGAGATATTTTAGCAGAGTTTCGGGAAGAGATTTGCGAGGACTAGCACCGCAAAAGGGCCACATGTGGATGTATCATTGATGAAGCTGTACGGAGTATAGAAATCCGGATTGGGAAAGGCTGGCACGTGCTGGCGATCGAACGCCATGACTAAGCCACCACATTTGACCTCATCTCAGTGTCCACCACCAAAGGATTCAAACCAACAGGAGCGAGATTTGTCTAGCTGCAAGACTTTCCATCTATTGTCCATCGAGTGCAAATTTTCTGGCATTCACGGCTTCGTCATTGTCCCTTTCTTCTACCCTCCGAAAGGTGGCCGTTTACCCATCTCTATTGCGCCTATTGCCCTCTAATCTACAGTCTCCGGAACGAGCCTGACGCTCAAGGCTTTTTCTCCATCTGCGCCGCCCTCTGCGGGCTATCATCATCTTATCAGCCTTGATGCTGGGGCCCAATTGACTCACACTTCGCTATTCACACCAGGAAGGTATTCTAGACCTCTGGATATCGTGTCGATCCTTTCCCCCTCCTGCTCCTCGCTGTGTTCATTCTCTGCTGCAGCATTTGGCCGCGCTCGTCGCGTGTGTTCGCCGATTATAACTCCATCTTCTGCACCGTCTTTTAGCATCGCGTTTCGATTTCTTGTTTCTTTCCAGCGACACGGTTGTGAATACTTATCTTGAAACGACGTTTATGACACTTTCGATACTATTGGCGCGTTGTTGAGCTCTCCTGCCAGGTTGCTTTTTTTCGCATCCCCGCAATACATCCCGCCCAGAACCCGAACGCCCGTGAATTTGCTGGATTTTCGATTTTCTTTCTCCGAATACCTGCGTTTCCCCCGAGCTGCGTCCTGGTAGCGCAAAACAACGATCTGATTTCTCAACAGAAAAAAAATAAAAATAAACATCAGGATTCCCCGGCCGACCGTAGGCATCCAGTCGCCTGCGATGAGTCCCTCAGGTGTAACGCGCAAAAGACCCGCTCCTGGCACATCCCCAATTGTCCACCCCCAGCTCAACGCAGTCTCAAACTACCCTTCGGGTACCGGATCTCAGCTATCCAATGACCAGTTCCTACAATGGGGCCAGAATACGGCGCCCAATGCCGTGAACCCTTCCTCCTTTACCGATACCAATGCCTACAACGCCGCAGCCTCCCTATCAAATCAAGATGTCCCTGCCTCCTCTACCACAGCGAACCAGATTGCACGCAGACAGCCCCCCAATCAGCTAATTAGCCGGAATCGGGGATACGAACAAACCCCGCCATCCTTCCCGGATCAAGGTGGCGGATCTCGAGAGGCCGGAGGTTGGACGGAGAGCTTGGATGAGCTTTACCAGCGCGCGTTGGTCGCAAAGAGGGAATCACAGGCCAAGCGAAAGCAGATACCTCCATTTGTACAGAAGCTGAGCAGGTATGCATTCCTTGCATCAATTTAACCCATATAGTTTCAATGTATAACTGACCGCTTTTTTAAGTTTTCTTGACGAATCCAAAAATACCGATCTGATTCGATGGTCAGACGACGGAAACTCGTTCATTGTGATGGATGAGGACGAGTTCGCTAAGACTCTCATCCCCGAGCTGTTCAAACACAATAACTATGCCTCCTTTGTTCGCCAGTTGAACATGTATGGGTTCCATAAAAAGGTTGGACTTTCTGATAACTCCATGCGAGCCAGCGAACGAAAGAACAAAAGCCCCAGCGAATATGCCAATCCATACTTCAAGAGGGGTCACCCCGATCTTCTGTGGTTAATCCAGAAACCCAAGAATGCGGCCGGTCAAGGGGCCAAGTCTACAAAGGGTTACGTGCGTGTAAAAACCGAGGATGTTGATGAAAATGACAACGATGATTATGGAGACGATACTGCACCGGCATCACGAGATGACCGCTCCCGCAATGGGCAGCTGTCCTTGGTTTCAGGAAATCCTATGCCCAAGGACCAGTTTGCGGGTGTTTACCGCGAGCTGCAAGCCATTCGACAACAGCAGCAGATCATCTCCAACACTATCAGCAAACTCCGAAGAGAGCATGAGCAGCTTTACGCGCAGGCTGCCAATTTTCAGGAGCAGCATACTCGCCATGAGAATTCGATTAATGCTATTCTAACCTTCCTCGCCACCGTTTATAATCGCAGCCTCCAGGGCCAGGAGGGGCAAAACCTGGCAAACACATTCGCCGGGGCGATCTCTCAGGATCACCAAGGTAATGTCGTCGATATGGGAGATAATTATTCGCTGAGCACGTTAGGTGCTTCCACAATGAATAGTCCTGGTGGACCACGCTCGATAAAAAAACAACCACTGCTACTCAAGGCGCCACCAGCTCCAGACCGCCTGGGCCGTGCAACAACGCTCTCGCCCGCCGCAAGCACGAGCACATATGATCGCTCACAGTCGCGCAATCATATGCGGCAACCAAGTGCCTCGCAGCCTGGCGTCGTCGAGGAGGTGTTCGACACCAGCCCTAGACCAAAAGAACCGCCACCGCCTCAATCCCAGCAATACCCCCAGCGAGATATCATGTCTGTTATCCAAAACTCAAACGCGCGGAATGGGGTCACAACCAATTTCACTGATTTCCCGAATGTACTATCGTCACTTGAAACATCCGGCGGCAACGTACCGCTCACTCCGAACCAACGAGCGGACATGCTCCGTCTCATGGCCAATGAGACCGCCAACGCCAACTCCAACCCAGGCATGTCTCAGAATAATGCTTTAATCACGCCGAACCCCCCACCCATGCCACACAACTACACAAATCGTCTCGCGAACACCCGATCTGAGATCGACAACCTGGCCAAGATGCAAGCGGAGCAAGACCGCTCCGTGCAGAACCTGACTAACCTGCTCCAACCCCTCAGCCCAACCGGAACCATCCCTGGAATTGGAACGGACGGAAGTGTCCCTCCCGCCCCGCTCGACCTTGACCATATCTTCAACAATGACTACTTCACCGACCTTGGCGACCTCAATCACCACAGTAAAGGCCCCCTGGACTTTGGAGACCCAGCCGACTCGGACCACGCGGCTCCTCCTGGCGAATTAAATGCGACCACCGGTGCAGAAGACCATACAATCAAAGACGGCAATGACCTCTTTGATTTCGACCATCTCGCCGGCAACGACGATCTTTTCACCGGATCCAACCAGCACCAAACGCCCGATTACTTCCACGGGTTCGACCCCGCGGCGTACGGCAATAACACCGCCACATCCGCTGCCGTGAATCCGGTTAGCAATCCTTCCGGTCGAGTCGTGGAAACCCTCACAGACAGCGAGGCCACCAGTCCCGCCAACACCGTGGACGACGGCTCCCAGTATCCCGGTCAGGATACGGGGTATGATTCTCAAGGAGGTAAAGGTGGTGGCGGAATAGCCAAACGGCGAAAGAAAGCTTAATCCTTTTTGCTTCTTTCCTTCTCTTTTTTCCCATCCTTCCTTTCTTCCCCAATCACTCACTCTCTGACCTTATGCCTTCCCCTACCTACAATACTCGCCTCTGATGAAATTCCAAGTAATCCCACCCTTGGCATCATCATCCATGATTTCTAAAGAGAGAAAACCATGCCTATACTATTTCCGTTCATATTTTCCACGGCCAACAAAGCTGAGACGAAACGAAGTGCCGTCTTTTTACCTCTACCTCTTATCTATCTACGTTATTCCTCCCTCTCTCTTTTCTCTCTCTATACCATGATGCTTGCAAGGAGTTTGGAATTAAAATGTAACCGTTTATATCTACCTGCGTTTTTCTAACTATTGTGTATTGTAAGTAACTGTACAAGGTACATAAATACATATATAGAAGAGGAAGACTCGAAGAGACCCCCGGCGAATAGATGAATGAGTGCACAGGTTTAGGACCTAAATTATTTTGCTTTCCTTTCCTTTCCTTTCCTTTCCTTTCCTTTCCTATTCCCCCATCCATCCCCATATAACTAACTATACAGAGTAAATCAACCTGTATACACCTATCGTAATGAATAGTATCCTATCCTATCCTATCCTGTCCTATCGCTATTACTATTAGTATGATCTTGCTCTAGTTGTCTTGATTTATATCTACCTAGTGTAAAAGTGGTTTTCTTGTTGAAAAGCCTACCTACTGGTTACGCTCTACTAGGCCATTGAATAAGTGATTATTAGCATAGATCGATCGTTAGATAGATAGAATGAATAATCCCTTGGGTAAGAGGTTAGTTAGGGTTATATTGTACCTATAGTGTGTAATAATAGGTAGTGGATTATATTTCTTCCTTGGCCATGCTATGCACGGGGCTGGATAGAACTATATATCAAGTACCGCACGACATGGCAAGCCATGGCAAGCAAAGCCCTGGCCAGGGTACGGGTGTAGGTAGGTTACATACTCCGTACATGTGTATGGGTATCATCAGGTAAATCACCTCTTTGACCACTCCAAATCCCCTACCCGTCCGCGCTTCCTCTCCCGCTCACGATCTCTCTCTAGGCCCCTTCTTCCACTGCCGCTGCCACCGCCACTCGCAATCTCCTTCTCCCGTTCGCGCGGGTCAATCACCATCAAGGTATCCACGTCTTGGTGCTTCTTTTTCCAGTTCAAGTCTTTGCCTAGCGTGTCCTTGCCGAAGCGGAGCTGGTGCGTCAGCCAGTCCGTTGTGTTGTCGTCGGTGGGTTCTCCCGCGCCGGCTCCGCGGTCTGGGGCGTTGCCCTCGTTGGTCGTGTCCCATGCCTGGCAGGATTGGCAGTTGGCGATGAAATGCAGGTCGCATAGGTGGGCTTCTTCGTCTTCGGCTTCAGCTGCGTCGGTGGCTGCCGCTTCTGCACCGGTTGTGCGACCAGGTGAGAGGTTTTTGTGGCGAGGTGGCGGACGGGAATCGGCGTTTTCCAGTTTGGTCTTGAAGGCGTTAAACAGCTTGAGGGCCTCGATTTCGGCTTTGCTGGCGGTGCCGTTGGCGCCGTTTGTAGCGCCACCGCTGCTGTTGGTGGTGCTTCCTGGCGGTGGTCGTTTGCGCCCTCGGATAGCGGTGTCTGGGATCATGGCTTCGAGTGCGGACTTGGGTTTGGAGGAGGCGGCGGGAGCATGCACGGTGCGGCGCATCGAGGCCTTGAGAGTTTCGATTTGGTCGTTTGTGCGAGACAACAGAGACTTTTTGGCGGGTTTGGGCGAGGGCGAGGGCGAGGGCGAGCGTTCTGGGGATTCGGGGTCGGGTAATGGGAGTTGATTGAATGGTTCTGGGGTCTTCGGTCGGTCCCTGGGGTTGGGAGACGGAGATCGTGTGGGCGAAGGAGAGCGCGGGCGTTTCCGTATTTGTGCAGACGCATTCTTCTTTGCCTTTTCTTCCTTCTCGGGCAGACCGACATCCGTCACAAGGGTAGGATTGAACTTCGGTTTTCCAGATCGAATCGGCATGCCCTCCTCCCCTTCCTCCTCGTCCTCATCATCATCCCCTCCGAAACTCAACAGTGCCTTCCCACCCTTGGGCTTCGTCTTCTTCTTTTTCTTCGCCGCAGGTTTCCCCTTCTCCTCTGTCTTCAACAACCCCCTCCCGGACCCTGTAGTTGTAGCCGTAACCTGCCTCTTCCTAACCTTGCCCGCCAACGGCCCCAACTCTCCAACTTCACAGCCCGTAATCTGAACCGGATACAGGGGCCGCTCAGTACCCTCGACCTTTTCCGCATCCGCAATCTTCAACACATTAAAGATACTATCGCCCTCGATGCGCCCAAAGAGCGTGCACTGCCCATTCAACTCCCGCTCCGTGTTCCCCAGCGTAATGAAAAACTGACTCCCGTACGACCCGTCCTCGCTCTTCGCCATCCCAACCAGCCCGCGCCGGTTGAACCGTAACCGACTATGCAGCTCATCGCTCAGCACAACTTTCTCGTTCGGATCGCGCGCCTCCGGGTCGTACTCGAATTCCGGGTACTCGTATATCGAGGTCCCGCCGGAGCCTGTGCCCGTGGGGTCTCCACCCTGGATGATGAAGTCGGGGACAATACGGTGGAAGATGGTGCCTGTGTAGTAATTGTCCATGCAGTGTTGGAGGAAGTTTCGGCAGGTGAGTGGGGCTTGGGTTGCGAAGAGGGCAATGTGTAGGGGGCCGAAGGTCGTGTTTAATGTTGCGGATGCGGTGGCCGCTGGTTCGCTGGCATAGTGGGCGGACATTTTTTGCTGGGATTGGGGCTGCCGAGCTATGAACCGCAATTACTTCATAATAGAGATAGGGTGGTTATTTCGGGGGAGGAGGTCGGTAGGGCGAAATGCGTGGAAGGTGGAGGTGGGAGAAAAGTCTTGCAGGGAAAAGTCGCGAAGTTGAAGAGTTGAAGCTTTTCGGCAAACCTTCCCAGGGTTCACGTCATGTCACGGTACCGATTGGATATACTGTATACTTCTAGTCTCGAGTATAGTTCTAATCCACAATTATATATTTATTGATACTAATCCATTATGATTTGAAACACAAGAGGTACTTCGCTCTTGTGCTTGAATTATATAGATAACTGCCATATGCTAGTGGTGGATCCATTCCTCCAATTGACCTCACATATATATATACACATATATAATATATACCCTCAAAAAGCAGCCAGATGAGGATCAGGTGAACCCGTCTGCTAGCCTCTTAAGCCGTATTCATAAACGCCGACGTCCCATAGACATCCAAAAAGCACTCGTCCATATCAGGACAACTAGCCCCTCAGTCAGTAAAGCATTCCCAGTGCCCAAACCCTTCACAATCAATCGACAAAGGAAAGAAAACTTACTACACAGCCTCCCTCCCAAAGATAACATGCCACATATATTCCATCACTCTCCCACTAACCTCGTCGTCCAGATCTGTCTCCATCACCCATTGATGATACAGCTGGTAACTGCTCAACGGTCTCTTGAGCACCTGCTCCCGCGAAACCGCAAACTGCGCACAACACGGCGCCGCAACGACCTCGGGAATGACAGTGGTGTTGAAAAACAACTTCCATACCGCCCCGAAGGCATTCTCTGCCTTTCTCGACTCCTCTCTCGGTTCCCGGAATGGCTGGATTTCATCAGGACACCCGGGGGACGGGGTACATCTGAGATTCGCGTAGCCGGTTCTTTGGACATAGTCCGTCTGGAGGTTCTTAATGCTCCGGACGTTGCTGTGGTCATTGAATTCGTTGTGCCAGGCTTCCGGGTAGCCGGAGCGGTGGCTGTGAAGAAAGACGATAGTGGATGGCAGGGCCTCGGAGTAGTGGTTGATGATGTAGGTGAGATAGACGTTGCTTTCGCGGCCTTTGTTTTGGGTGACGCCCAGGGGCGCGGACGGATCGTCTACGATATAAATTGCGTGTTGCCAGCTTGGATCTAGTTAGGCTCTCCATGACAAGAGATAGTGAGAAATAGAGGGAGGGAAGTACTCAGGCAACTCATTCCTAATCCAATCCGTATCTTCATTCTTCAATTTCCCCACGACAATAACGCGATCGTTCTGTACCTGGCTGCTGGTGCTGGTGCTGGTGCTGGCGCTACTGCTACTGCTACTGCTCCTGCTGCTACCAGTAGTCTCATGTTGAGCCAGATTATCTCCCGGTGTTGATTTCCCGACTCGAAACTGGTTCGGAATGAGATCGGATATAGCAGGTCTTCTGCGACGGTTTGGTGGTGGTGTTGTTTTGGTGTCCGCATTCCCATGTGTACCTTTCTGCACTCTTCCCTGCCTATATCCCTGTGAATCGTATAACGTTGCAGGCGCAGTGCGCTCTTGTTTCCATCGATACCAGTTGGAATGTAACCGGGCGAGTTGGGAGTCGACCCATAAGATAGAGAGGACGATGAGGGCTACTGCGACAATGCGCACGAGGGTACGCATGGTAAGTTTCTCTCTCACCTACGCGGAAGCTTTGCCCTCATTCAAATGAAGAGTAGACCTTGATGATGGGTTTATCTCTTAAGACTCTTTCCGGGTGATTATTCGGATCCATGGTGTGGTTAGGTAGGGTTGCATGGAAGCAGCGGATTTCCAGTTTCCTACCATTGCACTCCCCCTTAATCTACTCGTGGGTATAAAGGGCCTTGGTTCCGAATATTTATTAACGTTATATTGAGAATCATGATGTAATCCCGGTTCTCTCTTTAAGGATCAGGGTTGGTGGTGGATCCATGGTCGAGGTGTTGTCTACTGTCATAAGAGATTGGCATATCATGGATAATTCTGCTTCATATATATCGTGGCTGTCTACTACTCAGACGGAAATAAAGCGCCTTAGACTATCGTAAACGATCTGAAGTTGCCCAGCAACATTACACACTAGAAATCCTTGGATATCATCGTACAGTTAAATCATCATCGCCACCTGGGCCACAACACAAAACTGTGGGCGAAAGCATCGGAGTTATACTACGGCGACTTGTCCTCAGCCGCCTGCGCAGCAGCAACAGCGGCCTCGCCAACCTTTTGCTTCTTGGTGATGCGGAAGCCTCCGGCGAGAAGGAAGAGCGCCTCCAGCCCGAGAATCGCAGCTAGGGTTACCATCGCACCGATAACTCCGGCAACCGGTCGGGAGACGCCGCCGCTGCTGTTAGACGAGCTGGAGGAGGAGGAGGAGGAGGAGGAGGAGGAGGAGGAGGAAGAAGATGATGATGCACAAGAGCCGCTAGTGTTACCGCACATTTGGCAAAATTGATCGTTGCTGGTGATTGCAATCTTCTTAGTCTCGTTGAGAAAGGTCGACCAGGGGATCGTGGAGCCGGATTGGCCGTATAGGGGATACTCAGTTAGGGTTCCGGAGCCGGTAAGAGTGCCGTTGTGAAATACGAAGCGGACGCTGATTTCAGAGGCGTCAGGGAAGTCATCGGAGGTCGAGTTGGTCACGAGCTCCCAGACCATAGAGGAAGCGTAGTCTGGAATCCCGGTGAAGTCCACATCCACAGTAGGAAGTTGAGCTAAACCGAAGTAGGAGAGGAAAGTACCATAGGAGCCGAATTCCACATGCAGCTTGACCTTGCCCTTGGTAGCAATGGTACTGTTCAGCCCCTTCAGCATCTCAGCAGCAAGGGTCATGCCTGCGACAGCACGGATCTCCTCCGTGGCGTTGTAAGCTAAATTATACTGTTCGATATTGGCGTATAGGAAAGCCTGGTGCAGCTGGTCCGCGGTTGGAACGTTGGTAGTGTTGTGGATATAGCCGACATTGAGATAATCAAAGATCGAGTAAGCGTTACTAAACGAGATGCCATCGCCGGAGAAGGAAGTATTGACCAAGGGGGTCAAGGACTCGTAGAAGTCCTTGGTGGACTTGAGCAGCCCATCGTACAGGGCAGAGCTATAGTAGCTGTTGCTGCTGACAATGGCGTTCTGGCAGTTTGTGGTGGACTGCAGCCAGGTATTGTCCTCACTGCTGGACCCGCTGTCGATGAGGGTTAGGGGAATGAGCTGGTAGCCTCCCAATGGCGAGTCAACGGTCGTTCCGTTGGCCAAAGTCTGGGCAGTATTTGCCACAGGAGGATAGACACCCTGGAGGAAACCGGTAGCAGAGTTCTGCAACACATTGTCGGAGGGCGCTGATGCCGAGATCTGGCTGAGCTTGACAATGTCCTCACTGATACCCTCAATATAAAGCGCGGAGCTGGAGTTGATGTAACGGTCATGGTAGAAAGTGCCACTCATATACACCTCATGATAACCCAGGTCAGTCAGCTCAGTGTTGCCCAGGATCTTTGCCGTACGATCACCATGGCGATGGAAGACATAAGCACCGAGAATCTTCTCTGCAATGACCTGCTGGGCCAGAGGGAGGGCCACCAGGGTCATCAACAGGCTGGAAGGCTGCATGGTGGAACGCATGGTGAAAGATTCTCTCCGACTCTTTTTTTCTCGACTCGAGAGGGAAGTATTGGGTGGGAAATTGAGGGGAAGGGGGAGTTAAATACCTACATGGTGACCTCGTTTGGTGTTGATGGCGGGGTTCGAGTTATGGTTGATGGTCGAAGGTAATTACATACAACGGTAGAACGCTTATCATGCAGAATTTTTCTCTGGCTTCCCCTCCTCCTCATGGTAAGAGAAAGAAAAAAAAAACCATTAACTAATAGTATATTCTCTCAGATACGAGCCCTGTCTACCATTGGGCTGGGGTGCTATGTCGTTATCGGGCGTGTCCCGTCCGAGGAGATCCTTTGCTTGATCTCCCTACTCGGCTATACGAGTTATACTGTACGGAGTCTGGGGTGCTCCCCCACTCTTATACTTTTTCCACTAATGGTTGTTTATTAATGCTTTCCATGGCTAATTACTCCATCAACTCACACCCATTCCGCACCACGCCAACCAACCCCCCCGTTTGCACCGTCTCAGATCCGCCAGCGGACAGACGCCATTCAATATCAGCCAGTCCTTCCAGCCAGGTAATTCTCGTCTGAGCCGGTACCTCCAGCCGTTGCAGCTGCTCACTCAGGGCGGAAAGAATATCAGCCAACGCAAGGCCTTTGTTGATCTTCAAGGTATTAAGAGTATTGAGACATGAGGTGACATCGCTGGTCGCGAGTAGAGTAGTCATGATTTCTTGGATATCGGATGGATGAGGCGCAGCAATGCAATCGTAAATCGTCTCGTTCGTGATCGTTTCCGGTTCGGGGAGAGGTTCGTCTTTGGGTGCGTTTTTCACGGGAAGGGGTTTGCCTTGGGTCGGTCAGTCAATTGCAAAGGGAAAGAAGGAAAAAAAAAAAAAGATGTAGGGCTTCGTACTGCTTGCATGGCAGGCTTGTAGAACGTTCAAAGCACGACGCATGTCACCTCTGCTCAGCGTGACCAGGCTGCCAATCGCGTCGGGTTGGATGCGCACTTCTTCCTTCTCAATGACCTGGTCAACCAGTACCTTGATATCCTCCTCTTTCAATGGACTGAAGCGGAAGCGGGTACATCGTGAAAGCAGAGCTGGCGACAGCTTGTGTGTGTAGTTGGCAATGATGCAAAAGCGCGTATTGGCTGTGTATCGCTCCATAATTCGGCGGAGCGCCATCTGTGCAGTGGCTGTCATGGCATCGGCCTCGTCAAGAATGATCAATTTGAACGACGCAAGAGACGATGTGGAAGACGGGGCCATCGAAAAAATCTGCTTCGTACCTAGTAGAGGTTTCATCAGCGTGTGTCAGGGTAGACAAAAGGTAGATCGGAGGTGACAAACTGGCAAATGTCTTGATCTGTTCTCGAACAACATCAATTCCTCGATCGTCACTGGCATTCAGTTCCAGCACCATTTGTCGCATATTTTTGCTCCCGTATATCCGCCTCGCCAGCGCCAGAATTGTCGACGTTTTCCCCGTTCCTGGAGGCCCATAAAGCAGAAGATGAGGCAGTTGCTAGACAAATTAGCTGAATTTGTAACAACGACAGTTTCCGATGCGTACATTTGCTTCAACAAATCGATTAATGGTAGCTAGGATGTCCTTGTGACCGGAGACATCGTCGAGCGTGTTTGGTCGGTATTTCTCTACCCTGCAGTTGGTCAGACGGAGAATCACGAGAATATAAAGCGAATCTTAGTTTACTGACCAAGGAAGATTATCCTGGGCTTCTACCGGTAGATCTGCAGCCGGTCTCTTTGACTTCGCACTCGTATTGTCGGAGCTGAACTGGATGGCCTTGGAAGCTGGAGCATCCACGTCCATTTCGTCTTCGAAATCAGACATGACGATTATTATCTTCTGGTGAATTTGATAGTCTTTCCCAAAAAGCAAGCCAAATGCTTTGAAATGACAACCTCCAAATCCCAGGATTGAAATCTAGCAAAACAAATCTGAATCCAGACGCGTCGAAATTCCACAGCGCGTAAAGAGGTTCGGCACCGGAAAATCTAAGGAGCTCCAGCGGGTGATGACATGCGAACTCCCGCCAGGTAACAGCAACGGCCTCCCACGAGATCTTGATCAATCATCCTCGTTAGACAGGTTCTGCGGGGACTGACCTCTTTCATTGCGAATATACACAATGCCGGTATAGATTCCACAACAAGAGTTTCTCTCCATTTGCGTTTTTGGTATTTCCCCTAACACCATCCAGGCATATCACTCCATCTTCCTTGAGGACGGGGATGTCGCCGTAATAGGTACGAATTGAATGCGCCCTCTCCAGAATGCCGCAGAGCTCAAGAGCAAACCAAAAAAAAAAAAAAAACAACCAACCCCTCTTTCCCAGCTAATTTTATCTTGTACTCATTGATGCGTTTCTTCCAGGCAACTTCCCTGTCCTACCCCTCCGCACCCGCACTCGCGGCCCCGCATACACTCTCCCCCTCCTACCACCCAACGTCGCAGACATCGATGTGCCCCAGGACAGCGAGTCGTACGACTGTGTCGATGAGATCCTCTCGCTTTTCCGTGCGAATGTCCTCTTCCGGAACTTTGAGATCAATGGCCCTGCGGACCGTATGCTCATCTACGGGACTCTGTTCATCACGGAGTGTTTGGGCAAGGTCAAGCCAACGATGACCGTTCGTGAGGCGGAGAAGGTACATCCCATTTTGTGATGATTGGAGATCTGCGAGATCGGATATGTTGACGGGTTCTGTTTCTAGGCTCTGAACAATATCGCGCTCGATACCAACTTCGCTATCCCCGGCGATGCGACTTTCCCCCTGAACCAGGCCTTTGAACCCCCCCGTGATCGTCAGGATGCGGAGACACTTAGATCGTATGTACCATTTCCGTCTTACTCTCATAGTTCTTTGTTGCGGTTGTTTACGTCGCCATTAACGTCGACGTTGGGCTAACCGGATGGCGTTGGGGAATAGATACCTTGCTCAGGTGCGACAGGAGATTGCCACTCGACTGCTAGCTAGATTATACCCTGGGGGCGTTGGTCCTTCGAAGGTCGGAGCCCCTCTTCCCTTAAATCTCCTTCATCTCTAGTACTAATGTTGGACCCGAGCTAATGGTGTAATAGTGGTGGCTGAGCTTCACGAAGAGGAAGTTCATGGGAAAGAGCTTCTAGGAGTTAGAATAGGGTAGGAGAAGATAGGAGGTATCTAGGTAGAGATTGCTTTGGTTTGAGCGTACAAATCAGCGTGTGGAGGGATCCGGATTGCTGTCTTTTTATTCAAGGTTCTGCGAAGTTTCTTTAGTGTGATATACTCGTACATAAAACACATATAGTAACGAGGTAAACAATGACCTTCTTGTTTAGGTCGCTGTAATCCATCCGTAGAAAGTAGTTGCATAATCCTCTTTCGCCCTGATATTTTGAGACTAGGAAAAATATCATATCTGAGCATTGACTGAGTTGGAAATAGTTTACTATCCTGAAGTAATCTAATTTACAAAGCATTTTTTTTTTTTTCTTTTTCAAGGTTGTAGAGTGTCATGACTGCATCTCAACATCAACTCCGCTTGGACTTCCCGGTGTAGCACTAGCTTGCGCAGAAGACGCAAGCTTCCTCCTCTTGCGACTTGGGTTACCGGCGGCTTGGATCATTTCTTGAGTAGGAAGGACGCGAATGCCATGGAAGATGTAGCCCTCTGCGCCTCCCCGACCGGACATCATCGGATGCGTGCGGCCCGGAAGAACCTGCCAGGGACGGACTCTTGTGGCTTCAAGGGTGGGCGCGAGCAACAGCGTAGGATTCAGAGGGAACTCTGCCTTTAGTTCGGGGTATTCGCATCCTGGATCGAGTTCGTCGGACAGTGCTGGGTTTGCCTCCTCAAGTTCTCGGCGCTTGGTTATATAAGCGGTTTTTCTGGCGGTGGAGTAGAGGTCTGCGATTTCGGTGAGGGGCTCGATGGTGGGCGAGTACACAACCACTGGGGCGGATCCGGCGAGCAGAGGCACCGCGTATTGGAGGACACTATCTGGGTTCATCAGCGTTGCGACAATGAGGCCGTCGTAGCCACCGGCTCGGACTTCGTCGACAACACTTCGAACACGGGTCCATCTATTTCGTTTCCGGTAGTATGCGCTGCGCTTATTGGTTTTGTAGGTGGCTAGCTCAGCATCAGGAATAACGGGGGGCTCCTGCGAATAGATCGGGTCGGATTCAGGGTTTAACACCTGCAGCCAGGATATCGTCTTGAGATGTGTATAGAGAGGGTGCGACTCGTCTGGGTTGCTCTGGTCGTAGCCGAAGTATTTTAGCAGCGCGGTGTTGGGCTGCTTGTTTGCGTGGATCAGGGTTAAGGTGTTTCCTGAGGCGGACATGTGTGCTGGGCGCGGTGCACGCTGCTGTGTACCCGGTTTTTGCTCCGCGTCTTCTGTGCTACCGTCTTCGCTGCACCCTTGTTGTTGGGTTTCTACATCGTCCGTCTCCTCGTCGGTATAAAGCAGACCCATTCTTTCTGCCATTGCCGCGAGCACCAAGCCTCCTGTCTCATCCACCACGAGATAGCGACCGTTGGGTTTCGACTGAACAGCTCCTTCAAAAGAAGCATCCCCACCATGGTGTACGTTTCCCCAACACCCAATAAGGCCGATCAATTCGTCGCGCAACTCCATCGCCTTTGACGCAGAATCCCGATTCTCCAGTATATAACTCGTGAGAGCGCTGACATCCAGTGGAAAGACTGTAAATCGCTTCATGTACTTCTTCTGCTTTCGCAGGGTGTACTTGGCAAGGGAGAATGCCGTTTTTTGGTCCAAAGCCGAATGCGACTCTAGGATTTTCGCGATAATGTCCCGCCCCGCACCTGTGGATTCTTTCTTCAGCGCTTCGATCTCCTCCAAGGTCAATTTTTGCGTCGATGCATCGTCGATGGTGTCGCGATTGGTGCGCAGGGGGACCCCCTCTTCATTCTCCTCGACCTCATCATCTCCCTCGCCTTCTGTGATTAGCGATTCTGCATGGAGTTCGGCGGCAGGCACCACGCGCAGGTAAGTGCTATTATTGGCTTCGCCTGGGGTTTCGAGGATCTCGAAGGTCAGGTAGAATGGTCGTCCGATGATCTGGTTTGCGGGGAAAGCGCCAAACTTTCCCAGATTTATCAATCTAGTTTGGTTAGTACACCAGAGAACGCAGAAGCTGGCGGTGCACATACGTGTTCGGGACTATCTTGATGACTTTGGTAGAGTCTGAGGGTAGTCGCAAGTAGACGAATTGATTGGGACGAATTGCGGAATGCATTGTGAAGTTGTCCTAGATGGTTCAGTCCCAAGGCGACATAATAGTATTTCACACAGAGGACTTGCACACGGCCAGACAGTCGAGTAGCGGCTATCCTCAAGCTCCCTGCACTTTTTTTTTGATAGCGCACGGTCCACTTTTGCGAGCTTCTGATCCGGAGTAACTAACTGGTGGATTACATAATCTAATACGGAGACTTGTTTTTCCGGAGTGTGTCACATGCGCGCCGCTTGGCCCCGGTGTGGCTGTGCAGGCGGGGTCCGAGATGTGGCTGAGCGTTTCTTTGAACCTCCTTCAAGCAAAAAGAACAAGAAAGATAGTAGTAGTAGTAGTTCTTCTTGAGATGGATATACGAAGTAACAAAAGCAGCAAATTTTAACATTATCCATCCACATCCTGACCTCGGAATGCAAGTAAATTATGGTTGTACGGAGTATGGTGCTTCTCCGCCTCCAGTCCAGATCCTCACTCCACAACCAATAGATTGACGCTGGAACACTGTTTGGAATTCGGGTGCCTATTATCATCATAAACTTACCATTGATGTATTTATGGGTTTCTCCCTCTCTCTTCATTCTGTTCCGTTCCTCTTATTTATACCAACAGCCTGCAACTGGGCAACCGCAAGGCATGGCAGTACAAAGGGCATGGAGCCGTTGACTTTCTCCCCTTGCCTTATTTAGGAGTAGTGCTTCTCCCAGTGGCTCAGCCTTACTCCGTATTCCTTCTCTCTACTCCGGAGTAAGCCATCGGTTACGTATACCTACAGTTGCGATATCTTCATTTGCGCATCTTCGAGAGCCTCTGTCTGTATCATCTTGCCGCCTGTGAAACGGGAATTTGGCGATTTCTCCCGGCGTCTCTCCTTTCCGTGCGCTGTTTATTGGCTTATTGGCTTCTAAGCGTGCCCCATCGTTTCATCCCATTGCGCGGCCTTCCTACTGACCAGCAACTCCTTCTCAATCTGCCTTCATGGTCTTACGAAAACGAGCTCCTCCTCACCTTTACAATCTCAGCCAAGGGAATGCTCGTTCGGAACCTCGCTCTCCGATCTCAAAAACTTCTCCGACATCTATATCGGTGTCGTCATCCTCACCAAAGTGCCTGACGCGTCCTCGAAGAGCTCAAAGCTCACCTCATCCGCACCGGGTTCCCTCCCAGGAATCCGTTTTTTCGCCTGATCTAAATACTTCGCCAGCGTTTGCCCTGATGTCCTTGGAGCAAGCTCAAAGGTCCCCGATTCGGACCTCGTCCACCGATATCCCGAATCCCTGGGCGGACGAGCTCATAGAGAAGCCTACTCAGAGTCATACTGAATTGGGGGACTCGACCTACCAACCACCAGCAGAGAATGGTATTCGAGAAGGGGATGTGGTGGATACTAAAAAGGGAGACCGGGTACCCCCAATCGTGCTTGCGGGCACGCAACGAAGAATGGCCGCGAATGAATGGCAGTCGAGTCAAGGGGTTAATGATGCTTCGGACTGGGAGTATTTGAGTCATCCACCTATCCAGCTACAGTCGAACAACCCGTTTTTGAAGGCCACACATCATGATAAGAACTTGTGGGACGATAGAAATTCTCATGCATCGTACGGGTCATCCCTTTCTCGAGACGACGCAAGCGGTGGCTTACGTCAAGGTAAGCCCGCATTCTCACTTTACCTGCCAGAATCTGATAGTAACTCAAACAGATGAGGGTTATATCCCCATGACTGCCCGTCTATCTCTCTTTGACCAGCAAGAGTCGCAGTCCCCCTGGGTTAATGAGCCCGGGTCCACTACTACGCAGCATCAAATATCCCCGCCACAGCTGTTAGAGAGCCGATATGAAGGCGGCTCTGGGCCTTCCAACTCTCCAGCCGCCCTTGATGGCGCTGAATATACACACTCGCAGCTTCAGCCCCCACAGGTGCCCCCGAAAACCGGAACAAGCACGCCTGGGACTTTATCTACGGCAACAACCGTATCATCTCATGTCCTCATCGATTTTGACGAGTCACCTCGGCCAGACCTAGGGAGTGATTTGGCTAAAACAATGCCACCCAGTGCACACTCCGTGGAATATAATAATGGTGGCCAAACGGCCACCTTGGAGAGTGATCAATCAGAAAAGGTCCCATTATCGTCTCAACATAATGTTGCTGGTCCTGCAGTCCCTTCGACCTCTGAACATCCTCGGGCGGCCCCGGTATCCGAGGCAGAGACACAACAACATCAAGAAAAACGCTCAGAGACATACTCAATCCGACATATCAATTGGCAAGATTCCACGGGTACTCTCCGGGAGTCCCCTGTTTTGGTTCAAAACAAGAACGGGCCTTGTCCTCTATTGGCGTTGGTCAATGCCCTTGTGTTGCTTGCAGCTAGCCAAAGCTCTCCGCCACCCATCGTCAGGGCCTTGCAAACTAGAGAACAAATTTCTCTTGGACTGTTAATCGAGGCTTTGTTTGACGAGTTAACAACACGTTTAGGGCCCGATGAAGAATTCCCAGATATCGAGGCTCTCAGCCGATTCTTAACGATGCTCCATACAGGAATGAACGTCAATCCACGCCTGACCTTGGTATGGCTACCGTCTAGTATGTTCATAAGCGATACTAATAGCACGTAGGAAACCAAAAACGCACCTGGAACCTTTCTTGAAACGGGAGATATTAAATTCTACGGCACTTTCGGTGTACCACTAGTACATGGGTGGATTGCGTCTCCATCGAGCCAGGCCACTGCAGCCTTGACGAGAGTCGGCCAATACCACGAGGATATCCAGCTACTCCCTTTCCGTAAACAGGAGCTTGAGGACCGCGTGTTTCAAGGAGCGTCCCTCACTCCAGAAGAGGAAACTGTTATGGCGGATATTCACGCGATCCAGCATTTCACAGACGTTGACAACGCAACCCAATTAAGTCCCTTTGGACTTGATCATTTAACCAAAACCCTACAGCCTGGGTCACTATCGATCCTCTTCCGCAACGATCATTTCTCTACCCTTTATAAACACCCGCAGCTCCATCAACTGTTCACTTTAGTCACTGATGCGGGCTATTCCAACCATGCAGAAGTGGTATGGGAAAGTCTTGTTGATGTCAATGGATCCAATACCAGCTTCTGCGCGGGAGATTTCCGCGTCGTCAGTCAGCATGCGCCTCGAGATTCGGATCCACCTGGACCACAAACATCGCGTAGTAATGCAGGGTCTAGTCAGAAACCCACACTATCGCCTCAAGAACAGGCGGATGCCGATTATGCCTACGCCCTTTCACTCCAGTACCAAGAAGAGGAGCAACGAGGGAACAATCGAACTGCTCAGCGAGCTTCAGCCCCACATCTATCGCCTCCGGGTGTTTCGCGAGGGTCCACCGCCCACTCTCGTTCGTCCAGTGCAGTTAACGTCCGGAACGGATCATATACATCCCCTGCTGGGATCCGCACATCGGCGCAGCGTCAATCTTACGGACGCCACTCGCAGCCACACTTTGAGACCAACCGTCCCGCGCAGGATGAGTCTGACGACGCTCCGCCGCCATCGTACGAACAGGCGGCACAGAGTCCAGCATATCCCTCTCCCCAAAGAAGTCCGAATGTTTCAGACACCCCTACCAGAGCCCCCTATCAGAGGAACTACTATGGGCGACGACCCCCAGGAGCTCCTCCATCCCCGGGTCTTCCGGAACGCGGCAGGGATAGGGCTAAGGATAGGGACTGTATCGTCATGTAAAACTTTACACTGACCGAAGCTGGATGTTTATGATAGAAACGAGCCTGACATGATATCAACGATTTCGGAGACGCACATTTGGCGGGCTTTTGATCATGGAATGACTCTGGATGACTCTGGATCACGCCATTTATGTACCTTACATAGACGCCTGGGAATTGGCGCATTTTAATGTCTTTTGCTATGGATTATGAGAATCTGACGAATACAGCCGGCCTTGCTCTGTAAGTGTAACCGGAAGTATGTATATATGTATATATCTACAACATCATCGTCGCCCCCCCCCCCCTCCTCTCCCAACTAAATATACATACAGCTTCACTTCGTACCTTTAGTTGGAAGTAGCCGTAGCCGGGCTCTGGTAGATAAAGGGATGACTTTGCTGAATAGGTACCCAAGTACTGGATGTATACTAGGTCCGTCTAAGATAAAATAAAATAAGAATCAACCAATCAATCAAGTGGTTCATGAATTGCACCTTGCACCTTGATATGTTGTCACTGTATTAAGAGCAAGGGAAGCCACACTCCCAGACTAAGCAAACCCAAAATAAAACCAACCCAGCTAGATACTATATACAATCCAATCATCAATCGTTAAGCGAGCGCGGTTCCAACTAATATAGTGTCTTCAACTCCCATAACGGAAGTTTGGGATCATACTTATCCCAGACAATTTTATTCTTCTCATCTAGATGCGCTCCCTCATCCGTAATCATAATGCTCGGGTCTGTCTCCATAATCTCCTCTTGACTGAACCCCCACTTATCGCGCGGAATCCAGACCGTTGGCGCCCTTGCCGTGATACAAGGCTCGAAGTAAGCGTCACGTCGTTCCTCCTCGGAGTATTTGATCTCCACATGATCCCGGCGGACTTTGCGACGTAGCGCCGCGAAATCTCGAGAAAGGTTTGGGTGGAACCATTTCCAAGCTCGGGCCCAGCGGGGAACCTCCATGGTGCCGAGGAGGGCTTGTTCTTCGTTGGATTGTTGGGCTTCTTCTTCGACATCGAGAGTGCGGGGAAGGAAGGAGTTTAGGGGCGCGAGGGCTTCGTTTAGGGACAAGTGGGCTAGGACTGTAAGGATAGTGAATAAAAACATGATTATGAGGGGGCCAATTGCGGATTTGACTGCGAAGAGGCCGATCATACAGATGTCGGCCAAGTAAATTCCTGTTAGGAGGTGTTGGAGAGCGCGCGGGTAGACGAGGCCTTTGGTGTCGATGCGGACGTCGTAAACGAAGAGGAAGTTGTACCGGTATGCTTGGTAAACTAGGTAGAGGCCGACGAAGCAGAATCCGAGGATCAGTGGCGCGATGCAGGAGTATGTCAAGGCTGAAAGGGAGATTAGGCGTTTGTCATGCGGAAAGAAGATACGGAATCATACCTATGACTCCCATGTTGGTGAACACAGGGAACACATTGCCCCAACTGATGGCGCTGAGGGCTGCCCACTTTTGGTACAGCCGCCGAGGGGAACGATCAAAGAAGGTCGTGATGAGTTTGAAAACAAGAACGCTGACAATCTGAACGACAGCTAGAGAACTAGTGCTCAGTCCTTGGAGGAGGAAGTAGGAGATGTAAAAATTGGATGCTTTGGGTAGGTTCTGTGCAAGAAGGTCTTTGACTGATAGGGGATCCTTGATGATTTGTGCAGTTGCTGCAGAAGCCGCAGAGGTCAATGTGGTCACCAGAAACACCTGGACCACCTGAAAACAGAAATGGGCGCTCTGAGTGAACAGCTCAACCCTAGCCGCAGAGGGCACCCCAGCACGCCGAGCACACACTAGAGACAGTTGTTAGCCACCTAAACGTATAACGAAAGACCTAGGGCTCCATACGACGACATATAATTGGAACGAGGGACATCAGAAGAACAAGCGCCGCAGAGGGTAGGAGACCCGCCAGCACGCCTTTAATGACGGAGGGTAGTTTATCAATAAACTTCAAGAACGGAGCTATGCTTGTGAGATATGTGATATTGGAGATGGTGCCAACCAGGGCGGACGGGATAGACCAGAAGATAATCAACGCGGCAATCCCGCCCTGCACAGCGAACTTGCGGATGATCCGCTGCCACCAGCTCAGGTTCAGCGCCGACCAAACGACCTCATGAGGTGATATTCCGCTAAACCGGGGAGTCATATGCAGTGGCTGGTGATGAGAGAGAGTCTGGAGAGCAATCTGGGCATCTGACTGAGTGTTAAATTCGATGAAGATAGCAGACAAGAGCTTCGCTTCTCCATTCCTATGCTTCTGTTGCAAGATTTGCACTTCTTTGTCTATCCTAACTAGCTGCTCTCGATACCAACGGATCGAGTCAACTCTCTCTCCGAAGAACTTGAGTCGATGACTTGGGCGCCTGATTCCATGGTACAATCCTGATGAGCCTGTTTCACAGTCGGCGCATTCGGAACAAGGAATCGTGCCTTTTTTCAGGATCTTCAGGCGCGTGGAGTTTGCCGATCGAATCAGTTGGGTTTCAAGACTCTCGAGACGATAAGCCAGCTTGTCCCTCTGCTGAACTTTTTTATCCAATTCATTACAATCGGAAGTGATCCAAATCTGTCGAATCGAGTCCCCAAACACTTGCCGTAGTTTCTCCTCATTCTTATAGTCTTCTGGGACAGACATGAACAAGACTGTTCTGGAGGATATACGGTGTGAATAGACTGGGGAATTGAGATATGCTTGCCGCAAGTGGGCATAGAATATGCTCTCCCTGGTGATTGTATAGAACACAAACGCTAGGGCCAGTTAGATGCAAAGCATGCATATTCGGTGGAAATGCACTTACTGAAGAACACGCATCCTACGACGGCATGAGCATAGTAATGTTTTGGATTTCGTACGTTGCTAAAGCTTAGAGCATCAAGCTGGGTATTCCCAGCTCCGCCAGTTGCATGTATCGGGAGCAGTATTGGCCATGTGATGACACATCCCGTGAAAAAAGTCGCGCACAGTACTCTCAAGAATCTTAGGAACAGGTATCCGTCCATGGAATGATGGTTGAGGACATGGGCGTCGGAAATTTTGAGAAAATGTCCAAACCAGTTGATGAGCCCAGAAGGGAGCTGAGGAGTCTTTTCACTGGGGGAATTTTAGCAATTTTGCTTTAGCTAAAAGCTCTGTCTTGCCCCGTGTGAAGACGTACTGCTGATGCCAACAGGGCAAATGGCTCCTTGGAGCGTACCATCGTATCTGTGTTCGGCGAAAAATGAGAAACAACGTGAACCAGAATGTCGCAAGCACCAACGCAGGTAGCAGCGTAGTCAAAAGGGCCGAGAGGGATGTCGAATCCCCGCCAACCCCAAGGCTGTCCAAAGCCTCAGAAGTCGATGAGGACGCATTTCCTCTGGAGGAACCGATGTTAGGATCGTTTTCGGGATTCTACATTCCCCGCCATTAGCACTGTCTGCAAATAAACCAAGTGCCTATCTCAAAACGTACCAAGATATCTCGTACAACGAGCAATTTGAACAGATCCGGTCCCGCCATAGTGGTTGGAGATGAAAACCTATCATTTCTCTCCACTCTAGGGGCTCTATGACGGGAGTAAACTCAGCGCAATGGGAACATTGTTACTTTGCCCAGGTAAATATAATCCCACTGCGCGTGTCTCCTTTCAGTGGAGAATTCCACGGCGTGTTCGACCTGTCACTCCCGGCGGGAGGTCAATAATGTACGGAAGGCCGAGGCATGCAGTTAGTGCGCCCATTAGCGGGCTGGCTGAACTCCAAACCGCAGAAATCTGCTACGCGAAATTGCGAACCATCCATACCGAGAAGAAATTAAGAATCGGTTTTTGTGATTCGAGGGGAGTGGAGTCCAACCCGGGAAATGCCTTGTGGGTTGCATGTCTGTTCGTGTTGCAACTTGCAAGTCATGTCAAAGGTGTGCTTATCCCTGCTATAGGCACCCGATTTACCAATAGTCTGATTCGATCGGATCTCTGTCGCAGATCGTAGAACTAGATACTGAGCCTTGGGGTTCCAAATTCCCTCTCGGTTGAAGCTGTGTGGACTGTGGAATCGGCTGTAAAAAGGAGGCCGCTGTATGCAGTAAATAGTTTATCACTAGTGGCCCATCATTTCGAGAATGGTCACGAGTCTGTCCAATAGGCTATTAGGCTATGGTGCTAATTGGAACTGATCCAATCAACCTATAGCTATAGTTCGTCAATTCCTTCGCCCCCCAGCATGGAATGTTTGCCAACCACCAGAGCAGTTCGGACCAGAATCACTCCTGTTTGCCTCCACATCGAACAATTCAAGCATCTGAAGTTACATCGTAGCATTGTGACTCGGTCGTACATCAGATAGTGTGGTAGGACAAGCTTCTAAGTTTCGCGAAAAGTTTCCCCACCTTCCTAGAAGCCATGTGCAAACAGGGCTTCCATAGGGCAACAATGGGCCATGTTCGCGTCAAGTGCATAACTTAATCCACCCCCCCTGGCGCTATTGAGACGCACGGCCCTAGCAAAGCTCTACATGACTCCTGAGGCGGACAAGATGCAGAAGTGCGCACCCTTATGAGGCAAGCGAACCTGGACCATCCCCTGTCCGATTATGGTAGTGTCAGAACGCCAATCGGAATGTAACGGTAAAGGAGAGAAGGAGTTGTTGTTGTTTGGATGGCTCGTGTTCTGGACTAATTCAAAAATAGACGTCAGCTGTCAGATATCTGACCGCAAGTCGAGAGATTCTCAAGGCCGAGCATGGAGGACATTGATTAGGCCGTACTATCAGCACGTATTAGCAGGCATCACCATTACTGTGCATCAGCAGATCTTGCAGCAGCTCAAACACGAAGGAATAACGGAATGAATAGCAAGACGCTCCATCGTAGCGAATTTAAAAAAAAATATACTTCTGGTCAACATCCGATGACGATGAATCAATGCAGCATTTACTTCGAGGTCAGGAGAAATCGAGATGAAACGATAACGACCATCATGGTGGTAAAGATGGAAGGGAGGAGAGGAAGTAGTAGAGGAGGGGTTGGCAGAAGAAAAGTTGCAGATTTCCTCCTGCATGCTTGTCCCAGTTGGAACCTGCCTCCCACTGGAAACAGCGTCTAGTTCCACATCCTCTCGACTTTCAGTTTCTGTCTGAATGGGAGTACCGAGTATAGCTCCTACAATAGCCACCTCCTTTACGGAGTACTCCGTACACAGATCTCATAGTCCCCAAGCCCCTTAGCTAGTCAAGATCATTTCATCATCATCTAATGAGAGGATGGTTAGTATTTTACAAGAAAAGAAAAGTCAATGTTGATAAACCGCCTGGAGTTCGCCCACCGACCTTTTTTTCCCCAATTGGCAGATGTGACTCCAGAGAACTAGAGAGCGGTGGGAAGCGGCAATATTCAGAGAGCAAATAAATCCCTTGGATGCGACGACGTTCGTAAAGAACCCTTGCTGCATAGATTGATTCAGGACGATGTCCCTGACGAGTCGAGAATCAAAGGCAACATATTATACTCAAGATGACTCGGAATCGGCCTCGGTGATTTCGTCCTACGAGCAGAAACAGCCATTCCCCCCGCTACCCCCCGATGACCTTGAAAGCCCCGAGGATGCGCCTCACAATAACCACCCGGAGGCTGATGACCAGGACATCGCATCTCCCCTGCATGGGGCTGGTGAGGCGGGGGATGACGCAGACTTTCACTCACATTATTATTCCTTGGATCAGACATTCTCAGATGCCTCGACAGATTCAAACGATGACCAGTCGCCTGAGGATGGGATTGCGATGCACCATCCATTTAGACAGTCATCCAGCTCGTTACATGGACCAAATGCATTCGCCCCGCCATTCTATAATAGACCTCCAACACCATTACCACCATCCCCTTCATTGACCTCTCTGTTACGACCCCCGTTTTCTACCACCACTTCGCGACCAACCACCCCTGACAGCTCTGATGTTGAGACACCCAATGATACCGAAGCAGCAGTCGCAAAGTCCGCACGACGTGCGACAACGGTCCCTCGAGCTAGCCCCAAAGTACCGACTTATGAGTACTACGGATTTGTTTTATATCTTGCATCATCATTAGCATTCTGTGAGTGATCTCCGCCATTTCGGACTCTGGAAGAGAGACGGCTTCTAATATCTTCTTTTTTGTCTCTCCAGTAATTTATATCCTCTGGTCGTATCTTCCATCTCCTTTCCTCCACCAACTTGGTATATACTACTACCCAAACCGATGGTGGTCTTTGGCGATCCCGTCCTGGCTGGTGATGTCGATCATCTACATTTATATTGCCCTGGCATCATATAATACCGGATACTTGACACTCCCGATGAATAGCGTGCAGAATCTTGTGGACGAAGTAGCGAACGTCGCAGTTATCGATGGGAAGGGCCGACGACGGCCTGGTGGTGCCGCAAAGATGCGACCCGGGGCTACATCTTTTCAGATCATGGGGCCACAGAACCGAAAGGTCAACTGGAGGGAAATTTGGGGTGAAGGGACTGATGCGGTTCTAGATATCCCAGTTGGAGGAGTATGCGAAGTCCTCTACGGACAGGAACGGGGGGATGATGATGGTATCTGTGAAGAGCAATCCAGCACCAGCGGAATCCGCACAGCGTTTCGGAGACGGGAGACATAGTTACGCAGGCGCACTATTGAATCCGAACTGAATGTTATATGTGATGATATTTATGGGATTTTGCGATTGAAGTAGGAAATGTACCATACAACCGATGCGATGAACCGACACCGTAGAGATGGCGAAAGGACTAAAGTAATTACTTGACTCGTTGAAAAAAAAAATAGAAAAAAGAAAAAAAGAAAAGAAAGAAAACAAAACGTATGCAGTCTCAAAAATAGTGACACGTTTCCCTCGTGGAGGAAGTACCTAAATAACGGTCGCTGGTCCTTGATTGGCGACGAAGCGAGGTGTTCGTTGTCTGAATTGCTTCCCTCCACTTTAAACAACTAGTAACATTCAATTCACCCGCCAGCTAAATTGATTCCCACCATTCTCCTGCCATTCTTCTGCATCTGGATAAAGCTACAGCACCCCCAACCCCGGCGCTAAAGGCGGTAACGACCCTGTGGGCGTTTACGGCAACCAACGAGAGAGCGGCGGCGGCGGTGACCGTTCCTGACTTTTGGCTGCGAGGAGACACTGGAAACTGACTGACCTCCAAGAGACGCGCACCCAAATCCCTCTCCCATCGCCGCCTCCTCCTTCCCCTCGAAAGAAAAGCAGTTTTTGTCTCCTTTTTCTTTTTCTTTTCTTCTCCCTGCCTCTTGATTTATCGCTATTGTTGTTAATTTACTGGCGTTGACACGGCTTGGAACATTGTTCCCTGCCGCTGTCCACCCCCCCGTCCGTCTCTTGTTGGCTCACAACAACAGACTCAACCGCTGCGAACACGGGATTACCGAACTTCCCACCTAAGCTACTTCCACCATCGAAACTATACCTCCGAGAGTACCCTTTTGCTCTTCATTTAATTGCTCTTATTTCTGCCCGTCTTTCCTTCGTATGGCTTGGCAATCCCCCTCCGCTATGTCTGGAGGTGGTGGGTTCGTTGGTCCTGGCGGTGATGGTTCCAATGGCGGCCATCCTCAGGGAACGGAATATACCCTGCAAGGTGGGTTCTTGGATTAGTCGCTATATGAAGCGCAATGCTCCGTCCTTGGGGGATCGTTGACAATGCTAATTGCTTTGTGGACGCTTAGGTGTGATGCGCTTCCTTCAGACCGAATGGCATCGACATGAGCGGGATCGCAATGCTTGGGAAATCGAGCGCGCGGAAATGAAGTCCCGGATTGGCAAACTGGAGGGCGATGTCCGGACTAGCAAACGACTACACGAATCATTAGGGAAACATGTCCGCTTGCTAGAGGCTGCGTTGAAAAAGGAGCGTGAGAAGGTTAAGAAGCTCAGTAATAACGAGACCGTGGAAGACTTCCGGGATCCTAAGGAGATTGCTCGGGAGAGCATTAATGCCTTGAAAGGTATTCCGTCGCGCTTTTTATACCGTATGGCGTATTTCTAACTTTTTTTTTTTTTTTTTTTGTTTTTGGCAGCTCAACACTCCAAGCCACAGTCCGCCCTGAACGATACCGAGCATAATCTTGAAAACCAACATGAATTTCGACAAGAAACCGAGCGCGATAAATCCCGAGTATACCTCTCCAAATGCTCACAAGAGGTTGCCTATCATGTCATCCCTTCGGCGCACCCTCCGCCAGACCTCAGCGATCTCGAGCTTTCGAACCACATGTTTGGAAACCAACAGCTATCGCAGCAGAGCTTGGAGGAAGCTTACCTCCAGCAGCAGCGTCAAAAGCAACAGCAGCAGCAGCAGCAGCAGCAACAGCAACAGGCAAACAACCTAATGGCCCGAGAAATGCCTATGCAGAATCATCAACCCATTATTAGACAGTACCCGGAGAACGCGCCCCTATCTCGGCCCCCAACCCAATTCAACCTCGCAGCCGCCTCGAGAGACATTCTTGAGCGACGTCCTTTGGAGCCACAGCCGACCCCCGTTACAGCTATTGACAGCAGGAAGCAGGGTTTAGACAATGCTTTGATGGATGAACGGATCGTAGCGGAAAGGCAAGGGTATGATAGCTACGGCGTACAGACCTCAACCACGGAGGTGGTGAGGCAACAACCGACCGAGGAGGTGTTGGGTGATACTGATGGATGGAATTTTGATGACCCAGCTGATCAGGTTCCCGCTTCCGACGTGATCCCTCCCCACCGACCGGATGTCGATGCATTTCCAAATGCAAACTTCACTCGACAGAAATCCCCCGCGAGATCTGGATCGCTCTCTCACCGAAGAAAGAGCTCTGGCGCTCGCCGAAAGAGTGACGGTGCCATTGATCTTGGAGCAGGCCCAGGCCCAGGCCCCAAGCAGGATCTTGCGTTTAAAGTTCGATTCGCTTTACGAGGACACTTGGATGTTGTCCGGTCTGTCATTTTCACTGGTGGCGGCAGCCCCTCTGAACCCGAAATATGCACTTGCAGCGATGACGGAACAATCAAGCGGTGGATTATTCCAGCCAGCTATGGTGTCTTTGGTGCTCATGGTGCAAGCTCGAGTAGCGACTTGGATATTACAAGCTACTTCACTCATAGGGGACACATCGGGGCTGTGACTGCCTTGGCTGCCTGCTCTCCGTCCCAGAACTTCTCGAATGGTGGTCGCGTGCTCGGCGATGGCTGGGTGTTCTCGGGAGGCCAGGATGCCAGCGTACGTGTGTGGGAACGAGGAAGAGTTGATCCAAAGGCTACATTAGAGGGCCATACAGACGCCGTGTGGGGACTTTGCGTTCTTCCTGGAACTACAGGCTCGATATATGGTGACGCGTCTGGTCACTATGGCGGACCAGATCGGGTTATACTTGCATCGGGTGCTGCAGATGGTAAGATAATTATATGGGCAGTCAGCGCTCCACCTCAGCTTTCATTGCCCCAAGCAGGGTCTCGACGCGCTGGAGGTAGCCGGCGCGCTAATTCAATTTCTTCTGGATCGAACTTCCCATCTTCACCACAGCCTAGTATGGCAACAACAACCCCGTTCCATTATACGATGGTTCGCCAGATTCTGCGAACGGAATCGCCGTCACCAACCTGCATCAGCCCCTTATCTCTTTCTGGCATCAACTTTGTTGTATCCTACGCAGATGCCTCGATTCTCGTGTATGACACAAGGACCGGCGAAGAGATTGCAGGCATGGCAAGTCTAGAAACTTACGACGGGACTCCATCGACCGGTGTCAACTCCGTTGTTGCAACTACTATTGGGTTTGACGGGTCCGCTGGCCTTGACCCTAGCAGGACGATGGCGGAAGAGGAGGTCGTTCACGGCGCTACTGGCTCCAGCGGGGTGGAAGGGGTTGTGATCAGCGGCTACGAAGACAGGTATATTCGCTTCTTTGATGCTAACAGTGGTATGTATTGTAACCCAAGACAAAAGCGACTCCTCTGATCCATTTTCTCTCACTAGGACAATGTACCTACACCATGCTAGCGCACCCATCTGCGATTGCATCTCTTTCACTCTCCCCCGATGGCCGCGAGCTTGTATCTGCCGGCCACGATGCCAGTTTGCGGTTCTGGAACCTTGAAAAGCGAAGTTGCACCCAAGAAATCACGAGTCACCGGCTGATGCGTGGTGAAGGGGCATGCTCTGTCGTCTGGAGCCGCGACGGCCGTTGGGTCGTCAGCGGTGGTGGCGATGGAGTTGTTAAGGTGTTTTCAAGATAATGAACGCTTCTGTTGTTGAATGTATGATTTTGTTCTCACCATTATTTCCCACTGACACTATTTTTTTTTTTTTTTTTTTTTTTTTTTTAATTATGCCATGTTCTTTTTTTGGACGCATGAAATGATTGAGCGATTGGCCAATTCTTGAGCATTTGCAACGGTGTCAAGTTACCTGGCATATGTTCCTTTCTACTCGTGTGGTTATAGCTTTACTATCTCCTTACCATTTTTGTTCCTTTTCATGGATAATAATCCCCTTCTGTGAACTTCGCCCGTCAATTGCCGTTTGAATCGTTGCCAACAGACTCAAAAACCGTTGCACTTACTATACCAACTATTCCTGCTTATCTTTTATTTTTTTTTTTTTTTTCATTTTCTTTCTTTCTCCCTCCCTTTTTACGAGGGACTTACTTGTCTATGTGAAATATGATTCAGGGGATGTGTGCTACTATATTACTATTGATGCGTGGCTTTATTCCCAGCTCCTTCCTGCCCTCTTAATTCATGTTGATATAATCTCATGCTGTGATACTCGTATATGAATTTGGAGTGAGTGATGTTCTTTCTCATCTAGGTGAACACAGGTCGCATGAGTTGTTATAATATATATCTTCCCAATGCTACTGGAACGGCGACCAAAATGCACGAAATAGTTCATAGACACTTTCCATTTTTATAAAAGGTATCATCATAAATGAATTAATTACAGTTGAACTCTCCGAGACATTATTACCGGCTCGCAGCCCAGGCACCCTTAAATAACACGCTCAATTTCTTCGCCTCATCCTCATCCTTCAACCTTTGTCCCAAAAACCCCTGTAAATCATCCCAGAACTGCTCCGTCTCCAGCAACGCCTCCCCGCTCGGCCCAACCGCCGCCTTTGGCACTGTAGCAGCAGCAGCAGCAGCAGCAGCAGCAGCATCAGAAGTAGCGCTGGCCTCCCCTTCTTCCTCCAGCGCACCCTCAACCACCTTCGCCCCACCCATAATCATCACCCCAAACAGCACCTCTTTCCCCCCCGTCAGCAACTCGGGTTCATCACACATAACCTCGGCGATGGTCTTGCTGGTACCGCTGACGAGCTTGCGCTTATACAGGATTTTAATCTTATCCAGGGCCACAGCGCCGTTGTTCTCACCGTCGACGACCCGCCCCCGCACAGAGTCTTTGAGATCCTGAATGGTGGTCGTGGAAACAGGAACGTTGGATACCGTGAATTCGAACGTAGGGTTGCGGGCGGATTTCAAATGCACGGTGATGGATTTTGAGGAACCGGGGGCAAGCGTGCGCTTTGTTTTCTTGGGCATTTCGGGGTGTGGCGGTTGTAGGCGGGGGAGAAGGTACTGGTATTCAATTTCGGATTAGTTTCATGGTTGTGGTTTTTTTTTTTTTCTTTGTTGGTGTTCAATGAGGAGTGAATGGGCTTTGTGGATTCTCTCTCTCTCTCTCTCTCTCTCTCTCTCTCCCTGTATGTGTGTAGATAGAGCAGTGACCTACCGGAACTCGAGCCGCGGCGTATTCTTGATCGAGCACATAGTCTGCGCGAAGCTTGACGGGGCGGGAATCGAGGGCTGAGAGGAAGCCCTTTGTGAAGGCTAATTCAGACATGGTTGCGTGATGTTCAAGTTACTGATTTCGTCAAAAAGATGTAGGAAGTGTAGTGGTATAGAAGGGAAGCGGGGGAAACTGAAATGGAGACCAGATATGGAGATGGCTTGGAATTACCCAATCGGGCCGTTGTGAAGCTGCAGGTGACGGGGAAGTGCCTCAGGCAGCACAGCTCATTCTACACCGCCTTGAGCTAACTTCCTGCCGTTGTTGACCGCCTATTGCGGCAGGAAATGAGAGAGAAAAAAAAAAAAAAAAAAGAGTTCGAAATCTTCACCCCAGGTTTATCGAAAGACAAAAAAAACACATCACCCCGCTCCAATTGCATTATTTTTCGCGATGGGTAGAGGTCGCCGTATGAAGAAGCAGGGTCCTCCTGCACCGCTGGATGAGTCCAAAATCACAATTTACAAGAAACGCAAGACCGGCGATGCTGAACCCAAGGTCGAGTCGGGCAAGAAGCGAAGACGTACCGAAGTTGAGGAGGAAGAGGTTGTGAAGGAGGCCCAGAAGAAGAAGAAGGCCAATGGCGTGATAGCTAACGGTAAAGAGAAGAAGGGCGCCGCTGTGGCTGAAGTGAAGGGAAAGAAGAAGGCAGCGGAGAAGAAACCGACATTTATGGAGTCCGACGACGAGGACGAGGACGAGGATATGTCGGGCCTTGATGAGGAGGAACTCGATCAGGATGAATTCGATGACTTGGATGGCGTTAGCGATGGGTCAATGGGTAGTCAGATTGGGGATGAATTTGATCTGGAGGAAGATGAGGACGACGACTCTGTTGTGGATTCAGACGACGATGATCATCCCCGACAAACGATGTTCTCCGACGACGAGGATCTTTCAGATGCAGAAGAAAAGCTCACTGCGGCCAATATCGAGGGCTTGTCCCGGAAACTGGATGCTACTAGACAGGCCGAAGAAGAGGAGGCGGAACGCGAGTTGCAGGAATCAGCTCTGCAAACCAATATCGCTGGCGACCGTCCGGATGTGTTTGCAGGCACCGAGGGCGAGGCACAAGAGGGTCTGGCGCCTGATCTCCAGCTGCTCCGAACGAGAATCACAGATACGATCCGCATTCTGGGCGATATGAAGACGCTCGGCCAGTCAAACAAGTCGCGCGCCGATTACACCCAGCTCCTCCTCAACGATATTTGCACCTACTACGGCTACACCCCGTTCCTCGCCGAGAAGCTGTTCAACCTGTTCACACCTATGGAAGCGTTCGCCTTTTTTGAAGCTAACGAAACCCCCCGCCCCGTCGTCATCCGTACCAACACACTCCGCACAAACCGAAGATCTCTCGCGCAAGCCCTGATCAACCGTGGTGTGGTGCTCGAGCCCGTTGGCAAATGGTCCAAGGTTGGGCTCCAAGTCTTTGAATCCACCGTCCCTCTCGGTGCTACTCCTGAATACCTCGCTGGTCATTACATCCTGCAGGCCGCATCCTCTTTCCTCCCCGTGATGGCCCTTGCGCCGCAGGAGAACGAGCGCGTTCTCGATATGGCCTCCGCCCCCGGTGGTAAAACCACCTATATCTCTGCGCTCATGCGCAATACCGGCTGTGTGATCGCCAACGATGCCAGCAAGCCCCGTGCCAAGGGTCTCATCGGTAACATCCACCGTCTCGGCTGTAAGAACACCATCGTCACCCACCTGGACGCGCGCACCGCCTTCCCCAAGGCCATGGGTGGTTTCGACCGTGTCCTCCTTGATGCTCCCTGTACCGGAACCGGCGTTATCTCCAAGGACCCGGGCGTCAAAACCTCTAAGAACGAGCGCGACTTCCTCGCCATCCCGCATATGCAGCGCCAGCTTCTCCTCGCCGCCATCGACTCCGTCGACCACTCCTCCAAGACAGGCGGCTACATCGTCTACTCTACCTGTTCCGTGACCGTCGAAGAGAACGAGGCTGTTGTCCAATACGTGCTGCGCAAACGGCCCAACGTAAAAATCGTCGACACGGGGCTTGGCGATTTTGGTTCGCCCGGTTTCACCAACTACATGGGCAAGCACTTCGACGCCAAGATGACCATGACAAGACGCTACTTCCCGCACCGCGAAAACGTCGACGGTTTCTTCGTCTGCAAACTCAAGAAGACCGGCCCCACGCCTGCCCAGAAGGCTGCCGACGGAGCTGTGGGCGATTCCACCGCTACCGCAGGCAGCAAGACCTCCTCTCGGGCTTCCTCTGTCGCAACAACAACAGACGACGACGACGATGAAGTCATCGACAAAACACCCATAACCGATGAGGACGGCACCGTCGCTGGACTCGGAGGTAGCGCGTTCGGACCCTTCGACGAGAACGAAGAGGAAGACGCCGAGCGTATCTTGCGCGCAGAACGGAACCGTCTCCGTCGCAAGGGCATCAATCCCAAATCAGTCCTGAATAAGCCCAAGAAGCCAAAGACTGCACCTAAGACTGAGTCGACCCCAACCACTACCGACGACGAGACCCCAGCAGCCAAGGAAACGCCAGAACAGCCAAAGGAGAAGAAGGACGAGTCGAAGAAGTCCTCCAAGTCTAAGCCTACCAAGGTTTCTAAGTCTGCGAAGACAGAAGAATCTTCTGCTCCTGCTCCTGCTTCTGTTTCTGTTTCTGTTTCTGTTTCCCCCGCATCGAAGAACTCCGATAAGAAAAAGACCAAGAAGCAAACGAGCAGCAGTCCTGGCGCTGGCAAGGGAAAGAAGGGATCTAAATAATGCCAGTCAGTCGATTCCACTTAAAGAATATAATTCTCTGATACATCTGTTATGGCGAATACAAAAAGCTTTCTCTTTTTTTATGTTTTATTTCTTTTTCTTTCCTTGTCATGTTTGAGTAGGTGCATGTGCGGTTACACTCTTGAATGAATAGTATGGTAGTACGGTACATAGTGCATATTTCTGTCAATAGATATACCATTACGGCTGTCTTTGCTTCTTCTTCTTCTTCTTCTGATTTGTTTGAATGAGGCTCGGTAAAGTTTCAAGTCCATGTAGAGAGAGAGAGAGAGAGAGAGAGAGAGTGTGTGTGTGATTCTCAAATTCAAAGTCTAGATACAACAGACTGTAAATGAAAACGAACACAGGTGATTGCAACTCAAGTTCAATATGTAGTTATAGAAATCAGATCTAAATGTTGCAAATCAATGGAGCGCAGCACCGTTAAACCAAAACCAATTCAATCATCTTGATGAGAATGATTAAGATAAACTGAACAAAAATAAAAATGAAGTTTCCCGGGTATGCCATATTCTCCCAATGCTAATTAAGAAGAAAGAATAAAAGGAGAGAGAGAGCAAGAGAGAGAAGAAAGGGGGGGGGGGGGGCGGAGTCTGTCGATCTTCGTATACTGATGCAGTCATTTCTGAAATTCCTGGAGAAGCTTAACTAGGTCCTATAGATCTTTACCACGTTTAGGATATTCTTCCTGCAAATGGGACAGATATCGACCTGTCGGGCGCAGGCCACGCACGCGCAGACGTGGCCGCAGTCATAGAACAGAGCGTCTTGTTCTTCTCCGAAACAGATCTGGCAGAGGTCCATTTCCTCGTCCGCGACTTCCCAGTAGCTGATTCCCCTGCCGTGGCGTTTGCCGTCCTTGTAGCCGCCCACGTACTTGTTGCCGGTCTTGCACTCGACAAAGGTTCCTTGACCGTGGCACTGGTTCTCAAACCAGTCTCCGTCGTATGTGTCGCCCGTGGGATACTCCATCATGCCCTTGCCGTGGCGTTTGCCCAGGACGAAATCACCATCGTAGGTAGCAGCGGAGTCGGAGATGTGCTTACCCTTGCCGTGGAAGTAACCCTTCATGAATTCTCCGCTGTAGAACTCGCTGGTAAAGGTGGCGTCGATGGTCTTCGTTCCGGTGAAGGCGCGAGTTGGGTGGCGACGAGACTCGGCCCATAGGTATCGAACCAGTTGGTCGGGGTTGGCAAAGGATCCAGCTTCGTTTAGTCGGGCTCGCCTGGAAGATAACGATTAGCAGGTATGGGATGGGAGAGAGAGAGAGAGAGAGAGAGAGAGAGAGAGAGCTTACTTGTCTTTGTTCAACTTGTCGCCAACGATAAAGCATGTCCCATCCGGAACGAACATCTCAAAGGTTTCGGCAGAGGCAATGGTGGTGACGGTAGTGCCGTCCACGCGTTGCCAGATCTGAAAGTCCTTGGTGGCGGGCCATTCGAGGTGTTTTTTGATGGCGGCTTTGATCTGTTCCTCCTTTTGGGAGAAGAAGGACCCAACAGTCCGCAAGACTTGTGCCTCCATATCAAAGAGCTGGATGTAGTAGTAAACATGCTCCACTGGCAAGATGACTTCTGGCTCCTCTGGGGTGGTGGGCGGCTGCGCATCATCGACAGGCTGTTCGGGAGTTTCGCCCTCCGGAGTGGGCGCTGCGCCAGTGTCCTGCTCTGGATTGGTGGCAGAAGGCTGGCTTTCGTCAAGCTGCTCGAGATCATGGGCGATGATCGCCGCAATGACGGCATCATTTTCGTTGGAAGAACCTTCGGGGGGAACTGAATCGGAAGAGGTCGCGTTCTGAGCGGGCTCCTCGCTAGCAGCAGGTGTGGTGGGATTCTCTGTGGTCTCATTGTTGACCGCCTCCATCACAAGCTGAGGCGCAGGCTGAGGAGGGGTTTCGGTGCTCTCTTCATGTGAATGGCTCCGAGAAGCATTCGCCGAAGAGCTTGGCTGGGCAAAGCCAGTCTCTGGCGCCGGCTGTCCTTCGTCCGAAGACTCGGAGCCGTGATGTTCGATGACAGCCTCCTCAGATTTGGCGTTCACCGTGACTGGGAAGTGGGGATCTTTCATGGCAAAATACTTGGCGTCCACTGTGATTGGGATTAGCAATCGTCCATGGTTAAGACAAATCGAAGCATTAACTCACCATCCGACACTATCTGCATCCAGTAACGCACAGACTCCAGGGGCTGATCGAGGGTAGTCGTTAGATCCGAAACCCGGGCGAATGCCAGTGTTGGCCCAAACCGATCACGGGTGTGGCCAATCTGCCAGAGGCGAACGTGCTCGGGACTAATCTCTTTGTCCGTCCTGGTCGAGGCCCATGTGGTTATCCTTTTGCGTAGGTCGATGAGATTGGTGGAGCGAGGAACGGTCAGATACATGACACTTTTAGCGGCCTTTGCTTGCGACATGAGGTCATAGGTATCGAACAAGCTGCCCAGCTCATCATATTTCTGTAACGAGTAAACCTCCACTTGAATATCTTCTTCTTCTTCCACTGTCTTGTTGTTGTTAGACGACTTCTTGGGACGGCTGATGGCGCCGTTTTCGTAGTATTCCTTGAGATCTTCCGACACATCCCATGGGCCCTGCGGGCCCGGGAGGAAATCATTGACCACATCGCTGCGAATATACATGACCGCAATGGCGACATCGTGCCCGGTCTTGTGGTCCGCTTTTTGCGAGGAATCCAAGCCGAGGTGAGGCCCGAGTGCGGTTTTCCGGGTCAAACATTCGACACGATTGTCGCTGCCATCATCGAACGCGAGCCACTTTGTGCCGGGCCCACCGGGGCGCAAGATGCTGAAGAATTTGCCGGACGTGCGCCGTCCTCGGTGGACGATGTATCCATAGAGCACATATTTTCCGTGTTGCCCATCGAGGAGGAATGGGGACAGGTCCAACTCTTCGTCGAGATCCACCCGGTTATAGAGGAGGCGCCATTGGCGAGCCGCCTTGTCTAGCTTTTGACGGCCTAGTTCGAGGTGCAGAATCGGAGGCAACACCCAGCGGCCCGGTTTGGCCCCGAGGTAGTGACGGAAAGCCTCCGCGGTCGACTGGACTTGGTCGGCAGGGATGCAGATGGGGGAGTTGGAATCGGTGGGCACTGTGTTGATAGCATCCGGGAGGGTGGTGCCAATGGAGGGACTGTCGAACAATTGGGCAAGCTCCTTCACTGCCTCGGTGCCGGCAAGCTCCAGCTCCAGGGTTCGGCGTAACCGTTCCCAGAACTCGCACACGTCGCTGGAATACTCATGGAGGTTGCGGAGGGTGGATGTGATGGGATCGGTGTCGACGTACTGCAGGGATTGGCCGCGCGAGCGGAGCTGCCACAGGAAGGTCTGTAAGGCATCACACAACGGCTTGGGCTTCACATCACAGTTTGTCAGATGCTCAAGCACATTGACCTTCTGGATGATGTTGCAGAATGGAGCGATATGCATCCAGGTTGCTAGACCGGCGACTTCGGCGCTGTGGTTGATGACGGAATCGCCGAGGGGGCGATAGCCGGTCAGGCTCAAACTATCCCAGGTCGGCTCGGAGTCGCTGGGGTGCCACCACAAGGAGCGGGTGGGATCATCAAAGATACGGATGTATGCATCGAAAGCCAAGGAGTCATGGCGGAGGAGGGCCTGTCGCTGGCCGCGCTGGCGGCGGTGGATCTGGTCCCACGGCCCATGGAAATTCGTCCATCCCCAATCCAAGTTGTGTGAATTAAACTGGTGGCAGGAGGACTGCATCCAACCGGTGCGGGGCTCTTCAGGGTTGTATAGAATGACTCCAATCTGGGCCGACACTCTCCAGGATTCAGAGGCGGCCGACTCAGCTTGGTTGGCCGCTGCAGGGTATTGAGACTTGAAGTTCTCCATCCAGGCCTGGGAATCTTCGGTGCGCGCAAACTTGAAATCTATCTCCGGCGGGTTTGTATCGAGGACTGTGTCAGCGGGCCCGCGAAGGACCTTAAACTCGGTCTCGGGGAACGTGTTGTCGACCTTGGGCATAGTGGGCGAGCACTCGATATAGATGCTCAGGGAGCCAACATTATTCCCGCGAGGGAAGAACTTGATGGTCCACCAGTAACCACCAATATATGCGGGCGGAGAGCGCATGATCTTGATGTGATTTGGCTGCTCCTTGGTGCCTCTCACCCCGTTGATCTTCCATGTTAGACGAGCCTTTTCGATGGGGCGGTACTCGGGATCGTCTAGGTCGGGGTGGAAATTCTTCTCCCAGTAATTGTCTGCGAGAATTAGATGCTACCTAAATGGTAATTTGAGGGAAGAGGGGGGGGGGGGGGGTTTACATTCGAGAGCACTATAGTCACCCTCGGCCTGTGACTCGATCTCTTTCATTTCGGCCTCGTCCGGGACTGAGGTATCTTCTTCCGAGTCTATCCAGAAGGCATCTTCCTCTGCATTCGCCTCATTATTTCGTTCGGGATTTTCTTCCGCATTCTCTTGAGTATTCTCTTGGGTATTCTCCGGCTCTGGAGGGTTAGACTCTGTGGAAGGTTCCTCCTGAGTGTCGACGGGCGGGTCTGGCGCAGGGGCCTCCTGCGGTTCTGGGGGTTGGGGGTCGACCAGCACAGGTTCTGGTGGAGGTCGGGGAGTTTCTTCCAGTGTGATATCGATGGGAATAGTAATATTGGGATCCGTTGTAGGAGTATCTAAGCTGAGAGTAACTGGAGGAGGGATGACTGTAGGATCGATAGGGTCCATTGTGGAGGTGGGGGAGTATGGGGTAAGAGAGAGAGAGAGAGAGAGAGAGAGAGAGAGAGAGAAGAAAGACAAAAACCAAAAGAGACAAGAGTCTGAGTTGAAAAAAGAAGGACGAGCCAAAGATAATCAAAGGCAGAAATGACAATAACAACCTGGGAAAAAGAAGCTATATTCAAGTCGAGTCCGATCAGGCAGACGGGCAAAGCAAAGCGGCGGAGTCTAGAATCACGATAAGAAACTAGCTAGGCTTATCCGAATTGATAGGGAGAGGGGAAGGAATTAGGAAATAGATGGAGAGATGGAGAGATGGAAAGAAGAGAGAGATGATGAAGAAAAGAAAAGAGAAAATCAAGGCTGTCGTTGCAAAATGAGGCGGAACTGCAGCCAAATCAGAGAGAGAGAGAGAGAGAGAAAGAGGCTCACCGCTGGTTGTCTTGAAGATTCTATTCTACGAAAGAAAAGAAGAACTTTCACTTGCCACTTGAAGAAGGCATCTTTACTTTCTTCTTCTCTTCTTCTCTTCTTCTCGATATCTTCAACCTTCCTACTGTTCCCTGGTCGAGCTTCTCTGATCCTCGGATTCGGATGATCGGGACGGATCTCTCTCTTCCCTCAAATCAATTTTCTCAACTGGAACCAATTTAATCTTTTTCCTTTTTTCTGTTCCTGAACTTTGTTCGCTGATTCGTGCTCTCTCTATCTCTCTCTCTCTCTCTCTCTCTTGCGTGGCAGGTGTTGACACGCTTGAGCGGCAGGTGAGGTGTCAAGCGGGGTATCACCACCGCTGTCCTTTCTCTTTCCTTTTTTCGAGGTCGATCTATTCCCTGGGTTTTCTGGCTACGAGTAATGTAGGGCGTTGTGCTAAACCCCCCCCCCCCCCCCCTTTCCGCCACTTGACTCGATCATCAATCATCAGTCATTAATTTTCAATCATCCCGTCGTTTCAGTTGCGAGTTTCTCCGTCACTATCGGTTGTAGCTCGTGCAAAGGTTGCCGCCACAATCATGGGGAACACCACCGTGGCTTCCGCATACACCTTGACCGACTGAGCATCCGCCTTGATCTTCCCCCAGCTAACAGCTTCATCCGGACGCGCCCCAGCATCGCTGCCGTCGAATTCCTGTGCCGTGTTAATGTAGACCGCGTGTTCCGCGCCGTTCCGCATCAGACAAGCATTCGCAATGTGGTGCTTGATCACGCCGCCGCCCAGAATGATCATCCCCGCGTGGGCCGCGCGGACCGCCATGGTGTTGATGCGGCGCACATCGTCAACGATATCGACGCGGAGTCGTTGCGGGGACGACCGGTAGGTGTGGAAATAGAGCATGTCGCCGAGGGAGCCGTCGGTGAGGGCGGGACAGAAGATGGGGATGTTATTTTTGGCGGCCCAGTAGAGAACCGAGTCTTCGTGGTTGATCTCGTGCCCGAGCCGTTCGATGATCCGGCTCGGAGTCCAGTGTAGTTCATCCTCCTCGTCCCCAGTCTCCTGCGCCTTTTTCTTCGCGGCTTCTTGCTCCTCTAGCATTTTATCCAGGATGGGGATCAACCAGTCCTCAAACGCGCAGTAGTTGCTGTTGGGGACCATGAGATTCCCGATGCGGTTGAGTCCCTTGGCTCGGAGGCCGGCTCCGGACGCGGTGAAGGAACCCATGTAGGTAGGGGCCAGACATTTGATAAGATCCTCCTCGACCCCGCCGGCCGTGGTGACAATGGCGGAGACATGGCGATGACGCACGAGGTAGCGGAGGGTGTCCCGGAGACCGGAGGAAATCAGGTTGGAGGTGTAACCGAGGAAGATGGTCGTTTTGTCGCCTGTTTCAGGGTGACGATAGGCACGCTAAGCCACGAGAACATAGATCCAGTCAGGCCAGCCAACAATGTCAAGGATAGAAAAAAAAAAACAAAAAAAAAAAGAATGATACCATGTCGTTGATAATCCGGACAGCATCCGCAACCGCAGTTCCTTGAAAGCCCATGTATTTCATCTGGTCGACCATCTCAGCGACAGTAATATCACGGCCGTGGAATTGTTCGAAGTCGACCCCGCGGACCTCCTGGGTGCCCTCGGGGACAGGCTCAGAGGCGACCAGAACGGCATTGGTAGCAGAGGAAGGAGGAGCTGGTTGTTGTTGTTGTTGTTGCTGTTGTTGTGACATTATGTGTAGAGAGTGAAAGAGAATATATTGATTAAGAATAATAGAGGATTGTAAAATTCAACAACTTTTTTAAATGATTTCAAGGTGGGATGAAAGGAAACGGTTTTTTTTTTTTTTTTTTTTCTTTTTTTTTTGGGTGCGGGGAGGGAAAAAAAAAAAAAAAAAAAAAAAATAGAACGAGAGGCCTGAGGCCTTGACGGAACACACGCTAACTGATTCCGGCTAGACTGGCAATGTGATTTGCAGATCTGCCTGAGGCATTCATTAAAATTCCATGCGACGCTTAAAAATCAAAATCAAAATAGTTAAGCAAAAATAAAAACTAAAATCAGTGATTAAAAAAAAAGAAAATCGGTAATTAATAACTAGAGTCAAAGGGGTTTAGAGACAAAAAATGGAATCCACTCAAATGAATCGAATTCATGATCCATCATCAACTGAATCTCTGGGGACTTTTCTTTCCATCTTCATCATCTCATCTCATCTTGTCTCCTCCCCTTTCTTCCTTCCTTTCTTTCTTTCTTCCTTTCCCATTTCTCTCCTTTCGTTTCCTCTTCTTGCAGCTCCATCCCTTTCCCCCTCTTTCTTCCTGGTGAAGGATCCTCGTCTAGCCTCCTAGCCTCTAGGTACCTGATTCAGGCCTTAGCAGTTGCCATCTTGAAACTCCTTGCAGCTGTCCTTACCGTGATTAATTGCTTGACACACGTTACGCTCGGTCGGGAGGTAAGAAAGATGATTTTTTTTTTATTTCCTACAATTTAGATTCTTTTGCTTTATTTATTTCTCTTTTTTGGGGGGGGGGTTTCCCCTTCCAAGACTCACGAGAGAAAGCGCCATCCCGAGTGGGCAATGAGGGAGAGTGCCGCCGCCGCCTAAGCACTGCAGGAGGAAGGCTGGAGCAGACGACATACCTGGTACTAGTCCGTACTCCAACAAGGCCATCTCAGACGGGAATCTGGGCCAAGTGCTACACGGCCAGCCACTCAGACTCCTCCTCCATCATTCATCCGGTTCCAGTCACGCCCGGAATCCAGGATCTTTTCCCAGCGCCTGAGGCTATCCCCCGTTTGGGAAATTCCCCGATTTGGTTGGGGCCGATTAGATAATACCGCTGAGTGGCCCGTGCGGCGTGCACGCTATCAAGATCACGTGTTCCCCACCCAGTCATTGTTCGCCGTCGCGCTGCCATCATTTTTGGGCTCCCTGGAAATTCCTTGGCCTGGAAGTTGCGTCTTTTGCTTGGGTACTGCTGATACTAACGAATCGCTCGGTCGCAGGCTCTTTCCCAGGCTGCTCCCCTCTTCTTATACCCTCGAGCATGGTCTGGTGATGTCTTCGCGATATCCCCCATCATCTGGGTATAACTCCCGTGATCGCTCCCCACAACGCTTTGGTGACCGTCGACCCCCCGCTGGCCCTCGTGGCTCTGATGATGCCAACTTACCCATCGGTCGGGAGCCCCCGAGGGCTCCCAAGGCCTTGATTGACCCTCCGCGCGGCGCTCCGTTCGGTGGTCGAGGTCGAGGCTACTACCCCGGCCGTGGAGATTTTCGGGATAGGGACCGTGATCCCCGTGACCGGGATAGAGAACGGGATCGTGATTTTCGAGATCTTCGCGATGGACCACCGCCACCGTTTCGCCGTGATATCGACCGGGATTGGGGTCGTCGCACCCATGATTTCGACCCTCGAGAACCCCGAGTTGGGTTCGGCCGCGGTCGTTCGCGCTCCCCGCCGCCGCTTCGTGATTTTCGAGACATGCGAGAACCCCTGGCTCGCGATCCAGACATGGTACGGATGCGTCGGGGCTCCCGGGATAGCTTGATGTCCGTCTCATCGACGGCACCTGATGGCCCACTGGTTGGAACGAGTCATCATCCTCGTGCTGGTCCCATCCGGGGCCGGGGCCGGGGGGAATGGGAGGCTGGACGCGGACGCGGACGGCTACCTTACATGGACGATCGTGATTCGTTTCGCCGTCGAAGCCGGTCGCGCGATGCGCGCGATGTGAGGTGGGATCGGGAGCGAGAGCGCGAGCGAGAACGAGAGCGTGATAGAGAACGCGTCCTCGAGCGAGACCGGGAACGGGAGCGGATTGTGATGGATCGAGATCGAGACCGAGAGCTTGATAGACGCGAACGTGAGAGAGACCGGGAATTCGATCGACGGGAGGAGCTGGACCGTCGGGTTGAACGTGATGACCGGGACCGACCAGCAGATCTTTGGAAGCGGGATCCCCCCCCGAGTCGCAACGAGACTCGAATCCCCAGCAACCCAGCCATTCCATCCGCTTCTCCATCCTTACACTCCGCGGGGTCTGTACCACCCCCCGACAAGGTTCCAGAGCAATCCGCTGTCGAACATCCCCGAAAATTATCTGGAGATTCATGGCGCGATCCGGAGCGTTCTGAACCATTGCCCCCTGCTGCCCGACCGGCTGCTGCAAAGGAATTTTTGCCCCCTGTTGTCAAACGCTCTCCTCCACCTGCTGCCCCCCAAGTTCCTGCGTTTGGCACCGTCACCGCGCCCATTCCGGACTTATCAACGGAAAAGTCGATAGTTGATGTCCCTCCCCCTACTACTTCCTTACCCAAAGCCGAGAAAGACCGTCATGAACATTTACCACGACCCCCAATGCAACCCCCAACCGGACCAAAAGCCGATCGTGGTCCCCCTCAACATGCCCTAGATCAACGTCCTCGGCGCGATGAACCTAGGGGCGATGAACCTAGGGGCGATGAAAGCGGAGAGGGTTCGGTGAAACTGGAGGGCCCTGCGCGTACTTTGAAACCACAGCCAATCGTTACCGGTGCTCCTCCAAAGCCAGCGGATCTTTCACCCCCGACTGCCCCGGCAGCGATGGTCGCCGCCAAGGAGCCTGCAGTTACTCCCGAATCTTCGCCGAGCAAGTCGAGTACGGCAGTAGTACCCATGCCGGACGAGGCGCGAGCCTTACCTTTGGCTGGACGTTCAACCTCGCCAGTTTTGCAGACATCCCCCCGCATGCACGCCACCAATATTCCGACTGGGCCTCGTGCCCTACAGCAACGACCTGCAACCTCGCGTGGACCAGCGAAATCCAACAAACAGTGGGTTCGGCCCGGTTACAATCGATTATCGCAGTCGGGGCCTAGCCCCACCATCACGGCCAAGCGCGACTCCATTGATAACAAGGACCGAGGCTTCTCCATTAGCGAAGAAAGCAAACGGGAGACAAAAGCTCCCGATGATGACCCGCCGGCAGCGCTTGATGTGGATGAAATGGATACCAGCAATGATGTAACCGCGCCCGCTGACAAGGAACCTATCGCTGTCCCTGAACTTCCCGCCGTCCTCAAAGACCGTGTGGCCAGTCCTCAGCCCCCTTCCATCCAGGAGGCAGCAGAGAAACCCGCTGGGGAGCGAAATAGTGTGCTAATACCTGATTTCGGCCGGTCTAGTGACGAGGATGAGGATGAAAACGTTTTCACCCCGGAGTACCTCGAAGAACGCAAAAAGATTTTTGAAAAGGACATGAAGGCTCTCCGCGCAGAATTACCTCCTCCACCGTTAGAGGACCCAACCGTTGTATCTCTGCTAATGCGAATCCAACTGCTTGGCATGATCGCCCACGAGCGAATGCCCACGAAGGAGCCGACACCTCAGCCGCCTCCGGATGCCGCTGCGCCAATCAAGGAGACCGAAATCGCTCCCCCCGTTGAATTCAAGTCGGAGACGAAGAAGACTGAAGAAGACCAGGAACCGCCCACCAAAATGATTCTGGATTCACTGCCGGACGCTCTTTCCATCGAGCACCTGCCCTTCCTCAATTCTGGACCCCCCACCCCGATATCCGATCTGGATATTTACCACGAGAATTCTACTCTGTACGAAAATGTAAAAGACATGTTCCGTGGAGAATTGGTTGAGCGACGGAAAGAAATTGCAAAGAAGAATACAGAACTGCGCATGGATTATTTATCCTACTACAAACCATGGAGAATAAATGTTTGGGAACTCGACCGCGCAAAGGACAGGAGAAGTTCGGTTACCCCAGGACCGACTCCGCCTCCGGCTCCCTCGCTGACAGTTACCCCTACGCCTGTTCCAGAGGGTCGGAGGTATAAGGGCAACAGTGAGCTTGACTTCCAGAACGCTCTCCGGGCTTCGGAAATTTCAGCGCAGGAAGAACTCGAGAGACGCCGCGAAAACAAAGCTACGGCTCAACCAGATCTGACGCGCGAGGCGGTCATTCCGGACATGCTTGACCCCCGAGAGGCCAAGGCCCGTATCTACAAAGACACCAACAACATTGTTGACCCAGCCCAAGCTATGGATGTGTTTGCTTTCTTGCCGCCTCCTAACGACTTTACGCCCGAAGAGCACGAGATCTTTACCGACGCGTTCATGGCATATCCCAAGAAATGGGGCAAAATTGCGGAAGCGTTACCTAAACGCGACTTTAGGGAATGTATTGTTCATTATTACTTGACGAAGGAGGAGATCAAATACAAGGCGAAACTAAATAAGCGGTGGAGTCGCCGGGGCCGAGCAAAAAGATCGGCCCGACCCAAGTCTAACGCGCTTATGGCCGATTTGGGTGTTGTAAAACCTGATTATGACGGCGAGGAAGAGCCAACTCCGGTCACAGATACTGGTCGCCCACGCCGTGCTGCGGCTCCTACGTTTGGAGACTCTTCCGCCGACACCGAGCAGAGTGGCAATGGCCGCCGGGGAAATGCCGCCAGGGATGGCGAGCAGGGAGAGAAACCTGCTGGACGACGAGGACCCCGGTCGGGTGCTGGCACTCGCGGTGGTCGACGAGGCAAAGCGGCCCAGCAACAGCAACAGCAAGCACCACAAACACCACAGCCCGAGCAACTCAACCCAACGATTCCGGCAGCAGCCACCGTCGCATCTTCTACCACCATCGTGACCCCTATCCCCAAAACAGAGATATTGGAGCCATCGGTAGAACGTGCGAGTGAGACCGCCGTTCGACCTAAGGAGTCAACTGAAAGAGAGCAAATCGAAGCGCCCCCCCGCGCCAAGTCTGGCAGAGGACGCCAGAAAGAGGGCATGTATGTCTTTGAGTCAACCGAGCCAGATAGTAGCACTGCGACGCCTACTGCAACTACCCGTCAATCGGAGGTGAACTACTCCTCTCCACAGCCCACTAGTTATTGGTCTGTGCCCGAGCAGCGCGACTTCCCGTTACTTTTGGCCCACTTTGGTCGGGACTTTGAGGGCATTTCGAACTTTATGAAAACGAAGACTACGGTGATGGTGTGATCAACCCCTCCCTTCTCTTTTGGCATCACCTCTAGATCCAAAATAAGATTCTACGGTTTCTTACTCACGGTTTTACAGGTTAAAAACTATTTTCAGCGACGGATCGACTCGGGCCAAAAGGACTTCGAGGACATTGTAGCTGATGCCGAAGCTAAGAAAGCCCGTGGAGAGGCCACTGGCCATCTTCCGATGCCCAACTTTACCTCGAAACGCCGCTATGAAGCAACACCCTCCTCTATCATTATGCCCAGACCCCTTGCTCCGAATACCGAAGCCACTCCTGAAGTCGATGATGCCCGTCTTGCACCCAAATCAAAGCATACTGGTCCACCAGCACAGCAGCAGGTACCTCTACATGCTCGCCCAATTCAGGAGAAGGAGCGTAGCATTTCCAGATACCCCCCACTAGCACAGGCTAGTAGTGCACCGATTGCTTCCCATTCTGCAACTGGTATGAGTGAAGAGGGCTCCCGAGCGGCCCGCGGCCCAACTGGCATTGCCAATAGAATACCTGGCCCACGTTTAGGATATTTCCCTGACGACAGACGCGATATCACAGGGACGGTCCTAACCCATACGGCAGCTCGACCTCAGGAGGTTCCAATGTCCGCACGCCAAGCTGCTATCTCTGGTCCTGACATGACCCGGATGGAGCCGCTCCACGGCCAAGGGTTCCGATCTTCCAATGTTGATATGCACGGATCACCGTTACTTCCAGGGCAAAGCGCGGCGCCTTCACAGCAGCAACCATACATGCAGTCCCGGGCTCAATCTCAGGCTCAGCCTCCTCCCGCGCTAAAGCCCGCTGGCTCGCACTCCCGCCAGTCTAGCCTTACTAAGCCTGCGTCCCCACGACACGAGGCCGAGATATCTCCTATCCGGCGCGATTCTGTCGGCCAAAGGCCCTACTATCCTCTCCCTGGCCAGCATGTGGGTATCTCCCAACCCCCAATTTTGTCACCGTCCAAGGAGCCCACAAGGATGGGACCTGCCCGAGTGGAACCTCCAGAACCACCTCGTCAAGTCCCTGCCAAGCGGTCAAACATCATGAGCATTCTAAATGATGAGCCGGAGGAACCACAGCCTCGTAAGCGGTTCGCAAGTGATCAGCCTCCAGTTTCAGCGACCGTTGTTTCTCCGTCTCGGTCTGTGTACGCATCGTCATCATCATCACTTGCGCAACCTCCACCTGCACGATCCGAGGAAGTCAAGGGTCCTGTTTATGCTCAGCAAAGTCAATATCTGCCACCATCCCGTCATTATTCCGATTACCCGTCGTACAGCTCTATGTCAGGTGGCTCCGGTACAGCTGCGGATAGTGGGTGGATGGCGCGATTCGACCCCAGAGGCCAGCAGCAACCACAACCACCGCCAGGTCCTCCAGCACCGAACAACCGTACTCCTGCAGCTCTAGCCCCCCAACCTCCCTATTCCCCCTACACCTCTAGTCAGTCTCTATCGGGACCAACTCTGCCAAATCTGAGTGCTCCATCTCCTGCGCCGACTCTATCTCCGGCACCTTCTCAGCTTCCTTCCTACTCTGCCTCAGTTTATGCACAGTCCCCGGCGCCGCACACACAAGTTGCAGACTCCAGATCCCGCGACCTTACATCTCAAGCTCCTATGTACCGATCAACGATTGGCTCGCCTACCCAGCGAGGGAGTGGTGGTATTGCGTACTCTTCACGTCCCGGGGCTTCGACGACTCCGATGCAGACTTCCGTGAATGCTCTTGGTGTGGGGTCACGTCAACCCGCCCCTGTTTCATCGTATGCTTCAACGGCGCCACCAACCCCAGCCTCAATGACTGGTGCACCCCCACAACAGCTCCCCGGGGGTCCCCCTCAAGGATACCCACACGCGCAACCAATGGTTGGTGGATTGCAGCAACCGCAGCCTCATCGGTCGCTTGGGTTGATGGGTGCTCAGTACGGTCATAACACACCACCGCCGCCATCACAGCTTCCAGGATCCAGGGTGGGGAGTTTAGCGGGCCCAGGAGCCCAGCAGATGTCAATGGGCCGTTCATACACCCCTCCGGCGCTTTTGCAGCCAAACCCTGTAGGTGGGATGGGCTATGGGCCAGGTGGTCCAGCACCTGCCGTTGGTTCGGTGCACCCTCTCCAGGCACGAGCGGCAGGCCCTGGATCACTAGGTGAAGCAGTACCCGGACCGCATGGGGCGTCTAGCCACCACCGGGTGTACAGCCAGGGGTCCAACGCCGGTCCACTTCCTGGACCGTTAAATCCACAGCACCCGGCTCGATGATTTTTTTTTTTTTTCATTTTTATTATTTTTCTTTTGTCAAGTTGTGCATATGATCATACCACGGGATAACAGTATTCATGTATTCTAGAAGACTCTCTTCTTTTCCCCCTCCCAATTTGTTCTTCTTTCTTGGTTTTAATATTTCTGTTGACACTGGGTTTGGAAGGGGTTATTTTTTGTTTTTTTATATATACCTTCATACTTACCGAACGCACGAGTTGATGTATAGTAGATGACTCAATGGACAAGCCACAGAAGACACAAGCAGCAGCGCAGCGAAGAGGAAATAGGAAAGTAGATCGAGTAAACGCACCGGCTTTTTTACAGGGTAAATGGGAATACCTCTCCGGACACCGAGTATGGAGTATGGGGTACGGGGAAGTAATATTTGGGGTGTTAAATCCCGCAGTCTGACACACAGTGGCAAAAAAGAACCGTGGAATGGCCAACGTGGCAACTCAGCATGGGTGCTCCTTGCATTATCCATACCTAGGGATATGATAAATCTATAAGATATGCAGTAACTATCTTGTCTTACTGATAAGAGTTGAATCATCGTCCTCCAATGTCCTCCGGAAGAAATCATATGATACTGATTGAGCTACACAATACTGTTCATAAGAGTAATCATCATCATCATCATCATCATCATCCAGATAACAGCGTCGTATGCCCAGATAGCAGAGGCTTCCGCATCCGTTACGCCACGGCAACTCGACTCCGAGCGGGACTAATAGGGTTTCAGCGGAACTTTAAATCTCATTCCTGCTGGGTTTCTCTCGCTCCGACATCGTCGCCTCCTCGTCCCCCAGTCGGAGAATCCGGGGACTTTCCTGGCAAAGACGGAGCCGATCGATAATTTCAATAATGCAATTACATGAGAGTTGGGACGTTTATCTTGCGTGCCAAGACAAATCTACTGGGCATTCCCGGACGGGCTCGCTTGATTGGTGACATCCCCTGGGTGGACCCCACCGATTGCAGGGATTTTAAGCCAGCAAAGATCGCGCCACAGATGTTTTTAGTCACAGAAACCCACGCTCATTGGAGGTGGGCCGTACTAAGCTAATCATATTGCAGGGATCACCCGCCCGCAAGGCAAATTAGCGGCTTAGCCCTTTTCGCCTGCGCTAGGCATCGCCCTAATTAGGTAACTTTTTCTACAGGCCCATCCATAACGGTTCCATACTGGGGTCGCCTTCTCAATTTCTTACTAAATCGTTTCCTTTCCCTCTTCCTTTCCCCTTCACTTCACTCGTCTCATTCTTTTTTTTTCCGTTTCTCCTTCTCTATCCTACTCCGGAAACTCGATTCTCATCCACTTTTCCATCTTCCCTGCCCCCCTCCCCAGAAACAACACCCTTGCAATTCCTTGTTTCTTCTCTCCTGGACCTTCTCATCTATCCCATTTCAACTAGACGACTGGGGCGCTGTGCACCCGCAATTCAACATGTCGTCCACCGATGAGATCTCCGACTATGAGCCCAAGAAGGTCTACGTCGACTCGGGGGTCAAGCAGCACGATCACCTGCCACAATACGATGGCGATATCGTAGCGGAGATGAGTGAGGAGGAGCGCATGGTCTACGAGCATGGCGTCAAAAAGTTCAGCCGTCTCGGATGGAAGCGACTGACCGTCATCCTCATTGTCGAGGCAATCGCCCTGGGTAGTTTGTCTCTCCCCTCCACCTTTGCCACGTTGGGCATGGTCGCTGGTGTCATTTGCTGTGTTGGTCTGGGATTCGTCGCTATCTACACCAGTTATGTCGTAGGACAGGTGAAGCTGAAGTTCCCGCTGGTTGCCCACTACCCGGACGCCGGGAGGCTCATGTTCGGTCGCTTTGGGTACGAACTGATCAATTTTATGCTGGTTCTGCAACTCCTGTTCCTCACGGGCTCCCATTGCTTGACTGGTGCCATTGCCTGGATTTCGATTACCGAAAGTGGCATCTGCTCCGTGATCTTTGCCGTCATCTCGGCGATCATCCTGTTCCTCTTGGCGGTTCCCCCAAGTTTCACAGAAATGGCCATTCTCGGGTACATTGATTTCGGTTCCATCATCATTGCCATCGGAATCACCATCATTTCCACCGGTATCAAGAGCACCAACGCCCCGGGAGGCTTGGCTGCCGTGCCCTGGTCGGCCTGGCCCAAGGATGACATTTCCTTTAAGGATGCCTTCATCTCCGTGACCAACATTATCTTTGCCTACAGCTTTGCCATGTGCCAGTTCTCCTTCATGGACGAGATGCACACTCCAAAGGACTACGTCAAGTCGATCTGGGCTCTGGGCCTGACCGAGATTTTGATTTACACCCTCACGGGTGCTCTCGTCTACGCCTTTGTTGGCCAGGATGTTCAGAGTCCCGCTCTGTTGTCCGCGGGCACCCTGATGAGCCGCATTGCGTTTGGCGTGGCTCTGCCCGTCATCTTTATCAGTGGATCGATCAACACCGTCGTCGCTGCCCGGATTGTCCACGGCCGGATCTTCAAGAAATCCAACATTCGATTTATCAACACTAAGATGGGCTGGATCACCTGGCTCATCACGATTGCCGCCGGCACCGTCATTGCCTTCGTCATTGCCGAGGTCATTCCCTTTTTCAACGACCTTCTGTCCATCTCCTCGTCTCTCTTCATTTCTGGCTTCACCTTCTACTTCCCCGCGCTGATGTGGTTCATGCTCATCCGCGAGGGCGACTGGGACCGCAAGAATATTGCTCTGGGAGCCTTGAACGTGTTTGTCTTTTTGATTGGCATTCTGACACTGGGAGCGGGCACTTATGCTAGTGTGCAAGATATTGTAAGTTTCTTCTTCTTCTTCTTCTTCTTTTTTTTTTTTTTTTTTGCGACTTGTGCTCATATCCTGATAGATCGATAAATATACCGCCGGCAGTGTCCGAGGTGTTTTCAGCTGCTCCAAACCCTCCTAAGCCGCCTTCTTTCACGAATTACGCCAAATAACGGCAGCCAGTAACTTGTACATGTTTGTCACATAGAGTCTTAGACCACACCATCATTTTCTGCGAGCGATGAAGCGGGTGCATATGCAGACGGGATCTGCGGGATGTATTTTACATGAACTTTTCTTCGAACCCTTTACCATGCTTGAGTCTTTTGTAGCGTGTGCTTTGTAGTGATGAATCACCAGTGACGGTATATACATAATTCTACATAATTCCTCTACATAACGTGTCAGTACTCCAGACAGACTAGCTTTATGGATCCTCTTATTTTCAATTTCAACATCCGGAGAAGTCCGCCCCCCGCCCCTCCTTCCAGACTTTGCCGGTTACATTGATCGATCCACTGTCTGCACGGGGCCGAAATCGCCGTATCGCTGACAGTGAGAGCCGAGTCAGGAAATGTTCCGCAGTGGTTTTGGAGGGGTATGATGATTGATCATTGATGTACACAAGTACGGAATAAACACCGCCATTCCCGCATCCTGGAGAAAAGCCGGGGTGAAGCGTGTGGAACGGAAGGGAAACCTGAAATACCGCACGATAAACCGCCAGTGAACATAAGGTAGGTACCTAGCGAGGTATGTTGTTGCTGATCTTACCATCTGAGATCTTCACCGGAACTATACTGTGCAGGACCAGTAGCCCAAGATGCCTGCGGGATACCTGGCGAGATATAAAGAGGCCTGAGACTATCGATATTCCCGTGTATCCTCTCTTCCGGCTACTTGCATTATGGCGCTACAAACTCTGGCGGTTGCTGCGCTCGCTGTGGTATACTTGGTGATCCGCTACTTGAATCGCACCGATATTCCCAAAATCAAGGGTCTTCCTGAGATCCCAGGAGTCCCGATCTTGGGTAATCTGATACAACTGGGGGAGCAACATGCGACAGTGGCTGCCAACTGGGCCAAGAAGTACGGGCCTGTGTTCCAAGTCCGCATGGGCAACAAGGTAGATGAAACAAAGAAGAAGAAGAAGAAGAAGAAGAAAAGCCAGGAATGCTGATGCTTGTAGCGTGTGGTCTTTGCCAACAGCTTCGACTCCGTCCGCCAGTTGTGGATCAAAGATCAGTCTGCTCTGATTTCGCGCCCGACATTCCATACCTTCCACAGTGTTGTATCCAGCTCGCAGGGTTTCACGATTGGCACGTCGCCATGGGATGAATCCTGTAAGCGCCGACGGAAGGCAGCTGCAACAGCGCTCAACCGTCCCGCCGTCCAATCGTACATGCCCATCATCGATCTGGAATGCACGGCCAGTATCAAGGAGCTCTTCCAGAATAGTGTCAACGGCACCGTGGATATCAACCCTACTACATACTTCCAGCGCTTCGCCCTCAACACGAGTTTAACCCTCAACTATGGCTTCCGGATCGAGGGCAATGTGGACGACCGGCTGCTCCATGAGATCGTCAGTGTGGAACGTGGGGTTTCTAACTTCCGGAGCACGAGCAATAACTGGCAGGATTATGTGCCCTTGCTTCGAATCTTCCCCAAGATGAACACCGAGGCCAATGAGTTCCGTGTCCGACGCGACAAGTATCTGACCTATCTTCTCGATATGCTCAAGGAGCGCATGGCCAAGGGAACGGACAAGCCCTGCATTACTGGTAACATTCTAAAGGATCCCGACGCCAAGCTCAACGACGGTAAGCCTGCAGGCGTTCCCCTAAACAAAACAGTCCGAGCTAATGTACCAACTAGATGAGGTCAAATCCATCTGTCTGACCATGGTCTCTGCGGGTCTGGATACTGTTCCCGGCAACCTGATCATGGGTATCGCGTACCTGGCCTCTGCCGATGGCCAGCGGATCCAGACGAGAGCGTACGACGAAATCATGACGGTCTACCCCGACGGCGACGCATGGGAGAAGTGTCTGGAGGAAGAGCAACTGCCTTACGTGACTGCCCTGGTCAAGGAAACTCTCCGCTTCTGGACCGTTATCCCAATCTGTCTGCCGCGTGAAAGCACCAAGGAGATCACCTGGAACGGAGCCCAGATTCCTGCCGGGACTACCTTCTTCATGAACGCCTGGGCTGCCGACTACGATGAGGACCATTTCAAGGAGGCGCATCGGTTTATTCCCGAGCGCTATCTGGATGTGGGCGAGGGTTCTGGGACACCACACTACGGCTACGGGGCGGGTTCGCGCATGTGTGCTGGATCTCACCTGGCCAACCGGGAGCTCTTTACTGCGTATGTCCGACTGATTACTGCATTTACCATGCATCCAGCCACGAAGATCGAGGACCATCCTATCCTGGACGCCATTGACTGCAACATGATCCCGACGGCGCTGACTACCGAACCCAAGCCGTTCAAGGTGGGTTTCAAGGCGCGCGATCCGAAACGGCTGCAGCGCTGGATTGACGAGAGTGATGAGCGGACGAAAGATCTGTAACTGAATTGGTCATGGTATTGGATTGCATGTAAAAACATCATCACACAGCAGAAATTGAATTGAAAGAAGAATAACCCTTTTAACAGTAGAAAGAACTAGAATACCAATCGGATTCGTCCCTCTCGAGAGAATCTGAATCCATCCTCCTCGGCAGCGGAATCAATTCCTTTCCCCACCTTCTTCGATCATCACGACGATCCAAAACCTCGTCTCTTGCGCTGGTAGTGAGTCGCTGTTATTAATTCCATACATTTGGAGCATCGTGCTGAATCTACTAGGCTATTCTTTACTTCCAGATCGACGAAGAACCCCTCGCCTGGAGGACTATCGGGATTATCGAGCGTCTGTGCCTAGAAAAAGGTCTTCACCGGAGGGAAACCCTCAAACAGCCGTGTATGATGGGTCCGGGCAAAGATCGCGTACTCCCGCTCTTCTGGTCCGTCCATATCCTCGATTTGAGCGCCAAAGTGTGGAAGTATATGTCTACCTTTTAACAATACCAACGAAATCAACAAGGACGAGATGAGCTACCTCGACTGGCAGGTTCTGCAGTGGGTTGCCACCCTCCCAGATTCGCTCCGACTCAACCATCCAGCAGGCAATGCATCATCATCATCATCATCATCATCATCATCATCATCACGTTGAGGGGACGGCCGCCACGATTGATGACGGAGTCGAGCCGGTACTCGCCGCCAGCACTCACAGCCAAACACCGCAAGATGGAGCCGGGATGACTCAAGAATTGAAGGAATGGTTCGAAGCCGTTGGTAACCTGGAAGACCAGATATCATGGGGGGTGGGAACCGGGGGGTTGGAGGGGTTTCAGGGTGGTATGTTCGATTATGGCGGGGAATTGTCGAGTGTGATGAAAGGTTGTTTTTTAACATCATTATATATCTGGAGCTCTGAACACGAAGGATTGGGAATTATATTCAAGGGAATAATCATGTGGTTGAGTTTGTATGACGCCACGACTCGGATATAAAATCTAGTTTCGTGTCAAATGTCAAATATCAAATCAACTTACTACATGAAATTCTCCTGATTTACTACATCGGTTGACACTTCTTGTCGTCTACATACTTCTTCTCTCCACGCACTGATATAATATCATAATATACGCATATTCGGATATATAAAACCCTATCCTCGTGTCAACTCCAATAGCATCCCGCGAATTCCGAATATCATCTTCCATCATGGGCCTTTGTTTCAGCTCACCAAGACGCCACCACTACCCCATGATGATGGCTCCTCCACCACGACCGCATTATGGCGGCGGGTTTGGCATGCCGATGGGTGGGATGGGCTGGGGACGTCCGAGAGGACCTCCGATGATGGGTGGTTGGCATGGAGGGCGACGTGGAGGAGGCTGGGGAGGGAGACGGTGGTGATATATGACATCTGTACGGAGGATTGGATCTAAATGTAAGGAATGATATTCCGAGATCTGTGCCAATAGTCTTGTTAGTCGAAGTCGTGAAGTCGAAGTCGAAGTCGAAGTCACGGACTCCGGATTCCGGCTGGAATAAATAAATTAATTCTCTTCCCCTCATTCTTTACAACCCCTCAATCAACCAACAGCTTAACATATCTCTTCAACCACATCATCCCCTTTGAGTTGAATTCATTCCCCATGGCTCCCCTCAAAGCTGGCGACCAGTTTCCTGGCGGCGTGACTTTCCAGTATATTCCCTACACCGAGGAGAAGGGGGATATTACTGCGTGTGGCATCCCCATCAAGTACGACGCATCCAAGGAGTGGGCGGACAAGAAGGTCGTCTTGTTTTCGGTCCCTGGTGCGTTTTTAACCAGACCACTACGGAGTATTTGAAGCTGATTCTTCTCCACAGGCGCCTTTACCCCCACTTGCTCCGCTAACCACCTCCCCGGCTACATCCACAGTCTCCCCCAGCTCAAGGCGAAAGGAGTGCAAGTTGTTGCCGTGCTGGCTTCCAATGATCCCTTTGTGATGAGTGCGTGGGGCAAGGCTAACCAGGTCAAGGGCGATGATATCGTACGTCGCACCTTTCTCCATCGCTCAATTCACAGCTGGCTAACCTGTTGGTAGTTGTTCCTGACTGACCCCGATGCTCAATTCTCTTCCTCCATCGGCTGGGCTACTGCGGGCCGTACTGGCCGCTATGCAGTCATCATTGACCACGGCAAGGTGACCTATGCCGATATCGAGACGGAACGGGGCGCTGTTAACGTATTTTCCCCTCCATATCTTTTGAAAGGCTTTATTTAATACTGGATAGGTTTCTGGGGCGGATACGGTGCTGGCTCACCTGTAGACTTGAGCCAAGGAGATTCCGAGTAGCTAAAATAGTACTGGGTAGAATTTACTGGTTTCAATGACGAAGAGCAATTCCATACTCTTTATCTTATGCTAGAAATCAGCCTGGGGTCACATCCCGGATTTCTCTCCCATCCCGGCAGCCAAGTACATAACGGCTGCATAAGAAGCATCGGTGTTACAGACTGCACCTCCTGCCCATAGCCATCGCAAGCCAAGAGATAATATCTACCTGGGAGATTCTCGAATGTAACCACTTTTCTGCACTGACGCGGTGATCCTCCTCGCCTGCGAACGAATCAACGTATCTCCTGCTCTGCGTGGCATCAAATCCCGTCAGAGATAGGGTCGGCGAATTTGATTAATGTTTCTGTTTCTTCACGGGCATCTGTTATCCTGGTATGAGGGTACATCGCTTGATTTATTATTATTATTATTTGCTCTATATACCCTGAGAATGTGCCAAGTCAGGTCCATTATATTTAAGGACATCATATCATGCCCGCACTTAAGCACTCAAAGCAAATTCCAGACCCAGGAGGAGCTCCCCATATCAGAAATGGCTTGGAGTATTCTCCCTGTTCTGCTGGCTGTATCGCTCGTGGGAGCGACCCCTCCAGGTATCCCGTCAACGTCTTCAGCCAAGTCGCAGCTGTCTTCCTTGACGGTGGCCGCTCAGGGTTCTCAGTCTGGATATAGCCGGGATCTGTTTCCTCACTGGATAGATCAAGGAAAGTAAGCAGTATTGCAGTGGAAACTATTATTCGTGGCTGACCAGAGCCAGCTCATGCAACACCCGCGAAGATGTCCTCATCCGTGACGGAACAGGAGTGACTACTGGCTCCGCATGCAAAATCACCGCCGGGTCGTGGTACTCGCCTTATGACGGTGCGACATGGACTGCAGCTAGCGACGTGGACATTGACCACGTCGTTCCCCTGTCTAACGCATGGAAGGTGAGAGAGAGAGAGAGAGAGAGACGTTTCCCGATACTGAATGATCCTAATGGAGTGGATTGTAGTCTGGAGCATCGAGCTGGACAACCGAGGAGCGGACGGCTTTTGCAAACGACCTGGAAAACCCGCAGCTCATGGCTGTCACGGATAATGTCAACCAGGCCAAGGGCGACAAGGGTCCTGAGGATTGGCAGCCCCCTCTATGTAAGTTGGGCTCTTTTGATGATTAGCAAGTCTGTCCGAGTGGGATTTAACGATTTTAGCTTCGTACCATTGCACATATGCGAAGATGTGGGTTCGCGTCAAGTCTGTTTACGACCTGACGATTACCTCGAAGGAGAAGTCGGCGTTGCAGGACATGTTGGCTACTTGCTAGCGGCGCTTGGAGATATCGAGACGAGTAATTTGGATTAGACTATTCATGACTATACCCGCGTAGACTTCACAAATGCATCTGGTCAGCAATGTATACATACTGCTACTACGGGGATTGATGGAAATATTTCCCAGCGATTGCAGAGTCTAAGACTGATATCTAGCAAGTCATGAAACATAAAAGGTCAAACACCACATCGTACCGGAATACATTCTCTTCCCATCAACTGCCGGCTCTTTTTAGCTTCAACGTGAGTATATACTCCGTGAACGCATCCCACACTGTCCGCATGGCGACCTGTGTCCGGATCCTCAAGCTCTCCTTATTGCTCAGCCTGCCATCCCCAATCAAATCCAACCGCGGCGCACAGGAACAGGGCAGCTTCACGACGCTGATCGCAAGTAGAATCAACGAGAACCCGCCTTCCTGCGCACTACTCGAACTATCACCCACCACCACCACCACCACCACCGCGATTAGCGTCACGCCGGACAAACGAAAGCCAGTATAGTGAAAGAAAACCTACTTGCCAATCCAAATGCCGAATCCGCGAATATCCCCCAGATTCAGCGGTCTCAGATAGGGATCCCCCTTTCGCGGTTTCAGCCGGCCAAGTCGAATCACCCGCGAGGTTGTGCGTCCCGAGGTTCCAGGCCGAAAGGTGCCCTCCCAGGCGATGGGCCGCTCGTCTTCCAGGGTAAGCGTGTAGACCTTGTCATCTGACCGGCTCATGGTGACCTCGATGGCATCGTACTGCGATAGATCCCATCTGTGGTCCTGACCCATGGTGTGGATGGCGGCAAAGCCGGCGCTGTCGATGCTTCGTCGGTCCAGCCAGCCATGGAATTCACTGAGGGACAGGTAGCTGTCGAGACGCGAGTAGGATACGCCACGGACGACGCGACTATGTGTTGTTTGCCAGTTTCCGGGCCACGGACTATTTTGAATTAGAAACGGTATAACAGGGGGAGTATAACAGGGGACAGGGGAGTCTACTGCTTACCAGCCACCCTGGAAGAGTACCTTCCGTTCTGTGATGTGTGTCGAGCAGTCTTCCATCTTGTGTGCTCTGGCTTGAATGTATGCAGTCGAGAGATAAGCAGCAGGCAAGAACAAAACCTTGATACCTTAAAAAAAAATAGTTCATGTCGTTGGTGTGCCGTCATTCCTTTTACCGTTACGTGCGGGATCCATGATCCGACATTTACCTACGATGCATAGCCACATCAAAGATTCAACCTGGAATTTTATTCAAGTATATGTAGGAGAGTAGGAAGATTAGATTGGATTGATTTCTGAATGAATGAATTCATACATATATATATATATAGATATATATATAGGTTATGATAGGCTATAGTATAAGCCATAGTTTGTATGAGGTGATATAAAGCGACAATAACCGAGCAATATTCTGTCGGCTACACTCGGTTGGACTCGCTCAGCCACTTCTCCGATCGTAGCCGTTGCATCAGGTGACATTGCTGACCCTGATTGGCCAGTGGCTCATCCCAACTGTGGCTGGAGAATGGATTCCCAATTAGGACATGAGTATAGAAAAACTCGGCGCGGAAAAGAATGGATCTTTCCATCATTGTTAGCATGATGGCTATAGTGGGCTCCGATATAGTCAAATTACAGGGCAAGAAAATTTGGTTTAAATGGGTGTTAACCGCGAGGGGCATATATCAACCCTAGAGAATCCCATTGTGTTTTTTTTCGAGTGCATTCAAACAATTGAAGTCTAGTTAATTGACAGGAAGTCGTAACAAGGCTGCCGTGCATGTCCACTGCTAAACATGGACCATTGTGCAGAACACAAGGACCTTTCCGTCACCGAGACGGTCCGTGAAACGGCCAGCGATGAGTATTCCAATGACACCCTAGACCACCCGGACACGCTGGAGCTCTCCCGGATCAATACCTATCGGCTTCAGCAACGGGCGACAGTGGGATCAACGAGGGGCCCTCTCCCAAGAGAAAAATGGCTCCCGATGGGCGCAGGGAAGGAGTATCCGCCGTCACTCCCAGATCCCGAAACGTTTGTGGTGGAATTCGACGGTGCCGACGATCCTCTACATCCATATAATTGGACGCTACTGCGGAGGTTTGTGGTGTGGTGTGCTTCCGTGTACGGCTTCCCCCCGGTAATCTAATCTGCAAGTGTAGGATATGTCTCGTATGCATCCTCTGTTTCGGCACGTTTGTCGGATCCTTCACGAGTGCCGTGTTCTCCGCCGCCATCGGCCCGATTAGCGAAGAGTTTCATATTGCACGGGAGATCGCGTCGCTGGGAGTGACCCTGTTCGTCCTCGGATTTGCCGCGGGGCCGACGATCTGGGCCCCGGCATCAGAGTTGATCGGACGGCGCTGGCCGCTGTCGATTGGAATCTTCGGCTGCGGCATCTTCACGGTGGCCTGCGCTACTGCCAACGATGTGCAGACAATCATGCTTACGCGCTTTTTTGCGGGACTCTTTGCTGCTAGCCCTATCTCAATCGTCCCCGCCGTGTTTGCGGACCTATTTCCGACTGCGCAGCGCGGCATTGTCATGTCCATATTTTGCATGGCCGTTTTCATTGGCCCATTCGCGGCTCCTTTTGTGGGCGGCTTTATTGTTATGAGCGACCTTGGCTGGCGGTGGACGATGTATATCTCCGCCATCATGGTCTTTCTCGGCTTCCTTCTGGTCCTGGTCGGGCTGGACGAAACCTATGCGCCGGTGATATTGGTGCGCAAGGCGGCGGTCCTGCGTCGCCAGACTCACAACTGGGGAATCCACGCCAAGCAGGACGAAGTTGAGGTGGAATTCATGGAGCTCGTTCGAAACAACTTCACCCGACCACTGACCATGCTGGTAACGGAGCCAATTTTGCTCCTGGTTTCGCTGTATATCTCCTTCATCTACGGACTCATCTATGCCCTCCTGGGCGCATACCCGGTTGTCTTCCAGGGCGTATATGGCATGACCATGGGAGTTGCTGGCTTGGCTTTCATCGGGATCATTATTGGCGAACTTCTCGGGGGAGTGTATATCCTGACACTGCAGGGGTCGTATATACGCAAGCTTGACGCTAATGACGGCCAGCCTGTTCCGGAATGGCGCCTCACACCGGCTGTCGTCGGAGCAGTAGCCTTTGCTATTGGAATGTTCTGGTTCGGATGGACAGGGTATACTGCTTCGATCCACTGGCTGGCCCCTGTTGCGTCCGGTGTGTTGACTGGATTCGGTATCTTCTGCATCTTCCTCCAATGTTTCAATTATATCGTCGACTGCTACCCTACCTTGTGAGTTCGTTCCACCATCTACCTAATACCGGGCGTGTGTCCTGCTAATCGCAACAAAGGGCTGCTTCCACCATTGCCGCGAATACTATCCTCCGCTCTGCAGTTGGGTGCGCCTTTCCTCTGTTTTCCCATCAAATGATGGAGAACCTGGGGGTTCAGTGGGCTGGTACCATGCTTGGGTGTCTAGCCGTGCTTATGATCCCGATCCCGGTTGGGTTCAAGGTTTACGGACCGTGGCTGCGACAAAAGAGTAGACTTGCTGGTGCATCAGTGCTGACTCCCGAGAAGCAAGGCGTGGTATGATGGTGGTCGTGATAACTTGTAATGAGACCTGAGCAACCGCGAGTCTCGATCACGTCAATTTGATATTTACGCGTAATGACCTAAACGATCTTGGTTGATAGCGTGTTAAGCATTAGTGAATCGATAAATATTCTCAATAAAAGGCACGGGCCGGACTCGTTAGCAAGTCAGCAGTCATGATTTCTGTGTACGTCTTCGAGAGAAGAAACAATTAACCAACGTCCTGGTTGGTACACTCCACATCCTTCCGGAACATGGCCATTCGCGATTCAAACACTAGATCTCCGTTAATTAACTGGCAGACCGGGCTCTGAGAACACATACCTTCTTCCATCTCCTCCAAGGACTTGCCCGTCGTCTCCTTGATAAACAGGAATGCATAGACCACAAGCGCCCAGTTGAAAACACAGAACATCAGGAAAGTGCCCCATCCCATATTATCCACCGCATGCGGTGTCGCTTGCGAAAACACAAAGTTGAATAGCCATTGCGTTGCCGTTCCAACCGCAATGCCCATCTCGCGAATCCGGGTTGGGAAGATTTCGCTGATATACAGCCAGGGAATCGGGCCCCATGACATGTTGTAGCACATAGCCTCGAGATACACCATGGCGATAGCTGCTGCGGCGGGAGACGAGATCTTGGTACTGTCAGGATCAGGAGGATGGGTTTTGGATAGCAGGGCCACGGTGAGCATCAGCGACCCCATGGCGAATGCGCCAACGACGAGAGACCATCGGCGTCCTACTCTTTCCACCAGGAATAATAGGAATATTAGACACCCGACAACTTTGACGACGCCAAAGAACCCGGTGATTAGCAAAACGTTCTTCGCGCTGGCACCGACGGCGGCGAAGATCTGTGGTGCGTCTGCATTGATCGATTATGTTAGGAAAAGATATCCTAGATTGTGAGAAATGAACCAGTGGCATACATACAGTATGCAAGAGAAGTGTTTCCCGTCAATTGGACGCCTGCTGGATTAGCATCTGGGTTACAAACACCCGGGATTGCCTCAAGAAGTTACCAATTTGGATGGTTACCGTGATCATCATTCGGTAGCGGTTGGCTGGGAATCGCAGCTCGGTCCATGTTACGCCCTCAGTCGCTTGGACTTCGGCCGCAATGCCGTCGAGAATCTCAGCCATTCTATAGACACAGTTAGTGTGAAGGGAAAGTAATCGCCTGTATAAGCCACGGCCACTCACTCAGCCCGAACTTCCTCAGTGTCCTCCCCTCCCCGGATCCAGATGAGTGACTGCAGGGCTTCTTCGTGTCGTCCTCGCTTGGCCAGCCATCGCACACTCTCCTTTAGAAACAACATTCCGATGCCTAGGATTCCACCCGGAACCAGCTGTAGCCCGATTGGAATTTGCCATTGACGGTCCGATGGCGCCACATGTTTTTGGACGGCATAGTCGATCCAGTACGAGGTCATGACCCCGAGCGTGAAGAAGAACTGGAACATACTGCCCAACTGGCCGCGAATTTCCTTTGGCGCCATTTCAGCACTGAACATCGGGACCATGACGGTCGCCATGCCGACTCCGATCCCACTAATTACGCGAGCGGCATAGAAGGCCCCGATGGAGTGAGTCGGGACTGTCTGGATAATAGCACCGATACAAAAGATAACGGACGCCAGAGCTATGGACCTCCGACGACCGAACCTCGAGGTGAAAGGCCATACGAAGAAGCAAGCGAAGAATGCTTTGCAACTGTCAGCCCCTGCATATAAAAGGGCAGGTATGCGAAAGATGGACCCAAAACCCTACCTCCAGCTTGTAGCAAACTATTGGAGTTCGAGCTGATACTTGACTTATCGGCTTTATCATAGCGAAAGGAATCCTGGAATGAGTGCAGCGTCAAGATCCCTCCGATGATACCTGTGTCGTACGCGAAAAGAAATGACCCGATGCAGCAAATGGCGACCATATAGGTGGCCCGCACGCGACCAAGAAGCTTGCCCATAATGACAGCTGGTCTGAGAAGAGGGAAAAGAAGAGAGGAACGCATACTGAGAGCGTGAGATTGATCGATGCGCAGACTCTTTGTACTCTTGGGACTGCTGCGGGGAACCAGCGAAGCTTTGTCTGGCGACAGGGCTAAAAGTCTCCCGGCATAAATACAGGCATATCATATCGTCATTCGGGCCTTTGGCGATCTTTAGACTGAGTAATGGAGCTCAGATTTCGAGCATTTTAAGCGACCCGGTTTCGTTGTTGCAAGAGTTGATCACTCCTGAGCCCGGGATTTGGAACGCGGCCGAGAGCTGGAGATTACGATGGGCAGCACCTGCATCATGCATGTACTTTTCAATAGGTCAATATCTCGGATCAGCTGCCTCTTCAAACCGATATAAGAGCTTGGATACTGCTTCAGGTACGGAGTACGGAGTACTGCTGGGAGATGGTTGATTCGCCGAAGAACGCGTCACTCGACCCCTCCGTACATAACACCAGCCTCCTCGTGCAATCAGAACAGCAAGCAAGACCTGCGCCGGAAATAGCAATCTGGTCAAGATCACAGAGGCATGGCATTCCCGCCAGTCCATATCCACGCACCCCAGGTAGCGCACACCCACACCGTTATCCTCTTGCATGGGCGAGGAAGCAACGGGCCTGAATTCAGAGAGGAATTCTTCGCCTCTCTTACTTCCGATGGCGTTAATCTTCCCGCCAGGTTCCCTAGCTGGCGTTGGGTATTCCCAACATCGCGGGAACGAGATGACACGCGGTTCCAAGAGCCCATGTCGGCGTGGTTCGACGCATACTCGTTATCGGATATCCACGAACACCAAGACCTCCAAATCGAAGGGCTCAAGGAATCCGTGTCTTTTATGCTGGACCTCATTATGGCAGAGCTCCAGCTTCTTAGCGGCAGACCCCGCCGTCTCTTCATTGGTGGCATCAGCCAGGGCATGGCGACCGCGCTCTGGGCGTTTCTGTGCTTACCCTCCCGGCTGAGAGAGCCAGTAGGCGGGTTTCTGGGGTTCTGCGGATGGCTCCCTTATTCCCAACAGATTGAAGATATACTCGCATCCTTTATGCAGGCCCATGCTCGGAATATGACCGAAGTCGGTGCGAAAGTCACCCATCTCCTTCTTGATCTTACGGGATGGCCTTGTGGAGGCGCAAATGAACTTCAATTCCACGGAGTCCAAACCACGCCTGTCCTTCTGAGCCATGGGGTTGATGACGCTGTTGTCGATATTGGATTGGGCCAGCGAGCACGGTCTATTCTATCACGCCTGGGGCTATCAGTGGAGTGGAAGGAATACCATGGAGCCGATAATGAGGGCCATTGGATCCCAGAACCTGAGGGCTTCGACGATATTGTTCGGTTTCTTAGGGTTTATTCCGCCGCAGATAAATAACAGTGTGTATTCCACATACAATGTGAGAAGGCGAAAATAAGTTACGCCATCTTTTAGCTTGGACTCTTATGCTTCATGATTGAGGATCAACTCCACTGGAGCTTTTATACTAAGCGCTATCAATCGCATGCAAGAAGCCATTAGTTCTATAGCCTAACCCTTGCCGGATGCTTCTCTGGCTCAATCAGAGGCAAAAATGAAAAATCTAAAATCTAGGATAGGCAATTTCCTCCCGCATATTCCCCCTGCTGCTCAGTCATGGATCTACTTCTTCCCCCCCCCCCCCCCCATACCTGAACCATTTCTTCCTCTTCCGGCCCTGGTCGTTAGGCGACTCCGGTAGACGCTGGAACACGATTGGTAACCTTGAACGATTAGGAGTTTGGTACACAAATGAAAACCTCGGGACGCATGGGACTTCTCTTGACGCAACCCGACTTCGCTAATCGTAGTGGGTCGTCCTTCAGAATTTTTCGCCGGCTTCGAATAGCGTGGCAAAGAAAAATAGAACCCCAGAAACGAAGTAGAAATGGCGCAATCAGTATGAAGCTTGTCGCGATTTATTCGGGCGTAAAAATCACAGACTGAAATTTGTCTTCTTTTCACCCCCCCGAACAAGATCGCGGTATCCCGAACGTTTGAAGACTGTGTACCGGCAACATGGTGGATGAAAAGCTCCCAGTGAATCAAGTTCAGCCTGTTAAGCCTGCTGCACCTCCAGCCTTTGCTAACGATGATGATGATGAAGGCTTCCCCCAGAAGGGGGAGCTGGAGCTTAACGTGGGTGGTCGTGCCGCGACTCAACGACGCCTGAGGAATTACCAGGTGGTGATGATTGGCTTCTGCAGTGGGATTGGAACCGGTCTCTTCGTTGGCACTGGAGCTGCCTATGCTACTGCAGGCCCAGCCGGTTTGCTGTTGGCATACTCCGTTGTCGGGTTGGTCTTGTGGTGTGTGATGCAGAGTATCGCTGAGTTGGCCACCTTGTTTCCCACGGCAGGGTCTTTCCCCCACTGGGCCACTCGCTTCATAGACCCTTCTGTTGGGTTTTCCCTTGCGATCTCGTACGGATACTGCTATACGATCGCTATCGCCTCGGAAGTGTCCGCTGCTGCGGTCATCGTCTCATTCTGGACAGACTTGACGCCAGCCGTGGTGATCACGGTTGGACTGGTTCTCATCCTGATCATCAACTTGATGAATGTTCGATTCTACGGTGAAAGCGAAGTTATTGCCGGCGCGGTCAAAGTCCTTTGTTTCGTCGGACTGATTATCGTCGCCATCGTGATCACTGCCGGCGGTGCACCAACCCATGAGACTATCGGATTCCGCTTCTGGCACAACCCAGGAGCCTGGACGAACTTTAACGGCATCACTGGCTCTACCGGACACTTCCTTGGCTTCCTATCTGCCCTTGTCAACGCCTCTTTCAGCTTCGTCGGCGTCGAAACGGTGGTCATTTCCGCCGCCGAGTCAGTCGACCCGCATCATGCCATCCCCAAGGCCGCTCGCCGTGTCACCTTCCGGATTGCCTTCTTCTACATTCTAGGAGCCCTGCTGATTAGCTTGGTCGTGAGCCCGTCCAACTCTGATCTCACCTCGGGAACCGGCAATGCCAATAGCTCTCCATGGGTTATCGCCATTAACCAGGCGGGCATCACCGCCTTGCCGTCTATTGTTAATGCGTGCATCCTGATCTCTGCCTGGTCCGCAGGTAACTCGTACTGTTGGGTTGGTTCGCGAATGATTCTGGCCATGACGACGGATCGTCAGCTGCCCCAGATCTTCGCCCGGGTCACCAAGAACGGTGTGCCGTATGTTGCTGTCATCGCGTCCTGGCTTTTTGGCCCATTGGCCTATTTGAGTGAGTAGATGACTGCAGCCCTCTACCCCGTTCTGCTAGCTAATAATATCTACGTACACTACTAGGTCTTGGTTCGGGCGGCCCAGCGCAAGCATTCACTTGGCTGCTCAACCTGAGTACAATCGCCGGTCTGATCGCTTGGGCGACACTTTGCTTCAGCTACATCCGCTTCCATGACGCACTCAAGGCCCAAGGAGTCAGCCGTGACACCTTCCCGTGGAAGGCACCATTCCAGCCATACGCGGCGTGGGTGGGATTCATCGGCTCCGTCATTATCACCCTAGTCGCTGGATTCCCTGTATTCCTCAAGGGCAGTTGGTCCACATCTAATTTCATCGCCTCGTACATTGGTATTCCGATTTTCATCGTGCCCATCATCGGTTGGAAGCTCGTTAAACGCACCAAGGTTAGTTATCCCGCTCTGGCCCCATCATCCAATGATCATGACTGACTTTATCAACTCTGTTAGTTTGCGCGTGCTGCCGAGATCGACCTATGGTCTGGCCGCCTGCAGGAGGGAGAGGTCATCGAACATACCCTCAAACCGACAACTGCCCTAGGCCGCTTCATAGACTGGCTTTTCTAGGTCCTAACCCCTGGCTAATGTTTATCATTCAACCCCAAAATGACTGGCGCCCTCCTGCCTCTCTTCCGCACAGTAAGCAGAGGTCCGATTTAGCCACGGACTTTCGCTTCCCCCCCCCAATACGAGGGGGGCGAAGAGAGTCAATCAAGACCACATGATAGTGATACCCATCGTGTGGAGAGCGGCGTCTGTACATATTTATTGTAACGTATTTTGGAAACCAGAGCTGGTCTCTACGGTGACAATATTTAAATGTCCAGATCCTCCTTCAACCTGAGGACTGCAGTTACGAAGATGACGACCCCGGAGACAGAGGGAGGGGCACATATATAGAGATACATAGAAGTCTTATGATAATATTTCCGAATCCCATAATTCAAGTGTTGAATTGAGCTGCCTTGACTTTTCACGACTGTGGATTAGGAGTGGTCTCATGGTTGCGTTACTTGAACGGTTCTCTATAACGCGCAATCATTCTACCAACCTTGCAGGAGTACGAGATGACAGGTCAGACCAAAGATGTACGATCTTCAATCAATGCCCAAATGCTGTAAGACTTATCAATATCTCCCGGTCTCCCTGGTTTGCCGATCATAGCTGAACATATAAACCCAAAATCAAGTATAAATTGTACGTGATCCCCGATCATACCCAAAGAAAGAAAGAAAGAAAGAAGGAAAGAAAGAAGAAGAAGGAAAGAAAGAAGCTCTTCTTAAAACCCATCAGTCACATTGACTCTAGTCGTTTTACTCGATCGTTGCTCCTTTCCGCCGATTTCCCACCATGAAGCTTACGGCAGCCCTCACTACCACGCTGATGGCTACCAGCAGCTCTGCCACCCTTTTCGACAAGTGGTCTCGTAAGTGCACAGCACGCCGCTCGATCAATATCCCTCACTCCTCCAGCTAATTCTGCCGTCCCCTCCAAAGCATGGGGCAAGAGAGACTATGCCTGTATCAACGTCGTCCAAGGCATCCCGGAAAACGCGACGATAGCGGCAGGAACAACGGTCGACATCGTCTTCGACCGTCACAGCGGCCGCTGCTCTATCCCCGATGACGCCAAAGCCGGCCCATACAACGTGTGGTTAGCGAACAATCCCGTCATCGTGCCCAACGGTGTCCACACCGATTACTATGCTAAAATTGCCGGTCCCTTCCCCGAGTCCGAGGGCAGGATCTCCGTGACAATCCCGAGGGATCTGCCTGCGGTCCAGGCCGAGACTCTTTGGTATCTGCGTCTTGATACCGATTTGCCTGATACCCCCCAGGTGAGTCGCAGCTCGGTTTTCGGGTTCGGGTTCGGTGTGGTGGTGACAAGCTAAATGTTGTGTGAAGATGCCTAGTCTTTTCTACGTGCAGGGTCCTTTCAGGATCACGGAATAGATACGTATTTCATGTGCGTTGTGGTGTATATACATTGTTATATATATATATATATACCGTTAAACAGACGGGGCTTAGGGCTTTGGACTCCCTCTAGACGCGAATGAATCTGGATTCCTTTGGGGGAAGCCCTAAGTAAAGAGTGTCAGAGCTCATTTACATACATTGTAGAAATTCCGCTCTTGCACACAACTGAACTGCCCTTCCGTCTAATTCCCTGCACTTCGCTTGAGCGGTCGATAATTCGGCTCCCACATCTGCGCACGAATCCACTCTTCCAATGTTTTCTCATCCGTCGGGATTCCCTCTTGCTGGGCTAATCCTTGGTCCACGGCGGTTTGTATAACGCTCTTGGCTATGTTCACACTCAGCTCTCGTACTTCGCCAACATCAGGCAGGAGTGGTTGGTTAGGATCTTGGAGCGCAGGCGCCTTAGCCGCCAGTGCTTTGGACGCAGCCACGATCATTTCCTTGGACAGGACCCGGGGCCGAGAGAGCACTGCTCCGAGACCTATTCCTGGGAAGGCGGTTGAGTTGTTGCACTCCGCTGGGGAATGAATCAATGAATGGATTAGCGCCATACATGCCATCCGCCCGTGGGCAATCTACTCGTTTCCGCGAGGTAGGCTTACCGATATCCTTTGTAATACCGCCATATTCAACAGGAGGAAATGGGCTGCCCGTCGCAATCAAGGCCCGCCCTTCTGTCCATTCGGTGATATCCTTCGGTTTCGCTTCGTGCAGGCGCGTTGGATTGCTTAGCGGGAATACAATTGGACGATCGACATGTCTCGCCATTTCCTGGAGGATTTCTTCGGTGAATGCGTCCGGTCTAGTAGATGTACCGATCAAGACGTGCGGTTTGACTATTTTGACGACAGAAAGGAGATCGACGCCCTCTCCCTCGGGCCACTCGCCGTCATCGCGGGCGAAGGAACTCTGGGCGGCAGTCAGCTTATCACCGTGAGACTTGAGAAGCAGGCCGAGTTTATCAATGCACCTACACCATTCGGTTAGTGAATGTGTTCTCATGCATATTAGGAGGGTCGAAGGCGAACCAAATTTGCTTTAGGGCTTCCGCCTTCGATTTACCTGTCTCCGTTGCAATCGCGTCGCTAATCTGGTCGGCAATACCTGTGCCAGCAGAGCCAGCACCGAAACAGATTACCCGGACATCTTGGAATTTCACCTGGCTCACATGGAGTGCAGCCATCAGTGCAGCCAGAGTGACACAGCCTGTTCCTTGTATGTCGTCGTTGAAACAAGCGATTTCGGATGAGAGTCTATCTAGAATTCGCTTTGCATTCTGAAGGCCAAAATCCTCACTAAAGACCGTCAGTACATCCCCAATCCTGGAAGTCGCTGGCCGCTGCAGCTTACAAGTGGATAAATGCGTTGGGATATGTTTTCCGCGCAACCTCCACGAATTTGTCCACAAAAGCATCATACTCCTTCCCTCTCACTCGGGGCTGTCGTAGACCGAGGTATAAGTCATCGTTGAGTAATTCTTGATTCTGCAAATGTTTCTTAGCCTCTCCTCTGAGGTCCAAGTCCGAATCAGATCCAGTCTCTTACGTCCGTTCCACAATCCAGTACCACAGGAAGCTGTCTCGACGGATGGATACCGGCGCAGATGGTGGTAATCACCAACTTGGCAACCGAGATTAGGATGGCACCGGCTCCTTGATCACCGATTCCAAGGATCTAGAACCAGAGGTCAGAGTTTTCCCTAGCGAGGAACAAAGAAGAATCGGTGAATTACTTGTTCTCCGTCACTGACGACAATATAATCAATCTCATCGCCCTTTCCAAAATTGGCAAAGCTTTCTTCGATTTGGTCGACATCTCGGATATTCAAGAAGCACCCCTCCGGTTTTCTGAACAGACGAGAGTAGTTCTGGATGGCATCGGCTTCGGTCGGGGTATAGATCACACTAAACATCTCCTTCAGGTACGTTTGAATAAGCTATTCAGCCGAGTTAGTGACCGCAGCTCTTCCCTCGCAAGCCAAATCAATTCGCGTCGTACCCGGTAATAGAGCACCTCGTTCTGCGCCTTTAAACTGGCAAGAAAGGTGTTCTTAGCCAGGTCATCCACACGAGTCTTGTATTGCTGGTACGCTCTCTCGACTTGCTCATCAAGCGTCTGTACATTCGGTGGTAGAAGACCAATCAGGTTGAACTCTTTCCTTTCGTCGTCTGGAAATGCAGTGCCTTTGTTAAGGTATGAGTTATGAAGCAGTGCCGTTCCCTAGACAATTTTCTTTGAATAAGGGCCATAGCCTGGGAGTTGAGAAGGTGTCTGTCTCACCTCATACCGACACTCTATCGGGCCGAACGCTGCTCGTGGCAAGTGGCTGAACTGAGGTGCATCCATGGGCGCTTCAGGATGAACGGTGCAGTGAAAGGACTTGGCTGCAGAAGAATCGATACCGATGAGTGAGGTAGAGGTTTCAAAATAGAATTTGATAAGCTATGATGCGCCATCCTTATGGACCCATGGAGGGGTGATTATTACCACTTGTCCGGCGCTATACAAGCCACCTGTAAGAAACACCCCGCGCGGAGGAAGAATCGAAAATCGTATGCTATGTGGTCATGTACGAGTGAAAGTCTTGAAATCAACCGGAAATGCTTGATCTTCCTCGTAGATGCATGTATTTGACCTCGTATCTTGGACTTAAACGCCAAATCCCCTTTCACACGACCGAATGCGTCATCAACGACTTGCTCGCTACCGACAGCGCACTTAGCTCCGGATATTACGGTGGGAAGGAAATCCCGCCACTAATAGGAGTGTTGATTCCTTTCCGGATACTGTACTGAACTGACTTCCAGCGTGGAAGGCTGGTGTCTGCATCCACTTGCCGATTCAACAGACAAGTATACTTGTATTTCTAAGACGTCGACAACTCGCCTCAGTCGCCGGGGAATTCACATGAGAAGCTATCAGCCATTCAAATCCCTTTTGGGTGCGGGAACTTAATTGTATTCTAGAAAGAATGGCGTCGACCATCGCTGCAAGTGGAACAATTCGCTGTCGGCCCCTTACTGTTGGATATGGAGCCCACCCCTGATGCATTAAACACTGTGGCTGTACCCTCAGATACGTCGCTGAATATGACTTCATCGTGTCCATTCCGGGCCTAAAATACGATAGTGCAATGCTCTAGCGGCATCGGGAACCACAATTCGTGGTGCCTTGTCAACCACATGGCTCAGAACCCAAGAGAAGAGAGGCCTTATGATCTGTCTCCGGAGCGACTATACTGGACTATAACGCCGAAATCCTCTTCCCGGACCACACTGCTGGATGTATGCGCGTGGATGTGGATATGTGTACAGATGAAGCCAAACCTCTTCCGCCAAAAGAAGGACGATGAACACGAAGAAAGGGGGTTTAGTGGTTCCATGACGCTGCAGGGCGTTGATCCGCGCTGCATCATGCACAAATGCCGTCTACATCCTTCCTTCGGTATCCTGTTTTCGAAGAGATCTCTGATCTATTCAAACAAACCATGATTCGCACCTAAATAATACGCATGGTAGACCGAATATACCCTCATGCGACAAGGATCAAATTCCACTGGCGTTGCTCCTTGCCTAGCTCGGTTCAAAGGTTACTTTTCGTAAATTATATAAGATTTCAGTCCTTTGTCCGATTTATTAACTGTGCAGAATTGCAGCAGACTGACTTTATCCTTCTGGGTGCCTGGCATCTGTGTCTTTAGGCTTGCTTCCCCCTTATTATTATACAAAGTCGATTCATTCTATGTTGTTGGAAGACCTTGAATAACGGGTGAGGTGCTTCATTCTTCACTATTAACCACCCCTCGTCGGGCACTTCACCACCATGAGCACATACCCTATGTCGCACCCTGATTCATACCTTACGGAAGATCAAGGAAGCTATGCAGTTACCGGAATGGCAGCATGTAATGCTGTTGCCACCTGTGCTGTAATGGCCCGCGTATATGTCCGGGCATATACTCGAGGATTATCGATCCAAGATCTAGGTTGGGATGACGCCCTTATTATACTGGCAATGGTACAGCTCTCGATAGTAACCCATTCAGGTCTGCTTTCTTTTTACTAATGACGACTAGTTCGTTGGCTGGGCCCTTATGGCTCTGTCGTATATGGTGACAAAATATGGTGCTGGAAGACATCGTGAGGCCCTGATAGAGAATCCTACGATTATGGTGAACATGTACAAGTGGCTGGTAACGGCCCAGCTGGTCTACATGTTGAATCTATGGATCTGCCGGATGTCTGGTATTGCCTTCTACGTACGAGTAAACCGCATGCCTCGATTTAAGCTATACTTGCGCATATCGTACGGCTTTGTCACGGGTGCATTTGTGACTCAAATCTTAATCATCGCTCTCCAATGTATGCCACTCGCGGCACTCTGGGGAGAGGCTGAGGGCCAATGTATGGGTTCTGATATCAGATATATTTCCACGTCTGTTCCCACCTTCCTTTGTGATTTGCTTGTCATTTTGCTGCCTGTGAACATCATCCTGAAGATCAAGGACAAGATGACGAGGAGCATTGCCTTAGGGTTTGTGTTGTATTTTGGCACTTTGTACGTCTCCCCCCTTGCAAATCTGGACAATCTTTCACTAATTCACCCTAACCTTAGTGTTATTGTGTAAGTATCCTTCGAAAAGAACTCCGCATTTTCTCCCCCTCACATTATACAGGACCTCGGTCTGCCGAATTATCGCCATAGCCACTGCCCTGAAAGACCCCGAAGATATCACTTGGTACTTCTCTGCAGTCATGGCGTGGTCATGTGCTGAGATAGCGACGGGGATTGTCGTACTTTCTCTCCCGGTTCTCAAGGGCTTATTCTCGAGGCTTCGCGATAAGTACTCCTCCAGGATGGATCAAAGCAGCTCGAACGACGGGATCCGTCCGAAATCCAACAGCTGCTCGGGGCAGAGGCGTGTTTTCGAAGGCCCCAACACAATTCCAAACAAAACACAAGTTGATACTGCATGCAATACTAGTGAGGAACAGTTGTGGTTGGACAAAACAGACGATATCCGAGTGGTTGATACCGTGCAAGTGGATATCTCGCAGAGGAAAGGCCTTCGCTAGACGAGTAGTTATCCTCTAGAGACTGTCTACCAGGATCTTTTACTCGCATATTCGGCAATAGGATGGGCCCTCGGTGCGTTATTCTCTGGCCGAGATACCTCCAAATCCATATGGGCAAACATTAAAACTTTGAGTGATACGATGTATAGTTATGTGATGAGAGGGAAACTTTGTATAGTCATTATTAACGATTAAACTCGCCCCCAATGTCAAGGAAATAGAATATCCCCCCACTCAATGCGGGAGCAATGACACTGCCATGGTCCTCATGGAGGTACTCTCTTTGTTCGACTGCATGTAGCCGGTTGCTCTGTGTAAGTTGGGATGCGAGTTCACTACAATTCTCGGTCATTCGCCGCCGAGTTGCAGCCGCTACCCGTCGCTGGAATCCCTCCATGGATTCCCCCTTTTGGCGCACCGGAAATTGCTCTCGTGATCCCAAGGATAGTCGCAGGAATAGCGGAGGTACCATGGACGCATCAGTGCAGAATTTCGATGCCTCCGACAGGATGAAGCGATTATTCCACCAGATCGATGGGCTGGCAGCAAGGTACACATCAAAGCTTGCCGGGCGTGTGAAGAGGGTATGGAGCACGAACAGGCCACCGTAAGAGTGACCGAATAAGGCTCTTCGAACGAAAGAGGCATGGGGGAATAGCCGGGATTCAATAAAGGGTCGAACGACATCGGTGATAAAGGTCAAGAACTGATCCGCACCTCCATACGGTTCTGGTCTAGGCTGGCCGTCTGGCCCATCAGGCGGGGTGTAATGAGTACAAGGAGGAGTAAGGTCCCTGCTCCGTCGAGAACTGAATACTGAGTCTGTCAGAGGATACCCGATGCCTACAACAATGGTAGCTGGTTCCTTGGGCCGGAACGATTGTCGCCGTCGAAGTGTCTCTGTTGCCGTTAGGAACAGGGCATTTCCGTCGACAAGATAGCTGGCAGCCAGAGATTTAGCCATTCATTCAACTGCGCAAGGGGGAGGTGTTCGTACATGACATTGGCAGTGACAGCATGGTCCAGGGTTGACCACGTCAATGGCCATGAGATATCGATGCAATATTCCTCGCTCTGATTTGACACTTTCCAGCACGCTATATTTCTCGTTGTCCCTCCGTCTTGCTCGGGGATAAATGTCCATTCAGTCAACATGTTGCCGTACAGATACGGATTTTTTTTTTTGTTTCCATGTGCACTGGAGGTTGAACTGGCTCTTGGGGACTCGAGTCAGTGAGTCAGTCGCATGGATTCTGAATTTTTTCGCCGCCATTCTGAGCTTTTCCCTTCCTGGCTTCATCCCGCGAATCCATTCGAAGTCGTCGTGGAAACTCTCCACTATCTTCGGCGCCAATTCGACGCGGAGGTCTTGGTCTCGCTTGGCAACGGGTTATCTGATCCGATGATATATTAATTCGTCTCTCTCTTCCGAGTGTGTAGATGCAAATTTTACGTCTCTTCTCCGGTCTGCCAATGAGATGGCCTAAACAGGACCGACGGAGGTTGCTCGCCCTGAATGAAGCTATCCACACCCCCTGTTTGATCCAAGGAAACCATGCGCTCTCCTCCACTAGATTAGATTAGATCGCGTACGCTTTCCGTATGTGATTTTTTGTTCCGATATACTACGCGTGGTCTGACAGGTTTTCTCGAGTGTTAGGGGGGGCTGACTCTACATAAATCGGGCCATGGAACACTGCTTGATGGGTGTGCTCTCGGGACATCCATTCCAAACGCTCTTTACTCTCATCCTAAATACATTGAGGTAAAAAATGGCTGGTAGCGATGGCATTGTGATAGGGGCAAAAGGCCCATCAAATACGGGTTTTCAGGATCCTGTATCCGAAAAGCCAGCAATTGCTGATCGTGATGAACGTTCCAATCCCGAGAGCCTTCAAGCAGGCGTCCAACGAGCAGAGATGCTACGAAAAGGATGGACAAAACAAGGACTCATACTTGCTTTCACCGGGTACACTCCATTTTCCCGTGTTTATTATTTTTTTTTTTTTGGGTCTTTTTTTGCTGGTATGCTAACGTCAATATTGACATGACAGCCTCTTCCTCGCAACCCTAGCAATAAATTTTGGCGACTATTCTACGCAAGTGTATACAGCCTATACCACAAGCGCTTTCAAGCGTCATTCAGCGATGAGTGCAGCTCGTGTGGTTGGGAATATTACCCGCATTGGGGCTTATCCTATCATTGCAAAGCTTGGAGATGTAAGTGGAATTGAGAGGCACTTTTCGCGTCAACATGGGTATATTAAACAATCACTTTACAGGTGTTTGGCAGAGCAGAGATGTTTATTCTCTCAATCCTGATGGGTGCGATTGGATATGCCATCTATGCGGCATGTGAGAATATCTCACAATATATCGTAAGGCCATTATTCCTCATTTCCAGGAGCTAATTTCCCCATCGCTCACGGATGAACTTGTAGGCTGCAGGTATCTTTGAAGCTATCGGGTCAACCGGTTTCGCTCTCACCCAGCAGGTGTTTGTTGCCGACGTGACCAACCTGATCGACCGCGGCATTTGGTCTACCCTTCCCGACTCGCTCACGACTATTCCCACGCTTTATCTAGGAACTATTGTTGCTCAGCGCATTTTGGATCACTCGACTTGGCGATGGGGTTGGGGAATGTGGGCTATCATCCAGCCAGTCTGTTCGGTTTTGCTGATCGGGACGATGTTCTACTATCAGAAGCGGGCACCTGCTCGAAAGTCGGTATCCGAGTCCTTGGGATGGACAAGCACGGATAAGTGGTGGCAGCGGGCGTACAACTTGCTTTGGGTTCAGTTGGATCTTCCGGGAGCTGTACTGCTCCTCCTTGGATTGTCTCTGTTCCTAGTCCCCCTATCTCTTACCGGCTCCGGCAATAGTGATGCATGGCACAAGGGCTCCTTCATTGCTATGCTAGTTCTGGGGGTTGTGTTTTTCATCGCATTCATTGTTTGGGATGCCTGGTTTGCTACCAAGCCGTTTATCCCTTACCGGATGATCAGGAATCGCACCGTTGCTGCCGCATGCCTCCTTGGTGCACTAGACTTCTTTCACTATTCGGTCTTTTCAGTATTTTTCTCGAGTTATCTCCAAGTTGCTGGTCACTTCGATGCGGGAAATGCCACTCGGATTGAGTATGTAGAAGCTCATTCTTCGCCCCTCCCACACTATACAACTAACACAATAACACAGTAACTCGCTCCGTGTAGCTTTCCAGGTGGCGGGTATCTTCGCCGCCTACTTCATGAAGTTTACTAGGCGATCCCAAATTTGGGTCCTGGCCGGAGTACCCCTTTGCGTTCTCGGTATGGGTGTTCTCGTACACCTTGTTGACATGGGCGATGGCAAAACCGGAAACGAGGCCTCCTTCATTGCAGCCAAATCCTTGATCGGTGTGGGGCGTGGGTTCTATCAGACAGCTGCTCAAGTTTCCGTGCAGGCTGTCGTTTCGCGGCAGGAGGTCTCCGTGGTTACTGCTGTTTTCTTTGCTTCGATGAGTGTTGGTGGAGCTATCGGCACAAGGTCAGTGTCCCTGTTTCGGGGAAAGCGGTTTGAAATACCGGCTAACGATTTCACTCAGTGTGGCTGGCGCTATTTGGCGTAGCACGCTTCCAAGGAAGCTGGCGGAGAACCTTCCTGCGGATCTCAAGCATCAAGCCCAAGCTATCTTTGGCAGCATTGTGACTGCTCGATCTTACAAGGTTGGCACAGCCGCTCGCGATGCAATCGATCTGAGTTACCGCCAATCCCAACGGCTCCTGGCCATCGCTGGCGTGTGTGCTCTCGCACCGATGCTTATCATCATGTTCTTCCTACAGAATGTGCAGTTGGATGAACGGCAGACAACCAAGCCTGAATCGCATGAGGAGGTTATTAAGGATGATGCTAATCCCGAGAAGGTAACGCAATGATTGGAGTGGCAGCAGTTTTTTATTCATCATATCATGTGTAAAATATGAGAGAGAGAACCCACAACATGGAGCATAAGCATGGAAATATATTTCCTTTCCGAACACTGGGCTTATTTCACAGGATTCACCCCCGACATCCAAACAACAAATCTCGTAAACTTCCCATCCTGACCAACATCAAAGAAACTGCCGTTGCACGTCTCAGTGGATGTCCCATCCGCATACTGCACCGTAAACCGCTGTTCGGTGGCGATCCTTCCCCGGGCAAGGTCGACAACTGTGCCAGTGACCTCGTGCGATATGGTCTGGGCGCTATTAATGAGCTTGGTGAACATGGCCCGGATTTCGGATTCGCCAGTGTATGTAACGTTATCTGTTTGGACGGTGAATGTCGCGTCTGGGGAGAAGTGTGCGAGGACTGCGTCGATGTCGCGGTTGTCAACGGCGCGGAAGAAGCTCGTTGGGAGCGTCGCAAGCGTAGCTTTCATGCCGGCGGTCATGCGTTTCTTGGACGTGTCTGAACTCGTAGGATGATGTTGTCGAGTGAGTGTACCGCAATAGCCAAGGCCGAGATCAAGCACGATGGATGGGTGGATGAAAGGTTCTTTTTTATATCTCTTGTTTCTTTTGGTGGCGTGGGAATTTCAGTCACACGCAGTTCACAACACAGTTTCGGGCACTGCTGCACACTTGAATGTTATTGATTAAGGATGTATGACTTGGCTGGTATGCAGTAAAACAATCAATGCTACTTCTATGTACGATACCGTAGATACATTCTTTCTTCATTCGGCGGAGATATCGGAATCCTGCATGCTGTACGCGGTGGGGGAGCCAGAAATGTCTGCGTCCTGCAGTCAGCAGCCAGTCAGTAGCCTGTGTTGGTGTCGGCTACGTGTTCGATTAGACGATGCTCGCTCGGCTTTAGCAGCCATGGTCAATGGTTAGTTAGTTATGTAACTAGTTAACTAACTAGTTAGTTATATGCGCTGATTTCTAAGCTACTCGTGGGCCACCAGATTATCATCTAACAGGACGTTGGGGAGCAAGTGTTTAAGGACCGGGTATGCATGGCAAATAGAAGGCTAAATCAGAATAATCAGAATCCAAATGGGCTGTATTCCCCATGTTATCCCCACTGGTCAGAGTTTGCCTCGGGTTCTGATATAGGGTTTTGTGCGTCAAGACGTCGCTGTCATAGGCCATGAGAAGCGGACCTTAGAGCGTACAGCCGCGAAGCTCTGATCATTCAGTGCCAAGTACTTTCTCTCCAGACGTACTTAATCCTATGGACGATAAGCTGATATTATTTATTTGGGGAATTTGAAGGTCGCATGTGGAAGTTCTGGCTGCTCGTACCTGCTTACCATCGCAGTCACTTATTCCAAACAAAGAACTTTTCCAAGGATGATTTTCCATATTGCAGGATATTAGGAGAGTGCAACAGTAAATAAGAGAGTTGCAAAAGAAGCAACATTAGGAGAGACTGGAAAAGGAAATTTTCAAAGTCGTTTGTGTGTAGTGGTGGATCTCGAGTACGAGATGAGATGAGATGAGATTACATTGAAACACTGAGGCATTTTCTCTCCAGACAATAATGAACGAAGAGGCAGTGCAGGAGAGAAAAGGATCTCCTGTTTAAGGGAAAATTACTTTCATCAAAGTCAATAAATTGCAGAGGGTTTGAATGTGTGGTGAATTAAAAGCCGCGCGAGGTGTTTTTAGGGCCAATCAGCTACCACTGCCGCTGGGTATAGTTCAGGTCCAGCCAGCCGTCCCTCAGCTTCCCTGACATCGCTTTAGATCCCATATGGCCTTATCAGGGAGATGACATTGACACATGCATTGACTCGTTCGGACAGACTCAGTATCCTAATGTGGATGGGGAGGCTAGTACTTATGATCCATGCGCCAGGAGGGTTCCCTCCCTATAAGAAGGAGGAGCTTTCCTTTAACAAAGCAGCAATATAGTGCCTCTTCCATCCATTTGAAAGCTTGCCCGCCGTCATCTAATTGTCGATTCTCATGGAACAGGATAATCGTAAGGATCACATCCGTATTGCGGAGGAGGGGATCCAGCATAATACCACCCGTCCGTTGGTTCGTCGGGGCTCGAATGCCTCATCTATGTCCATTCACAGTGCACGGGGAAGACTCTCTGCACCCGAGAATTTGCTCCCTATCACATATCGCACCCTGTATGTGATGAATTCCCCTTGCTTGCGCCTAATCGCATTATTCTAACGCAGGGATCCTAGCTCCTACAAAGTTGATACGGCGGAGACCTCATTCGAAAAGAGCGGCAAGGACTCTACCAGCAAGGATGAGCGCAAAGAGCTAAAAGGTTCGAATTTCGCCTCTCACTTGGCTGTATCGCGCTAAAGCTCTGCTTAAACAGGTCTGTCGGAGCTCGATTGGCATGTTCTCTCCGTCAACGAACTGCAGACGCGCCTCTCTACCTCCACGGCCCAAGGTCTTTCTAGTGAGCAGGTCGCACGTCGTGCAGCAGAATATGGAAAGAATAAGCCATCCCCTGCACCGTCAAGATGGTTTCTAACTACCCTGGGATATCTCTTTGGCGGCTTTGGTTCAATTCTACTGGGCGGCTCCATTCTGGTCTTTGTCTCCTGGAAGCCTCTCGGCCAGCCCCCGTCTGAAGCGAATCTGGCGCTGGCTCTGGTTCTACTTGCCGTCTTCATCATTCAAGCCGGTTTCAACGCATGGCAGGATTGGTCTTCCTCCCGCGTCATGGCATCTATCACCACGATGCTTCCAGATCAGTGTATTGTCATTCGCGATGGGAAGCAGAGCAGTATTAGCGCAATCGACTTAGTACCAGGAGATGTGATCCAAATCAAGCAGGGCAATAAACTGCCCGCTGATGTACGTTTTGTCCAAGTCTCAGCAGATGCTAAGTTTGATCGATCCATTCTGACGGGTGAGATGTTTCCCTGTCATTGCACGCTCTCTCCTTGCTAATTGTCAAAGGTGAATCCGAACCGGTTACTGGGACCGTCGACTCGACGGATAACAACTATCTGGAAACTCACTCCATTGGCCTCCAGAGTACACACTGTGTCTCTGGCACTGCCCTTGCCGTTGTGGTTGGAACTGGGGACTTGACCGTCTTTGGACGGATTGCGGGTTTGACCAACAGACGCCGCACCGAGAGAACTCCCATGCAGAAAGAAATCTTGCGTTTTGTCCTGATCATCGTCTCTTTCATTGTGACTTTTGTTATTATCATAATTGTTATCTGGTAAGCGTGGTTTATTGGTTGCTTTCTCATGTCTGGTCGTTGCGGTTAATCGTTTTTAGGGGCGCATGGCTCCATCGTGACTATCCAGACTGGATCAATGTCCCGACTCTTATCGTTGACTGCGTCAGTGTCGGCATTGCCTTCATTCCTGAAGGCCTTCCTATTGCGTTGACAATGAGCCTGACCATTGTGGCGAACATGATGAAGAAGAATAAGATCCTCTGCAAAACCCTGGCCACTGTGGAAACCCTAGGAGCTGTTTCCGTCATCTGCTCCGATAAAACAGGCACTTTGACAAAGGTATGGATGCGTTTACATTCCCTCTTGCTCCAAACTAACATTGTTTACTTTAGAACGAAATGTATGTCACTGATTGTTTCTCTGGTGGTGAGGAATACCTCGCCGAAGGCGCCAAAGAGTACATGGTACATGGATCCGGATCTGGGGAATTCCCCAATGAGTCTATTGGCCTTGTCAGGATTGTCGCATGTCTCTGCAATGCAGCTGAATTTGATGCTTCAACCCTGGACCGCCCATTGCATCTCACAAAAATCCACGGTGATCCCACCGATCAGGCAGTTCTCCGGCTCTCTCAGTCTCTCGGGCATGTGAGTGAACATCGGGACCAATGGAAGAAGGCATTCGAAATTGCATTTAATAGCAAGAATAAGTTTATGATCCGTATCATGATTCCCATTAATGCAATGGAAGAGGGGTAAGTCAGATATTTTATTATTCTCGGTGGCATAACTAGTCGCTTACTTACGCAATGATCAGGTACTTGTTTATAAAAGGCGCTCCAGATGTGCTGCTATCCAGATGTACACAGGTGATTAAACGTGATGGAAAGCCTGGCGAGCTGTCATACACTGAGCGCACCATGGTCGAAGCCACCAAGGATAACTGGTCAGCATGTGGAAAGAGAGTCATCCTGATGGCTCAGAAACCGGTTACTTCTGAGTGGATCAGCTCAGTTGCCTCCTCGCAAGACGAGAAGCTTGTTCTTCAAGCTGCGCGGGACGAATTGACCCTGGTAGGACTTGTCGGCATTGCTGACCCTCCAGTAAGGCTACTCGTTGTCTCTCTTCGTTTGCAGGTTTAATATTCTTTCTAGAGAGACGAAATTCCGACTGTTATCGATACCCTCCGTAGAGCCTCTATCCGAATTATGATGGTAAGGGGTCCGAAGTCAAAATGGGGAGCAAGCACTACTAACTCACTCAGGTCACTGGTGATTACAAGCTCACGGCTCAAGCAATTGCCATTCAGTGTGGTATTATTCGCACACCTCCGGCTCTAATACATGATGTCAACGCTCTGGACCACTCAGAGAAGGCACTCGTGCGCTCACCTGGCTCAACCACGGCCATCGTCGTTAGCGGTCCTGATCTTGCAGACCTTTCTGATGAGCAGTGGGATAGGCTTTGCGGTTATGAGGAGATTGTGTTTGCCCGAACCACGCCCGAGCAGAAGCTGCGCATTGTCAAGGAGTTCCAAGCCCGCGACAACATTGTGGCCATGACTGGTGACGGAGTCAACGACGCTCCCTCCCTCAAGGCAGCCGATGTGGGTGTGGCTTTGGGTAGTGGCTCAGATATCGCTATTGAAGCGGCTGACATGGTTCTCCTCGACTCGTTCTCCGCCATTGTCGAGGCCGTTAAGTACGGAAGATTGGTATACGGTGAGTCTGCTGCTAAATTCAATATCTTGGCCGAGCTTCGTACTCATGAAAACGCCAGATAACCTCAAGAAAACAGTCATCTACCTTCTTCCTGCAGGAAGTTTCAGCGAGCTATGTATGTGCTACGTAGCCTTTAGCTAGTCCGTAGCTCAGCTAACAGCTATCAGGGCCGGTTGTTACCAACGTTGTCCTGGGTGTTCCCCAGGTTTTGTCTTCATTCCTCATGATTATTATTTGGTTTGTTTGGCCTTTTAGATATTTCAAGCTCAATGCTCATACTCCACAGCTGCCTTACTGACTGCGCTGGTGCAATCACGCTTGCCTTCGAAAAGCCCGAATCCGATGTGCTCCTCAGACCCCCACGAGACCCGAAGAGGGACCGTCTTGTGGATGCTAAACTCCTTCTGCACGCATACGGGGTTGTAGGACTATATGAGTGCTTCATGTCTTACGTTATGGCATTCTGGCACATGCAGGTGTGTTTATCAGAAACCTTTCTCACCTGTATCAGTCACTAACATCAGACAGAGGAGAGGTGTTCCATTTAGTGCCATGGTGCTCAAATTCGGCAACATGGCACCACAATATGACCCTGACTATGTGACCCAGGTTGCTAATGAAGCATCTTCGATCTACTTTGTCACTCTGGTCATCATGCAGTTCTTCAACTTGCTTGCCATTCGTACTCGCCGCCTGAGTATCTTCCAACAGCCGCCCATCTTCAATCAGAAAACCCAGAATCTGCTTCTATTCCCTGCAATGACTTTCGCCCTGTGCATTGTCTTTGTCTGTGAGTTTTGCTTTCCACAGCTGCCTTGCGGAATGGCTGACAGTTTGACACAGTCTGCTATATTCCTCAGTTGCACGATTCTATTGCCACTACGACGATTCCAGTGGAGCATTTCTTCCTTCCTATCGCCTTTGGCCTTGGTCTTCTTATCCTTGATGAGACGAGAAAGTATTGTGTGCGCCGTTGGCCTCATGGTGTCCTGGCAAGGATTGCCTGGTAGATAAAAATAACTCTACGGGTTCATTTTTCACAGTAGTTCTTGACGACTACAATCCCGTTCCGGCACTTGACATAATCTATTACCCAGATGTAAAAATTTAACATTGCTTTTGATCATGAATCCATCCATTACGGTTCTGTATGTGGAGGATTTGCTATGCTATAATGATTATGCGAATTAAGTCTAGTCAACCAAAACAGAACTTTTGTCGTCTCTATGCACCATTAATCGTTAGTTCCAACTTCGTCAGAGGATAAAACCGCTTACTTCTCTCTTCCTCTTCCTCCTCCTCCTCCTCCTCCTCCTCCTCACCTTGTTTCATTCAACTCACAGGATACAAGGCATGCATGCCAAACCAACTAACACTCCTCTTTCTTCTCTCCTCCCTGTCGCTCTCTCATCCCCTCTCCGTCGCTTTCCGGTCCACTCGCGCCAAACTCAGCCCACTCATTCTTCGTCAACATTTGACAGAACTTGCTCCGGGCACGGATCCAATCTCCCTTATAAAGAAGAATGAAGGGAATCGGTACACATGCCAAGCTTATAAACCCAACCAGGGAAGTCGCCCATGCAATCCCCAAGGTTGAATACATGGGCTTCGCCGCGAACGGCAAAAGGGCACCAAGGATACTCCTCACAATCACGGAGGCCGCCAGCGCACTGGCAGAGTAGATCTTGTACGCGTCTGTCACGTAGGTTAGCAGCGAGATGAAGATCGTTTGGTATCCGAATCCGAAGACCAGGCCGGACGCCAAGGGGACGGCCCAGTGGATATCTGGGCGGGCAGTCCAGGCGAGCCACAAGAGACTGATCACGATGCATATGCTGCCGATGCAGGAGAGTGGGAGACGGTGTAGTTCGGGGCTGAAGTTCCAGGGTTTGTTGGTGGCTTTGGCTTGGTCGTATTTCAAGTCCCACCATAGGGCTGCGAGACCCGTCGTGCAGGCGCCGATGCCGACTTTTGTTTTTTTTTTTTTTACCCACGGTTAGTTTTTCGTACAATCGGAAAGGTATATATATATATATATATCCGGTGGTACTTACGTGGAACCAAACCTAAGGATGTCGTTTTGATGCTGAAGTTGTATACCTCTATAGAAAATTCACGGTCAGTTTGCGGGAATCGTCCCGACGTGCGGAACGTAGCTGCGGTGCGTACCTGGTAAGATGATGGGGTAGGCCTGGAAGTAAAAGAATATCAGACCATATGCGAGGGAAATGTATATTGAGGTCGACGATATAATGGGCTCCCATAGGAACATGTCTAGGGGTCGTTTGAGCATTGTGAGAATGTCGGTCGAGTTTACTCCTAACGTTGGCGCCACGACATTCTCGCCCGATATCTTACTGAGCTCTGCGGCGCGACGCTTCAGTATGACCGGACCAAAGGTTTCTGGTTTGCTTTTTGTCAGCCCGCCCTGCGATTCAAACCGGATAAGCGAGACAAACCAGGGATGAATAGAAGTCCCAGCATGGTACCTCCGGCGCACATGAGATCAATCCAGAATGTCCATCTCCAACCGTGGGATTCAGATGTAAACCCCGATATAATCGGACCCAGAATAGGTCCAAAACTCGAGCACTGGCAGAGAATTAGCATGCTTGGTGTCTATGTCGTGTGCCAGGTAAGCCCTACCGCCATGTAAAACGCCATCACACGACCACGAGGGCGCAAGTCAAACATATCTGCATATACTCCGCCAACCACAGTTTGTGGCGCAACTACCATTGTCCCGCAGACAAAACGGAAGAATAAAAGCGCTGGCCAGTTTGGTGCCAGGGCACATGCAAGGGTGAAGAGACAGAAGACGAAGAATGTAGGGATGAGTACAGTCCGTCGTCCGACAGTCTCACTTAACGGACTCCAGACGATTGGCCCGAACATGTACCCGAATAGAAATACAGCAGTGGGTAAATTACCCTTGACCGTATCCGTCACATTGAAATCTTTGAGTATAAGAGGGACTGCATTGCTCGGTAGTGAGGAGGACACTCCGCTGTTCATGACCGACAGCAGCGTCACAAAGACAATATAACATTTCTTTTTCGAGCTCCAATTCTTCGGGTTTTCTTTTGGACAATCTTCGAACCCTATCACCTTTGTGCACGACGGTATAACTGCCGTCGTATAGGTTTGGGAAGTCGATTTCGGAGAGGTGCTTGGTTCTGCAGTACTATCAGCAACGGTTGAAGCCGGACATGGGTTTCAACGCCATACTACCGACCTATTCGGGAAGCATTTTGTGTCTGCTCAAGACATAAACATTCCCTGTTCCCTTCCATTGCGAAAGTAGGTTACACAGTGGGAGAATTACTATACTATTACCTTCCCCCCCCCCCCCCCCAGCCCCAGCATGATCCCTGGCCAGGGCGTTGCTTAAGTATACATACACCCCATCCTAGTTATCAGTTGGAGTCGAGTAATCTAATCCCACCAGGTCCAAATATTCACTCGTTAGCGACGACATTTGCCCTATCTACACATGACAAATGCAAACTCCGATATAACCAACTATCTCCTTTTGCGACTTTCCGCGTTATCTCCCAATGATATTGTCACTCCATGAAAAACCCCTCGCTCTAAGGACCGGCCCCACACCGGCGCCGGCGGAAAGCAGAATACAATTCGGCCCCGGTTAGGGCCCGGTCGAATTTGGACAATCCGGATCAACATTTAGCTCCATTTCGGGTTCTACGTGCGATGATTATTGAATATCTTTGGCAGGAATTTGGAATGTATGCAGCTAAACCTGCGTGTCACAATCTCTGCCAAAGTTCTAGACGTGACTTGGATGGTCCAGAGCTGATCTGCGAACAGACACTCGCTCGCGTCTTGATACCCTGGTCGTAACAGACATGATCCTGCTGAGGAAACAAAGGGAGGGGGGGTAGGACCAATTATTGTAATCTCAACTAGGGCATTGAGGGCATTGCGGGAAGAAAGTCAAATACATCGGTCTGTCCTTCCTCAAACAGGTCGAACGAGTCGGCGATCGAAGTCGACAAGGTCCAGTTAGGCACATTCATGCCACCGAGTAATCTTGGCAAAACAGGTTCCGGTCGTGAATCTGCTGTTCTCCCATTATCAGAAGAAGCGGTCACATCGGTATCCCTGTCCCTTCGCAGATTTGAGCTCCGAAGCTGGTCATGTAGTAACTCAGTCGGATCGAAGTCTGGCCTCGGCAGGTTGGTCACATCGGGCTGCCTCGACCCCTCAGACAAAGGTACGGCAGTTCCCGACTGGACACTGGGATTGTTAGCGGGTGTACCCCGTTCGGCCAAGAGAGCCTCGGCATAGTTCACGAATATGGAGACCGTGCGGTGGATATCCGGATAAGGGGGCCGTTTAATGTATTCACATATTTGTCGAACTCGCTGTAGAACGAGGTTCTGGTCAAGGAGCGTAGGGTGCCATCTAGTTAGGCGGATGGCAAAGGTTGCTAAATTCGCATAAGTGACTCAATGAAAGCAGATAGGAAGGAAAATTCTTCTTCGACCTACTTATAAAGGCAATGGTAAGGGCCGGGTATGTTGGCGACCAAGTTATCTGGCACCGGTATGCCGACTCGGTCACCAGTAAATTGAGCTGGCTGGTGACGACCTCCACCAATGACTTCCAAAGGTTAAGGACGACTTCCGGGTCAACGTCCGAGATGCCATCTGATAACTGTTGAAGTTTTTGGATTCGTGCAATCGTCACACACAATACAAAAACCTTCGCGTAGTTAAGCATCAGTTTGAGACTGGACCTCTGGAAAGCGCCGGGATGGAACCCATTATCTATAGCGAGTTAGTGAAGGAAGGCCCGTGAAGGCACGCGTGGAGAGAAACATACGGCCGTGAATCTCATCCCAATTGTTCCACCACTCCTGAAGTCTGCACATAATAGCTGGAAGTTCTGTTGTGGTCAGGGGACCCGCCGTAGTGCTCTCAATTATGTGTCGCGATCGGGCTGCCATCCATCAGCTTCACTCTTGTAGCGACCAAAGACAGGGATCACCTCGAAGCTGGTGAAGTTCTATTATCGAAACAGTCCGCATGTCGGAAGGGAGGGACAGAGGGTATTCCAAAAACTTTCGCAACTTTACGTTGTCAACTTCTTTCAGCCGTGACTTCCTGCCCGTACCGGATGCCACATCTAACTCCAGAGTAAACGAGATCAACCATGTGCGGGTCTGCCAGACAAGTTTTCGGTCTTCCATGGTAGCAGAAAGGTAGCTTCTGGGCGTCGGGGTATGGGCCAACAACGTATCTAAAGATTTTTCCAGCCCCGAGTCTAATGCGGTTCGTAAAATGAGAGCCGTGGAAAACCACGTCTTTTCAGAATAGGCTGCCAGAAGAATCATTCCCTGGACTGTTTCCAGTTTTGTCGGCCGTTCGAAGAAGCTATCTTCTGCCAGCCGCTGGGCTTCGTCTTGAAGTACCCGCTGCAAGTAGATGTTCCCCTGTAAATCGGGAACTGCCCGACTAGCTAGGTAGATGATTACTGTAAAACAAAACAATGATCGCGACCGAATGGAGTCAAAGGTGTCCCGAATAGGATCAAATAGAGGTAGAAAATTTTTACTCCCGTTCATAAATCTGTCGTCATTAGTTTGCGTGCTCGTTATAGGTAGTGAACCTACCGCTCATAGATTCCCCGAGCCTGCTCTTCGCTAACAATCCCGCGGGCAATGATATCGCCTCTGGGGTCAGCAACGTCGGACTCGCCCATAAATATCGGATCATGACGCTCCTGAAGGCTCAGAGACATCGAATGCATTGCTGACTGAGGTGCAATCATGTCCTGAGGACTGAACTGTTCGAGTTCGATGCCTCCGGACTGGTTGTTTGTGGCCGATATTGACGTGGTACATGGCGCGGACAAGGCCGGGCTTCCTGATGCAAGTGCCTCAAACCCGCTGCGTATTCTACAGATCGTTACCCAAAGCACTAGATGAAACTAGATGAGATGTATACTTACAGTGCCGACTGGCTTGCGTGACTCGTTCGTTCGCTCCGCCGGGGGCTATCAATGGAATCCAAGATGCACTCATGGCCGGTCGTCTGGCATCGGGTGCACGGCATCTGTGTGCGCGCATCGCAGCGCATTTTCTGCTTCCGACACCATCGGCATGCCTTTAATAACCGGGCACGAGGTGTTTCCGGTAGTTTAATCGAGTATGACGACTGTTCCCTCATAGTTCTAGGCCTCCGGATTCGTGCGGTTTCCTCTCGAACAGATCAAAATCCGCCGCTCTTCCGGCGTCCCTAATTTAGCATCCTCAGCTCACCGCCTTCGCTCCAATATATCTAGTTCCCGGAGCCCATGTACAAGTCATGGAGGAAGCCTGCATTTATCATGACATGACGGGAAATGAGGTTGTGATGCTAAGACTGTAAGGATAACGTACGTGCTCATGTATTCACCTTCCTTTCGTTACGATAGAAGCATTCTGCATGATAGAGAATGTATTATCATGAAACCCATGGCTTTGATTGTCTGGAATTCATATTAGACATTAAATTAGGTATATAAATGACGGTGTTCATTCGAGGTATTTGTAATTGAGCGAAGACAAGACGCTTTCACACACCAACGCCCGGCTGATTTGAAACAAATTGGATTCCCCAGTAAAGATCCAGCCTCTACCCAGGTTCATACATGTCGAAAACGTAGAGAAATAGCGTATGCACTGAGCCTGCTATATCTCTCTCACTTTGAAGAATTCTAACCCAAGCTATCGAAATACTTGGGCGCCACCTGCTCACAAGCATTCCATATCCGTCGGCGGTTGGCGATGCCCATCCATGCCGAGTCATTCATGCCGTATTCTGGGGTAGTGATCTTATCCAACCACGAATGAACCAGCTTATAGTTCAGATCAGGGGGCAGATCGTCTCGCGCCTGTAGAGTCTGCATCTCCCACAGCCAGGGCATGTCGTACTGGATGAAGCGCTTCCAGAAGTAATTCTCCTGAGTGATAACCTGGACGAATAATGAAGCTTCTATGAGCGCCTTCAACGAGTCACCCGGCAGGAACGAGCAGATCTTGTCAACCATCTCGACCGGTAGTTTACCAAAGGGGCTCTTTGGCTGCCTATCTTTCAGATTGACCTTTGTGTATGGGGTACGAAGATTGTCGTTTCCTTGGAGCTCAGCTTGGATGGAGGTTGATAGAGCGGGAGTATTCGTTGGGTGTTTGACAGAGTACTAGAAACCATATTAGGGAGGCTAGGCGAGTAAGACTTGAGGTGTCCCTATTCTTACCTCGGCACCAGGAATACACTGCCAGTACTGTCCCTGTGCATGAGCGACGTCCCTGCCATAGTCCAGCTGTAGAGCGGAGCCGGAAACATTGCACATAGCTGACAGGGCATCGTACAGTACATCCGGCTTGATACTGTCAGGGTCTATTCCACCTGTCAGGGTGCGAAGTAGGATTTCAAAACAGCACCAGTGGAAAGGCATGACAGCCCCCGGGGCCTCGTCCGTTCCGAGGGCATAGCTTAACAACGAGGAATCAACAGATATTCTTTTCAAGATCTGGTTATAGTGGGAAGTCTAACCAGGTAAAGTACGCTCTTTTGGGGGGGGTTCCAATCTTCACAGCCAACTCGCCCTAGAACTAGCTTAGCTAACATAATTCGGAAGGGGTCGTTATTCAAAGGCAACTTACAGCATCGGCGTAATAGCCTGGACCAGAGATGAATGCTCTGACAAAGGTTAGAGAAGATGCGGAGACCCCCAGATATAGCGGAGTCACCTACTTGGCTTTGGCTTTCGAGTCCTGGTTCTGTCCAAGACAATGGGCTTTTGATATCCAGGAAAGGCCCTCGGCGTCTACAACGCGTGCATCGTAATCCTTTACAGGATCCTCCCCGGGAACAAACGGTCCTCCTTCCTTGAGCGCGCGGCTTCGCTTTTCAATCCACCTTCGTCGGCGATCTAGAGGTGTCTGTGAGGAGGTCGATTCGATGCGCATTCTGGAGAAGCCCACGCCACAGAGGGCGCAGTAGCAATCAAATGCCATAAGGGAAGTGAATTTAGTATTGTTTTTTTTCTTTTTTTTTTGGGCCTATATTAACGAGACAGTTTGCTTGATGTTGGGAAATGAAAGTTTTGACAACTCTACTCCGTAGTTAAAGACTGCTCATGGAAAATGTTCTCCCACAATCCCAAATTTCAAGACCGGCACCGCGGCAGTCGGAAGATCAACGAACTAAAGATATCCGGCCAATCAAAGGGGTCGGACCACGCAATCTCTGGATCCAAGAACAATCCCTTATTCAGGGGCCGAATGTTGGTAACCAATTAGGCGGTTTTGGGTGGTGCTCAACCCCTGGCGAAGCGAGAATCGAGCCATGTTTCGCCGTTATTTTTGCATCGACGATGCCCCTCTCGATGCAATTTAGCAGCGGGACACTAAATTGAGGCCGATCTAGTGCCCAGCGACGCGCAGAAACCATTTCGAAAGAAGCGTGGTGTCCACAATCACAACGTTTGAAAGGGTTCAATATCTGAGGTTGACTCCGGACTGTGGAATTGTCTCGCAATCAGCGGTGTGAACAGACCCACCACTATCCACAGCCTAGCAGGGGCCCAGACTCCGTATACTGGTCACTTGACAAGCAAAAAAATTGCATGTCATATGAGGAAGGCTTAGAATGAGGCTTCCAAGCCGCCGCAGACTACCCTATCACGGCGGATGGCGTAGTGGGAAGTGAACTTGCCCGGGGATAGTTGCTCACCTCCCGCGTAAAAACCGTTTTACAATTCCGTACGGAGTACTCCGTACAGGACTGAGGAAGATGCCCTGAAATTGAAAAATCTTATTGTCTGAACCAGATATGCGGTGAATGTGGGAATCCAATCGCTTCGGAGTTTCCCTGTTTTGGTGGGTCTAGGGCCCATGGATAAGTTGGCCGAAACCAAATATCAGACTCTTCGAATGGCGTTTTCTTGCCCGTCTTCCAGAAGCACCAAAGTTGCGATTGTCTGTCCCAACCGTACGAAACTTGGTGCCCATCGTGGCCCTCCTGTTGTAGTGAGATACTTGGTCACCGTCAAAAGTTGACCCCCGAAGTGCCCATCAATGGCGTCGTGACAACGCCATAGGGCTACCTATAGTAGTGGCAACTAAAGCTGCTAGCAGATGCGCCAACCTGAAGACCCGGATGCTCACCCGGCGATTTCGTAAACTTTCGGTGGTAGTTTCTGCGAGACGCAGGGGGTAGAACCTAGTCGTTTTGCATCCGAATATTGGCCATATTTGGCGAGTACCGAACATAGCGCCAATAAAGCCGGACGTCGCCGCCGTAAAAGCCAGGAGAGGAGAGAGTGCGATGTCCCATGCACAAGCCTGGTCTTGGATCGTTTCGTATAGACCAATGCGTATGGAGACGTAGGTTACTGTTTATAACTGTCAGCTTGGATTATTCGAATGGCGGTTTCCGCGGTTCCTATCCTTAGCCCTCCTTCCACCTGAATTCGGGCTTGACCGAGAGTATTGTATTTAGCAATCTGACTTGGAGTACTCCGTACTTAGTTATGTACCACCGCCGCCATGCATGATGCCGACTCCCCGGGCCACTTCGGATACTCGGCGGGTTGGAAATCCTTCTTCGCGATGTAGGGCCGCGGATATTTGTTTCACATCCGCCATAATTTAGATGCATACTTCGTGCAAGGTAACAATTGATAAATCTTGTTGATTCAAAACCAGAATTATACACAAATCACAGTGCGTTGTAAGGCAGCAGCATTCCATCGATTTCCGGGCCAGCATATATATTGTTGGGCCTTGGCCCTAAAATGACACTTCACTTATCCAAATAGCGCAGTGATCACTGGAGGACTGTTTGAATGCCAATTATTTCTGCTGGAAGCCGCATGTTAGGATCTAGACTCTGTACTCTGGAGTCAAGACGAGACAAGTGGCGGAGGATGTTGGTTGAAGACCTGCTGCTGGTGAATAAGTGTTGCAACTTCACAATATATTCCCTAATAGGTAGCATGATATACACGCGGACTTCCTAAATGCACTTCAAATTCGGCCTATGTATAACAATAATCTAGATAAATGAGAATTTTTAGTCCCCAGTGAGCAATCCGCAAGGCTATTGGCAGATCTATATAAGCACGCCGGGACCTTAGTCTTCTCTCCGCAATCCCACGCTACTGTTATCACCCAGATGCAGGGCTGGAAGAAGCAACCACAGATGGAATGAATTGCAATAATATCATCTGCCTGCTTTTGAAGACGTGCTTGTCCGGTGGTGCTTGCATGATTACCCGAGGTTGGTTTACATAGGGCAGATGAGTATTCGCAAACATAGATTCTAGGATACTAGGAACTTATAGAATAGATGAGCAACAATGTCATCTGTTGGGACCGTTTGTGGCATAATCGAGCGTTGGCGAAGACATTCCCTACTAGGCTGAAAGTTTTGCATCTTTACTGTGTAACTCTTGAACTTTGCAGCTGCTCTAGATGCCACGTCCATCACAACAGTTTTACCAGTAAGGCCAAATGAACACTATAACCAGATTCAGATTGAGACCCTGACATGTACATTTTCATAGACCATCACAAATGACCTTGGAGGCGCGGCAATACAAGCCTTCTGGTCAGGAACATCTTTTCTTGTAGCCTCCGTGCTTTTCCAGCCTATATTCTCCCTCTGCTCCGATATCTTCGGAAGAAAGTCTGCACTCATTGTGGTGGTGATGTTTTTCATGGCCGGATCTGTTCTTGCTGCAGTTGCTACTATAAGATGTTTAGCCTGCTGCTTCCCGGAAGGGCGCCGGTGGAATCATGGCCCTAACGGAAGTTCTGATCGCAGATTTGATCCCACTCCAGGAACCTGGGCTCTAGGCTCTGTCGTTGGTCCCATTGTTGGAGGAGCATTTGCGGAATCGTCCTCGCGTTGGGTATTCTGGATCAACCTGCCGTTCTGTAGTTTAGGTCTTGTTTCGATCCCGGTAGTCCTGCGATTACACCGTGAAAAGGTGTCTATGCGCACCAAACTCACCACAATTGATTATCTGGGCTGCGGGATTTTCATCGCATCACTTTCCTCTTTTCTTGTCCCGGTGACATGGGGTGGAGTGATGTATGACTGGGATTCATGGCACACACAGTCGTCCCTCGTAGGCTTTGCATTCTACGAGCGTTTTATCCTCGCCGTCTTCCCAGAGAGTTTCACCGTGGCGTCTGTCTCCGTTCTGGCGGGCTTTGCCATAACAAAAAGCGGCAAGTATCGATGGACAATTTGGATCGGCTGGGCTATTTCCACCATCGGGATGGGCATTCTTTCGCTTCTTGATGCGAACGCTTCCATCCCCAAATGGCTCCTGCTGAATCTCATTCCTGGCCTGGGGTTAGTTAGGTCTGTTGTTCTCGGCGGTTATGCTTGCGGTTCAGGCCTCAGCGAATCCCGAGTACCTAGCTATGTCGGTAACATTGACCGCGTTCTTTCGTGCGGTTGGACAAGCGGTGGGTGTTGCAGTTGGTGGGGTGGTATTCCAGAATCAGATCAAGAAAGAATTCGAATCCAACCCACTGGTTAGCGCCACGGCGAATGAGTTTGCCCGTGATGCATCTGGGCTGGTGCAGTATATCAAGAGTCTTCCTGAAGGGGACAAGAAGCATGCTTTGGAGGGAGCTTATGCTAACGCACTTTCAGTTTTGTGGCTTGTCATGTGCGGAATTTCTGGGATAGGATTCCTCACAAGCCTGCTGATCAAACGTTATACCCTGTGCCAGGCTTTTACTTCGCAGCAAGGTCTAAAGAACCTTGTAGAATCCGATGTGGAGGGGTCTAGGAAAGCCTCTGAGGCCGGAAGCGAAAAGCCACCACAGGTCAATTGAGGAAGGAATCAAAATTATTTTGGTATCGAGGAAAACAGGCATCAGGTTTCATTTTCTTAATCAGGCGCGAGAGTGCGGGTTCTGTTACTGAATATGCAACAACATGCTCAGTTAGATTCACAAGATGCAAAGTGTTTCGAACATAGGATACGCGAAGTGCTAAACCTGCCCCGGGACTCGATCCGGAAGTTTACAAACAATCCGAATGGAGTCTGTCAGGCACCCCAATCTATCCAGAATGTATCTAGCTAGAACTGCAAACACTGTCCTTGCAGACCAGATTACCAGAGCAGTCGTCATCACTGGAGCAGGAGGCGCCTATATTGGGTGTTAGTTTAACAAGCGGAAAAGCTTCAGCTTTATAGGAGTACATACCTTCGCAGTGTCCTGACCATGAACAATCCTCATCTACAGAGCAAACACTGTCAGTGCAGACAAGATCGCCAGAGCAATCATCATCACTAGAGCAAGAAGCACCTAATAAACCGTTAGTATAACGGTTCTACACCAGCACTGGGGATGAATGGGGAGAAGAGAAAATACCTTTACAGTGTCCTTCCCAAGAGCACGAAGCTGTGGATGTTGAAGCGGTGGTGGTGGTAGTCAAGGTAGTTGCAGAGGTCGTCTTAGTGCCGCTGAGACCAAGATTGGAAGCGAGCGCATTGACAAGACTATCACCCATGGACTTGAGGGTTCCAAAGTTGGTGATATAGTGGGTATTCAAAGCGCTGCTTGGGAGCACGGCACTGTCACCCAGGAAAACAATATCTAAGCAACCTTTAGCCAACATATGGGTGAAGCGGAAATTGGGGGAAGTACAAGTCACATCAGCAGGAGTATGGCCACTATCTCCGTTAAGGTCCTCGTCAGGAAAACAGGTACGAGCCATAAGCCACGAGGCCTCTCCAGTGACTTCGGGGTCGTCGCCGTTTGTATCGCCCAGAATGCCGTAGAACATTTTTCCGTTGCTAGAAGGGTTAGCAGCTGAGCAAGATAGCGTCGGGGGCTAACATACCAGATCACAGCAGCAATGTTATTTCCAGGTAACTTCTTAGAGTTGGCCGTGACGTACTTATCTGGGATAACAATCCAAGGGACTTCGTATGCTGCGAGGGCACCCCAGTCTGTTTCTGACTGGCCATCAGGATTGCCCTGTTGAGTGCTTAGTATTCAATTTCCCAACCGAAATAAAGAACCGGCGCATCTGTACCTTGCACTTGTAATCGAGCCCGTCGCAGTCGACGTCCATATCGGCCGTGAACACAATCGCGGCGCCCTATGACAGTCACTAAAAGCTTTTGTCTGTTTTGAACAAAAGCAGCCTTACCTTGCTAAATGACGACCAATCACTATAGATAGTTGACTTGATAGACGATCCCTCGCTGATAGGATATGTAGCGTGGGCAGGGACCTTTGTGCATTCTGCTGCAGCAGACTTCAGAGCAGCAACGGGCATGGTAGCCGTGGCACTGAAGTAACTTGCTGGGGGACCTGCATCAGGTTTGTTGTAATCCGATCCAGACACAACTTGACTGAGAGCTGACCCAAATAGTGTAGTGCACACTGCCAGGTACTGAAGACGAGTTCCAATTGCCATCTTTCCTGTTCTCACCAAAGCTATGCAATCGATGATTGAAATGATTCTTATGGGGTTTCCACGTTCTCATGGAGTGCACGTCTGCAGATATTTATGCTTTGCCTTCCAGCGTCTTGGAAGTGATCAATTGAAGACTCAAGACTGACGCTTAATGCAGCGAAGGCCTTCTCAAGTCGTATCCGCCCACCCCCGTCCAATGGGAAACAGGGTGGGCAAACGCCCGGCCCAAGCGATGCACTTCAAACAGCCCTCGTCTCCAGTAACGGTTTCTGGCATTGGAAATTGCAACCTGCCCGGGATCTGCTGAACCCGTCAGATCTCTATTTTGGGGCCAAGAGACGAGCAGCTGCGGTTCTCAATCCAACTTCTTCCGCACGTGTTGTGTTGGACAGCCCAAATATCGGAAGATGGCTACATACCTAATTATGAGAATCATGCTTGCGTGGGATGACGACTAGGCCTCATTGGCAGAGATGCATCTGGTAGCATGCAGACTGCTGGTAGGAAGCACAACTCCACGAAAAGCCCCGAGTCAAGGACACTCGATTCACAGCGCTAAAATGTCTCTAGCCTTTGCTTGACTTGCCGGTTTAATATACAAGCCAGGTAAGGGAACGTGGGGGCGGAATTCAGCTCGCAATTGCTGCTTTTGAAGTGATACCTGCATCTATCTTGGAACTAATCAGTCACTCCGTGCAGTCAGATTGCGCGAAGCAGTTTCCTAAACAGTATTATACAAAACTCCCTCCTCCACTTGACCGAATGGTGAGCTAGTCATGCCGTGAATACAGCATTACAAAGTAATCTCAGCGAAACGAGACAATAAGCTGCATGGAACCAACGGGTATAGTATCTTCTCAGCAGTATCTGGGCGGCAAATTTAGTACCCTGCCAAATCTTCCATGATCACGGCGTATATACATGTTGATGTTTATGAATTGTGTTAATGCTCAAAGGTGTCAGATATTGGCTAAATTTAACTGAAACTGACAAGCCCGCTTAGGCTCGGGAAGCGTAGGGCGCAGCGAGCTTCTACATATTTCATGGGGCAATACAATACATACTTAGAGCCGCCGAAATGGAGTCTGTTTACGAATCAAGCCTCTCCAAGCAACCCTGTGGCAGCTACACCACAGATCTTTGAGAGCAACTGAAGAATTCAAGGATTACGGGCTCCCCGCCATCGGGCTGATTTGGGGCACAGCTGGGTCAAATTTGGCATAATGTGTAAAATATTGGCTTAGCGTTGCTGCATTATGTATTTTTTAGGTGGGTTTGTTCGGGCTGTCTCGGATGAGGCTCTAGATATTTCCTCACGTACGGAGTAATATCCTACCGTGTAAAATCGACGGGGCAAAGCTAGGTTTAAATGGAACAAGATTATCCTTGACTATTGCTCATTCCAGGAACCTGCTCTGAAGATCAACCTAATCATCGCAGATCATACGTTCCTAAAATGCTGTTCTACAAGAGTCTCTGCTTGCTAGCAACCCTGCAGCCGGTGTTCTCGGCATCTATGCTGAATTACTCTGCGGCCCGGGGAGATGATCAGTCGATATTGGGACAGTTGAATCTTGAGGCCGCTCGCGGTGACAAAGTCAGTGCCAATCGAGCTGATTTATATATCAAACCAGGCACCGATGCCAAGGGTGTCAAAGCACTGCACTTCCATCGCAATGTGGGTGACATCCGGGCAGAGTATCACGCTCTATCCAAGAAAATCGACGTCGACCAAACCTACTATATCGGATACAAACTCTCACTGGGGGTTATTGAGGAAAGTCTTATGATTTGGCAATTGTATTATCCCGTATTCTGCTCCCTATTCGAGCGTTGATCAAAGCTAAACCCCGTCACAGTAAGGCCTACACCGACAACAACGCCGAGGACAACGGTGCCAACATCCCGCTCTCGCTAGAGATTAAGAGCGGAAAGTTGCACTTCCAATACCAGGCGGATTACTCCGCTCATCGGGTATCACAGTGGTCCCAAACCGTGACTGCTAACACTGTCTACTCGTTCGGAATTGTTATCAACACTTCCAGGCCCGGTTGGGCTGAGCTTTACTTCAACGGCAAAAAGCAGACCTTCTCCACTACCGGCACCACTAGGCTGAATGGCAATACCTTCGTTGGCCGAAACGAGCCAAAGTTTGGCATTTATCGTGGAGAGGCAGTGGCAATAAACAACTATGTCTACAATGTCCAGGTCGGGACGGCGCTGAGTGACATTTCCGAGGCTTCTGGGATTAGCTCTTCCGGGTCGAGTTCTGGATCTTGTTCCTGGTCCGGCCACTGTGCGGGTATGTTGAACCCATTTCACCGGCCTTGGAATTGAGGGCTCACTGATCTTTTCATAGGCGCCACCTGTTCCACGGATGATGATTGCTCCGACAGCTTGGTCTGTACCAGCGGGGTTTGCTCTTCTGACTCTTCCACCTGCGACTGGGTGGGGCACTGTGCCGGTATGCCATCCTTCTTGCTGCAGGAGAACCGCAGTAGTAGTTGCTAACTATGTCACAGGTGCTACATGTACTACTTACAATGACTGTTCGGGTGACTTGGTCTGCAAGAATGCAGTATGTACCGAGGCCTAACTAACCTGGTTCAACACTGCAAGAAGTTTCCAGCTCCAATACAACAACAACGACAACAACGAATGGTTTCACTATATAGTAGATACATGCAAACCATGATATGTCTTTGCAATAGGTAACTTTAAGAGTTGATATTGAATGGGGTCCAGTAGTTAGCATGTATACGACGGCTTTCCCCGTCAATGTCACAGGTGGCCGCTCTTCTCAAGCAGGGCACACAACTCAATATCTACGCTTTACTCGAACCATGAGCTTGTTCTTCTCCCACAATAAGAAAGCCTTTTGCTTTTCCCATCCCAGGGATGATGGCGCCAAGGTAAAATCGAAATTATACAGTACATTTGCCAAAAGAATGCGCATTTCGTGATACGCCAAACTAGTCACATCAGCTAAAGTATTTCTGCAAGAGGACAATTAAGGCTCACTTTTTCCCGAGACAGTTGCGAGGGCCAAATGAGAATGGTTGCAACGCTGCCTTTTTATCCGTGGCAAATTCTGGGTCATCCAGCCAGCGCTCTGGGAGAAATTCATTGGGCCGTTTGAAATTTTCGGGGTTGCGATATGTTGTCCATTGGCTTACGGAAACGGCAGTCTATAGGGCTGTGAGCACCTTTGAAGTTGTATCAACAGGTACAAGATCATCTTACTCCTGCAGGAACCAACTCGCCACAGACCATCAACCCCCCCGAGGGAATGATGCGAGGCACGCCGGTAGGAACGGGAGGATAAAACCGCAAGCCCTCTTCAATACACGCATTCAAGTACTCCAGTCTTGCTAGTGTGCCCATATCAATTCCAGAATGGTTCTGGAACGTCTCTCGAACTTCCTTTGTGATTCGTTCCATCTTCTCAGGCTGTAGAAGTAACTGATAAGTCAACCCACTCAGTGCGGTGGCCGTAGTTTCGGTCCCCGCTACCATAAAGATATGCGAATTGGCATACATTTCGCTTCTACTGAGTTTTAATTCTTCCTTCTGGTTCAGCACAAGTCCCCAGATATCTGGCCGGTCCAAGTGCTGATCCACACGGTTGTCCACTCTCTCCTTGCAAGCGGCCAAATGGGCAATCGCCTTCTGCTTAACAGAGCGTGGAAGAAATGCATTCAAAAGAAGGGATCCAAACGGGTAGTATCGAGCAGCCCGTTCAAGAGATGTCAATTTCACCCGAGAAAACACTGCTGTCATCCACGACGAGCTTCCCATTCCTTTGAGTAGGTCTAGCGAGGCACCGAAGGTGAGATCTCCCATTATATCAAAGGTGGCCATGTTGTACATGGTGACCAGGTCGATCTCTGCGGTAGGCTTTTCCGTTATATTTCCATTGATCCTCTCGACCAGCATATCTGCATAGCGCCGGATAAGGGGCTGTTGATCCCTTAAAGCTCGGTCCGAAAACGCGTTCGAAAAGTTTCTGCGAAAGCGAGAGTGGTCTGTAACATTTGCTCGAATGATATCTGGCGCATGAAATGGCCCAGGTCCAAAGAAGCGTGTATCCTTCTCTGCTGTTTTTCTTCCCGACGCTGCATGGCCGTAAATACCCCTCCATGCGTCGCCATCTGCATAGCTTAGCTCGTCCGGGCAGATACGAATGGTATTGCCGTACTTGACATGCAGATCATGTAGCCAAGTAACATAGTCTCCTCTAAGAGTATGATAGATATATGGTATGCGGGTCAGCGCTGGGAGGATAGGTCCGGGATATTTGCGTAGCGGATGTATAAACAGTTGATAGAAGCACCGAGCAAGGACCCCAATCATAACCTGATATCAAACCACCCGTGAAGTCAGTATTTGTTGATCTAGAAAGATAGCTGGTTGCACCTACCAAGCCCCCTAGGAGAGCAAAGTACTTCGTGTTAAACAGCGTGACACCCAAAGCTGGAGTCACGTCAGATGTAGCCATACCGAATGCGGGTTAAATAGAAGGTCCTGAAGAATATAAACCGACGAAAATCTCGCCCTAGTAGAAGGATTGCAGGACTAACATCTATAGCATGACCGTTCGTGGAGGTCTGCCATTATATAGACGCGCGGTACTTTTTAACATCTCCCCGCGGATATGTGCTTCTTCCTCGTACAGCCCGAACGACCTGCTTCGGATGGCATAACTATATCCTTATGCTCCAACTCTAGAACATAAAATTGGCCAATCAACTGCCTTGACTTACTGCAAGTATAGGCGACTTTGCCTTAGTTGACTCCAACTTCGTATACGGTTTGTATCAAGCTAAAATCGAGGCTGTACGTCATTGATTATATAGAGGTAATTGGGTACAGGCCCAGGGCCTATGGGTCACAACAAGGATTTATGATCCTCATACTAGTACAAGCTGTCAGATAAGGCGTCTATTATCTTGGAGGTTGATGAGAGGTCGTCAAACTATGACGGTAGAAAGTTGACCGAAATGGATTCAATTAGTCTAACTAGGAAATAGAGAGAAGGAGATGCTTGGAAGAAGCATGGAGATCTAGAAGGAAATAGTGGCCTTAAATATATAGAGTAGTCACGTATTACTATCTTCTTCTTTATAGTAATGCTACTTTATAGTAGTACTAGTTATATTTACTAAGTGTAGCACTCTAACATACCCCTCTTAGTAATATATCTATTACATGAAGCTATTTAGAGTCTATCTCTAACCTGCTAAAATCTAACCTCTTAATAAATTTATTAAATTTTATAGTTAGTAATACCTTAATTAATCTATTAATAATATTATCCTTTCTATTAACTATTTATAATTAAATTCTACTATTTTTAATTACCTCTTTAATAAAGAAGTAATAAATATTTATTTAATAAAATATAAATATATAATTTAGCTTCTTTACTAAAATAATAGTATTTATAGAATTAATATATAAAAATATAATACTTTTTATAAACTTTTCTAGTCTAATAACTATATATAATTTTTATAATTATATAGCTAGCTTTATTACTATATCTTATATAATAAATTTAGTAATAATTAAACTTAAGATAACTAGTAATTACTTTACTAATCTCTATATAATTAGTACTTTAAATATAAAAAATATAAAGTCTTTTATTAATTTCTTATCTTTATAATCTATATAAGAGGTATTAATATATATATATAATAAATTATTTAAATAGCTTAAGACTATTATATAATCTAAGATCTTTTTTAAATATTAGAAAACTTATTTAATTATATTATAATTTAACTTACTAGAATTATAATTTCTTTATAGTAGTTATATTATTATATATTAAATATCTAGTTAGGTCTAAATAATAATCTAATTTAAAGATCTAGTTAATTCCTAGTAATAGATAATATTATCTTTACTAGTAAAAGTATATATAATGTCTGGAATAATACTACTAGTATCTTAGGTAATATTACTAGTTTCTAGTGTTTCTCTAGTTAATTTCTATCCTAGAGTTATTAGTATATGATATGGCCAAAGACTATAGAAATTCTATTTATAGAGTATCTTTTAGATATATATATATTAGGATATTAATATTAGATTACTAAGTAGTCTATAAATATTATATCCTAAGAATTATATAGACTTATCTAGTTACTTTAATTTAAAATATTTTTTTAGCTTATGTCACGGCGCGAAGCCATAGTACCTATCTAGTTAGATTCTGCCTTGACTGTCTGCCCTTATTCCTGTATTTAAGCCATGTTGCCCTTGATCCTGTTATAGCTCTTCAAGCTACATCCTGTCTATTACCTGATACCTACTATTCTACTATTCTATCTAGATTAGCTCCTAATTAATAAATATCTAAATCTAACTTTATTTCCTAATATTACATAGCTTCTCTTTACTAGGAATTAATTACTACTATTATACCTGCCTTACTATTTATACTACCTAAAAATATAAAAACCCTCCTATATAATACCCCTAATAAATTAAGATAATATATTATTAAAATATACTAATTCTTTATTATTATTATAGAAAAACTTTATAAATTATCTATTTTATACTTTATTATTACTAATCTTCTTAACTATATTTAATAGAAAGATAGTATAATTAAGTACTAGAAAATATAAGCTAAAAAAATCTAATAAAAATTATTTAAAGTACTTACTTAGAATAGCATGCCTTCTTAATTATTATTTTTTTCTAAAAAAGATATTAATATTACTATCTCTTTTATTATTAATATTACTCTTATTATATTTATTTCTATTACTTAAATCTCTAAATAACTTCCTAATTTTAATAAGTTTAATAACTAATAAAATAACTTAAGATACTTTATTTTTTAAATTTATTAGAAAATAATTATAAATCTTAACTATTTTCTAATCTTAAATAATAAAATAACTTATATAACTAGTTATCTTAAAAGAACTTTATATACTTAAATCTTATTATATATTTAAGATAGAATCTATAAATTAAGTAATTATACTAAAATTTTAGAAATTTTAGAGAAAGCTTTTAAAAATCTAAATCTAAAAATTAATATTTATATTAATTTATTTTATCTTTAATAAACTTATTATAAGTTTAGTATTTTTTTTACTAAATTTTAATATCTTATATTAAAAAAAAATATAAATAAAAATATTCTACTTATAATTTTAGAATAAATTATTAGTTAAGAACTTTAAGAAATATTAATATATTTTAAGGCTTTATTATAATATTATAACTTTATTAATTACTTATAAAATCTAAAAAATTATTACTATTATTATATAAGTACTACCCTACTCCTATTTACTAAGAATTTCTAGCCTCCTTAACTTATCTTAAAGCTAACTCCTACTACCCAAATTCTTATAATCTTTATTAATCCTATTATTACTACTACTCCTATTAAAGACCTAATAGACCTATCTACTACTTATTACCTTAATTATTAAACCTAATACCTATATTACTACTATAGTAGTATTAATTACCTAGTAGGTAGCTACCTACACCCTAACTAAAGACTAACTAGCTATATTTCTATATTTATTACTAAACTAGACCTATATCCCCTATTAACTAGAACCCTACCTGCCAAATACCCTATATTCCTTAAATTAGAAAATAGAGTATCTCTAATCTAAGCTATAATTAGGGATACCCCTAGTACTCCCTCTACTTATTAAAGGCTGTAATAGCTAGAATAATAGTAAAAGAGAAAAATTACTAATCTAAACTAATAATCCTATCTATTAATTTAAAAACTTTTAATAAAACTCTATTAATCTTTATTATAATTAACTCTAGAGTTAAGAATAAATATTTTATAAATTATAATTAAATTATAAATAATTAATTAAAAATACTATTATTAAGAAATCCTATCTTACTAAAAAGATTTAATAATATTCTAATAAAATCTAGTAATATTATTTATTTTATTTATTTAATTTAAAGAATTTATAATTATATTAAAAAAAATATTATTTTTCTTATAATCTAATTTATATATTTTCTTATTATTTTTAACTTATCTTAATTAAAGATCTATAATCTCTAGATTAGATTTATTAATTATACTATTCTATTTAAAAGTCTTTATTATAAAAAATATTATAATATATCTCTAAAATTTATAAAAATTTTAATATTATATAATATATTATTAAAAGCTTCTTCTTAATATCTTAATTCCTGCCCTAAATCTCTAAAGAATTAAAATATTACTAGAATCTTAATTATTGCCTATACTATATATACCTGCTATAAATACTAGATATTTATTACTATTATTACTAATATTAAAGTTACTCTAAATCTTATTATTATTACTAAATCTAAGCTATAAGAGTAACTACTCCCTAAGTTTACTAAATTCTATAATATATTCTTATTAAAGGAGGCTAAGTACCTGCTATCCTATTAATTTAATAATTATAAGATTAAACTATTATTTAAAAAAATTTTACTTTTTAGAAGCCTATATAATATATCTTAAGATAAACTAAAAATTCTAAAAGAATAGATTAAAAAAAATTTAAAAAAAGATTTTATTTACTTTAATTTCTTCCTTACTATATCCCCTATTTTATTTATAAAAAAATCTAGAGGAGGCCTATAATTTTATATAGATTATTAAGTCCTAAATATAATTACTATAAAAGATTATTACTTACTACTACTAATAAAAGAGATATTAAATAATCTAAAAGAAATAAAATATTTTTTAAAAATTAATATTATCTCTACTTTTAATAATCTATAGATTAAGAAAGAATAAGAATACTTTATTATTTTCTAAACTTAATTAAGTCTATTTAAATTTTTAATAATATTATTTAGACTTACTAGAGCTTTAATATTATTCTAGAGATTTATTAATAAAGTCTTATATAATTATTTAGATATCTTTTATATTATATATCTAGATAATATTCTAATTTATAGCTAAACTTATACTAAATATATTTATTATATCTAATAAATATTAGAATACCTATAAATAATAAGACTTTATACTAAATTTAATAAATATAAATTCTTTATATATAAGATAAAGTTCCTAAAACTAATTATAAGTAAAGATAACTTCTAAATAAATCCTAATAAAGTAAAAATAATTACTAAGTAAGAAATATTAACTTATTTAATTAATATTTAAGCCTTTATTAACTTTAGGAACTTTTATTACTAATTTATTTATAACTTTTTAAAAATTATTAGATTATTAGTTAATTTAACTAAAAAAAATATTAACTTTAATTAAATATTTATTTACTAAAAAATATTTAAATAATTAAAAATTACTTTTATAAATATCCTAATATTAAAATTTTTTAACTAATTAAAAAATATAATTCTAGAAATTAATACTTCTAATTATATATTTATTAAAGTATTATTATAATATAATAATAAAAATATATTATACTTTATTATATTTTTCTTTAAGAAATATTCTATAATAAAATATAATTATAAGATTTATAATAAAGAATTATTAATTATTATTTATTATTTTAAAAAATAATATTTTAAATTA